CAAATGTACATGGAAAGAAGAATCCCTAATGTTTCTTAAACATAACTTGATCAAAATATGAGCAAAACATAGATTTTACATTTCAATATTAAACATTAAACAATTAGCAAAGGGTTAAAAAAATCAGCCCACCTTTGTTTTTCTGTGTATTTTACCATCATAGGAGACAACTCATACATAAAGAATACTCCTGGAAGGCCAGCTTCACCGAGTACAGAATTAGAAACTTTCTGATGTTTAGTCACTGAGTATTGGTTGGTGTATAACACCTAAAATAAATAGCATTTATATGTAGTTATATCAATTTCAAAAATACAGTTATACATGCTTTTTAAAAAAAATACAATTGTTAACAGAACATGTAATTTATAAAAACAAACAAATATCATTGATTCATTTCCATTACAAAGACAGTACAAAATGTTACAATCAGTTAAAACTTGACAAATCTTGAAAATCATTGCAACTTATTTAGTTTTCAACAAGTAAATATTTGGGATGGAAAGGGTATTTGCTGACTGAATATTTGGTAAAAGAATTCGCTTTTCATTTCAGCCCAAAGTATCAATGTGCTGCATAAAATTAGCACGGACGTCAAGTACGTTTCTGGCGAAAGCTGGAGCATAGATTATTTAGAGTACTGGAAACAAGATGGCAGTCTATTTCAATTCTGGCAGTTCATTTTGGCCTATTTCTCACTATTGACTCAGTTGTTCATCTAGTTTTACTTACCTTAGATGCTTAGTAATCTATTTAGTGTAATTTTGTTTCCTAAATTATTGTCATTTGCGATAATTAGTACTAAAAGTACTTTGAACAAATCAGCTGCCATTTGCTTGGCTTAATCGTACCAGTCCATAAAAACAGTGAAATCATATTAAAGATACCAATTAAACTTTAAAATTGAGGCAGATGCGATACAAAAAGACTCTATTAATACAGATATACAGGTTACAGTCACCAAGATGAGCTAATTTCAGGCGAGATTCGGGAAATAAAAAGGTAGGTCATTCTGGTTTCCAGTCCTCTAAATAATCTATGCTCCGGCTTTCGCCAGAAACTTACTTGACGTCCGTGAAAATTAGATATGAATTTGAAAACTGATTTTATTTTAGAAGGAAATGATTATTACCTGGTCATCAACCTTTACATATGTAGTGGGGACTATTTTTACAAAATACTGGTACATTGTAGAACCTGAAATTAAAAGGAATTATGATTAAAAACATTTGAATGCAATAAAAATAAAATCAGTAGGTAAAATTGGGCCAAGCCGGGAATTGAACCCGGGACCTCGCGCACCCGAAGCGCGAATCATACCCCTAGACCACTTGGCCGATCGACGATTTACCGTCAATCCTTGTTTCATATTGATCAGCATTGGATCTAGCAACTTTTTTCAGGTAGCAGACATGTTTTGTTGAAATATGATTAATTAATTCATTTAATTGTATTAACATCATAGAATTGTTATGTGAAACGCAGCTACGACATAAATGAAGTATAATCTCATTTTAGAATAATTTCGTTTCACAAAGTTCAACTTTTAGTGAGGACTGGACATGTGAAAAAATATCACATAATTTTTATTAGAATTTCGAAACACAATAACTTACTCTTTTACTTAATTATAAAGAAGACTGGCATCAAAGTACAATTAAAATAAGGGTAAGTATACATTTCTTCACAACCAAAAGAGTGGCTCACAATGATGCAACGGTATAAGACAATTACCAGATCGAATACAAAATCACAGTTTTTTTTTACTTTTTAATTTTATTTTGTCAAATGAACATGAGCACAGGCACGGGAACAAGAGTTCATCCCCCTCCCACTCACTATGCATTACTTAGAAAAAAGACAGGCTCCTATCTAGGGAAATCTGAGACTCTACACTCTAATTGCTCATATCTCCGGGGTTTGTAGAAAATACCGGGTACCGGGTAGTAAATCCTCCATGCTGGGTTCAAACTTGGTACCCGGTCGAAAAAACCGGGTATCCCAAAAACGTGTATGTAAAAACATACGTTTCTTTGCAGTAGACTAGAACAGTAATCTGGTAATAAAGCTTGTAATCCCTTTATTTACGTCATATTTGCTGTTCTATTCACACCAGAATTATATTATTACATTCTATTAATTATATTTTTATGAACTGTATGTTTAATAGACTAACGACGCCTTGGAGCGTTAAGTCCCGCCTTATAGTGCTGCTTTATATAATATTAAAGGTACACTTTCTTTGGGAATTTTCAAATTTTTGGGCAAAATAAAGACATTTAAATTTCATAGTATGTCCAATGTATTGATAAGAACCTTATCTTTCACTTGACACCAACAACAGCTCAAATGGACCACATCAATTAATATAAATTATCAAAAAATATTTTCGATCTGTCAAGCTTTATATATCAAGTTTTTATTAATGTCATTGAAAGATGGCAAAGTTGTTTGTATTACATGATACATTCATTTTTATAGAAGTGTCGCCATCTTTTAAATCAATAGTAATTTAAAACATGCACTGTGTTTAGCATGTGCATGCATGTCTTATGACCTCTGAACTTCAAATGCTTTTTTCTATGTGAGTTATTTTTTTCTTGGTTTGATATTAAAGGAAATCAAACTTTGTGTCATATTTGAGCAAGTGTGTGAGTAACATGTTTCAATGATTATTTTTTCATTTTTTCTTCTAAATTAAGTATAGTGCGCCTTTAAGAGGTGTTTTTATACGCATTTTTTTCCTTTTGTAGGGTGTTATCTCAGGCATGTATGACTGTCAAAACTGGATACTATTCTAGTAATCATGATACAGATGCGTATAATCAGATAGTTATGTATAATGAGCACTGTGCAGCAAAGCTGTGGCCTTTTATAATAATTTTTGGAAGTTAATTTTTTCAAAATTTTTTTCCAATAAGATGTGGATGATCATGATGACCTTGCTTTTTGTTTATATTTTTAAGTTACCATTTTGTTGGGTTACAAGACCATGTGATTTATCCTGGACTTGAGCAAGAAGTTTCCAACAGTTTTGAGTTCTTATGTCCTTGGAATAATATATTTAGGCTATTTGGATAAAATGTTAACTTTCTGAACAAAGACTGATACATTTTATCTTAGGTTAAATAATGCCAGCACCACCACCCGGAGGTTACCACCAAGGTGGACCTAGCTGTTGGGATAAAGTGAAATATGGAGCCACCATTGGATTTTGTGTCGGAATGGCTTCAGGGGCCATTTTTGGAGGATTTGGAGCTCTGAGGTATTTTCTAGTTAGGTCCCCTGGCCCTATTATTTGTCAGAATTCACTTTTTTCATGAAATATGAAATGACCAAAGTAATAGACAATTAATGAACAGATAAATGATTGCAAAAAATTAAACAAAAAGTAATTGTGCCATAAGATGTCAGTTTCTGCATTGCTTGTCAATTTTGCAAATGGAAAGTTTCATTAGAATGATAAGTGAAAAAATACAAATGAACATCAGTATTAATATGTGTCCTTGCAGGACATAACGATAAAAAATGATTCATTAATTGATAGGAATTAAATGAAAATAAAAATGTAATATTGTACACAATATTCTTCCAGGATGGGGATGCGTGGCAGAGAGTTGATATCAAATGTAGGAAAAACGATGATACAAGGAGGAGGAACATTTGGAACATTTATGGCAATTGGAACTGGAATCCGATGTTAGCATAAAACATCAATAAATAAATAGTCAATCTTAAGATCGCCAAAATAGAAACGTTGTAGAACATTTACATCATTTGTGACAATAAGAACTGGCATTCACTCGGCATTTATTTGTAAGGACATAGTAGACAGACATGTAAATATACTAAATGCCACAAAGCAGGGCAATTACTTGTATTGACAAATTGGAGTGGAATGAGCTAGGAGATCATTAGTGATTAGTAACTGAAGATTATTTATTAGAAGTATAAAGATGTCGATGAAGTTGAAAATTAGCAGGATCAAGTGTAATATTGACATTCATAGCTCCACATGTTCAATTCATTTGGAATAAATAGAGAATTTTTACTTCATGTTTTTGTATCTTGAGTATGGTTTAACTGTACATTTACATGCACTATAAAATTAGTCGAAATAGTGGATTTTCCCTTTATATTTCCTGGGATCCTGAGTATATACAGGGCATTAACGGGCAAAATGTGACCACCTGCCATTTGTTACAAATGCCAAACTCTGAACACCAACTGCTGCCACAAAAAAGTTGGAGACTAACAAAATGGCACTTTTGGTGGGTTCACATGCTGAAAAATACAAATTGGCCTCATTTCCAAGAAGCCAACAATTTTATTAGGATTGCTTTTTGACAATGTCATTTTACTTAAAGCTGGACTGCGCTCCGAAACGCAATCTTGGGTTGTTTGGGGTGAACTTTATCATTTTGAGCTTAATGAAAGATTATAGAATGATTAACAAATGGGGCAAATCTTGTGTAGAAATACTTACGATAAATGTGTCATTTCAAAGATTATTCATTGAATTGCTTCGATCGGCGCCGACGATATGATTTTGGAAAAGTTTCTAAATGAAGAACGTGACGTCACTTCCGAATCATAGCATTCAAAATAAGTAGCGTTTAATTACATTCAACATTCATAAGAAGACGGTGGTCTAGGGGTACAATTCTCGCTTAGCACGCGGGAGGCCCGGGTTCGAATCCCGCATTCGCCTTTTTATTTTTTTTAACTAAATGATTGTTCTTTGATATAACACAGAAAAAAACAATTTTTATTTACATAAACTTTATATTAGAGCTTAAAAATGTAAAAACAATATATGTCAACATATTGCGTTTTGGAGCGATGTGCAGGTTTAAATCATTTTTTTGTCACATTTCCGTTTTTTTTCAAATAGATTAAGTTATCAATTTACAAATATTTCACGGATACATTTATCCTATATATTACAATGGAATAAATCCTGAAATTGTTATTTGAGCTTTATCATTGCTAATAACATTTTACAAGTCTAAAAGCAAAAATAGGAGGCATTACTTATGGTATTTACCAGCTCATTCAGATCCTCATAAAATGGATATGAGTATGCACTCTTCAGTTGATCCCATAGGCCCAACATGTGAGCCAGTAAGCATAGATGAGTCGCTGATTTCAGAGGCTCAACATTTTTGGAGCCAAATAAAGCAATCCATTGCTTGGACCATGTCTGAATTGTACTATCTAATGGACCCATGGTGAGGAAAACCACAAGAAAACTTGCAGATTGGTCCAGAATAACTTTTTAAATGACCACAAAATCTGAAATCAATATGACACCCCATGTAAGATGAATGAAATGACCAAACTTGAGAAAGTGAAAAACTTGGCACATGAAATAGAAATAAGGCTCGATTCTTACCTTTTTCTGCAATTGTAGTAGTTTTATCCAGGGGATTCTCCATGCCTGGGTAATCTGTACCAAATGATAGGTGTTTTATATTGTGGCTGAGGTTGAACTGAAAATATAATAAATTACTTTAATATCATCAATATGAGCATTATCAAGATATAAATAGGAGCTGATTTCAAATCAATCTAAATGCAAAGTATAACTTGTACAGTTGTAAGTATGAGATAGTTCAAGGACCTTTACTGCAATGCCAGATCGATCAGTCAATCTACTACTCTGAAGGGGATCAACTGTAAAAACCAAGCTTGTGACAAGGGATATCTTAGTCACATTTACTTCTAGTTTCTAGCCAGACCAAAAATGAAACTATCAAACATTTTTAAAAATGTACCATATTTTCTTCACTTTAGGTGGACAGGTATATTTTTCATTATTCACCCCTTATGCGTTCCAATGTATGAACTCAAGCAAATAAATGGTCCAATAATTCAAAATTCATTCACCTACATTTCAGCAAAACTGGTCACAATGATTCATCAAAACTCAGTTTCTCACAGTGCTTGATCAAAATATGGTTTCTCTAATTACTGTAATTGATCAAAAAAGTGTATCATATTGCTTGATTATACATGTATATCGAAAAATCTAAAACACAACAAGGAGCTGACATTGCATATTTTGCTGGAAGTTCACCAACATGCAATATTTTGGCGTTTTCACTTTAGGAAAACAGAGGAAAATAACATATCGACATGGCAGCTACTATTATATTACCCTGGAACAAATTCTTTGATAGGATCATGGTATGGGATCCATTAGGTCAATAAAAACCCTAATAATAATTTAATAATAAAATACATGCAGTTAAACCTTTGTGATAGAAGTGGTAACCAATATCTGTACATACCTTATTTCCTCCAAATGGTTGTAAATCATGAACTGAAATAAAATAGGAGGAAGTTAAATTACACAAAATGAGATTATTTCATCACTGTCCTATGCAGTTAGAGCATACAACACTTGGGGCAGATGTCATGAGCGTGCATTGTGGAACAAAGGTTCTTTTGATTTTGACATTAATTAATCAGTGAATGTTTATCAGTAAACTTTACAAAAACAAACATCTCTTATGATTAATATTAGAATATCAAGGAATGGTAGTTTTTCTCACCATGTACATGATGCTGTTGAAAACTTTTTCCAGGAGCAAAATGAAAGTTTCCCGCAACTTTATTAACTTCCAAATATCCATACATCTGGCAGCCTTCATTCTTCTGCTCTTTCATATTTTCGGACCAACCCTCACGAGAACATTGGATGATGCCATCAGGATCCTTGAATGCCCATCCTTTCTGACGATATGCTTCACGAACATCCTCACAGGTATTACAGCACCTGAAATATTTTATTCATGTTACATTATAACAATACATAATATTCTCTCATGCTACTTGTACAACATAAATAAAAAAAAGCATATTAATATCTTAAATTGTGACAACTGAAGCAAAACATTGCCTTATTATTCATCTCAAAAATACATATTTAAAAAATCTGAGCAAAAAAATAAATGAGCAAATAAGCATCCAGAATATTAATTATCCCTTTATTCCAAACAAATGCTTAAATCTTCATGCATTGGAAATGTTATTTAGTTACATTTGGCCTTGTCTTGTCCTTTACTTACTTGATGGCAGTACTCTCTGCACCATAGCAACTCTCACATCTTTTAGGATCTAAGGCATCTTTGGCTGCTGCTGTAATGTTTTCTGACTTGTCTCCCAGATCTTTAAAGTAATTATAACTTTTACATAGTATGGGATAAAGATCACATTGGTTGAAGAAGATCATTGGCTTAACAATTCAGCAATGTTAAATTGAATGGTACTTTCAGATTTCAGGTATCAGATTTGACTCCTGCATTGGTCAGATTTATTTTATAGAATGGAGATGCAATCCCAAGTCAAATACATAGCAAGTCTTAAACATCTGGGACTGAAACAAATTCTTGTACTGAATTTTCATTAAACTGATCCTGGTTCTGTACCAAATATTCCAAAATAAAATACTTTGTTGGTGCTAGGCCTACTTATTTTGGTGGATTAAGAGGACCGGCAAATTAAGTAGAAGTGCAGTAACAGCAAATTAGACATTTATCAAAATTCAATAAAATGTGCTTACTAACTATTTGCTGAGGAGTATTTGACTATTTGTTTCATCCCCACAGTAAACATGAATACAAATTCATTAAAAAAATGGTTTCTCAAGACCCTTGTCTTATTTAGTTAACAAAGTACTAACCTTCTTTCTTTTCAATATCTATTTTATTTCCTTCTAGATCTAATCTTTGTTTGAATACATTGTGGTCAACATCAATCTGTGACTCTCCTGAGACATCCATAGCATCAATACTGAGATCTAAAATTAAGATATAACAATTATTATTTTGTGATCCTTATTATCTATTGTCGGAATAATCATAAAATCTTTAAGACTTGAGATTTTAAAATTATTGTAAGAAGACTTTTATTTTCAAACTAGCTCATTATTTTATATATGCTTGAAGTTAAATTACTTACTATAATATTTTCAATCATATTTACTCAGAATGATATCATTTAATAACTATCTCATCCAGAATGATTCATATTGGATAAAACATCAAATTTAAAATAAAAAATCCGAACTTGTATAATCATCTTACATGCACATGCTATTCTCGGAAATGTAATATCAACATTGATTTTTAGTTTTTGTCCCCGAGATGTATCAACAAATAGTTCTGGATGGACGTCCTTTGTAAGGTAGAAGTTTAATTCAGACACGAAGAGTAACATCATCAATATTCCACTCACAATGGTCACTGCAAACATAAAATAAATAATCATAAAATATTGTTTATCCAATTCATTAAACATTTAACTTTTTTCACTTTAGAGGATTTTCAATTTGTTGAAAAGACAATAAAAATTGATTTTAAAGGAGGAATGTTCAATGATTTAGCCAGGGAATTATAGTAAAAAACATTTGCGGCCATTAAATATCAACATTTCTAGCTTTATTAATGTCCTATATAACTTTTCACATTTCAAACAATATTGCTATTACAGTTTTATACATTGTAAAATAGGTGCTAAAATGGCTGCCATTTTTAAACTTAGCCGCCATTTTGAAAATTGCCTCTCAAACAGAACTTCTACCCCCATAAGTCCGCAACTTCATTCGATGGAATAATCAACACTATAAGTAAGGCTAAGCTGGCACAGGTAGAACTCTCCTCACTTTTTGTTCCATACATGTAAATTTACAGCTTAAAGTTCAACTTAGAATTTCTCAAATCTCAGACCATCAATTTTTAAAGAATTTCAGTGAAATTTTCACTCTATTATAAAGATGAATTAGCAAAACATGATCACATTTCTGTACATTGACAAATTCACCCCTACCAAGCACTACCATAAACAGAAAATAATGCAGAATATTTTACCATTGGCATTCACTGTTATGATCAGATGTCCCCCAGTTACTCTGTATACTAAGTTTATATGTTTCTAAAGATGGTGTCATAGTATACCATTGATACCATTAAAGGTTGAATAAGTAATGCAGAGACAATTATCAAAAGATTATGGACCTAGTGTCAAAATATACCAAAGTTTGGATACTTTCATCAAATTACATCAAGACTAACATCTATTTTCATTAGCTACAAAGAAAACCCCCGAACGTACCTTATTTCTGCCGATATTCACAATCAAATCAACTTAAATCCCCGGGAATCTTCTCCCCAAACCATGAAACATCGACAGAAATAATGCTCACCAACCTTTTAATGATTTCACTGTGACCTTAAATATTGTTTTTCTTTGTCAGTGGGCCAGAATAAGAGATAGCCATTAATAGAGAATAAGAGAATAGTATAGAGAATAAGAGATAGCCAGTAATAGACCGTGACGGCGGTCATATCATGTACCATGCATACGGTTATATCAGACAAGTGCTGGTCCGCGAAGCATTTACACAGCTATACTCTAAACAGTTCATGTTGCGCAAAAACTTGTAATCTGAGATTCAATGACGTAGCGTCATATACGCATATAACGTCATGGCGTACTCTCAAAAAAAAATAAGTTGATTTTCATATTGAATGCACCACATTTTGAAAATGGAGAACGCTTCAAATACAATCTCATTTGCAAATTTTCTTGTGAGGGGAGAACCCTCCCAATCCCCCCCCCCCCTCAAAGCTCGTTCGCTTCGCTCACTCCTGGCGTACTCTCACAAGGTACCCACGCTTCGCCACTGGATTGATTTTAAGTAATGCTACCTTTCTCACCGATGACGTTCTTTGTTATCACTTAAATTAAAGCATATTTCGATGTTATCAATAAAACTGCATGTTCTGTCCTGAACTTCCGTTTATTATAATCGCATCATTATCACAATATTATAGTGATTGCCACTAGATGGCATTTACACATGAACGTAATCCGGCAGATAAGTTGTAAAAATGAAAGAAAATTCTAGTTTAGATCATATTTATTGTGCATTTGGGAAGTTTAAGGGTCATATACAGGACAAATATAGTATATCCTGAACATGGACCGAAATCTTCAGTACACAAGGGTTGTCCCGTTTGTCCCGAGACCAAAGCCTCAAGGGACGGGACAATATCAGGAAACCGTGACATCCCTAGTCATACAGGCCTGAGATGACACCCTCAAGGATCTTGAAAAACATATTTCATACCTCAATCTTGCTATTATGGCAAGATGATACTGCCAATCTAAGCACTGCAAAATTGTTAAAATGATCCGTGGTCCGCCTTATGACCAATCACATTGCAGGATGTATGCGCAGTATCCATGTAGAAATGAAATTCTAGATGGATCTTTCCTAACCTGTTATTTATTACTTACTGTATTGAACTTCAAACTTCCGTGTAGTACACTCACAAGGCCGGACTACAGTGGCGGCTTCGATAGAAGGTAAACTGTGGTCACTTCACCCACTCAAGGTAATATTCTGTTTAAAACATGTATTCAAAATTGGAAAAAAATTGTAGAATAAAAAGAAAACTCACCAATAGCTCCCCCAAATGTTTTTATTCGGAAGTCTTCGAGTGTTTTAGGATAAGCATCGAACTGACGCAACCGATTGAGTAAATCCTGAGCTGTCATCTTGCTAACTTCTTTAAACTTATCTTTCAAACATATATATCGTTCTTCTATAATGCTGTAGAGACTCAATAAATAAAAAATGTGAAAACTTAACGTGTCGAAAATAAACCGGAAGTAAAACTTCCAGATTAACACAGTCCAATAAATGATGTCCTCTCGACACACAATATTTCAAGTAATAGTCAAGTAAAGAACATCAGATCAAATATTTAATAATTAATTAAAACCATAGGAATTTTTTGTCATAAAAATAGCAATGTTTGCAAATTTATAAATGGTAAAAATATAGAATGTGTACTGTTTTTATTTTCGTGCGGTGCTTCTTACAATTTTTTGACATTACCCGGGTGATGTTCATTTTAGTCACTCAGTGCATCTATTTAGATTGAGGACTCATTTCATTTGTGTACTCGATTGTGTGTTTAGGATAAAACACATCATTGCAGCAGCTTTGGTTTTCAGGCTAATATATTTTATATTTTCTGCATAAAGCATACTGCCCTGTGGCTATAATGATTGATATTGGCCTTTCTTTGAACTTTCATGCAACTATGAATAATTATCAATTTGGACTTTACAATCTTTGACAAAAAAATATTTAAGGGAGCATAATGTATATATTTTCATAAAATAATTAAATGTTCAAAAAACAGAAGACATTTTTAGATAAATTAATTTATTTCTTATTCAATATGTATAGTCAGGTTAAAAGGTTAATTTTTTTAATGTTATCTGGTAAAATACATTCATTGTTATATTTGAGCAAAAAGTGAACTTGCAAAATTTCAAGTCGGTTAATTCTATTATTGTGGGTTAGCTTATCCAGTAAACCCTGTGTATATTGAACAAAAAATGTCCATTGTTGGTACATAGGTGGTCACAAAGAGCTAGAGAGGGTAATTTATACATAATCTGTAGAGTATGTGCGGAGGAGGGGTGTCCACTAGACATGTTCACCAGATAAGAGAGAGGTGTTCATTTTGACACATTTTACTGTACATTAGGAAATCTAAATGGAAACTGTTGACAATGTTGATCATTTGATCTAAAAATGACTAAAATCTGTATGATGCACCTTGTTCAGATTTAGCATATTTTTGATGAAAGTATCACGAAGTAGTCAGTGACTGTATGTTTCATTGTCATTCTGATAATGTGGAAACCTAATTTCAGAAAATGAATGGAAAAATTGTTAAAATTGTAAATCTATGTTGTAGCAACATTGTACAAATCATTTCTGGAATTACCTCATGTAGTACATAAAAAATATTTAACAAATACATGTACAGTACAGGTACATAAGTTAAGAAGCTCCTTTTAAAGGATCATATCAACCCCATACATTGGACATGATGATGATTTTTTATTGTGATTTATTTTCTCCAATTATTTTATATTATTTTATACATTTCTAATATTACATTCTTGATCAAACAAGCACAGTAAATTGGGATGATCCCCATATTTGTACTTACTTATACAATTCTTTGCAATAACAATTATACAATTCTTTGCAATAACAGTAATATAATTGATGTAGTCTTCTTCCTTTTTTGTTTTACATTCATACTTGAATAAAATGTGTTTGTGTCCTAGTCTAATTCTGTGCCCAAATCTAGCATTTAATTTGCACTCTACTTATTTCCATAAAAGCTTTACTCTTTTGCATGAAAAGAAAAAGTGTACAATGTCATATGAATCTTCCTTATTACAATATGTACAATTTTTTGAGGCAATTAACTCCTTCAGTTTTCCATTTGAAAAGGTGAGTATAAGTTGGATAAATATTATATAAATAAATACACTGGACATGATGATATGATTTCGCTGAATGTATATATATTTGTCTATATATTATCAACAGTAGGTGACTAGCAAAATCATGATTTTACCTATGATTAACTGTAAAATATTTATATATTACATTTTTCATAATTGTTACAATTGCATATAAATACTATGAATCTCCTAATTAAATTAGGACAATAACGCTATACATACATACAATAGTAATACATAGCTATCATAAAATGGAAGAGTAAATCATAATTCATGTATCCAGGACGGATCATCTTATAAAATGTAAAATATAATTTGTTTTCAGCTGTTATGACTTGTCAAAAGCATTAATAAATCATATTTTGTAAATTGAGGTAATACCAATTGATTGTTAAACATTCTGTCTATAGCAAATCAGAATGAGTATGAGTATATTTCACATTTGTCCAATAGAGACCACTCTAATCAACAGCAATCACTATAGTTTTCAGTTCAGTGAAGAATTCAGCAGACTCTTTGGCACCCTCTCGGCCTATACCACTGGCCTTAATGCCACCAAATGGCATGTTTAAGTCCCTTAGTAACCAACAGTTGGTCCACACAGTGCCAGTCTGGAATAATACACAGTGCAATTCGAGGATGTATTGGCATAGTATAAGTTCCAACATATGGAGGTCCATCCATACAACAATTTTAGAGGACAGACAGAAAGATGTGTGAGTCTGATGATAGGGTAGAGAGTCAATGTTATTCAACTTGTGGTTTGAGATTTATAGATTTCTTACTAGATGGTTTTGATTTGACCCCTAGCTCATGCTGAAGTTCCACTCCTATTATATTTTATCAATGAATACTTTATTCCTAGGCAACTGGTTCCAAATAAAATTGGTTCTGAATAAATTTTTAACATGATCACACTGTCACAAGTCCTTTCACAATCTAAGTCATGGAAAGAATTATGAAGTCCACTTCAAGTCTACATCATGATGACATTATGAACATACCTGTAATTTGCGAGCTACTCTATGTACTCTGCCTACATCTTTGGACCACACTGTTGCTGCTAAGCCATATTTCACACCATTGGCTCTCTCAATTACCTATAACAACAGGACAAGTGAAACATCACATCCTGGCTAAGTCAAGTGGTGAAGGCAATCACAAATTGGCTTTCTGACTTTGGAACAGTAAACTAAACTACATGTGGCATATTGCAACAACATATTGAAATATATCCGTCTAAATATATATATATATGAGCCTGGCCATAGGAAAACCGATCTTATCACAAAAATTAGAATTGTGCTACAGAGCCAAAAATGTGCCCAAGATTAAGAGGAAAATGTGCTAAATTCAAATCCGAAATTGTTAAGACATAAGCCATGGCTCATTTGAAAGGTCTCTTTGTGCTTTCTAAGATAAACAAAAAATCAGAATATTGATAAAATCTGTGATAAGACCCCTTTTCCTGTGGCCTGGCTCATATATATCTGTTAGCATGCTTTTAAACATTTCATGAAAACATATACAGCCTCACCTCCTCTTCTGTTGAAAATGGTACAATACATGTTACAGGACCAAATATCTCCTCTTGCATAACCTTTGATGTGTCAGCAACGTCTGTTATAACAGTGGCTGCCATAAAATAACCCTACAACAAATATTCCATTTGTTAATGATTGGAAACTAAAGTGATGCATGACTGAGTATAACTCATTATTCTAATCATATACATGTACATGTAATTCTTTTATAAGTCAAATACCATTGGTAGTGTCAGTATCAGATGTACATATTTAGTCTTGTATCAAGCCCTTATGTACTCCCAGATGTACATATTTAGTCTTGTATCGCCCTTATGTACTCCCAGATGTACATATTTAGTCTTGTATCAAGCCCTTATGTACTCCCAGATGTACATATTTAGTCTTGTATCGCCCTTATGTACTCCCAGATGTACATATTTAGTCTTGTATCAAGCCCTTATGTACTCCCAGATGTACATATTTAGTCTTGTATCAAGCCCTTATGTACTCCCAGGGACAAAAGCTTAAAGAATAATTTTGCTTTTCTTACCTCTTTGTTCTCATCTGGTAGGTTTAATTCTTCAAGACCACATTGTATTGTTCCACCATTTTCCTGCGCCCAATGCACAAAGCCTCTCACTTTAGCAAGGTGTTCTTTGCTGATTAGAGCCCCCATCCTACTGGATGGATCACCAGGGGGACCAGTCTTGAACTCCCTGGAAGAAAATTTTGAGCAATATACAGTATGGTGCAGCATATCTAAGCACTCAAACTTAAGAGAGTTATGTACGACTCAGTATTGGTGATTGTATGTTATTTATACATGTATAAAGTACAATAAATACATGTACTTGTCATGGTAAAATTGAAAAAAATATGCATACAATACAGAGAAGGTCATGGAACTCTGTGGAAATAATACAGATTTTCATTGAGAACTTGTATTATTGCCTAAATTATATAGCAATATATTAACACTTACTTGGCTTGTTTTACAAATTCCTCTACAAACTTCTGGTAAATGGTGTTCTCTACAAATATTCTACTGGTACAAAGACAGATTTCTCCCTGATTTGCAAAACTTGAGCGGACTGTAGTAGCAACAGCTTTTTTGAAGTCACAGTCAGAAAATATCACAGCTGGGTTCTTCCCTCCTAACTGGAAATCAATATTCTGTATCAATGTATTATAACAAAATGCAAAGTGGCTCCTCATAATGACATTCAAGACACCGGTTGCAATTACAAAAGTGTAACCTTTGTTACATGTAACAATGGTGCTGAACGCTAATCAAATAGATAGTGACTGTTACACCATGTCACCATTTCTTAGTAAAATCATCTTTACAACTATCACATACCCTCCAATATAATAGCTTTGAAAAATAAACAAGAACTCTAAATTTTATATGTGTGCATATGAATTTAACAATTAGTTTTTTTCTGTATATATAAGGAAAATGAAATGCCTTATTTAATAATTTATTGATGATCCAATCACATTTGTTTCAGCCACAATTAAATATCTATTTTACTCTAAATACACTATAGCTTATAAAAAATGTGACCCGTAGCCAGCTTTTACCAAGGGGGTTTGCTTTTCAAATAGTGCCAGGGGGTTCGCAACTTCACATCTTAGTTTTTTTCTGTATATATAAGGAAAATGAAATGCCTTATTTAATAATTTATTGATGATCCAATCACATTTGTTTCAGCCACAATTAAATATCTATTTTACTCTAAATACACTATAGCTTATAAAAAATGTGACCCGTAGCCAGCTTTTACCAAGGGGGTTTGCTTTTCAAATAGTGCCAGGGGGTTCGCAACTTCACATCTTGGCCAATGAAATGCCTTATTTAATAATTTATTGATGATCCAATCACATTTATTTCAGCCATAATTAAATATCTCTTTTACTCTAAATACACTATAGCATATAAAAAATGTGACCTGTAGCCAGCTTTTACCAAGGGGGTTTGCTTTTTAAATAGTGCCAGGGGGTTCACAACTTCACATCTTGGCCAAAATCAATCAAAAAGTGCTCTGAAGGGTGAAAAACTGCATGATTTTGAAAGATTTTTTGTTCTCCAACGCCTCCCCCACCTGGCTACTGGCCTGAACTTTGAATAAATATTAGATGAGAGATGAAAGGTTGTACTTTCAGATTTCCTACCTCAAGGGAAAGTTTCTTACAGAATGGTGAGCTGGCTGATTGTATTCTCTCTGCAGTGAGTGTGCTTCCAGTGAATGAGATAAGATGTATGTCTGGGTGACATACAATGGCATCTCCTGTCACTGGACCAGTCCCATATGTGAAGTTGAGAACTCCATCAGGCAACCCTAGATAACAATGTGATTGGTACAAGTAGTGTTCTCCCAAGAATTTTTTCCTCGTTTACATTTTGAGAACGTAAAACATAGTACATGTATAATGCTAACAAAGAAAAATACCCTTGAGGGATTTTGATAACATGGGAATCAATGGGACAACTGAATTGTTGGCCTGAAAGTGTTCACTTTAGAGAGGTGTTTGCATGCAAAGAACTTATTTATGTGCAAAAACAAATTCAGAGCTTCTGACTAATATACTGTTCAACAAACCTGCTTCTTTGCATACTTTAGCAAACATCCATGAGGTGACAGAGGTCATCTCACTTGGTTTGGCTACCACTGTGTTCCCCCATGCAATAGCTGGGGCAATCTTGAAGGTAAGCAGGTAAAGAGGAAGGTTCCAGGGGCTGATCAACCCTGCAACACCACAAGCCTCCCTCGTTGTGTAGTTGACTATGCCTAGTTTATCTACTGTACTTGACCTGTGATAAAGTATCTAGATTTAGAATTCATTTCCTGTCGATTTTGGGTTATATCATTCATCTGATAATTGACTTATCATGATCATCATCAAGTATATACACAGAACTTTATTGTTCTGGTCACACTTGTCTCAACGACTCCAGATATCCTAAATTGTAAATCTTACCCAGATGAGCAAATAGGTTGTTATGCGCCATTTGCCCATTGCCTCTGTATCTAACCTTGTATTCGCGAATGCCTGTCAGCTACCGGATTAACCTAGCATTTTAAGACCAACTCATTTAAATATGAACGGAATAGTGGCATGTACTATCCATATTTAAATGAATTTCCAATAAAATAGTAGGTTAATCTGGTAGCCGACAGGCATTAGTTGTATTCGCAAATCAAGCTTAGTTTGCATACTCACTTTACTCAGTCAAGCTTGACTGGTATTTTTGTTTTCACTGAGAAACACTTACGTATTGACATCATGCAGGATTGTAGTTGCAAAGAATCTCATATTATGGACAGCTCTGGGAATATCAACTATGGTTGCTGTGGCGATTGTCTTGCCTTGGTCTTTGGACTCTGCAGCTGCAAACTCTGCCAGACGTGACTCGAGGATGTCAGCTATCTTGATCATAATTCTACATCTTTCCTTAGCTTCTGTGAGGGACCATCTAGAAAATTAGCAAATGATAATCCTCTGTTCTTAATGTCTTACAACAGTTCACTTAAAATTTAAATTCTTTTGATTGATGTTATACTTTACAAGGACCTTTTTCCTTTTATAGTACTAAATGTATGGGGCTACAAGTCAATACAAACAGTATAGAGGATATGTACTTAATACTGTACATGCAGTTAAAGTGTGCCAAACATTCAAAAAAAATTTAGCTTCTGATTTCTATCATGTCATGTCATAAAAAAGTTATAAACTTGGTTCCTGTATCATGTGCAACTTGTAAATATTTTGTAATATCTAATTGATCCCTATGATAAATATAGCTACACTAGTTTATCGTTCATCAAAGAAAATGTTTGTTGAATTTTTTACAACTGTTTAATCTTATAAAACCTACAAAGGGAATGCTCTTTTTGCAGCTTGAGCCGCTGCATCCACTTCTTCTTTGGAAGATTCTGGAATTTTTGCATAGACTTTCCCAGTTGATGGGTCATAGCTGTCGATGTGTTGTTTAGATGGCACAAAATCTCCATTAATAAAGTTCTGAATTGTAAGAAGTCCATTTGCATCAGGACAAGCCATCTTGTTTGTTTTCTCAGGAGAATCTGCAATATAACATACATGTTACTGTACATGTAAATAAATAAATGTATGTGATTGGTTTGCGTTTCTTATTTTTGACATTTGACCCAACAAATCTGAATGTAAATTCAACTAGCCTATATACATTATACATGTAGGTATAGAAATCATCCCTCACATTTATGGGGGCAGTTTGATTATGGTACTGACTGCTGTTTGATAGGACAGATAGCTTTTAAGTTATAACATATGTGTATAAGGAACTCAACAAATTCAAGAATACCACATTTGAAATGATGTTAAACAAGCCATATACAACCACATTACCACATTTACCTTTTGCCAAAGGGTCAGGGTTGTTGGAAGAAATATCAGGCTACAAAAGATCCATGTAGAATTTCATTTCTACATGGATACTGCGCATGCGTCCCGCAATGTGATTGGTCAGAAGGTGAAGCACGGATCATTTTACTAATTTTGCAGTGCTTACATTTGCAGTATTATCTTGCCATAAGATAACACTACAAATGATTGAGGTATGAAATATGCTTTTCTAGATCCTTTCGGGTGTTATCTCAGGCCTGTTTGACTGCCAAATCTCAAAAATCATGATAAAGATGTGTATTATCCATTTGACATCATCAACCTCCCAGAAATAGCTGTCTTCGCCCAGTCACAACCTCATAACAGACGTCCATCACAGGTTTGTGCCTGGCCGCTCTCAACTCCTAACTGTGCTAGAGGACTGGACCAGTTTACTCGACTCGGGTGAGACAATAGACGTCATCTATTTTGAGTTTTCCCAGGTGATTGACAGCATACCGCACAAAAGACTGATCGACAAACTAAGCAGTTACGGCTTCAAAGGTGACCTCTTGAAGTGGCTCACTGCATTCCTTACAAACAGAAGGCAACCAGTCAAAGTCAATGACTGTGTATCAGGCTGGACCAAAGTGATGAGTGACATCCTTCAGGGAACCAGCTTTGGACCACTGGCATTCATAATATACATCAACCACCTACCTGATCATGTGTTATCCACTGTCAAAATATTTGCAGACGACACCAAACTGTATAATGCAATTCTCAGAGAACCTGATATCCAGCAGCTTCAATCAGATATAGACGCACTTGTTGCGATGGTCCAACGATTGGCTGCTTAAGTTCAACACCAGTAAATGCAAGGTCCTACATCTAGGGAAAAACAACAACTGACACTACTCGAAAATCAAGTTCCACTACAAGAAGATACGGAAGAATGCGACCTTGGTGTTACAATAGATACTGAGCTGAAATTCCATGATCATGTCTCTAACTGCACCAACAAGGCCAACAAAATCCTAGGATCCATCAAGAGGACATTCTCCAATAAAGACCCAGACATCCTTCTCCCCCTTTCCAAGACTCTTGTCCGCCCCCACCTTGAATACTGTACTGTTGCTTGGAGCCCAAGATATAATATGGACATAAACAAAATATAGTAGATCCAAAGAAGAGCCACCAAAATGATAACCAATATGTCTGAACTGCCATACACTGAGAGGCTCAAACAGCTAAACCTCTTCTCGATGGACTACAGAAGGAACAAGGGAGACCTGATCCATGTATAGAAACTGATGAACTTCATTGACAACATAGATCACTCACAGTTTTTCACACTGAACCACAACACCACCAGAGGCTACAACAACCTGAAATTCTACAAGAACAGAACAAGTACTGCCCTAAGACAAGGATTCTTTAGCCAGCGTGTCATCAACGACTGGAACAACCTCCCAGAAATAGCTGTCTCTGACACTAGATGAATTCAAGGCAAATTAGGTTTGTTTGTCAAATACCAGTTCAGTCTAGTTTTGTCTAGTCATATAAATCCGACCGTTGTATGCTGTTCTTCGATATTCCTTGTTCCTATTTGGATATTTATTTTTTATCATTTTCTTAGCATATACGACCCTAGTATGCAAGAAAATAAGAAAAAATAAATATCCAAATCGGAAAAAATAACAACAAATAACATCATACGAGGGTCAGATTTATATGACTAAGTTTTGTCATGCTGTAACAACATTGTTAGGCTACAAAACAGCAACTTTGGGAAATAAAATAGATCTACCAAAGTAGCACGATTAATTGATCTATATTTGAAAGGGAGGAACACACAAGCACCCAGCCTTATACTCCTGAAACCGATGATAATGATGACTGAGACCTAATTACTGTCTATGTCAATTACGAAGCGAAAGATGCAGAATAACACATTCAGATCTTACCTTCAATCAAAAAGGAGTCAAGCTTGTTGTTGTACTCTGGTGGGCTGGACTGAGACCGATATTTGATTGGTTGAAAATGTTGTATGACCTTGAACATCCTCTTAAAATTTCCCGCGAAATTAGAGATAGGCTTCAAATATCACTCAATAGGGGTGGAAGCTTTTCATTTAATAACTTCACTCAGCTTAATTCGAAATAAAATAATGACGGATTAATCATGATCTTCCATTTTGAATAAGTGAAATACCGGTCAATTTCACATAACTCAAAACTCTGAATATAATGTGATCTTTTAATACGAAAACAATTTTATACCCCCTCATGGAGACGATTCTATTTTATGGAGCCGCCATTGCACATGTTGATTTGTTGACATCTGAAAAATCAACAAAATCAAGAAAATATGCCTAAAGTAAACACACTATTCTCTTACTTTAAGAAAGTGCCTACGCCGAGCAAAACAGAGAATATTTCTGGTGACAATAAATCGAATGTATTGAATGCAAAAAATAGTAATGATGACTTGATCAAAGAAAACAATCCTGTGCCTGCTGGAAAAACTCCAAAGGATGATGGTTCAGAAACCTCAGGTAGAATCAAAACACTTATTTTCGGAATAAGTTCATATGGTGATAATAACGAAATAATGAAATGTTACCGTGTGTCTACTTAGCAGTTTGTTCTATGTCATCCCTCCTGCTAGGTTACATCGACGACTTTTAGAGTACAGTGGGGGGCATAAAGAATTACAAAACCTATGGAAATTACATGTTGTCGCATATGTAATAAATTCTTACCTCAGTGTATTCAGTGCTCTATTTTCTCCGTCATAGTAAGTCCAGATATAGTGGAATTTGTGTCCATAATGACAAATTAGAACTTAAAAATTTGATGTGGAATTCACATGTTAATGCCGACTCTTCAAATGTTGAGGTGATTTTGGAGCCAGATTACGCCGCAATGTGGGTTGGGTCCCAGAATGCAACATGACACGTGTCAGCTTTCAAAATGCCATTCCGCCGTTTTGAAATACGCCACGAATAAATAAGGTTACTTGATGTTGCATTCTGGGAGTCAATCCTCCTTGGATCACAAACATGGCGATTCATGAAAACATTAGTCCGATTTGGTAGGGATTTATCCATCATTTGCAGGTATGAGGCTTTGGATTCATTTATTGTGCTACTTAAAGTGGATGGGAATTATTTTTCTACCACTTGGGAGAGTTTGAGACATGAAACTTAGAATTTAGCTCATTGTGACAACTTTTGAGGGTTGAGATTTATTTTTGTCCCCCACTTTAGATCATATTTATGGTATTGTTTTTCTGAATCGTGCCTCACTAAATTCAAAATTAACCCCGGAATAGCCTGACAACGGTAAAGTCAGATGCCGTTGTCACAAATTGCGGACAAAACCATCGCTTCAATTAGATTTTCATGAACTGTATGTTTAATAGAGCACCTGTACTCTAAAAAGTATGCTGTTCGATGATCAAAAAATCCATTTTCTGAAAAAGTTCATGTATTCCTTCTAAATCATTCAGCCTACTTATATTCGATTCAATCTCCTGTGATTAACTGGCAAAAGGTAGGTGGCGCTAGATAAGGCATCGGCCAAACTTATTATACATGCAGGGAATACTTAAGAATAAGGCCAAATGAGAGAATAAATAGATTTTCTTGATTGTCGAACACCAGGGTTTTTAGAGTATAGACTAAATTCCTTTGGAACAACAATCAATCAAAGTGTCTTAATACTCATTGTACAGTTAATGATGTTCTACCATCGAAATAAAGTCTTTAATTTAACCAATCAAAATGAGATATGGGACAACGGACACTGTTATTACCATGTGCCGTTGTCTTTCTAAATTACTCAAATTCAGATTCAGTTGTCATTGACGATATCGAAGAACCTATATTGTGGCGATGCACGACCCAATTTGATCGAAAATGGGATTTCATATGATAGATTATCACAAGAGCTTAATACATGCACAGAATTAGCGACGATAAAATCCCATGAAATCAGGACCAAGTGATTAAACAGTTGAAGTGACAGTTATGTCACGCTATTTGACTCCCGGGATTTGACTTTACCGTTGTCAGGCTATTCCTGTGTGAAATTGCTGCCTAGAGCGTGAATTTACTTTTATTAACTTTTGCACATGCATCACAAAATAGATAAATCTAATATATAAATCTAGCAAATGGAAAAAGTGAATCTGGTTTATATATTTATTCCAAAAAAACTGTATAAAAACTCAAAATAGGTTCTAATGCGTGTGAGCGAACATGTACCTGTATGCAATTTGGTTGTATATTATATGTTTGTAGGGAGGGAATATGGCTTTGTTTGAAAGATGGGATATGGGTGAAAAATATGGAATATGAGGGTTAAAATTATATCAATTAGAAATTAAGAAACAAAACCTGGAGTTTTAACATAATACAATGTTTGTAGTGAATGTTTATACGATTTAGGATATGAAAATTATATATGAAAATTATATGTAGATGTTATTCCCAGAAACAAATACTTAACTGATATCGGAGACAAAAAACAAAACAAAACAACAAAATTGTTTTATATGTCTCTGCTGATATGATACAGATTTATTTATATTCCAGAGTTCAAAGAGTGTGATATAGTATGGGGCAAGCTAGATGGCTACCCTTGGTGGCCAGCCCTTGTGTGCAAAAGTCCATCTGGTAAATACTACAAGCTTGGAAAGAAACCAGAGGTTCATTTGCAGTTCTTTGACGACCCAATCTCTCGGGCCTGGCTTAAAACAAGGTAAGGTATTTGCATTTTAAGTATAAGTTTACATTTAGAGCACTATTAAAAGGTTAATACCACATTTAGGGAACATAGCATCTTCTGTGATGTAAACTGCGTATGTTGTACACCTCTACTAAAACTGAAATTCATTAATTTCTGAAGGTAATAGGCAGATATAAAAAAGTATTTGATTTTGGATATGTGCTTTTCCATAACTGTATACTGTGATTGTAATAATTTTATATGTATTTAGTATTAAAAATATTTCTATTTAATTAAAATTAAAATGTAGTGATATGAATGTGTAGTGTAGAACTTAAAAATTTTAGACATACATGTTAAAAATTATCAAAATTCTTTTTTTAAAGATTTGTGGATAAATTTCTTGGATCAGATGACCATAGTTTCCAACGTGGAGGTAAATACCACACTTATGATGCTAAGTGTCAGAAGTTTGCTGCAGAGGCTGACAAAGCAATGTCCATGTCTCATGAAGATAGGATGATGCTTGTCATGGAGCTGGAATCCTCATCTGAGGAGGATGAACCAGTCCATTGTGAAAAGATGGATTTTAATGGTACGATTAAGTCTCATTGACTCATTTCTATACATAACTATACATAAATTGTACTGGGGATTGAGATAGGCATTTGGTTTACCCAAGCGTATAATTGTTTGAATTGTGTCTTTTTTACATGTTCATGTACTCTAATTAATCAATATAGGGTACAGTATTTCAGATTTGTTCTTAAATCACTTCACAATTGCTCTGCATACATACATAAACAAACATACAATCATATACATACAATCATGTACTTATTCCCGTTAATGTGTAAATTAATGTAGACCATAATTATGATTGGCTGATGTAGCGCACACATACTTTTTTAAGCTGACATATTTGATGATGAAGTAGGGGAAGAGGAGGAGGGAAACAATAGTAAGGAGAACCATCAGTTGGACTCCAGCTCTACATCTGATAAAGTGAAGGTAAGGAGGTAGATGATATAACTAGAGTATTTCTGCAGCAAAGCAATGATTCATTTTGGGGAAATGAATCAGTTTTGATTCTGTAAAAATATTGATTTTAGTATCTCATTATATTCAATATTTCATTTCGTGAAAATTGGGTGAATTTTTGCCTCATACAGTGAGCCTATGAGAGACTAGGAATTCATCCTTCAGTCTGTCCATTCATCGGTCCATCTATCTGTCAGTCCACACATCAATCAGTATTAGTGGAAATTGCTTTTAAGACTTTAGACTGCATGTAAATTATAAACTTGTAAATTCTATCCTTAGTGTCTATTTTACACTAATACCAATACCACCAATACCACCAATACCAAAGTCCTCCCAGCTTTTGAAAATTTTTGGAATTTCACTTACTTTATTTAAAGATATAAGACAGCTTGCCAAACAGATAGTCTACTGTGTGCCTTGAGTCCTTTATTCATAGTACAAAATATTAGTACAGTATGGTACATATGATTATGGGTGTAGATAAAAAAAAAAGAATGAATAATCCAATGAATTACAGTCTAGTTGTTGATATTTGGTTCTCTTCCTGTACTGTTGTTATATTAAAATGCTTTACATATTTATAGTCCCCCAAAAGTACACCAAAAAAGACACCAAAGAAAAAGAATGGTCGACCAATGAGGTCAACAGCTAAGAAACGAAAAGTTGTCATTGAGTCTGGGGATGAAGAATCAGGTATGTCCAAGTCTTCATGTCTATACTAATATATTCTTTGCATATGTTTGGCAATGTGTCCAAAATTACAGGGATTCAAGTCATGTTGTGTAAATAGTAATGATTGGAATTGAGGTATAGAAATAGTGATGCTCCATAAAGACTGGGAATGTACAAAGGTCAACATCTGAAAACAATGAAACAATAAATTATTAAACTGAACATTGGACTTTGAACTTGTAAAAAAGTTACTTTTATCACTGAGTCCAAGTTCTTCTTATTCCTTTAAATCACAGTGTTGGTGTGATCATTAGTACTATTATGCTGCCTATTGCCACTTGCTTCAGTTTTTCACTGGTTTCCAAGTCTGGTCAGGGAAATTTTATTGTTAGAAATCTGTAGCTTGAACTATGAATGCCCTCACTAATGTGGATAACATATATCCAGGTGATGAGTACAACCCTGATAAGACAGCTCCAGAAAGCTCAGATGATGAGAGCAGTGGTGTTGATGAAAACATCTCAGATATTGAGTCTCTTGATGAAGCTGAATCACCAGTGAAGGTAAATGTTTGTCAAAAATAATGTGACAAAACACAAGAAATGCAGTGGTCTAGATAATTAAATTTGTTTTTGATGATTTTCCTGTTTCTCAGGTAGTTTTTGTTCATAGATCATTTCCATATTTGCAAATCTTTAGATCCAAATCTTCGCCATATGCTAAAAAAGCTTTTGTGGCTTTTAAACTTATTGCTAAAAACCAACAAATTATTAAGGCCTCTGTGGTCATTTATTTCTCAAAGCAGGGCTTTATGTTGTTACAGTGATTTTAAGGTATGTTTGATATTAACAAGGGTACAGTCACTTTACATTTACAATTAGAGGTATACAGTAAGTTATCAAAATTGTTGAAAGTTTATCTCGTTATTGTTTGACTCTTCCCTCATATAACAAAATTTAAAAATCTGACTTAGTCTTCCGCTTATTGACATAAATATTCCAAAAAGCAGCACTCTCCCCCCTCCCACAATGAATTAAACTTTGTTCTTCCACAACTGTTCATCATCAGACACAAAATTAAAGTCTGAACTATTAAATTGGATATTTTTGGTAATGCTAACAAAAAGATGTTCTTATTTTCAGGAGAGTCGTAAGAGAAAGCGTGGAAAGGACAATGTGGCAAAGAATTCATCAGATGCTCCCCCTACTGCTTCAAAATCCCAAGCAGCTTTAGCCAGTTTTAGTGCAGAATCCAGTACACCAAGTACACCGAAGACCCCTGCTACACCTAGCATCGCAAAGACCCCAAGTACACCTAGTGTAATGAAGACACCAACAGTATGCCATGAAGCTACCAAGTCTAGACTCAGTGCATTTTCGGCCCCAGATTCTGTAAGAAAAATCTCAAATTTTCAAATTGTTGATATGATGAACTACAATTATAGATTTCTACAACCTATATTTAATTATCCCATCGAACGAAGTTCGGAGGGATATAGGGAACGCCTCCGTCCGTCCGTACGTATGTCCGTCTGTCCGTCCGGCAATAACTCAAATACCGTTGGCCCGATTTTGTTCATATTTTGTACACATATACCCTATGGAGGTAGAAGTTCTGTTCGAAAGCCGATTTTCAAAATGGCCGCTCATTTCAAAATGGCGGCCATTTTAGTGCCGATTTTACAGTAATTTAGGTGCAATATGTAAAACTGTAATAGCAATATGTTTTAAATGTAAAAAAATTATAAAGGACATTAATTAAGCTGCAAATGTAGATATTAAAAAAGCACATGGCAGCCATCTTGAAAAATGGCGGCGTTTACTCGTTATTTTACAATTTTTGCTGTAACTCGAAAAGTAGTGGAGCGATTTTGTTCATATTTGGTATGTGAATACTATAAACATTGCACACTGTCTAAAGACACTTTTGGTAGAAGGCGGTCATTTTGAAAAAAAATTTGAAAAATGGCCGCCATTAGAAGGTGGCCATTTTGGCCCCATTTTAACGTATTTCACTATAACTTGAAAAGTAGTTCAGCGATTTTGTTCATATATTTGGTACGTTTCATATTTTATATGTGAATACTATAAGCATGGCACACTGTCTAATGACACTTTGGGTAGTAGGCTGCCATTTTGAAAAATGGCCACCATTTTAACGTATTTTACTATAACTCGAAAAGTAGTGGAGCGATTTTGTTCATATTTGGTATGTGAATACTATAAGCATGGCACACAGTCCTGTGACACTTTTGGTAGAAGGTGGCCATTTTGAAAAAAAATTTGAAAAATGGCCGCCATTAGAAGGTGGCCATTTTGGCCCCATTTTAACGTATTTCACTATAACTTGAAAAGTAGTTCAGCGATTTTAAAAAATGGCTTTCATTTTCACATTTTTTACTATAACTCGAAAAGTAGTGGAGCGATTTTGTTCATATTTGATATGTGAATACTCTTAGCATGGCACATTGTCTAATAAAACTTTGGGGAGTAGTCAGCCATTTTGAAAAATGGCCACCATTTTTATGCGTGTTATTTTACAAGTACATGTGTGCAATTTTTCAAAAATTTTATAGGTGGCTACTTAAAAGCATATTATTTCTTCTGATGACAACTTGGCTAGTGAGCAACCATTTTGAAAATGGTGGCCTTTCTGGTGTGTTGTTTTATGATATTTGCTATATATTTCGTTTTTAAAAATGCCAGCCATTTCTGTTCGATGGGATTCGCTACGCTTTGGCGTTGCCGTTGTTCTTTTTCCTGCAATAATTTGGTGTTCATGAAATGCCAATGAAATATGCTAATGTTAAGTTGAGCTATGTAATGTTAATGAAATATGCTAATGTTAAGTTGAGATGATCAAAGTAGGGAAAAGTGGTAATACTATAGATTTTTTCTCTAGGTGTCTAGTCCAAGCAGACCTGGGGTAGAAGAGCAAGTATATACACATTTCACTCTTGACTTCCTCAAGCCAGACAAGATCAAGTAAGTGAAACTGGTCACACAGCATAGATTGCCACTACAGCTATCTACCAGTTTATAAAGCTAAATGTTCTTTTAAACCCAGAGTGAACATGCTAATGTGTCACTCTTATCATTAACTACAATTGCATTATGACAAGTTACATGAAGAAATAAAACTGATTATAAAAAATAGAAAAATAAAACAGTTGTTAGATACATTCAGCTGATGGAGGATTTCAAATTATCTATTGCATAAAATGTATCCTTTTAATTGGATCATTTTTCCTAAATATATCATTTATGGACTTGGGTTAAAAATCCTGTTGAAATTTCGAGACACTACCAATGCATCCAAAGAAAATGCCTCGAGAATTTCATGTCAGTTTGCTTCTATTGCTGTGAATATGCTATGTAATGTTGATTCATATGTTACAGGGATGCTGAAAAGAGACTTAAAAGCCACCCCGATTATGACCCCAGAACTTTGCATATACCAGAGAGATTCCTCAATGATTGCACACCAGTGAGTTAATGGGGTTTTCTAAAGACACATGACAAAGGTTCAGGGGCTAGGTATTGATCTAAGGGGGAGGTAGCATGTAGAAGATATATCATTGTTGTGAAAATGCAGACCCATTCTGACTTCACAAATAGGGATTATGATAAAGTTTAATTATCCAAAACCAGGCTATGTATGATGTATCCTTATTTACAAGGAGCATGACTCGCCAAGATAGATAGATAGATAGATAACTGTATTATGTTAAAAGGCACGTACAATCCACTTGAAACCACAAATGGAACACCTTGTAAGTGGAACACTTTTTGGCAGAACAAAGGGTGTTCCACCTACACAGGTTTGACTGTACAATACACATTTTGGGCATTGGGTTATTGGTGATTTGCATTACTCTGTATATATGTGTACTTTTGTGTAGGGCCACAGACAATGGTGGGACATCAAGGCAAAGCTCTTTGACACGGTGCTGTTCTTTAAAGTGGGCAAATTCTACGAGCTCTACCACATGGATGCTGTTACTGGAGTCAATGAACTTGGCCTTATCTACATGAAGGTAAGATTTAATTTGATTCATATACTGCATTATACATAGGTCTACATAATACATGGAGTAGAACGTAATGGTCTGGATTGTTATTTTTCTATAAGCTATTACTTTCCCCTCAATTTTCTAATATCTTGTGCACCACGAGTAAACTTTTATAACAACTCAACTGATTTCATTCATGAAACAAAATATTAAAGATTTTCAGCCTACAATATAATTTTGATATTCAAAGGGCAAATGCTGTCATTTCTTGTTTTAAGGGGTAGGGACCATAGATCATTTCGTAGGTTTCACCATTGCTTTGTTGTGATATCGCAGATTTAAAGGTTTCATTAAAAAAACGAGGGGGCTTAAGTTATAAATAAGATAACTTTGTTTGATGGACATTGATACTACTTTGACTTGACCCTTTAAGAATGTTCACTAAATCTTAATCTTTAGGGAGCATATGCCCATTCTGGGTTTCCTGAGATTGCTTATGGTCGCTACTCTGAGACATTGGTTCAAAAAGGGTACAAAGTCGCCAGGGTGGAACAGACGGAGAATCCAGATATGATGAATGAACGCTGCAAAAATAGTGAGTGTCTGAGATCAATAAGTTAATCATGCAAGTTCTAGGTGGCATTCATACAGTTCGGCACAGAAATATGATCGTTGTTGATGTTCAGAAATGTTGTTTTAAATTTTGAAAAGTATTCTTTGCAAATATGTACACCTCATATATTCCAAATTGTTAATACATTGTACAACTTGTATTCGGATCATCATTACTTTATCTAACTGTAGGTACTCGAAAAATTACAAAGTTTGACAAGGTTGTAAAAAGAGAGGTTTGTGCGGTAACTACACCAGGCACTAAGACATACAGCTTCCTTGATGGGGATGCCTCTAATGCTGACAATGCCTATCTCATGGCTATTTGTGAAAAGGTATCAGAATATTTCTTGTTAAGTTACAAAAACCCATGTTATACTGTAACACAGTTGAGAACTAGGACTTTTTGGGGTTTTGGTTGATTTCTAGTATATCATTATTTAAAGTGTTGCTTAACTATTACATATGTTCATTTATGCAGACTTCTAGAATTTATTAACTCTATAAAAATGGTACTTCTGCCCATTTCATGAATATGAAAATACTTAATGATTCTTTTATCTAATTTGTATTTTTTTGTATTTTGTAGACACAGAGTGGGCTTGCTGGAGAGACCAGTGTGTTTGGAGTATGTTTTGTGGATACAACTGTGGGTAGGTTCCATGTTGGACAGTTTGAGGATGACAGACATTGCTCCAGACTGAGGACCATCCTGGCACATCACACACCAACAGAGGTACAATAATGTACTTCTGCACAATATACTACATGTATCAGGCCCATAGCCAACTTTTTCCAAGGGGGTTCACTTTTTGAAAAAATCCTGAGGAAGGATTTCACATTTGACCATTTTTACCTGAAAATGACTTGAAAAGTGATTAGATTGGTGAAAACTGCATGTAGTTGGAAGAATTTTTGGCTGGGGGGGGGGCGGTCGCTTGCACCTCATCCCTCTCCCCTGGCTACGGGCCTGTGTATACCTGTAGTACCTGCACATGTATGCATACACTACTAAGCTTGTCAATGTGGTCATTGCACTTATTTCTCTCTGTCATCACTAACAACTATTGACTCATTCCACTCTATTTGCTATTAACACATTTAGATTGTCAACTGTTCTTCATTGCAGCACTCCTCAAATGGCAGTGGTCATGTGATCAAAATCGCTCATCTATACCAAATGTAAATTTCACCAATTTAGATTTAAGTGACCTAGTGTAGGCCATGAACAATGTATATGATCTTATTAATGTGATTCTGGTAACATGTGCAAAGATGTGTTTTTGATTACAGTAGTTGCAGATAGACTAAATGCTGTACTAAAGGTGTATGCATGTTTATTATAGTTGCTGATCGAGAGAGGAGAGGTGTCAAGTAAGGTCCAACAGGTGTTTAACAGTTGTCTCACAGGTGTACCCAGGGAGACATTGAATTCAAACTCACAATTTTGGGATTCTACTAAGACATTGAAATATCTCAGTGAGGGGGAATTCTTCAAGGATGACAAAACTAGGGAGTTTTCATGGCCAGAAACTCTCAAGAATATGATCTCAGAAGGTAAAACTTATTTTCTTTAATTTATGATCTCAGAAGGTAAAACTAATCTTCTTTAGCTAATGGTGAGGTCAGTGTACATGTTTTAGTACAGGGTGTCCCAAAAGTGAAAGGATTGCAATTTATCACCCTGTATGTACAGGGTGGGCCAAAAAAACGCCACTTTTTTTTCAAGACACTATAACTTTTTTATTTTCCAACCTACATACCCCAAATTTTGCAGTTATATAGTGCCAAGGGTTCTTAGTAATAATATAATGTAACGAGTCCTTCAAATGGGATTATATTTGATCTAAAAAGAGGAGTTCAATTGGTCCGCCACCCCATTTGATGATAGATTTTAGTTTTAGTCGCCTCGCTGATATAGCAGTATCAATGAAATGTTAGCTATATTATTTTCAATGTGTCTTAATTGCCAGCTTTAGTTAAGCAATTTTTTAGATCGGGTGCCTTCATACCATCTCCTGGAGACCTCCCCATGCCCTATACTCACTTGGGTTTGAATTAAGGCTATTAGCTTGTGGTCATCAGGGCGTATCAGTTTAGGAACATTATGCAAATTATGCTTATTTCTCATGGCACACCACATGTTTAAGTGAGACGCTGGTGACATATCTCATTCAAGTAAAAGTGTATAATTCATGACCAATGGCTAGATAACAACCTCAAGTTTCATTTGGTATGTGAATTATGATTTTGTATCAAAAATTAAAAAAGTTAAAGCATTTTGAAAAAAAAAGTGGCGTTTTTTTGGCCCACCCTGTATATATTATAATTCTTGATTTTTTTTTCAGCTGACTCTCTTGGGCAAACTGCTTCTGCTGAATATGACCTTGCAATACGCAGTCTTGGTGCAATCACTTGGTAAGAGGAACATTTATATTTATGGTCATTTCTTCTGGTTTGTGAATAAACATAGAAATAATTAATATAACACTACATGTACAAGTTTTTTCTTTCTTGTTGATTATTTTAACTGCGGTTCAGAATTTGGTATAATTCAGATTCAAGGGATTTAAAAATAAATGTAGTTAGTTGGACAGTTCTAACTAGTAAGGTACAATAAAAGCTTTAAAGCAAAGCATGTTCAAACTTTTATTGAGGGCCTTACAAATGATATTTTAAAGTGGACTTTTATGTGTTCTAGGTATCTCCAGCATTGTCTCATGGACCATGCTGTGCTCTCCATGAAGAACTTTACACAATATATACCAGTGGATAGTGGGCCTAATGCAGTGAGCAAGCCTGTAGAGAAAAAGAAATTCACAAACAAACAAAAAATGGTATGTATGTCAGGAATCTGTTTCCATGTTAAAGTCTATAATAAACCATTGAATTATGTCACACTATCATTTTCATGGAAGAAAAATAAAAGTTGAATATTCATGCTCTGTATTGTACATAAGTTCAAATGAAAGTACCATGGGGTTTGTAGATTCAAGTGGAATAGTTGTTGGTAAAGAGTGTATATTTAAAAAGACAAGTACAGTGTAGGTTATTGCTTGATTCTATTGCGATCTGGCTGCTGGGTACTAAACTCACTGGGTATTAAACTCACTAAAAACTAAATAAAAAATAAATTTGTTTCAGGTGCTTGATGGTATTACCCTTAGTAATCTGGATGTTATGGACACAAGAGGCAACCAAGAGGGGACTCTACTTCAGAGGCTGGACCATTGCGTTACACCATTTGGTTAGAATCACCTTAAAGTTTATTGATTAGAAAAGGAAATTAAGTTTAGTGCAGTGCTTGACCATTGCTTGGAGAACTTCTCCTCCAATGACGTAACATTCTTTCTCTGTTTTCATTTCATATGAAGGAAATGACATGTGTTAGTTATAAATGTCAGTTTTACAAGTACTCTGAACTGCTACCATGCGACACACAAACAAATGAGCCTCGCCATAGGAAAACCGGTCTTATCACAAAAATTTAAATTGTGCTACAGAGTCAAAAATGTGCCCAAGATTAAGAGGAAAATGTGCAAAATTCAAACAGTCTTTTTGGTCTATACCTGCAAGGAAAAATTGTTAAGACACAAGCCATGGCTCATTTGAAAGGTCTCTTTGTGCTTTTTAAGAAAAACAAAAAATCAAAACATTGAAAAAATCTGTGATAAAACCCCTTTTCCCGTGGCCTGGCTCAAATAATGGTTCTCAAAAGACGGGATTTCTAAATATTTGGATTGCTGTAAATCAGAAAAAATTTGATTTATTGCATTTTTCAAATTAATTATTCAATTTAGAAATCAATTCCCCAGTTGGTTATTAAATTTATTTAATCATAGTAATGATGATCATTTTAGGCAAGAGGCTGTTCCAGCAATGGCTATGTGCCCCCCTGTGTAACCCGGAAGGGATTAATGATAGACTGGATGCAGTAGAAGATTTATGGGGTGTCTCAGATGTGACAGCTGATGTCACAGACAGCCTTAAGAAACTGCCTGATCTGGAGCGATTACTCAGCAAGTAAGATGCCACATTGACCTTGTGTGTTTGAGATACAGGGTGTCTCAAAATTGTACTTGGGACTAAAAAATTCTATGAATTTTTGACTGTTAATCGGAGAAAATGAATTCTCTTTATCATGTGCGAAGTTCAGCTTTTTTCGATGAGTTAATCCTCTTGCATCTGTTTCATTTGAGTACAATTTTTTGGGACACCCGGTACATATTTTGTGTTTCATTAATGTTGAATTAATAATTGGGCTCCCTTTGATAATGTAGTTGATAATAATGATGTAAGCTCAAGCAACATCTAGAATAGGAACAACTGCCTAAATTCTTTCAAAATTGGCTTTAGGCTTCTTAAACTCTGTATTGGCCTGTCTGTATAATATACATATAAATGTTGCTCTATGTGCCCTAGGATCCATACACTGGGTTCCCTCAAGCGTTCCAAAGACCATCCAGATGCCAGGGCCATCATGTATGAAGATGTCACTTACAGGTATATGTTATTCTCGTCACTACCCTTTGTACATTAAACTATAACTACATGTATGAGAAACATCTAATCATCGTGTTAGAGTACTGTAATTTTCACACATCAATGTTTGATATTTATGGAACATTTAAAGATCTTAAATCCTGTTACTTTTATTTTGTTCCAGCAAGCGTAAGATTGAGGATTTTGTGTCTGCATTAACTGGCTTCAAGGTGGCTTGTGATATTATGGAGAAATTTAAGAGTCACAACACATCATTTAAGTAAGTTGCCCTCTTGAATGCTTCAACCTTTTGTAATGAAAAGTGATTACTTTGGTAAATGGTTGTTACCATAGTGATTGATCAATCAGAAACTGGAAAACATGCATGTATGATTAACACTCATAATTAAAAATCATAAAACATTACAGATAGCCTTCCTATAATTGATGGAAAAATAGGAAATGAATTCCTTTGAAAAAATCCCTCATACAAATCTTAGGTTGAATAGACAATTTAGGATTTCAGTTTCTAAGTAAAAATACATGTACTATTAAAAAGACATTCATTCTACACTTCTGTTGTTTTCATTTTTCCTCTATATTCCCATGTGTCATGTGTTCTTAAATCTATGCCATATGTCATGTGTTTTTAGATCAAAGCTTTTGCAACAAACTGTTAGTTTTGCCAGTGATGACTCTGTGCCACTTGGAAGATTCCCTGACCTTAGGAAGGATCTAGCTGCAACAGATGTAAGACATATATCGATTAATACTCAGTAGTGTGAAGAATTGTCAAAATACTAAATGTTTAAAGGTTTATTCAGCTGCTATGATATAAATCAAGATTTAAGTCTTATAATTTTGTAAAAAAACCTTTATATTTCATTTATTTTCATTGAAATAAAGATTTGATAATATTTTGAAATGGTTACACATGTATTGACTAAGTACTCCTGAAAATGATAATAAATAAGGTATAAATAGATGTACTTTGATTTTTTGATTGAATGATTTTTAGCGTGCATTTGACCATACCAAGGCCAAACAGAGCGGGGTCATAAAGCCCTTACCAGGGTGCAACCCTGACTATGACCAGGCCATTGAGCACATTAATAGCATAGAAGAGGAGCTGGATGACTATCTCAAGCAACAAAGAAAACGTTTGAAATGTAATGTAAGTACTTTTAAACATTATATGTATTTTCTTGAAGTTTTAAAAACTTGACTTTTATTCTGTTCCATTAAGTTCATGAAAATAGTTTTTGACCAAAAGCAAATGTTTGCACAAATTACTATTCGTACAATAACGTCATTTCTAAGGGCAATATAGTGAAATATTGGACCGAGAGCCGAAGGCCCAAGGTCCAATATTTCACTATATTGCTCGCAGAAATGACGTTATTAGTATTATTACCACCGTTAACGACCAGGACTGAAACAGCAAGAAAAGCTTACGCATTGAACGATATCTAATTTCCCGGGGAAAATTGCCGGTCCAGAATATATTCTAGACCGGGCCATATGGACCACCACTATGACGTCACACATTTCTTAGGTCGATATAGTCAAATGAACGCCTTCTAAACTAGCAATAAAACCCCTAGAACTGGCCTGGCAAGGTGGTACTAATTTGACATCTTATGATAGAATCAAACTTCTTAATATGAAGATGATTTATGCAAGGTGTATCATTCATCGATTCAACCTTTTAATCAAAGTACTGTCATTTTATCTCTTTAATTTACAACAAACATGTTTTCTCAATAGACACTTGTGTACTGGGGCAAAGGCAAGAATCGCTGTCAGATTGAGGTCCCAGACAGCCTGCGTGATCGTGTCCCAGATGATTTCGAACTCCAGTCACAGAAGAAGGGATGTCGACGTTACCGAACCACAGAGATAGAAGATCTTCTAAAACAACTAGAGAGGACGGAGTTAGATAAGGAGAGAGCCCTCACAGACACTATGAGACTGCTCTTCTGGCACTTTGACAAAAAGTAAGTTGAGTTATTTGATTGATCCACCTTTAAAAGTACATGTACTTGCTTTACTGTATTGCCCAAGAATATCTACAGTATGCACTGTATGATACTGCAAGTACATGCAACACTATTAAGTGTATGTTTTTGCACCTGTCACGATATCTAAAGTCTGAACAAAACAATGCTGTCTGTTGACATCTCAATGAGTATTTAACTATTTACAGCAAAAGTGATGAGGTAAAAAGTTCAGCCTCATTCATGTATGATTCTCACTCATTCACCATTAAAGACATTCTCCTTTATCATGTCCAGGTACAAAGACTGGGAGGCTGCGGTGCAATGTCTCGCCACCCTTGATGTCCTACTCAATATCTCCCGCTACAGCCAGTCAGCAGATGGTGCTATGTGTCGGCCAGAGCTCATCCTCCCTGATGATGCCACAACCTCATTCTTGGAGATTCGTGACGCCAGACATCCCTGTGTCTCAAGAACATTCTCTGGCGGAGATTATATCCCTAATGATACAGTGATTGGAATCAGAGATGTATGCACTATAAATTTATTTTATTTTTTATTGACCAAATAAGGCATAGTAATTTCTAAATTCTCTTATTTTGACCAGATCTAATCAATCTTAATGGTTATAAGCAACATTATGTTGTAGGAAAATGCTATGAAGACTGAAGGTGAAGATCAATCTCATAGCAGTGTTGTCATAGTAACTGGACCAAATATGGGTGGAAAGTCGACATTGATGCGTCAAGTTGGCCTCGTTGTCATTATGGCTCAGCTGGTGAGGCAATCAGTATTTTCTAACATTCAAATTCATTTGCTCTAACTTTATTCGTTTTTACATCTATTTTATCTATATCAAGAATTTTATCTTTTTCCATTAGTGTTCCCTTTTTGAAGAGAAATACAGAAAAATGGACTAAGTTATCATTGATTAGTGTTGAAAGCTGCATTATTATCCCATCGAACGAAGTTCGGAGGGATATAGGGAACGCCTCCGTCCGTCCGTCCGTATGTACATCCGTACCTACGTCCGTCTGTCCGTCCGTCCGTCCGTCCGTCCGAGCAATAACTCAAATACCGTTGGCCCGATTTTGTACACATATACCCTATGAGGGTAGAAGTTCTGCTCGAAAGCCAATTTTCAAAATGGCCGCTCATTTAAAAATGGCGGCCATTTTAGTGCTGATTTTACAGTAATTTAGGTTCTGCATATAAAACTGTAATAGCAATATGTTTTAAATGCAAAAAAGTTATATAGAACATTGTTTAAGCTAGAAATGTAAATATAGAAGAAATACATGGCAGCCATCTTGAAAAATGGCTGCCTTCGCACGTCATTTTACGATTTTTGCTGTAACTGGAAAAGTAGTGGAGCGATTTTGTTCATATTTGGTATGTGAATACTTTAAGCATGGCACAATGTCTAATAAAATTTGGGTAGTATGCGGCCATTTTGAAAAATGGCCGCCATTTTTACGTGTGTTTAACATTTTTTACTGTACTCAAAAAGAAGTGTAGCGATTTTGTTCATATTTTGTATGTGAATACTTTAAGCATGGCACAATGTCTAATGACATTTTGGGTAGTAGGCGGCCATTTTAAAAAAATGGCTGTCATTTTTCATTTTTTATTATAACTCGAAAAGTATTGGAGCAATTTTGTTCATATTTGATTTGTGAATACTTTAAGCATGGCACGTTGTCTAATAAAACTTTGGGGAGTAGTCGGCAATTTTGAAAAATGGCCACCATTTTTATGTGTGTTAATTTACATTTTTTATGATAACTCAAGAAGTTATAGAGCGATTTTGTTTATATTTGAAATGTGAATACTCGTAAGGATTGCATACTGTCTTATGACATTTTGGGTAGAAGGCGGCCATTTTATAAAAATGGCCACCATTTACATGTACGTGTGTGCGATTTTTAAAAATTTCATATGTGGCTACTTAAAAGCATATTACTTCTTCTGATGACAACTTGGCTAGTGAGCAACCATTTTGAAAATGGTGGCCTTTCTTATGTGTGTTATTTTATGATATTTGCTATATATTTTGTTTGTAAAAATGCCAGCCATTTCTGTTCGATGGGATTCGCTACGCTTTGGCGTTGCCGTTGTTCTGGTTCTAAGTTAAAATATTCTGATAAATTATGTTGTAGGGATGCTATGTGCCTGCTGAGAAGTGTAAGCTGACCCCTGTAGATCGAGTGTTCACGCGCCTGGGTGCCAGTGATCGGATTATGTCAGGTAAGTACATTTTATTTAGTGTACTCTTCACACATTACTTGAATTTATGGGATTTTTAAACAAATGAACAGTTCATATCAAATTATCATTTTACCAGGACCTGCTATTTTTACTGTTCTGCATTATCAAAGTGTACTACAAAAACCAGTCCAGTTACCAGTCCAGTTCACTCTTGACCTACGAAAGCTGTCGTTTCTTGGTCTGCTTTGCAACATGCAACAGCTGACGTTGACAAAGGACATCTTTCTGTTTAGAGCAAATTTGCTTTACGGCGGAAATCACCGGCAGGCAGGATTTGTCGCCGACATTTCAAACATTCTGAAAACCTACGAATTGGAACAATACCTGATTCAATATCTAGATAACGGTTATTTTCCAAATAATATCTTGTGGAAACGCATTTGCAAATATGTAGTCAGACAACGCTTCCTAGTTCAAAGTGAATCTCAACGCAATGACATCAGAATTTCCATTTCTGTTTTGAGAGCCCATAATCTTTGGAACTTAGCCAGAAAACGGAATTATCTACTTCCGTATATTCTCACAGCAGTCAAAGTTTTAGCCATGCCCGTCAATGACTCCAACCTTCTTTGCAATAGATGTGGCAATTTCTATAAGGATGCCATAAATCACATGCTAATCGACTGTAATAAGTACAATCACATGAGGAATAAACTCATTATTGACGTTGCGTCCTGCCTCGGAGTCATTTGAGATACATAACTTAGAGCTCATCCTGAGATACATTCATATAGTGATATCAGACTCAGGGATTAGTCTCGTACCCTTATTTGCATAAACTTGCAGAAGATCTAGACCTTGTAATCTGAAATTTTTATATTACTTTTAAAGATTGTAAATATGTTGTGACCTTGTTTATGTTTTATGTTTATTGTATTAATCTAACAATGTAATTAGTTTATATGAAATCCGATTTGAAATCGGGAATAAAAGATACATACATACATTGTTTAAATGTCTTGTATTTGTATTGAACTTAAACTTATGCTTTGCAGGTGAAAGTACATTTTTCGTGGAACTGAGTGAAACATCGGCCATCCTGCAGCATGTAACTCCACATAGCCTGGTTCTGATGGATGAACTTGGTCGAGGCACAGCAACATATGATGGTACAGCAATAGCATGTGCAGTGGTGCAGGAACTTTCTCAGAATGTTAAATGTCGCACATTGTTCAGCACCCACTACCACTCTCTGGTGGAGGAGTTCTCACATGACCCCAATGTCAGGACAGGGCACATGGTAAGTTGAAACAATTTCTTCATCTTTTACACCGGTAGTGATGAGCATGGTGACAGGACATGGGGTTTTAGTGTGAGCTATACATGGACAGGTTCATTAACATTTAAAAAAAAATCAATACTGCTCTTGTAATGTGTATATTTAATGAACATGAAGTCTGTTTTCCAGGCGTGTATGGTGGAGAATGAAGATGAGAATGACCCAAGTCAGGAGACCATCACCTTCCTCTACAAGTTTATAGGTGGCGCTTGTCCTAAGAGTTATGGCTTTAATGCAGCCAGACTGGCAGATCTACCCAATGAGGTAAAGTTCGAATCACAAATGAATTTTGGCTTTAAAATGATCAATGCAATGATGTTATGGATGCCCAAAAGTAAATTGCTTATAGCTTTACAATTTCTTATGCTGATGGGCATCTGGAAATCTGGGCAAGTCACGATAAATCTTGTTTTTCATTTGTTCAAAGTGTAAGAAAATATTGAACATGAATTTAATCAAAGAATCCCCATTTAATTGTTGTTTTATTTTTTCAGATTATTCTACGAGGACAAAAGAAAGCTATTGAATTTGAAGAAAGCATAGAGAAGTTAAAATTGTTCAGGTTAGTTGGTCAATGTATCAAACAATATTAGCCTTCAAAAATGACCAATGATAATAATGATAACCAATAGCTAATCAACCACCCTTTGATTCTAGCCTCTGTTGAATTTTAGCACAATTTTATTGAGTTTAGATTTCAAATGTATTGACTTAAAGGAATGATTAAACAATTTGTTTTTTGCATTTTAGGTCTATTGTGAACCTTACAAAAGATTCGCTAGGTACCTTGCAAAAGCTCCAAACATCTATACCAATAATAACACAAACATAGAGGATACTCTACATAAAACCATAGGAGCAGTATTGTGGATATTGTAAACAAAGCTTACATACTTGTCTAACAATGTATTGTATACAACTATGGCAACATGATAGTCGATAGTCTATAGGAACGCTACAGTAGATATTCTACAAAAAATATATATATCATGCAGTTGATTTAGTTTGTAAATATCAGTCTATTATAGCCTTATCCTAGGGGCTGTCACTTATGCTAAATCTGGATATTGCCGACAAGGCAGAATTGCCAATCTTGAGACTGCAATTATATTAAGGATGTTATTTTAATCATGTCTGGAAGATACATAGTTCTATAGATCATGTATGAAATATTGGACATGCGCAAATGCAGTTGTCATTTGCTTTAACAAGTGTTTGTTATGTTATGATTAAAGGAAGAATTGTAAACTCACCACCATTTCAAGTGTTCAGCTTTTAACATTTAGATAAAATATACAACTATTTTTTATAGGAAATTGATTAAAATAGTTTTGTTAGTATTTGTAGACACTTTGATTTGAAAAATTGAATTATGTGTAAGAAAATCAAGGCATGGTCATGATCTAAAAACTTAAAAAGTTTTTGAAAGCTATTTTGAAAATAACTGACAAGTACACACAAGATACCAGAATTGTTTTGCTATATACAGAGTGGCTCAATTAAAAAGGTACAAGTACAAAAAGGTCAATATTTTTGTAATTTTGCCATTTACCCAAAAAAATTTTAAGTTATTTAATGATTTGAAGTGCAATACAGGATATATTCTGCTCGAGAAATTCTGTTTTGGAACGAGACAAAGTTGACTGCCAATACAGAATATCGAGACCAGAATATATCTGTATTGCACTTTAAATCATTCTTTAACGTTTTTATCATGTGATCTTAGGCCAATACATTTTACTAAGAAGATTATCCCTAGGAAATATTCTGTGTTCTCTATTGCTACTGAGATTGTCCTCTCTGTACCAATAGTTTCTGTATTGCTACTGAGATGATCAATGGGGACAATCTCATAGTAATACTGATTGGTACAGCACAAGGACTGACCAATCAGAGGGCTTCATTTTACAGGTCATACAATAAACCTGAGTACTTAAAGAGCAAGCTCCCTTGGTTAATTTCACTGTTCAGTATCAAGCAAAGGTAACCTCAGGACAATTGCACACCTCAAAAGTGAGATCATCTGTGTCATTCAGGCCATACCTGCCGAGGAATGCATTCGGGTCTTTGACAAATGAACAGGTTTGCCAACAGTATGATGATGGCCAAACCTGAAGCATGTTGTTCAAAGTGCTGAAACATTGTGACAATCAGTCTGATGGTCATGAGATATGGTAGGGTGGCAGAAAATTGAATGATGTATAAATGTGTCAAATATGAGGGAGTAATCTTTTTAACTCACAAAAGTTTTTTACAACCCTGTATTATACACCTGTAGTAAAAAGCCAGATATTCCAAGCAGAGTATATCATTTTCGATTAAACAACAATAATCTTAACATTTTTATATCATTCATTTATTTTTTAAATAGACTATTAATTATCAATAATATATACATTTACATAAGGTGAATTTGACTGAGCTTCCATCTATTTTAATAGACTTCATTTCAATGCTCAATATTCTATTAAAATTCATATTTTCACCCTACATTCATCTTCACTGAGAATTTCTGAGGTTTCATAGTGACATGAACATTCTAAAATGAAGGTAACAAGGATTCATTGTACAGTGTTCATACTAAATTGCAATTAATACATGATTGGTAATGCTGAATTCCTGATTAGGATTTCAAGCATTAAACACACACTAAAATTACTTTATTGAAACCTTTGATCCAATCACTGATTAAAAGGTTAACATGCATTACATGCATACTATGCTTACAGTCATAGCTAAAAGATTATAAAATGCAAAAATCTCAATATTAGGATTTGTGAAACAATCTATAGTAAAGTAAGACAGAGCTTCATAAAAACAAATGTAAGAAAATACATGATAAATGCATGTCAGATAGGAGTAGAACTTCAGAATATATGGCATGTGTAAGGAAATACAATTTCTTGATGCATACTGCTTTCAATTGTGAGCGCCCCTTATGGGAACAGAACTTTGTTCTGTAAAGGCTCACAAGCGAAGATTTTCACATTGTATAAACACAATAGGCTATAAAGCTTCAGGACACTATATTGAACACGGATGTGTCTCAGTTCTTAGGGTCTCAAAATCCTTAATGCTCAGGATCTGTTTCTCATACTCCACAATCTACAATCTGTTTTGGGAAAAATGATATTCATCTTTTATTTGCCGATCATAACACCCAACAAAAAAGCTAATATGACTAAAACACACATTTTACACTCGTACATGCATATGCATGAGTGCACATATCTTCATAATACAAAGGACATATCTGTTACAAAGCCCACTGCAATTTGGGGCTTCAAAACAATTCTAAAATTCATATGTGGAAAAAGTGATTTGTGGTAACAACAGAGATTAGACTAAGATATACAAAAATTACAATGAACACAAAGCTGCATGGGGATAACATGCATTGTCTAAGATTGTATGACAACAAACAAACACATCAAGGTAATCATAATTCTATGTATCAATGTTATCAATTGAGTCAATAGTTAATGTTTAATCGATTAAATTTCTCTCCAAATATGGACATTCAAAAACAATCATGAATATCACATTCATTATTTGCTAGAATCGTAGATGTTTAAAAAACCTAAACCAAGTGAAAAAATAAGTGAAACTGTAATCTAGGGGTATGTAAGAAAATATTTGAAATGCTCTAAAACAACATATCTAACTCTGAATACCATGATTGACAATCAATTATCAAGTAATACTTGTTTCAGCAAGAGATCAATTCGTTAAAAAAGCAGTAGTTATGACCAAAAAATATATTATGCAGATCCCACAATGATTTCTCAAATGAGTTAAACTTTGTGTTTTGGAACTGAGTAAAAATTCTTTCCTAAGTAATACACAAACAAATATGCAAAGTGGTACGAAATTCTAATTTTTGGACTCCAGTTGAGTGCAATAAAATTTTATAAAATACTCAACTGCGTACAGCACTCAATTCTGTTTATAAGCACTCAATTCAGCTTATAAACACTCAATTCAGCTTATAAACACTCAATTCAGCTTATGAACACTCAATTTAGCTTGTAAGCACTCAATTCAGCTTATAAGCACTCAATTCAACTTGTGAGCACTTAATCCAGCTTGTGAGATCACTCCATTATCCTATATTCACATTTGTATACAAGCTACTCTACTGCAATCAATTATCTGCTTAAATATAGTATAATATCATCAATATATCTACTATGAAAATTCTCAGCATACACTAAAACCACAGATACATAGAGTCTCTACATTTAATTGCTCCTGTTTCCAAATATCCCTATAAGCATGAAGTAGATTAAAGATCTGATATATCACACATATTGTATAACATGGGGTCTTGTCATTTCATCATTTTCAAATTCACCAACATGTTTTTATGAATAGACAGATTAGTGAAATTACAATGATTGCAAATACTAAGACACCATTTCATACAGTACATATATATATTTACTATTATAAATGTAAATGGAAAATAAATGCAAGTGTGAATTACAATGAATAGTTCATCCTCTCCATATGATGAAGGCTAATTCTCTGCTTGGGGGTTATATATCATGGTTCCCCTTCAGGATATAATATTTTCCCCTACAAACACCCAAATATACAATCTCTCCCTGGGTATGACCTTTGCTGTTGTATTTATCACTCCAGTCAGATATTCAGACAAAATGACTATGAGGTATTTATATAAATACACACAAGGCCTTTAAATGTGTATTAGGGAACCCACAATAGACTGAAATGAAGAATATTTTGTGGATCCCTAATGTGTATGTAATGTACAACGAGTCTATAAATTTGTGCATCTTCTGTATACACCTTTTAAAGTCTGCAATAATATAGTGACTAACATACAATATCCGATTAAATGCAGTATATATTAAGAATAAGATTTATTGTGCATTCAAATTACTCTAACTGAACATTATTCGAGAATGCATGCATTGTATTAATATTTGGTTAAGTACTGCATTGATTCTTTCTTATATATAAATATATCCATTCTACTGTACAACTGTTTTGGATCAATACATCAATATACAATATACATATGTGTATATGTACACACATATAAGCCAAATTATTTAAAAGCATATTTTCCGGTTTGTTTATTCAAAAACAATTCAGTTGCTCCGTCTCTTAGCCTGATCCTAAAATACTCTAACAAATTTCAAAAGCAGAACAACCTATAACTTCATCAGATAGACTTTCATACAAACCCTCCTTTTTATTAATGTATATTGTACAGTACAAAATACTTAAGATGGATTATAAAAGTGAATTAATCACCTTTAAAAATCAAAAATTTTCATGCTGTTAATTAGGTGAGCAATTTTTGGCTCACACAGTGAGCCTATGGGATTGACCAGGCGTCCGTCCGTCCGTCCGTTGGTCCGTCCGTCCGTCCGTCCGTTGGTCCGTCCGTCCGTCACCATTGGCTGCACAAATTAAAACTGCTATTCGGATTGAGTCATATCCACATTCATTTTATGCATATCCATAATGCCTATTTGACCTATCATCATGATTTCCCAAGTTCGCCCGGTTTCCGAGAAATTGCGGATTTTGACGTCAAAAATTCAAATTTTCTGTAAATACTAGACACTTTGTTGAAGTAGAACTTTCAAATAACTTTTAGTAGTTGGTGTATATGCAACCTATGTCCTCTGAAGATTTCAAAGCTCTTGGAATTACGGTTTTTGGTGCTTACTCTATAAAATTTGAAAAAAACTAGTCATTTTCAGGAAACTTTCTCATGTATAAAGTCAATGGCAGGTTTTGTGATTGACAAGATTCTTAAAGTTTGCCTTATACTTGATCATTTCCTGCAATAAATTACATCATTAATAGATTTAAGCATTCCCTACATATTTCTCGATATATGTCAGCATCAAATTTTTACCGTTTTTGAAATATTTGACGTCAAAAAACAGTAAAAATAAGTTATTTTTCAACTTGCTTCAATTTGACCAAATTTTTTTTTGAAAATCATCTACAAGTTGCCAGGAGTTCAAATCTGACATTAGTTTTAGGATTTCACCTTTACTTGACCTTCAGTGACCTTCGAAAGGTCAAAAAAGTTGATTTTTCAAATTGATTTTTTGATGTAAATTTTGGTCAGCTTAATCACAAAAGACCTTACTGAGCTCTGAATAAGTAAAATTTTCAAGGTCAAAGGTCATCAAACTAGGTCACATAACTATGCTATCTAAGTTTCTCAAAGTTCGAGACTACAAATCCAAATCAATATTTTTGTTTGAAAGTCAGGATATAAATTCCTCTGAAGGTTCCAAACTGTGTGAGCATAGGACCGTGGGTCCTTCATTTAAGCTTGAAAAGAGATATGTACCAATGTCTATTCATGGTGCACATTGCAGGCTGTCATGATTTTTTAAATTTCAGAATATCTGAGAATGAGAGTTAGTTATTGAATATTGTTCTTAATAAGAGGAGGTCCTGTGAATATCACCAGATGATTTGGAGTTACATAAAATTTGTGTGTTAAGGGTACATGTTATTAGATAAATCGGAATATAATTCATTGATGTGTGCGATGTGCGCCAATTCCCTGAAGTAATGAATTGTTACATTAGAAGTGAATACCAATTGGTGTTGGTTGATTATAATTCAAAATGGCAGATCAATATTTTGATTATGTAATGGCTTGTTTTTTTAACTAAAAAAACAGTTCAATTAATAGGTCCTTGATATATTTGTTACAGTCCCCCCTCATACAGTATTTCAAACAAGCCACTAAAATTAGTGAGACATAGAATGAGCTTTACGCTATGACTCCTCAACAACATCACCATTAACAAGATTCTCTGTGTCAAACTTATCACTAGAATCTTCACATTGAGTCACTTTCTCATTGGCTACAGTGTCTTTATTACAGGTATCAGCTATATCATCCTTGTTTTCAGCATCATCTATATAGCCATTACAGTTGTTCATATTATTTAATGCACTATCAGCATCCACTTCATTTCCTGCATGTGCGTTGTTGATAGTATTACTGTCTTTAAGTATATGCAATTTTAGTTTATCTCTGGGACATTGTTTATTAGTTTTGGGTAGATCGTGCGTGAATTCATCTAGCTCGATACCTGATTCCTCAGTGTCTGTTGCATCATGGGCATTGTTAACATGGTTGTCAAGGCTACATATACTTGATCCATCATTCTCACTACTTATACTCCGCATGACAAGAGTTGTACTTGGAACCTTCTCCATATTAACACCTGGTCCCTCTGTGGTGCCTTTTCCGACATTATCTTTATTAATGTCTTTTTCAATAGGGGATATGGACCTTTCTTCCACAGCATCGTCTATAGTTTCACTTACCAAAATATTTTGAAAGTCCTGCTGTTTGAGAGTTGACTCTAGGTCGACGTCTGAGATGACGGAACCATCAGATGTTGTGCTATCTAGTGTAGTTACGCTAACAAGACTTCCAGTGTGCGATGTTGCTTCACTGATTGTCCAATCAGTAGACACCTGACTTGTTGGGGAGAATTGTGATGGCACAATAGCTGGAGCATTCTGGTAATATGCCTGCAAGTATTTTACAACAATATCAACATACAAAATGTGTGTTGAGCAATATTCATGTATTTGTGTATCTAATGTTCTACCTGAGCACACAAAATAACTGGAAACATTTGATACAGACCGGCTAATATTGGAATAAGCACTGCAACCAATCAACAAAGGAAGAGAAATGTTCAAATACATATGCATTTGTATATAGAATAAACTATGTTTACAAAAAACAGTTAATGATAATGTTTGATTATTTACATTTCCTTTCTATTCATAAATCCACTTATTTGCAAAATTTGCAACTGACCTTTCTGGCTTGTAACTGTTCAATTGAGATCTGTACTTCAGTCATGGTCGATGGAGCTGTGAGGTTCAATGCATCAAACTGAGCAAATATCTCTGGACTGTGCTGAATATGCTTTGGCTGGAATGATCAAGTGTTCTATTATTAAACATACATTTTCAAAGAAATTAAAGTATATTGTTTCAGTCGTGGAATGATCTGAAATCTAGACAGTGTCTTTGAAATCAAAGCGAGTAAGTAAAAGAAATTTCCCCAAATGCACACACAATTACTTTAAGGTAGATAGATCCACATAAAGATAATTTTTTTAAATTGAATACATTCAAAGTCAGAATCTTTTGTTTGAATGGTAAAATGAAATTTTCCTAGAAATATATTTTCAACTTTTTTTAAAATTGCAGAACTACCTTGAAAATTCATACAAGACACATACCACACTTATCTTTTTCTTGTCTTTCTTGTTTCGTTTGCCAGCTTTGCCACGTCCAGCTCCCCAGAACACATCATCTTCATCACTTTTCTTCCTACGCAACACAAACATACCAGCCTCCTTTTCAACTGCCTTTACTGCATCTGGATCAACAACAAATATTTTCTTCAGCATGATGGCTGACATGGTTACCATTTTGAAAGCAAAGTCCTAATGAATAACAATTATTTTGCTCTTTGTGTACACAAATGTTCAACAATGACTCAGTTTTACAATTAATTAAAATGGGAAAGAAAATTAATTCAAACAGAGTAAAATGTGTCACAAGAGTTGAATGCATTTACTAGCTATAAAATATGATTTGTTTTCACACTGGGTGAATGTAGAACACTAACATATTGTCAATAGATATAAAGTTGACCAAACAAGAGTGGTGGTTGTGTACAAACATATTGTCAAGAGATATAAAGTTGACCAAACAAGAGTGGTTGTTGTGTACAAACATATTGTCAAGAGATATAAAGTTGACCAAACAAGAGTGGTGGTTGTGTACAAACATATTGTCAAGAGATATAAAGTTGACCAAACAAGAGTGGTGGTTGTGTACAAACATATTGTCATCAGAAATAAAGTTGACCAAACAAGAGTGGCGGTTGTGTACTAACATACTGTCAAGAGAAATAAAGTTGACCAAACAACAGTGGTGGTTGTGTACTAACATATTGTCAAGATTCGGAGATATAAAGTTGACCAAACAAGAGTGGTAGTTGTTTACTAACATATTGTCAAGAGATATAAAGTTGACCAAACAAGAGTGGTGGTTGTTTACTAACATATTGTCAAGAGAAATAAAGTTGACCAAACAAGAGTGGTGGTTGTGTAATGTGTACTAACATATTGTCAAGAGATATAAAGTTGACCAAACAAGAGTGGTGGTTGTGTACTAACATATTGTCAAGAGAAATAAAGTTGACCAAACAAGAGTGGTGGGTCTGTACTAACCTGGTGTTGAGGGAGTATCTTGTTGGTTGTCCTGCGTTGTCTCCTGAGACAGAAACCGTTGTAAATAAACTATCAAAGTTGTACATAGTTGTTTCTCCTGCTCATAGGGCTCCCTTAGGGCTTCTATTTCAGCACTGGAACAAAACATTAAAGTTATGTCTTTAAATACTTATTATGTGACCTACATATAACACAGGGTTCTCATTAGGCTTTTAGACTCCGGAGATTCTCCAGAGTCTATTGTCTTAAAACCCTCTTGCTCCAGAGTCTAATTTTATATTTTTGTCACATTATTTGCGGTAAAACTCTTGAGAAAATACATAAAACTGGATACAAACAAGAAATAGTCAGTCAGAAACCTTTTAGAAATAAATATTGGGATTAAAAAAGCAAGATAATCTTAAGAAGTATGTTGAAAAGTATACGAATAGGATATCTCTGATCTCAAATGAGGAGAAGTAGTCGCGATACCGCAAAAAATGTAGTCTCAATCCGCTGAAAATCCGGGGTCTAAAAATTTCCTGATGAGAACCCTGTAACATGAGCTAATAGTGTTTCTCTCACTTTAGTATTTTTTACTATAGTACTAAGTACTCACATTTTGTAGTTATAACAAAAGTTATTTTCCTACAAAAGATGTAAAAAAAAACTTACATTTCCTTTTGTTTGGCAGCCAATTGAGCACGTTTTTCTTCTTCTCGTTTCTTTGACTGAACTTCCTTAGTTATACGTTTGCAATTATAATATTCATTCTCATACTTTTTGAAGTCTGCAATCATTTTTCGTTTCTCATCAAATAAGGCATCGATTTCTGAAACAGATAGATTCAATTGAACTTCAAAATATTTATCTGAGACGACCCATGATCTTTTGTTACACATTAATTTGTTAAACAATTGTAGACCGGAAATGAAATTGAGAATTAAAAGCAACTGTACTCTCATAAATACGTATTATGTATAATCTAAATCAACATTACAAAATTACATTTCTCTGACATCATGAACTTTTTAAGCTGTTACTTTATCAAAAAGATGTGCCCTTTAACTTTGCCATTTTACAATCTATTAAGGTAAATACTTTAAGTTGGATTGTTACCTTTCCTGAGTTGCTCATTGTGCTCTCGCATTGCTTTAAATGAGTTCCTAATAGCCCCCTCCCTGTTCTTCAGCCCCGTCACTGCTTTGCTGTAGTGCTGAAATGAAATAAAAAGCTAGTCAAGTGATAATTAATGGACTAGATGCAAGTAGAAATAATCTTAAGTTGCAGCATTAAATATTCAGAATTCAGTCAAAGTGAAAAAATATGTAAAATTGCATCTAGAAATAACGTTTCAAAAATTGTTTATCAACTTTGAGATTTTAACTTTCTTTGAAAAGGTGACTTCTATGCCGGGTAGAATCCCCATAGACCTTATACAGGACATGTTCATTTGTAAGGGTAATATGAAAATTGATTGACTAAAACTAATGAATATTTAAGTTCAAGGGAACTTCCTATCATATCATAGTTTTGCATATACATGTACATGTATGCCCACTACACACGAGATACATAATTAATTAATTATCTTACCCCTATCTCTTCCCTGATTCTTCTCTGCTTGTCCCTCAGAGAATCCAACTCTCTCTTCATAGCAGTGTACTGACTGAAATGTACAATAATATATACATTAAATCCTTTGTTGGATCTCTATTGAAAAATTGCTGTTGTACTTCGGTTATTCAGTCTTGATGCATCATCAGAAGGGTTAATAGAGGGGGAAGATGGATCCCAGATTAAATACCATCAGAATAAGTTACAATATCAACAATGCATTCATAACTTTCCATACATTCCCGAATTTTTCCAAACGAAAGAAAGAGAGAGAGCTCTTGTCTGACAGAGATAAAAGTTTGTTATGGCTGAAAAAATGGAAATAAAAAATTCAAAATCACTTATTCCTGTTTGACATTTTGGATGATATAATAATTTTGATTGCTGAAATGTTAAAGAACAACAATAAATGCATATAAATATATAGCTCTTACACCAAAGCCTTCTTTGAGCGCTTAAGACTATCTATTTCACTGACAATCTTCTTTTCTTCCCTCAGTGAGAAATTCTGGTTTTTCAGTTGGTATTCCAGTCTGCGTATTGCCTCATTGATACGGTCTTCTCTTTTGTATGTCAACTGAGCCTGCACTTTAGCCAGAGAGTCCAGCTAGAAAACAAAACAAAGAGATTATCTTTGATGTATCCAGGTACAGCTGGAAAATAACATTTTGGTAAAAAATTGCTATACCTGCACATGTTATTTTCTGGTACAAAATAAAGTATGAAGGCATGTGTCAATTTTCTTGCTTTTTTCAGGAAAGTATCATTCTGGTAGGAGTTCAATGGGAACTCCAGGAAATTCTGATATTTCACACTTTCTATTTTTCCAAATTTTCTTTCAAAGTTTCCAGACAACACAGGAGCTACCATTGACCTGGTTTCCAGGTTTACTAAAAGTAGGTCAGTGTAATGATACTTTCCTGAAAAAAGCAAGGAAATACATACATGCCTCCAGACTTTATTTTGTACCAGAAAATAACATGTGCAGGTATAGCAATTTTTTACCCAAATGTTACTTTCCAGCTGAGCCTTAATGCCATGATGTTTCGAGGGAATTTAATAGCAAACTCCAGAAAAAAGCCAAGAAAATATATGCATGTCTTCACACTTTATTTTGTTCAAGAAAATAGATCTGTACATACTGGCTTACTGTACTTACCTGTGATCTAATGGTGACTCCAAGTTGTCGTAATTCGGCATCTTTCTTCTTTCGCCTTTCATTATTGGCCTCCTTTTCAGCGCGTATATTACGGCCTTCTTCCTGATTTCTTTCGTCTGATTTGCTGTTGTTAGCTTTCTGTGGTTCTTGGGTTAAGGAGATGTGACTCAGTTAGAATGATTTCTTTAATCAATAATAATATCCAAAAAGAACAACAGGAATGCCATGGAGTCACACCAAACAGCATACATTTTATCAAATTCTCCCTCATGATGAAAATAATCAGTCAGTATTTGTTCCTCCTTTTGGCATTATCTATTCCAAGCCCTTTGGTTACTTCATGCAAGTGTTATTAAGCCTAATATGAGAATAAATCCACCAAACAACTTAAGTTATAAAATAAATATAAAAAAAATTAAAAACAGGAATTGGAATTTGCTCTGTAAAAGAGTTTGTAAATATTATAGATAAAATACCTCAATGTTTTCGAACTTTATCTCAATTATCTTTATTTCATTGTTTCTTCATTACACTTCATGCAGCAATTGTTTTCCAAAACCAGAGATTAAAAATGAAACCAAACACTTAAAAAGGATACAAGTTGACTTTCTTTCTCCTTTATTTGGGTCATCAGTACCTCTATATCATCCTCTAGTCGTTTCTTGTTGGGAGCTTTCATACGGCGGAATTCTGAAATAAAACCAACGTATTTGAAGACTTGTATAGATGCCACATTGCAGACCACTAGTGGGTTGATTTTCACTTCTCATTCCTTTGGTTTGGAGGTAAAACATATCATGAATAAAACTTACACATAGTACATGTATTAAGATGGCAAAATGTCAACAATTTTTTTCAATTTGGTTCTGACACCAACCCTAACGAGCTCAGGTTTGAAACATGGGCAAAGAAAGATTTTCACAAACTGATGATACTTATTTATTTATAACTTATTTTAATAAATATGCTTAAAAGCCTTGTAAAACCTTGATGTTGAATAATACATGTATAAAATATCAATTTTTTGATCCTGAGAACAAAATGCCTCTTTAAAAGTTATTTGAAACGTGAAATCTTTACCAAATTCTTAAGATTATATGATGTGCGCTCCACTACTTTTCGAGTTACAGCAAAAATCGTAAAATAACGAGTAAAGGCCCCCATTTTTCAAGATGGCTGCCATGTGCTTCTTTAATATCTACATTTCTAGCTTTACTAATGTCCTATATAATTTTTTTACATTTAAAACATATAGCTATTACAGTTTTACATATTGCACCTAAATTACTGTGAAATCGGCACTAAAATGGCCGCCATTTTTAAACCATCGGCTTTAAAGCAGAACTTCTACCCCCATAGGGTATATGTGTACAAAATATGAACAAAATCTGGCCAACGGTATTTGAGTTATAGCCCTCCGAACTTTGTTCGATGGGATAATTAATCAAACAGTTAAACATGAGCATTATTAGTGAGTGGGGAAAATTTTGGTATTCCTTCATTTTTTACAAATGGATGTGTGATTTTAATTTATCTATATACCAATTGACAACTCTTATTCTACAGGTGTTAATTTCACAACTGTATGACAAAATTAATAATTTTCTGGATAGTCACAAAATAATTAATTACACTGATCGATAAGAAATAATTGGTTGAAAAAATACCTTTTCTGAATTCCTGTTGTATTTTCAAAAGGCGCGAAAGGGTAGGGTATAAAGGTGTCATTAATGCACCTTCATTCCATACATGGTTTACACGTACATCTTTCAGTTTTGCACAAAAAGTACATTTATGTATCTACAATCTACATCATGAGAGGGTGAATATTTTTCTTCAATGTATGAAAATAAAGAAAATCTCAGTGACCTATTTTTCAAAAGGGAAAAAATGTAGGTCACTGAATTTTCTCCTTTTTAATTTTAAGTAAAATGTTTATTAATGCTATTTATACACACTCTTAGTGCCGAACTGAATGTCTTAGACCATGTATAGAATGAGTAATTATGTGTACCTGAAAATAATTAACATGAGACTCAAATTAGGAAGCCATTAATTACGGAACTTCTTTAAGTCATTAACCCGGAATTAAAATTTTGAGCTAAGAGAAAAATGTTGATTTTACAATGGGGAGGTCAAAATGGTTTTCTTGGAAATCATAGAGATCATTGGACGATTGCAAAGAAGCTTTCAAAATTGAATTTAACGTAGATTTTGGAGTTGCAATGCACACAGCCAAAACATTTCCCAATTTATAACAGATATCAATGGCAATTTTCTCAGCAAGAAAATATGTCTATTACTCTGAGATATTCTTGTAAGATGGACACACCTTACTTCGGTCCAAAGCCTTCTCTATATTCCGGCTTTGAGTCGAAAGATTGAGCTGCCTTGGTATTGTAAATATTGTAAATCATTGTGTCACACGCACAGTAAATACGGCATAATAATATGAAATATACCTTTATGTATAGATTTGAGAAACATCAGCACACATCTCCGTCTGAATCTATTGTTATATTTGATTTCTTTTAGCGAGAATAATTTCAAAGTTTCCTCCATTTATTCACGTTCGGAACCGGAAGCCATTTTTAGCTACAGCGAGTAAATTTCACCATCTGTCGAACTCCGAAAAGAAATTTTGAAATATCTAAATCCAGACATGCAATGCTTCATCCTAAATATAATTAATATTCTTAAATATATTTATAAAATTTATTAAAAATGATTTCTAGGTGCGTGTAGCATTTTTACATACGAAATACGATTACATACGAAATCAATGAAGTTACATCTAGCTGTAAGCTAGAGACTCGAGTAAGACACACCCTTTAAATAGGGCTGTGCCGGAACCGGTTCGGACGGTTCGGAATCGGAACCGGAACTTGGTCTCACGGAATCGGAACTTTCGGAACCCCTTTTGGTTCACAAATGAAAATAATTATGTATGAGTGAGTTCGACGGCGATCATGACGATATCGTCGTCCAAGTTTGTCAGGTTAACACTTACCTTTCCTGTCAAGCAAGTTTGAATGTTTTTACGAAAGAAATAGACTCTAAAATCTGTAAAAAGAGAGAAAATTCGATCTTTTTTCTACTTGTTTTCACTTCCGGCTGCTCTGACCATAATGCGCATGCGTAATTGAAAAAGTTTTGAAACGAAATCAACGAAATTGAAAAACTGTGAAACCCAAGGAGGATTGGGTCCCAGAATGCAACATCGATGCTCTCTCGATGTTCTTGATGTCTTGATTACAAAATTTGAATTCAAACTGCTTTTTCGTTTGAAAGTAAGACCAAAATTAACGATTCAAATGTTAAAGTGAACAAAATGGCGGCATATATATATTGTAAGAGTTAAAATGTAATTAATTAACGCTGTTAGATTGTAAGACGTCATGGAAAAGTAAATTTATTCATTTATCTATGAGTATTTTCGCCCCGTCGATTCCTACTTCCAATGAAATCCGAAGGTCAAAGTTCGTAAAACAAAACTTGATTTCTGTTGATTTCTCCGCTATTTATTTTGTTTATGCGAGTAATACACATGCAAATTGGATGTAGTTTGAAGGAAAACATCACTGGAGGAACAATGGTCACGGATATTAACGATTCAAAGCAAGTACTAAGGTAAGGGTCCGATATTGTTCCGAAACCCTTCGGAACATGATATTAAAATTCCGAATTCCGGTATTTTAACAAAAGTCCGCGGTTCGGACCGATTCCGGTCGAATGGCACGGCCCTACGTGACCCTTATCAAATGCCTTGGGAAGGGTTCACAGATTGCAATAATCAGAGGGTCTTTGGAACTATAGATGTTCACCTACAATGTTGTGGTCACTCAAACCAACAGAATGGAAACAAGTTGGGTCAATTACAGTAAACTACCATAAATTCTTATTGAACTTAGACATCTACTGGAAATCCAGTGGCAGAAAAGCAAAAAACAGAAAGTTGTGATATAAAAATTGAGAGAAACATGCAAGTGAAGTAGAGCTAATATGGATGAATAAATGCACAAATCCAGGGCTCAGTTAGAAAGACTCCTAACTGAATCATTGATTCTAAACTGATGATGAAACAATAAATTCCAGAAATGATTTCTCGCCAAAAGTTGTGATTCATCAGGACACATGTTTACAAACTTACCTGCAGCAACCGCCTCTTTATCAACAGCTTTTTCTTCTCCCTCAGTGCTTTCTTCAGCACTAGCCATTGTTCATGTGATTGTCTGTTATCAATTTTAGTGCGGATCCCTTCTACATTCATCAAATTATAAAAAGATTTGCAACTCAAGCTTTTTTTACTCTCACCATCTTGAAAATATTGGTATCACGTGACGTCAGAGTACATGTTGACCCCTTTGATGACCTTTAAAGGTCATGCTGTTCAGACGCCAATTTCTTGTGATATCCTGCAATATGATCAATTTCGCAGTTCGTTTATTATTACTTGATTCATAAGTATCATAATTCAATGCATCTTCAACAAATTTTAGGCGTTTTTACAAAGAAATAGAGAGAAATTGGAGCTAATCAATAAATGTGTTTGGTTTGTGTTTTGATTGCAAAATATCAATCCGCTGTTACACATATCTAGGTCAACATATAGATTCACGTTGAAGCGATCTGTATACTTTTATACATTAAATATCAGGGCATTATATTATTTCACCATTAACTTCAAAAATAATTGGCATATGATACCTGCTTATGCAACGATATCAAGTTTTCATTCATAGTACTTGATTCCGTGCGTAATTATTTTTACGTGAATCGGCCATTTTCGAACATTTTCTTGAGCGGGAACACAGAGTGACGCCATCTTGGACAAAATTGATAGTACTTGCTCACATATTTTCAAGATATCAACGATATTATATAAGATCTGAACATATTGTGTATGCAGCAAGATTGCAGATGTAATCAGGCATTTCAGAAACGTCTTCTTGAGGTAAGTTTTTTGAAAATAAACGGGGAACTTTCATGCCGAACATCGCCAAGAAAAATAATAAAAATTTCAAGAATTTCTCATCAATCTGTTCCTTTATTTTTTCATTTACGATAGATATTGAAATTATGAATAAAAACGTCTTTATATATTTACTCATGTCGAGCTAGATTTCTATACTAGCCTAGGCTAGTGCATATGCCTAGTGTACAGAGATGTAGGCCTAGGCTAAATAAAAGTAGGTCACCAAATCCTCCAAACTTACTCACTTCGAGAGCCATGTTAGATTTTGAAACGTATGGCTCTCAAACGGAGAAGTGAACAGCTGATCAATAGTGACCTTTGAAATCGAATTAAGTCGATCCGCGGCTTACTTTTGGTCTCTAACTGTGTCTTACATCAGTATCACCAATCCGTGTAAGTACAGTTGGGGACATAAATAAATGACAGGTGGATTTGCTGAAGTGAGGATTTCCCATGTTAAAAATAAGAGAATTTACAAGAGGCCATACATCAGTGGATGAGATTATACAAAATGTAAAATATACAAATTTTAAGGGATATATATCTAGACAATATTGGAAATTATGGGCTTTCAGACCACCATAATTAGGAAATGGTGATCGAAAATCGACCTGTCATTTATTTTTGTCCCCAACTGTATTGGAGCGCTGGAGTACTTCTTTATCGATCAAGACTTGTAAATTGTTCATCGAGTGAAAGTTTTTTAGACCTATTTCCAATATGGCTGTTTGCTAGGTGCGAGATACGCAACGAACGAAATGAATTTTGAGAATTAGTTAGGTTCGGACAACCTCCGGAGATTTACGAAAATGTCCGAGCAGAAACTGCCATATTGGAATTTGGCAGTAAAACGATTCACTCGACTAACAATTACAAGTCTTGATCGAAAAAGAAGTACTCCAGCGCTCCAATACTTACACGGATTGATGATACTGATGTAAGACACAGTTAGAGACCAAAAGTAAGCCACGGATCGACTTAATTCGATTTCAAAGGTCACGATCATTGAGCTGTCCAAATGCTCCGTGGGAAAGCTATTATATCAAAATCCAAATAGCTTTCGCAGGAAGTAACTCCAAACCTTTCTGGTCCAGTTATCTAACCCTAGGCTGCTTCTTATCTAGTCCCAAGTTACTTCCTGCGAAAGCTATTTGGATTTTGATATAGTAGCTTTCCCACGGAGCATTTGGACAGCTGAATGATTGTGACCTTTGAAATCAAATGAAGTCGATCCGCGGCTTACTTTTGGTCTCTAGATCTAACTGTGTCTTACATCAGTATCATCAATCCGTGTAAGTATTAGAGCGCTGAAATAGTTCTTTTTTGATCAAGACTTGTAAATTGTTCATCGAGTGAATGTTTTTTAGACCTATTTCCAATATGGCGGTTTGCTAGGAGCGAGATACGGAACGAACGAAATTAATTTTGAGAATTAGTTAGGTTCGGACAACCTCCAGAGATTTACAAAAATGTCCGAGCAGAAAACGCCATATTGGAATTTAGCAGTAAAAACATTCACTCAACTAACAATTACAAGTCTTGATCGAAAAGGAAGTACTTCAGCGCTCCAATACTTACACGGATTGATGATACTGATGTAAGACACAGTAATGGACCAAAAGTAAGCCGCGGATCGACTTAATTCGATTTCAAAGGTCACTTTTAATCAGCTGTTCACTTCCCCGTTTGAGAGCCATAAGTTTCAAAATCAAACATGGCTCTCGAAGTGAGTAAGTCCCAAGACCATCTCCTACGCTTCTTGTCTTAGCGTCAAATCACTTATTCTGGTGACCAGTTCATATGGTTAAAATAACGAAATGATGTGATGTTACCATGTGTCTACTTACCAGTTACATAGTCGGATGACATAGAACAAACTGGTAAGTAGACACATGTTAACATTAGATCATTTCGTTATTTTAACTAGTGTTGTCGCGATTAATCGATACATCGCGATATACATCGCCTAAGCTGATTCTGGCGATGCATCGATGTCTGTTTTTAAAAAAAATTTAATTTGCTAAAAATTTTCCCTTATCTTATTTTGACACAAATCGCTTACCTTTCTCATGTCTTATTTCATTTTCCAATGTTTTCTGATATTCTTTCGCTTTAAAACTGTTTTAGTTAGTCGAAGTGAACCATTAATCTAAAAATTACTTTACTTTCATTTTACCGTTACTAGAAGTTCCCGGATGTACCAGCATACTCTTATTAATTTGTTCTATTCGGTATTTTAGTGCATTGGCGTTCGGTATTTCAGTGGACTTTTTCTCGATGTACGATGATGGCACATCGCGACAACACTAATTTTAACCATATGAACTGGTCACCAGAATAAGTGATTTGAGTAAAGTACTTCATTGAGCCTACATCCAATGGGGACTGGATTTGGCCTAGTTATATACTATTACCTAGCCTTACTTTAGGTCCAAAGCCTTCTCTATATTCCGGCTTTGAGTGATTCTTTACAGTCACCCTGATATTCAGTATTTGTAAATCATGGTGACACATGCACAGTTGTTATTGCACAATTATATAAAACATACCTTTATGAACACATTTGCAGATTATCAGCTTATATCCCCGTTCTAATCAATTGTTATATATATTTAAGGAGGTTGATATCGAAACATCTTGTTAGTGTTTATATATTGTTGTAAGTGATAAATCTTTCAAACTGATGCAATGGACGTAACATTGCTAATGCAGCGAACAACGATTGTTCTAAAATTGTGAGTGCAGTGATGCCAATGTTTTTAGACTAATAAAATTGCATGCGGTTCAAAAAAGTCATGGGGTTCGTTGTACAATGTAGTCCACTCCCCCCAGTTTTCTGCAAGTTAAAATGCTCAATTCTGCAAGTGAAATTAGTGAATTCTGCAAGAAGAAAGGGCTAATTCTGCAGAAATTCAGCGGATATCCGCGGCATTTTTTACGGTTATTATAAAAAAATCAAGATTGGTTTAACAAGAACAGTATCATATATTCTAAAAACATGATTTGATAATCATATTCCTACATGTTAAACCCTGCCACAAACAAATTTGACCACTGAAAGTTCCATTTCCATGAAAATGCTGTAATTAATCAAATTTCACATTTTTCGAAACTTCAAACACGGAGGATCGGGCGCATAATGGGAATCACGATATATGTAAATCAGGTTTTAAGTGTAATATCTCATTGGAGTTCGAAGTTTTCGATCAATAACTTAATAATATAAATAACTGTTATTAATTTATGTCTTTGTTTAACTTTCTGACGAGAACCGAAAGAAAAACTAATGGTTTTCGAACCAGTAAACGGGAAAATATCGTGATAGTCAGGTAGTCAGTCTCAGTCACTACATACATGCTGCCATCTAACGGCAGAAATCAAACGATGGCGTTTAGAATTTTCACTTCGCATAATTTGGGTTATTTCTGCAAGGGATTTGACTGAAAACGTGTCAAATTGTTACAGGTAAGACTGACTTTTTAAACTTTTGGAAAATATATGGATTCTGCGGAAAATTCCGCGGAAATTGACCAAAATAGTTGATTCTGCAATTCCGCGGGCAGAGGCAAATTCCGTCCGCGCTCTGCAAACACGGAATCCTGGGAGCAGTGGTAGTCACACAAAAAGTGATTTTGTACACTGTGCATCTTTCATAGAAGTTCTATCAGAGAATGTATTTGTTCGATATCACTTTCATAGTCAACAAACTTTAAATTTGAGGTTCCCTTGACAACTATGAAAAATAAATCTTTGAAATGGCTTGTTAGATTGCCTGTACAGGTCAATCCATTTTACCATGATATAATTCTTTTGACTAGAAGCTATAAAACAGTAATATTTTTTGCTTTCAGTATAACTACAATCTGGTGTAAAAGGAGAATAGCATCATGTTTTATGCTCATTTTGTGCTGAGTAAGAAGGGGCCATTGGCTAGAATCTGGCTGGCAGCTCATTGGGATAAAAAGCTGACCAAGGCTCATGTGTTTGAAACCAATGTAGAGAGCAGTGTAGAAGCCATCATAGAGCCTAAGGTAAGCACTGATCATCTGCAAAAAAATTAAATGCATGCCAGGGACTGACCTTAACTTTTTTTACGCAAGGATTTGCTACCGTCCACAGCCCATTCTTTTATAAGTCATAAACTTACTGAAGTTAATGACGTTATGAGAGTATTTTCGGGGGGGAGGAGACTTGTAAGTACTCATTTGTTTCGACGTTTTGACAGAATATGTTTTTTTTCCTTTTTGTAGAAACATTGACCATACCATGCAGATATACCTCTAGAATCACTATGTCTCAACTTTTCATCTGAACATGGTATAAAATCTCTCAAACCTTCTAGAAAGCATGATATTTTTTTCATGATGTTTTCCTGTGCTGTCTACAAAAACAAGTAGCAAATTGCCATATTCAGGTAGCAACAAAAATACCATTTTTTAGACTGATATCTGTCTCAATCTTGTCTTATAACAAATCCCCGGTTATTCCCGCTTTTTGTACTGAACGAAATAACCATTTTTGACTCATGAGAATCTCGGTATGTTTCACTATGGATTCATATCAACCAATCAGCATTGAGATTGTTTGTCGCTATCGGAAACATGATGAAAAAATAACGGAGTGGTAAGTTCCATTGATTCTATGCGATGGAAGGGTTGAAATACATGAGATTCTTTGGTTAAGATTTGAGGTAGCAATCATTTGTTCCCGCCCACCAAGTTTTTGGAGTAAAATGTCAAATCAGGAAGCGAATTTGCTATGATCCAACCATGCATTTACAAGTATAATGATATGTATGTTGCAACACAGGAGAAATCGATCAACATTATATATCTTTGGAAGAATGGTTTTGATGATTTAATTCTTGCTTTTGATTATAAATTACTTGTCTCTCCAGGTAAAGATGGCCTTACGTACATCTGGTCACTTGTTGCTTGGTGTGGTGAGAATCTACTCTAGAAAGGCCAAGTATCTCCTAGCAGATTGTAATGAGGCATTTGTCAAGATTAAGATGGCGTTCAGACCAGGTGTAGTTGATCTACCTGAAGACAATAGAGAAGCTGCAGTTGCTGCTATCACATTACCTGAAAACTTCCATGACTTTGACACAACACTCGCAGATCTTAAGTAAGTTGCATTTTATCTTAGATATCATATGTATCATTGTATCTTATATATCATATGTATTTCTTAATATTATATCCAAGAAATTAGTAGCTTTCTGAGTAAAGTATTATAAGTAGTTGAAAAATAATTGTATAGTAACATGTCTGAACAATCGAGGTTTCAGAATAGTTTAAGTTTTAGTCAAATTGATTTGCTCCATTTCTAGTGATATAGATGTGCAGGCACAGTTCTCAGTTAACCAGAGCCGTCCAGAAGAAATTACAATGAGGGAAGACTTTGGAAATATTACTCTAGTCAATGATGATGGTTTTGGTGAGTCATTCTGTTCTTTGTCCTATATAAATTATTCTAAATCAAAACTTTTCATCTTTCGTGTTAGGATTGATGCCTTTGCTTACCTAATTAAGATAAGTTTAAGAAACAGTAACTGATGGTGATGAAGATAATTTTTGCCTCAAATTTAAACGTGTAACTTAGCCTGATAATGTATAACCATTTTGTCATTTTGATAGAATAATTGAAGTAGAAGTAATTTGAGTAATTTTAAGCTGGTAATTTCACAAAACTTGATTTGATTGTAGGTGACATTGGGTTTGATGACAGAGAGCTTTTGCGTGATGAACACATAGATGACTCCCTTTTCAAGAAACCAGGATCTTCCAGTATTCTTCTTGATAGTTCACATAAGAAAGATGATTCCTCTGTCATAGCACCTCCAGAGAAATCCATGGAAGTGGATCCATTCCAAGCGCCTATACAAGACGATGGTTTTGGTGGAAGTATGGGTGGGGCAGATATGCTAGGTATGAATAGAACTTTAATTGATCATAATTTTGTATCACCCAACTCAAATATTGACTCTCTCTTTGATACTTATGAAAAAATCTCATTATGGATAGATCTGAAATATCATTGGAGTTCACTGAAAATGCTATATGGGGAGATTCAACATTTTTTGAGTGATATGCTCAATTTTGATAGTTCTAAATATTTTATCAAGTTTGACATTTTATTTATTTACAATTAATATAACAATCTAACAGATATATTCAAAAGTTATTTAAATTAACCATAATATTTTGATCACATGATGTGAGAGCATGGTGTAACTAACAGTGTGGGAAATTTGTGTCTTGTAAATTTTGTCCAAATACCACTTTGAAACACTCTGGGCAAATTTTTGTTAAGATCAGTTATTTGTCCAGTCTCAGGCCATATTCCCACACTGGTGTTAAATCTATTAATGTTTCATTACTATAAGCTGTTATTATTGATGTACACACATAGTTAAGAATTAAATACATTAATTAGTTAATAACAAATATGTAGTAAGTTCACTCCACTGTTCTATTGTTAACATGTTCCACATTACCCTGTTATATAATCAGATGATGATGCACCTGGCGCAGAAAGTTCAGACGATGATGACAACTTTGGTGGAGGCATGGACCATGAACTGTTTGGTATGTAACTATATGGCATGATATTATGTAACCAGGATTTATGAATTTATCATATTTTTCATAAATGTGTGAAGCGAAATTATGTTTTTTAAAAGCGCAAAAAGCCATAAGTAATAGATGTGACTATTCTCTTCAATGTTCTGTTTTGCTGAGCTGTTCCATTGTTTGTGAAAATATTTAAACTTAGGCAAAAATCAAATGTGAGGTATTGACTCGTCATTGTATTTCTTTGAGAATACAGACATATTGTGGATACAGTACAGAATGTTTACATTGCTTTCTTAATGCTTGTAGGTGACTTTGATGGGGGGCTGTTCCAAGATGCTCCAATGCCAGAGGTACCTATGGCCCAAGATGTAGAACCATCAACCAGTAAACAACCTGAACTTGAAAAGGAAACATCAGGTAAACACCAGTTTATCTGTCAAAACAGAATCTTTGCAACCAAGGGTTGCCAAAGACCTGAAGGAAATTTGATAAGAGTTAGGCAAAAGATTTCCAAAGTGACGTCCACAAATGGTGTTTTATCATGTGATATAAGTCATGCAAATCTTGTTCATCCACAAAGTGTTAGATAGTCAAAGCAAAATCAGTGACCTGATGTTAAATGAAACAGAAGCACTTAGTAGGGTACATGTATTTTCCAAAAATAATTAAATTCAAATAGTAAAGAATTTTCTTTGCTGATTATTTCATATTTGTATTGACTCAAATATGTGTGACAAATTGAACTGCTAGTGTACATTTTATAAAAATTTAATGAAGAAGATCATTTCTATTTGCAGAAAAACCTCTAGATTCAGAAGAGCATGATACTTTTGGCCACACCATAGAGACAGAGGCTCCAAGTCATGCATCTTCTGTGCAGCCAGACCAAACAACCCTAGTGCCTAATGAGGAGGAGGCCTTTGCCCTTGAACCCCTAGATGTAACCACAGTAGCAGGTAGGTGAAGTTTTCATTTATAGGAGCGATATGTTAATTTTTCACCCATGTAAGAAACTTGATCTTGCTAATACTTTGTCCTCCACCAAGTAGATATGGGGATTTGCAAGACTATCTTAGACTGAAATTTTATTATGGTGAGATTGTTTTCATTCAAAAATCAAAGTGATGGCCTAATAATATTTTCTCATTGAAAGTGTTCTCAATGTTGTCTAGTGTCTTATTATATTGCTTCCGTTTTTTTATGGTGGTAACATGTTGTTATAGTCTCCAACTTACAGTAACTACTTGCAGATGGTGAGATTTTGTCATGCCTTGTTTTCTTGAATAGGAACTGAAAGAAAGGCCAAAAGGAAAAGGAAGCTGATTGTAGATGAAGCCAAGGGTATTGCTAGTGACACGATGAAGATGCAACTGTCTGACACCTCAGATATTGTAACTACCTTAGATCTGGCACCACCCACTAAGAAACTGATGCACTGGAAGGAGACTGGTGGTGTTGAGAAGCTATTCTCCCTCCCAGGTCGCAGTATTCCCTCCAAGAGGCTGTCTAGGGTAAATATATTTGGATTAAAGGGTACTTCACAAATACTAAGATTGATTTTTTTCTTGGAACTTAACATCCAAATTTTTTTGATTTACTTTATTTTTTCCAGAGATTCATTTTCAGTGTTTGGTGTCTTAGTCACCATTTGAACCAATGTTAAATGTATAACGTTGTTATTTCAGTTGTTTGGTCGTAATTTGGTGACGCGACCTCTAACAGATGAGCAAGAACAAGAAGAAGACAGGTTAGAGCTGGAATCTCCTGAAATAAACAGAGAACAGACAGAAGAACAACAACCACCAGGTAATTATAGTGTATTACACATAGGTACTTGTCATAGTGTTGAATTCAAAAGCGATTTAAAAAGATAGAATTAGTAAAGTTGTGAACCTCTAGATCATCATATTTGCAATAGGAAAATAACCTTAATATCATTAATCTTTCAGTTGAAGATACATCCGTCATTCCTGAGCTGTCCACTATAACAGAGGAGACTTCACGAGTAGATACATCCACAAAGGAGAAGGAACCATCTAGGAGATCCACCAGGGGAGACAAGTCTGGCTCTAAGACACCACTCCAGGAGCCTGAACCAGAACCTCTACCAGATCAGACTTTTGCACAACCAGAGCTGGAGATGCCAGTTGAAATGCCTCCACTTGAAATGCCTGAATCTGTGAAACCTGTAGAGAGGGAAGATGTAAGTTCAAGAATATATGATTTATTGTATCATAGCGTGCGGTGCAAGTCGCGAAGAAAACTAGAGGCAACTCGAATATGAAAATGGAGCCAGGAGTCAATAGAAAAAATGCATCTTTTGGAGTTTTTATTTCAGCTAAAATTGTGTGAATTTCCTTCCAAAATGGTCTATTGATGCCTTAATTAACACTAAGATCTAGGTTAGATCCAATTGTTGCTATATTCATTAAATAATAAAAAGCTTTATTTCTCCTTAATCACATATACAAATATTTTATTTTCTATTTCAGGAGGAAGAAGTGAACGATGAGAACCTGACAGCTGAGGAGCAAGATGAACAAAGGTGGAACAAACGTAGTCAACAGATGTTATACACACTCCAACGTTCACTACAAAAACGTAAGGACTTTACCTTCCAGGAATTGTTAGTGAAAAATTCCCGCAAACAGGCAGCTTCTAAATTCTACTCACTACTAGTGCTACGTAAGACAGACTCTATCACCGTGAAACAGACTGAAGCGTATGGAGATATTTTAATAGGAAAGGGACCAAAGTTTGCAAAGGTTTGCTAGATCGGGTTAATATAATGTTGCCATAAGTTTAATATTCAGTGGATTAGCAATGGATACACTGTATTGTCATTTGTCAGTGTATTGTCAGTGTCAGATGGAAGTGCTATGGGATTGACTGTGATGGTGGATGGGAAATGGCATTTAGGGTTGGCCAGTGCTAATGCCTCCCACTGGCGTTATGGACCAAATATGTGGTTATCACTTATCCAGTTACAAACTGTGCTAGGCCACTCTGGCTACATAGGCTGTGTCCAGAAAATACCTGGGATCTGGTGAATACTACCATGTACTGTAACTGTATAGTGCTGGGCAATTATACGGTCATCCAAGACTCATATCAGTGTAAACCAATGGACAATAGACATAAATATCTACCCATTGAAATATGTTCATGCCCATAGGGGTAACATAAAATATCTGTAGTCTGTGAAAAATCTGTGAATGAAGACAGGGGTGAAGAAAGAAACTGATGTCATGTATCAGCAAGGTCATATTAATGTAAAATCACATTGTAAATATTTTCATAAAATTCTATCACATATTTGTCATGTATCATAGAATCATCCATGTCTTATAAATGAACTGCAATTTTTTATTAAATATTTATTATTTTGTCGCAACATATGTGGTTGTTAACAAAGTCAACACAATTAACTTAGATGACTTGTATATTCATGGTTACACTTGAAATGTTCTGGTACTTCTAATTTTGGCCAATTAAAGGTTGTATATAAAGATGAAAGTGTTTTTCACTCCTTTTCAAAGCCTCATTATAGCATTCTGCTGTATATTTATTAGGGGTCAAACGGTTAACCGCGGTTACCGCGGTACACGATGCTAGGACGGTATTTTCGGTTCATAAATATGAGATTCGGTTCATCCACGGTTCGAGGAAAAATTGAAAACTGAAATTTTTTAGACTTCAATATTCTCTCTTTCGTTCGACATGAACTTATTCTTCATGTATATATTCCTTAAAAACATTACCCTGCGTGCAGAGTCTAGTTAAACTACACTCTGCCTAGTAGAGACCATATTACAGTTTAGTAGCCCCGCCCCCACGACGGGTACCGGTGACAGTTTGGGTAATAATATAAATCACTTCTGACCTATGCGCTGACCTTTCTTCCACCATTCAGCGAGCCTGAACAAACATACGCCAAATGCGTTCTAATTAAATATGCGCATGTCATTGGTCAATTCCGGGCTCAACGATGACGTCAGAAGGAATGACCATATATAGAACGTCGGTCAAATTTGGCCGACGAACACTGATTGGCGCGGTGAGTTCACAGGTTTATTTTAGTTTGAAAGAGTGAAGACGAAGCTCTCTTTTAAGAAGTGAAGTCAAACGAATGCAAAGGGTATAAAAACATGTTTATAGCAATAGAGAACATTCAATTCTTACCTTAGATATGAAACAGATCGCTCACAAATCGATAGACAAGTAATTGTTTACATTTTTGTGACTATAAATAGACCGGAAGTTGGTCTCGCCAGATTACGCTATTCATAGTACAATTAATTTTGCTTCGTGGAGGTGTTTTGTCTGTTATAATGAGTTAGTTTTTAATCAATATTATTTAAAAAATACTACAATTACAGAAATTATAACATTACTAATGTCTTTGTTAAAAACTTGAAACATATTTGTGTTTAAATCTCCCGCACAATCGCAGCGCCATCTGTGCTGATTCAGATGAGTTGAATACAGATCTCTTACTTGGTGTACAGTATTCGACTCGATCTTTTTATGCATGTTCCCTGGGCTATTAGTCATTGTTAGTTACTGCTTGTGCTACATGTAGATCTCAGCTCTTATCTGACAGAAATCTTATCAAGGACAGAAAAATCTAAAGTTTAAAATTTAAAGTGGGCCACTAGGCCAATAAACTTTGCTTTGTCAAGTCAATTTAGTAAAAAAAAGGATAGTGGGACCAGGATAGAAAGTGACCGACTTGGGCAAGGCTAGATAGAAAGCTAAAACCTGTTTCTTTATGAGCTGTCTTTACAATTTTTTAAGGAAATATTACCAATTTACGAGACCCGCGAGAACCGTGAACAGAACCGAACCGTGAACCTAAAAACCGTGACCGAACCGAACCGTTGGAATTTTGAACCGTTTGACCCCTAATATTTATTATTGATTTTTAAGCACTTGAAATGGATACTCGGCTTTCATTCCATGTAAAGAAAACAAAAATCTGAAATTATTAAATCTAATTGATGATATTTCTCAGAAGTCATTTTCTAAGCATTTGATATTGATATGCACCCTTTAAATAAAAAACTGTAAATTCTTAAAAATTGAAAAAACTTACAAAAGATACTATTAGGTAGTAAGCTAGGACACAAAAATGTTTTTACCAGTGAACAAATTGAAATTACTTGTTTCTTATGTATTTTTATGTGATACTTCAGAATTTTTTTGTCTGACGCGCCGTATCCGGGGCGAAAGTTGCCAAAGTGGGGTTTTAGACCCTAATATAGAAAATAACAGGGGGTACTTTATTATCCTTGAATTACTTTTTCAGTTGATCCTTAATCATCACAATAACTTTACTGGAAGTTGTTAATATCATTCTTAACTAGTATGCAAAGTTTCAATGATCTGCCATTAATGGTTGTCATGGAAACCATGATCTTTGTTGAAAAAGTCCATAATTTAGGTAAAACCTTTACCTCTACATCATACAGAATATGCATTATTTTTCAAATCAACAGATATCAGAACATGTTAGTACTCTAAAAATTATCAGGACAGTTCAGACATTTGTTTAAATATAATGGATATTGTTATTCACATGATTGGTAAGTGTCAAAGACCATACAATTACATAGGTGATCAAAAGTGGGCGTCGCCCTTATAATAGTAGGTGATTACCATTACCTTTAAATACAGATTTTAAGTTGACTTGAGATACAATTATAATGTACTTCTATTACCATAATCTATATCAAGCAATTCTGGTAGATACATATTAGTGTTATAGGTATTACATCATGCTAGGGATGGGGGGGGGTATGTGGTGGGGGTACATGGGGGTAGAGGTAACCAGCCTTATATAAAACTCATATTTAAAGTTTTAGTTTCATGTGGTACATCTTTTGGATCTTGCTCTGATTTATCTCAATATATAGGATATTGCAATTTACATTATTGGAAAGTGTCAAAGACCATACAATAGTATAGTTTCCATATAGCTTTTGAAATCTCGCTAAATCTCGTTTTTCGTGAGATTTTAAGAGACTTGCATATTAGACCTCTAATGACTTACATTACCTTCTTTTAAATGGCATATTTGAATTCAGTGAAATGTTTTCTCCTTTAATAGCTTTGATTTACACAGTTATGTAATTTGAATAATTTTCTATAACAATTTGAAAAAACTTGGGCCAAATGTCCATAGATGCAATGCTAAAATTCTTTAAATCCGTGGATTATTTGTATGTCAATCAACATTTGCATGTTTAATCACATCATGTACATAAACAGGGTCATCATGTGGTATATCATTCAAGTTTTATACAGATCTAACAAACACACTTTGATAAATCATGAAATTAAGCCACTTTTCCAAGATTTTAGCATGTAAACGAATGGAGCTCTAGCCCGAGTTAAAAGCTGAATAAAAGATGGCAGCACGAGATTTCATTGATTTTTCTGCTATTTAGAAACTATCCTATTAACAATACAAATGTGATCAAAGATGGGCTTTGCCCTCATAATGATAATAGATTACTACCATTTTCTATAAATATGGAGTTTAACTAGGTACAATTATACTGAATTTCTATTACCTTAATTCATATTAAGCATTTCTGGAAAACACATTTAAGTCTTGATGTTATTCCAACAGGCTGGGAGGGGGGTTCGAATGTGGGGATGGGGGGGCAAAGCTAGTCAGGATTAGTTATAAATCTCATCAACATAATTTTGGATCTTATAGGGTATATCTTCTGGGTCATCTTCTGATTCTTCCCCTAGTGTTAAGATATCAACAATCTCTTGTGGTAGAATATCTATTGTTACCTACTGAACTTCCAGATTTTTTAGAATCATTAAGTTTCCACCCGTGCCCATCGGGTCCTGGAATATTAGGTTTTTCAAAATGGGCTATACGCCAGATAAGTGCCTGGTAGTTGGCTCTTGCTAAGTGATGCATTGGGGAGTCTTAACAAGGGGGAAGTAGACTAATATCTGTTCCTTCATTGTCAGTTATTGTTTTAGTATGGGGCCTAAACTTCTCTTTAAATAACACATATCTGGCTTAACACATATCTGGATTTGGGATATTTGAGGTTTCCCATACTAGTATTCAGGGTGTTTCATATGTATGCACCCCCCCTCTAAACTCATACATGTAGCATTGCCACCGTATCATATTACATATCATTTTGTGCCTTATGGAAAGTTACATAAGATTCCAAAGTTTCAGAATCCAGGGGTGTCACTGACAAAAGTTATAATCTAGATTGTGGGTACCGGTCATTTAGACGGCAATTTCTGGTGATTTTGAGGACAATTTAAAGGACAAATTTAGTTTCCGTATTGCACATTTCTTGCTATTGTCACCATGGCAGAGCTCAGTCCACATATCAGTGGCAGTTATGCACAAAGAGGTATAGACAGGATTCATGGTGTGGCTTATAGGGAGTTCAGGGACCATGGGACCACCTTTATCGCCATAATTGGGTAGCAGACAAAGTGAACAGATCTCCAGACAGGCATAAAAATCCTTACAAAAGTGCTTATAAATGACCCCTTACCCACATATTTTGTTGGATTGTATCTTTTTTCAGGGACACCTCTTGATTCTGAAACTTTTCAGTACTAATTAACTTTTCATAAGGAACAAAATGATATATAACATAATACGGTGGCAATGCTACATGTATGAGTTTAATGTATAAGGTGCATACATATGAAACACCCTGTATATGGTATATACAAACTTTTCTACTTTACTGGTTGTTTCGTCATTTATGTCTGCTGAGAGTCCTAGTCCTTTGAATGTGTCTGTATGATTCTCCACCTTTGCCATTGTTTTGAAAGGTGTTACTTTGCCCCTCCGAACCATGGCACTTACAGTGTTACACCCAGTGAAAGTGTGAAGTGCTGGGAGGGCTTCACATATTTCGGTATGAAATGATGAGAAGAGGCTTGGCAGCAACTTAACCAAAGGGAAAAATATAATGCTAAGAAAATGCAAGGCCAAGAAATATACTGACTATGAGACACAAAATTATGTTGATGAGATTTATACCTAAGGCTGGCTAGCATAGCCCCCCCCCCACACCCACCCATTCTATCCCCCCACTTCAAGACTTATATGTGTTTTCCAGAAATGCTTGATATGAATTATGGTAACAGATATACAGTATAATTGTATCTTATAAGTTAAACTCCATATTTAGAATTAAGAATAGAAATGTCAGGGAAATTGATTTAATTTCCAGGTGCTGGAAAGGTCAGGGAATGTTAAAATTGGGTCAAAAATGTCCGGGAATTTTGAAACAGTAGATATGTCAGGGAATTTTGTATCAATGTTGAAATATAATGTTCCAGCAAAATACATTTTAGGCTATGACAGGATATCAATGAAATCCAAATTCTAACATTCAGTTGTTTCCACAAAGCTGTCTGTTCCACAGTCTGGTCTTACATCAGTCTATTCATCTGCCCATCTGTCAAGGCAATAACTCAAATATCAGTTCACAGATTTTGTTCAAACTTTATGTACTGATGCTTTGGTCATATAGGGCCTCTGCTCAAAAAGACACTTTCACCATTTTTGGTTCAGATTAATTGTGCAGATGGGCACATGCTCTAGAAAAAAGGTTGTTGCTACTCAAAAAGTTGCTGTTTTCAGAAGAAGCATGATTCCTGATAATACAAATACCGAATATTTTATTTGGTATCATAGGACTATTCCGTATAGTGTCGCTACTAGATAAGGAATTTCTAATATGGTGTCATGTCTTGGTGTGGATTTTCCCAAAGGGAGAAGACAATAGTAATGCCAGGTTATTGTTATCATATAATGTTAACAATGATCAGTAGTTGACAAATTATAGTTTGAAATGCTTAGAATGCACCATTTACAATGTAAATTTTTAAAAATTCCGGGAGGTGAACCGCAGTATTCCCTTTTGGGTTTCGCTTCACTCATAGTGATGCAAACCCAAATAATTTCACCCCCTTAACATTTACTGGGTACTCCCTGTACAAGTATGTTTACCTTTAACCTTATGCAATGTAAAATCTGTAAAATTAAAAATGTAATCTATCAGGAATAAATTGGTGAATAAGATGGCTTTTAGAAGTAATTCTAAGTTACCGGTATGAGAAAATGGTACTAAATGAGAACCCCAAAATGTTTCATAATATGTCTTGTCTTAAATAATACAGTTGTTTGAGACTTTTTAGTGGGATGGGCAAGACTTTCCTTTTTGCCTGGAAATGTCAGGGATTTTCATTTTAAAAAGGTGTATGAACCCTGTTATAATGAAGGCAAACCCCACTTTTAAACTAAAACTTTATATATGAGTTTTATATAAGGCTGGTTACCTCTACCCCCCCCCCCCCCCCCATATACTCCCCCCATCCCTAGCATGATGTAATACCTACAACACTTATACGTATCTTCCAGAATTGCTTGATATAGATTATGGTAATAGAAGTACATTATAATTGTATCTCAAGTCAACTTAAAATCTGTATTTATAGGGAAACGTAATCACCTACTATTATAAGGGCGACGCCCACTTTTGATCACCTATGTAATTGTATGGTCTGTGACACATACCAATGATGTGAATAACAATATCTATTATATTAAACAAATGTCTGAACTGTCCTGATAATTCTTAGAGTACTAACATGTTCTGATATCTGTTGAGTTGAAAAATAATGCCTATTCTGTATGATGTAGAGGTAAAGGTTTTACCAAAATTATGGACTTTTTCAACAAAGATCATGGTTTCCATGACAACCATTAATGACAGATCATTGAAACTTTGCATACTAGTTAAGAATGATATTAACAACTTCCAGTAAAGTTATTGTGATGATTAAGGATCAACTGAAAAAGTTATTCAAGGATAATAAAGTACCCCCTGTTATTTTCTATATTAGGGTCTAAAACCCCACTTTGGCAACTTTCGCCCCGGATACGGCGCGTCAGACAAAAAAATTCTGAAGTATCACATAAAAATACATAAGAAACAAGTAATTTCAATTTGTTCACTGGTAAAAACATTTTTGTGTCCTAGCTTACTACCTATATTGTTTTCATATTCATTTCCAACTATACATTTTAGTATGTTGACAACATGTTACATATTTCAAATCAATCATAAATATTAATCAACTTGATATAAGAATAGATGTAGTCTCTTATTTTGTATAATAAAATTTTTAAGTGAAACAAAGAATCAGTTTGTTAGGTTTTTGAATTGCTATAGGTAGATAGAGATGTGTGCAAACTGCAACTTTGCTTCTACAATGGCTCTTATTTGTTAAAATCTGTTGTGAAGCCAATTAATTTTAGTTACAATAGAAGTCTGGATGCAGTTTACATGAATCTGATAGATAGTGGCATATATTTAGATGACCCAATTAGTATAGTACTGAGAACTATCAACTTACTAACATGAAATATTACATCTTGATATTTCGGAAAAACTATGATATATTGGCTAAATTGATGATGTCATTGGTTGTAGGTAGAAATCTGACCTTGCAAAAACATGATTAACTTATTTCTAATTTAAATAAATACAACCTTTGACATCACAGTGCAAGCCAATATATCAAAGTTTCTCTGATTATCAAAAGGTGGCAGGATTTATAGGAAAGATCTACAGGGTTTTCAAGTAAAGATAATTTTGCTATCAAACTTTTACAACTTGGTATTCATCATTCAAATTTTCAGAGAAGAAGTATTTGACATTTTCTGACTTCCCTGATGAAAAAATTATTGAGATATAATGAATAATGGCAAAATAGCTGTTGTCATAGTTAGTAATGCTGATACAGGTTCTGCGGAGCAATTTTAATAGTTCACAACGCACTAGATTTTGTTAACGTTAGCTTCTGTCCTGTTTATGTTTTGATCATAGTTATGTGGCTGCTCGACATTTTTAATAACGAGTTATCATTCAATTTCATGTTCGAAGTAGTTCCCCTTCGCTTTCACACACTGTAGCTGGTGTTATCAGGTTATACCCACTTCTGTGGAACCCATCTGGAAAGTCCTTTGTAAGCGGAAATTGAACGGCATTCTGAGGCCCCATAGGACTCAACTCGAACACATTCCATCAGGATAATGCGCTGTCGGATAGGTCACAAAGGGTGCAGGAAAACTATCCAGAAAAACTGTCAACAATGGAGATAGAGATTCAAGGTCAGCCAACATATTCTCCTGACAAGGCATTGTGCGATTTTGGGGATATTTTTATGTTTGAAAAATTGTCTGTGTGGTTAGATCCAGACAAACATACACAAGCTTCAGAATGCTGCTCAACGTTCGCTGATGGGTTCCACAGAATAAACCAGAATTGGGAAAAATGACACCAGCTACGTGTGAAAGCTAATAAGAACTATTTTGAACATGAAAAGGAATGTTAACTTGATGGTAGAAATATCAAGCAGCCACAGAAGTATGTTCAAAACAGACAGGACAGAAACTAGGGTTAACAAAATCTACTACGCTGTGAACTTTAAGAATATTGCTCAGCAGAACCTGTATCCATGCTGCTATGACAACCACTTTTTTGCTCAATAATTTTTTCAGGGAAGTTAGAAAAATGTCAAATGTGTCTCTGAAAATTTGAATGAGGAATAACAAGATATAAAAGTTTGAGAGCAGGGAGAAGTGATATGTCAGCACAAGTGGTCACATATTGTTTTATTCTTCAACTTTTTTGTGGATGGTGTTCGGCAGTTGGCATCTGTAACAAATGGCTGCTGGTGATATTTTGCACATTATATTTCCTTACATAAAAAATTTCACAATGAAAAACATTGAAAAAACTGATTTCCTCCATTTAAAAAAAAGTAAACCAATTTTCATTATGTCACCACCAAAAAGTGGTGGTATATCGTTATGGTCTCTGTTTTTTTGTGACGGCGGTTGGTGATCGGCGATCGGTGGTTGGCATCTGTAACAAATTCTTAAAACTTCCAACAACTTAACAAATACTGTTTAGACTGACTTCAGTTTTTTTCAAAATCATCTACACGTTTTCAGAAGTTCAAATCTGACTTTAAATTTAAGATCTGACCTTCATTGACCTTCTCAAGGTCAAAAAAGGTCTTTCAACTTGCTTATCTTTTTTCAAAATCATCTAAAAGTTCAAATCTGACTATAGATTTGACCTTCAATGATATTCTCAAGGTCAAAAAAATATTTGACCTTCAATGACCTTCTCGAGGTCAAAAAGGTCTTTTTCAACTTGCTTCAAATTGACCAATTTTTTTTTCAAAATCATCTAGAAGAAGTGCTTCAAATTGACCAATTTTTTCAAAACTGTTTACAAGATCTCAGAAGTTCAAATCTGACTAAATAGATTTGAGATTTCTAGTCGACCTTTTCATGGTCAAAAAAGGTCTTTGTTGAACTTGCTTCAAATTGACCAATTTTTATTTTCAAAATCATCTACATGTTCTCAGGAATTCAAATCTGACTTAAGATTGAACTAAAAATATTGTGAGCAACTAGGTGGTGACATGTTGTCATGCTAATGCCTTGTTAAGATTTTTTGAACATTGTGTATAGCCTGATCCTTGCCTTTTCAGAAAACTTAAAATCCTTGGGAATTCAAAGTTCAAGTAAAAAGTTGTAAATTGAATTGTATCACTTATTGTAAATAGAAGAAATGGTTGGTTAAATTTGCGATCTATAATCTCATAAAAATTAACAAAACAATGTCAGATAAGCTAACTATAAGCCCTCCACTCAGAATATAATGGTTTATATGGGCGTCCAATCTTAAAGAATGCTCCTTCAAAAGAAGCCTACCAGGATAAAACCAATTGATTGATTACAGATGAAGTTTTATATTCTACTTGAAATATCCATATTAATAAGGTGTGCCCAACAATTTACTTTTACAGCATTCATATTAATTGGGAGTCCACAAATAATGTACATGGATTCGTCGTTGATTCGTTCTTGATCTGTTAAATAAATCCAGCAAACAAACTGTAATATCAAGTAATTTTGGGTAAATACCAAGTGTACATGAAACTAGCCATATGGAATGACTGAATTGTGCAATGTTTGTGTATTTAAACACATGGCACCTGCACTCTATAGTTCTGTCTACAGTTGCCGAGTTCTTTGTGTGAAGCTTTATGCAAATTGTACAACCATATCATTTGTGACATTCGAATTCATTTGTTGTTTGATTATGGTTAAGTTTCTGCTTTATTTTCTGTCCTTTTCAAGCAGTGTTCACTGAATAAGTTTGCTATTTCATATGTTGTTAAATTCCTTGTATTTATTTGTAGCTTATGCCCATCAACTGAAAATAAAAACAAAAACACTCATTAAAAATTTGTAGACTCAATCAAATTGTCAAATAGAGTCATGATCAGACTGTTTAACCTGTTCTAATGACCATTAGGGTGGCTCAAAATAATTTTTTTTTGGAAATGTTATGCTCCCTACGTGAATCGAGTTGCATTTTGAGGTAAATATCACCTGTGATTTTTTTCAAATTTTTTAGTCAACTTTTAGGGGTCCCCCATAGCCTTTGAAGTTTGCTCATAGGCGTAACATTAGTGGGCGTCGCCCAAAATCGTACTTTGTAGAAGTTTTCTTCTAGAGTGATTTATTTATGTTGTTTAAAGAAAAACAACATTGTATATGATATGATTAGATGTTTAAATCATCATATTACTCTGTTTCATCATGTGAACTTATATATAAGGTTATACTTACAATATCCTATTTACAAAATATCAGGTACATTCGACCAGTATAATTATTTGAACAAGTACAGTTTTAGAGAATCATGTCTCATATATGATTTGGTATTGTCATTATAATGGTTTAAACTGTAAAAGGTATTTTCATTTTTGACATTTAATGTTTTAAACATGGTTCAGATCAGATTTTCTTATATGTGACACTCTTCCTCTATGATCTGAGCGTACAACACATACATTGTCACGATGCGCCGCGTCATAGGTCATTTGAGAGCATTCCTGTACCAGCTTCACTGCTTGTTCAGCTGGATCATTCTCAGAATGCAGGTCTTGACAGAAATTCTGGGTTTGAATATAAGTTGCTCTGAGCGCACAACACATACATTGTCACGATAAGAGCCAAGATCTCTCAGTTACAAACATTGCTAGTGATGGTTTAACATTGCCTAATCAAGCAGCAACTGGGTTGAATTCAGGCTGTCCTGGTTTGCCAGTTGCAAATTGTACAGGCCATGGGATGTTGAGCAGTGCTGTAGCAAGCTCCTGCTTCTCCTCTCTTGCTCTGTCTTACACTGCCAAGAGCTGCGACCAACCTGGAGCCTACCACCATGTCAGGTTCATGGGGAAGAGTCTCAACCTCTTGAAGATATTCATGCTCAGCCACTTATTTGTCCAACTTACTCCACAGCAACTGCAGAGGATAACACAACTTGTGGGATTTGTGGTCTGTCTCTACGGATGGTATTTCTTAAGTGCCCCGTTGACAACCACAGCACCTCTTCACGGTCTCAAGTTCTGGTATCATCTGCAGGAATATCTCAAATGACCTGTGACGCGGCGCATCATGACAATGTATGTGCTGAACGCTCAGATCATAGAGGAAGAAAATCTGATCTGAACCATGTTTAAAACATTGAATGTCAAGAATGAATATACCTTTTACAGTTTAAACCATTATAATGACAATACCAAATCATATATGAGACATGATTCTCTAAAACTGTACTTGTTTAAATAATTATACTGGTCGAATGTACCTAATATTTTGTTAATAGGATATTGTAAGTATAACCTTTTATATAAGTTCACATGATGAAACAGAGTAATATGATGATTTAAACATCTAATAATATCATATACAATGTTGTTTTTCTTCACACAACATATATAAATCACTCTAGAAGAAAACTTCAACAAAGTACGATTTTGGGCGACGCCCACTAATGTTAAGCCTATGGGCAAACTTCAAAGGCTGTGGGGGACCCCTAAAAGTTGACTAAAAAATTTGAAAAAAATCACAGGTGATATTAACCCCAAAATGCAACTCGATTCACGTAGGGAGCATAACATTTCCAAAAAAAAATTATTTTGAGCCACCCTAATGACCATATGCTTGATATACCACTTCCATCACCAAAACATTTGATTCTTTTTTGCTCTTAATAAATATAATGGTCCAGGACACTTAGATCTTTTGATCCAATTTTAATAAACATGAACATGCATGTGAGGCAAACTAATAATATAGACTGGCGAAAGTTAATTTTAAAGTTAATTGATTATACTAGTTTTATGTTGTTCCTTCTTTTTTTCTGCAAAAGTAGGTGAAAGTTATATGAGAAATTCACTTCAATATTTCAAGATCCTTGTCAACATTGAAAAATCTCTACATGCCTTAAACTATAAAGAGTCAAACAAACACCTATGTACCTCATCAGTCACAAAAATACAAGGATCTGACCCAGATAATTAACTTCCACATCTAAACTATGATCTAAAGATATCTTACCAAATTTGACATCAACATTTGGGTCTGATCCATCAGATTTGACATCTATTTTCAAACTGCATTTATTGTTTGTCTCTCTGACCCTCTGGGCGCTTATTTGGAAGAGAAATTCTCTGCAACACAAAATTGGTCTCATATTAAAATGAAAAAGAAATTTCTTCCTGACATAGGACCTGATTTGGGAGAACCCCCCCCCCCCCCCAGACCACCCTGGACGCTCTTTTTTCACTTCGCTCAACTCATGTTCCGGTGGTGGTGTTCTACAGTAAAATTTTAATTGTTTGGAACTACTTTGAATTTAAAAAATAAGCAATCAAATGACTATATTGCAACAGCATATAAAAATAGAAACATATGTACTTGTCCTAACTTTTGTATATTTCAGATAGTTATGTATAATGCGCAGTAAAGCTGTGGCCTTTTGTAATTTAGGGAGTTTTCGCCATGTTAATTTTTACGAAAATAACGTGGCAGAGAAGCATCAAAATATAAGAGGCCACAGATATGATAGCTAAACTACAAATCAAACTAAAATATACAAAAGTTAGGACATGTATAAATGTTTCTATTTTTACATATACTGTTTCAATATGGTCCTTTGATTGCTTATTTTTTAAATTCAAAGTAGTTCCAAACATTAAAAATTTTACTGCACTCATAAAAATAGCGCTACGCCCATGACAGTTGTGCAAGTTCCACTCACCAAGATGAGCTAATTTAGGCATGATTCAGAAAATAAAGAAATAACTTTATTTTTTGAATTTATATTTTCTGTGCTGTTATAAATGGACATCTACAGTTGGGAACATAAAGAATTACAAAAGCTAAGAAAGTACATGCTGTCGCACATGTAATAAATTCTCACCTCAGTGTATTCAGTGCTCTATTTTCTCTGTCCTAGTAAGTCCACATATAGTGGAATTTGTGTCCATAATGACAAATAAGAACTTAAAAATTTGAAGTGGATATTCACATGTTAATGCCGACTCTTCAAATGTTGAGGTGAATTTAGAGCCCGATTGCGCCCCAATGTGGATTGGGTCCCAGAATGCAACATGACACGTGCCAGCTTTCAAAAGACGTTCCGCCATTTTGAAATCTGTCACGAGTAAATAAAGTTAACTGATGTTGCATTCTGGGAGTCTTAGAATTTAGCTAATTGTGACAACTTTTGAAGGTTGAGATTTATTTTTGGCCCTCACTTTACCCAAGTTTCGCTAATATGTTCACTCCAGTCCGTACTGTGGGTCATTTAGTTTGTCAGGCGTGGAAAATTCTCCCATAGATATTATAATCAGATTGACAACCTGTAGGGACGTTCAGGACTTTTGCCCTTTGAGTTGACTTTCAATTATCACCCACCAAAAATAGAAATTTTTTTTGAATAACTTTGTACAAGTTATTCTTAGTCTTTTAAATTATTTAGTTGTGATAGCTACATACCTTATAGATCTAGTCTTTGAATGGAAAGGATTAAACTCCACCTTAACATTTTTAATTTGCGCTAAAGAGAGATTCTTCAACAATTTTGTCAAATGTTTTTGAGAATGCATGATGTTCCTTCAACATTGACAATTGACCTAGATATTTTCCTATTTTGTGAGCTAATTATTGCACACAAAATGCTTTTCTAGAAGCATATGCATTGGATCTTTGAATTATTTGTCGTATTATCTAGAGAGAAAAGTCCCGAAAATCTCAGATAAAATTAAAATTTGTTAAAGAGTGCTGCGGCTTTGAAAACTTACGAAACTTTAAAATAAAAACTCTTCTCTTTTTACTTCGTCGTCGCTATTTTTAACCTAAAAACATGTTTCGGAGGTGTAGGGCATTACAAACAATCATAAAACAAGCAACTTGCAATCGACCTAGCGTCAAATATCAAGTTTTGAACCATTACACCAGAAAGGTATGATTTTATCTCTATTATCGCCCATTCAATTATTTGCCATTATTTCAATTTATTTGATGTGCATATGCCACCCCATGATATTTAGAAGGTCTGCCATCTTAGTCTACTATAATATATAATAATGAAAGATCATACGTCAATATGTTGCACAGGACCCACTGGCGGATCAACAAGATAACAAGGGGGGGGGGCAAATTTTGAGTCAAGAGCGCTTGCAGGGAAAACATTTTGGGCCCCTAAAACCCAAAAATGGGCGAATATTTTGAAAATATGAAGCCCATTTTTGATAATTTGGCCAGTTAAAAAATAAATTAAAGATAAAAATGCCAAATAATGCCCTAAACGGTCCAAACAACCACTGGATCTGACAGTGGGGCCGTCGCCAAATTTTGCCAATGAAAGGGCTCACATTTCAAAAATTCCAGAGGGGTGTTTACATTCGACAACTTTTGCCCAAATTCACATGTGCTCAGACTGGTAAAAAAACTGCATGATTTTGAAAAACCTTTACCCAGGGGGATGTTGCTTGAACCCTTTCTATTACAATCTCTAGATATTGATTCTCGTATCTAATGAAATCATTCATTTTTAGATAAGAGACTCGATATCTAATCAACCTCTAAAACATTTTACCATGGGGTTTCTCTTGAAAGCCTGTGATTTTACACTCACGACCAATGGTAATGATCAGGGAATTGGTGTTTCATGATGAAAATCTCATGAGTCCTACATTAAGTATCAGAAATGTATTGTTGTATTATAGCACAGTACTCCATTATTTTATGTGATATACATGTTCTTAGCACTTTACTGCTTTTCTCTAGATGGACTGCATGTATGTGCCTGCTACAAACTATGGTGTAATTGCCACTGCAACAGAGAAAGTAAAAGATAAACTTGGAATGACTCCCATGAGATATCCAAAAGCTGTAAGTACATTAATAGACTGAGCATAGACCAATAATGAAATAGCTTAATATCCTCCTTTTTTGTGAAATTAAATTGTAGCGTATACAAAATTATTTGAAAATATTTTCCAACTGGCTTCTAAATTCTAATTTTAAATTTATTTACTTCATCTTTGGAAGTGGAAATAGAAATGTATGTAGAAAACTAGAGATCAAATCTGCATATTTAAGATGCAACTGTAACACTGACGAGAGAAAAGTTGAGAGTAAATTTCTGAAATATCACAATTTTGAAAGAGCCTACTGTAATATTGCTCACAACATTCCTTGTCATACAGTCTTTCTATTTTTCTAAAAGGTTCAATAGTTCAATGGGTTGCATGGCAATAGTGTCCCCCATTTCAATTTTATTCAAATGATTTTGGATTCTCTGCATCCTAATCTCTGACAATATCCATATTTGATGATCTAAATTCTCCTTTTCAGACAGTAAAATTAGTTACAATGGAAACATTCCTATGCTTTTTGAAAAGATTGCTTTCAAATTTTTACTGATTTTGTTGCTGCCACTTTAATCTATACAACAATTGCTTTTCAGAAAATGTATTGGGGTGCATACCGGTTGTATATGTGTGCAGTTGAACTGATAGATTCTGATTATTTTGTTAAAGGTAAGTGCTGCATAGAATGAAACTTTCATCTAAATTCCACAGTCTAGTCTAGAATGTAATTTCTTGGTTATCAGTTTCCCTGACTTTTCATTGGGATCTTTTGAATGTTAACAGCAGCATCATGTAACTGTATAGTATATAGGCTACAGTATGTCATATACCGGTACTTTACTGTACGTACTACTTGTCTTTTGAATCCCTATATTTTCAGAATTAGGATTACCAGATACATTTAACTCATGGTTTCTAATGACAGAACTGCATCTATGGTAAGTCATCAGATTTTGAAATCTATGTGCTCGCTGGAGTTTTGAATTTGGTAATAGCACAAGCAATAATTCATCTGCTAATCTTCTGCCAATTACACTGATGCGAGTAGGTAGTTGCTAGTTTCACCACCAGGTGGCTAATTCGGGGTAGATAACATGGCAGGATATAAGAAAATTCCCTTAAAGGCCCCATATAAAGTTTAAACCACTTTGGTTTATATTATAGTCTTACCTAATGTTATCAAAGGGTGGTATGTGAAACTTTTCAATTTAATTTAAAAATGGTGATTTTGAAGGACTCTTTGTTCGAAAAATTGTTAACTTATTTCAATTAAATTTTTGTTGTCACCTGCATATATTAATAAGCAGTATTTGCACACCAATAGATACCATACTCCCAAATCTATTTTATGTTGAAAAAATTAAGAAGATTGGTTGAAGAATAAGAGAGAAATGAACTCACAAACGCAGAAAAGTGGTTCAGAGAAAAGGGTATTAAAAATGTAAATTCTCATTGAAACCAATGGTAGAGAAACAAAACAAAAAGATAAACACTTCTTTTCAACACATATAGGCCTTTATTTGAATGTTATATTTGATGGTCAATAAATTTAAACCTTTGCTACTAAATGGCGGAAATTCAACTATTCAAAAATTAAAATACCAATAACTTTTTTCAGAAAATTTCCAAAGCATCTTTTTAAGTCATGATATACTATATTTAGGTGGTTGAACTTTTCATATTACCCTTGTGCTCAAACTCACCAAACCCCCTTGGCTAAGGGCCTGAACCGTAACATCTTTCCTATACAATATGTTCCGTTGCTATACTTGCAATAAATGGATTGCATATTAGGGAACCTGTTGGTGTTCAGAATAGAAGTATGTTTTTACAGAATTGTTATTATAGTATACTGGTATATAAGTACACAATCTGTATAAATTGTAGTCTTCTTTGTGTTGTTTGTATACCTGGTGTTTTCATCCATATAGATATTTGGTTCAGTTCAATTTTGATTTTGCACTGTGTTTTGCAGGATGATAATGGTGCGGCTTGGCTCAGAGGGTCGAGAAGGGCGCTATGTTAGGAATCAACTCATACAGGCTCTCTGGAGTGACATCGAAGTCAGGTCAAAGAAGATTGGGGTGAGAAAGATCTTACTATTTGACGAGAATATCTAAATTTGTATTATTCGCTGTGGTTACAATTCCAACTTTTAATTCTACTATAGCATGTGAACTTCTTCATATTCTATGTGATTGCCTTGAGTTTTAATTAATATTGCCACATGTGTGTTCCGTATTCCGTTAATACCTGTTCTCACTACTTGTGCTATATTATATCTAATCCATGTGACATATTGTTTCAGGAGGGAGTATCTTCCACAGTAAGGAAGAGTGGGGTGCAACAATTGAATGAGCATTTCCAGGGAGCTTTATTTGGTTATGATGAGGTATGTAAGTTGTTTTTGGTGTGCCAACTTGAGTTGTATCTGATGGGTTAGTGTGCTATCAGATGTGTCGGTGTTTTAACAGATGTGGAAGTTTTAATGTCAATGAAATGTCAATCTCCTTCTATTTTTATTTGATGGCCATTATAGGACATGTTTCATATGTGCTCCCTGGCACTGAAGACAAACTTTGATTCTACGCTAATCATGGCATTAATGTGGTAGTTAAAAGAAAAAACAATGGTCCACTTTTTTCTGGTCACCCTGTAGTGTAACTGTGTTTTAACTGAAATGTCAGAGATGTTTCAAAAAAGCATATCGTTTTTATACAATGTTATTACTACCATAGACCTAGGATGTAGAAAGTCAATCTATCGTGATATTTTTATATTCCAGGGTCTCCTTGGTGATGATTACATCCTAAGTGGTGCCATCTGGCGTAATGTATTCAACAAGGACACTGATGAACCAGAGAAAATAGAGACAGTTGTCCAATATATCAGGAAGAATATCAAATACTTAGAGTCTCAGTCAACAGAAATTATTCTTGTCAATGGTATTATATCCTTTTTACCATTATATGGGGAAAAAGAAGAAAAAGAGAAAAATGATAAAATATTGAAAATGATCTTGAACTCTGATGCTGTGAACACCAGGTGATGCAGGGTTGTACAATAGACTTTAAACATTAGTGAATACAGTGAAACCTGTAAAGACCTTCAGTGGTCCACTCTGTGTAAGTCGACTATTAAGCCTCAGAGACGTTGACATTGTCAATATGTAAGCAGATATTTGTTGACATAGTCTCTATATAGTCAGAAAAAATGTATCATGGTTTCAAAATTGTTATTTATAAAAAAAATTGTAACACTACCTCTACCTCATACTCATTACTCATGTTATTGTGCTTATCTCGTAAAATCTAGTAAACAGTTTTCATAAGAGGTAAGATCACCAATTAGGTATTTCTAATGAAAGGAATTATGCATGTAGAATATGAAATGAAAATACACTAATGAAATAAAAATACAAAGGTTCAATAACTTGCAAAAATTGTATCTGTGCTTGTTCTTCATTTTCATTAATTACAATACTATATTATCAATAATATTATTATCAACAATCGACTGTATACAATATTTATGAATTTTTATTTATCCTACAGATCCGAGTTTTCAGTACTTTCATCACTTTGCCCAGCTGAATAATTGCATGGGCTCTATGGTAGAGCCCATGATAATTGTAAAACCCGAAAAATTGTAATAATGGTTCACTATGTAAAATATATAAAAGTAAATCTACTCTCGCAATATTGTTTCCAAAAAGAATGTAAACGAAGGAACAAATCGGTTGTTAACCTGGTGTACCCTGTGTGCAGAGTCTAGTTAAACTACAATAATCTATGAACACGGAGCTCTCTTTTAAGAATTCGGAAGTCGAACGAATGCAAAGGTGTGGATAGAGTGTCAGTTACATATCGCATCGACCTTACAAGGTAAAATATACTCTACAAAAAGTACTAATTTAAGCATACTGTACATGATGGAAATAAAACCGAAAGTCGTTAATCCACTCCTGGAAATAATTCCAAGAACAGAAGAAGTGATTTTCAGCCCCTCAAAAATGGAACTTCATGTACATTTCAAATATTAAAAGAACAACATGCTTAAATGAAGTCTCGCTTTTGATCTTCATAGTATTTCCCTGATCTTTCGTTTGAGATCAACAACAGCACAAACAGATCACTAACACATCAGAGTTAACACTATGCACGCAGTTTGTAACACTGACAAACTGCGCGGATATAAACACTGCATCATACAAGTTTTTTCAAACGTCATTTTAAGACATTTATTCTCCATTGTTTTATATATAGTTTCATACGTCTATTTGGTGGCGATTATATGATTCTACCATGTGATAGCGAAGGTTATGTCTAGATGAACGTAGGTTTTAAAATATAAGCAGATTAATAAAAAATTGTCATCGGTCTTTCGATTACCGACACATAAGTTAAGATATCGCATTTTTCACAGAAAAAAGAAAATACTATATTACTAAACTATGTGCAGCAGTCGTTTCTCCCAGTATATGCAAACACAAGGGCTGAAAACTTAAAACTACAACAAACAGCCATTATGATGCAACACTGTATAATTTGAACACGAAAGCTCCTTAGGAACCTTTTATTGAGATAACTAGGTTTACATCAGGAAAAAACGAGTGCTACTTGTAGTAAAGTAAGCTAGTCTCCACATAGCTTAATGAATTTACACAGAAAACCTAGCTTGTATTCTTCCAGTACTTTTTATTCTTATGGGAGTCGTGTCCTCCCCGTCTGCCATTTTTAAATATGCGCGCAGTTTGTCAGGGTTAAAAGCTGCGTACATAGTTCGCACGTAGTTTGGGTACCGCACCGTGACGTGTATTCTGGATGCCCATTGGCTTATCTATGGTCACATGTCGACGATATGAATTAAATGAACTAATTTATTGAGAAGTCCTAAATCCCCTGCTTGCAAGGAAGATGAAAAGTACTAGGACTTTTATCTACCGCGGCTAGCGTCTGTACGTGTTAAAAATTATTCAATTTCGAAATTAAATTTTGACTTAAACTCCGGGCTTAAACTAGTCCTGTTTTTGTGCACGAAACGTTTCACTTACGAGCCAGTGCTATAACCGTACCTTATTTTGATCTGATCACTGGGTTTTTGGGAAAGGCATTGGGTGTGAGATTTATCCTTAATGGCAGTATTAGATAATGTAACACAATCCGAGTAATACCGCGGAAAGGTAAAGTTCAAAGTGACGGTAAAGTAATTTTTGTACACATCACTGATGGACAAACTTACCGGTTGGAAAGCTGACTATATCGGCGATGAACTTGTAGAAAGCACATGCTCAAAAATAAAATACATGACGAACTATGGAAAAACTCAGCATGTTTACTAAAACTTTTTAGTTCTTCTTATTTTTCATAAAATACCGATGCCCCCTGTACAATTTCTTATCTTTTAGTTTTTAGTTTTATGTATTTTTCAAATATAAGTGACTATAAATGAGTTACATGTAAACTGTAAATAAAATTTAACTGTGAATAAATATGAAAACTGTAACTTGACTGAGATGGATAATATGAAGGTGGTTAATGGCAGGCGGATTAATGGTATGATCCGGGGTATGATGGTGAGTCTCTGTACGTCTCTCCCGATTGGTGAAGTGGCTGCCATTCTGCTGTTCTAGCCGTAGCCATGGCACAAAAACATTGCATCTTTGAGTTTAACTTTTTATGTCCGATATAGTTGTGATTGGTACCATCTCTTGACTACATGTAACAACTTATGTTATAGTGCCGTATATTACGGTACATAAATTAACAATCGGATTGATAATTATGTTAATTATCATATGAGTAGCCGAGACAACACAAGTCCCAAGTCTGTATATTTACTCTCATTTTTTCACTTTTAATAGTTAAGTCACCACATTTTGCATGCAAATTCCTTGGAAAAATCCTAACATAGAATTCCAATGGTTTTGATTATTTCTTTGTTAAATATAAGGAAACATTTGATTTTGATTGGTCTATACTCAGAATTTTCCATTTTGTGCAACAAATGCAACATTTTGACAATATTTATAAAACTCCAAGTTATAAATGGCAGATACAATATGGTGTATCTAATCTTATTTGAATAACTATCACTTATTTTTTGCCAGTCATCAGATCGTGCATTGGGAGTACCGCAATGAGAAATGCATTCATCGATTGTGGCAAGTAGTGAATTGTCAAAAGAATGTCTGAGTCGTACCATTATTTTGCTGCATTTTGGTGCTTCTTTTTACATCATTTAAGGTCGTTTTGGTACCACTGTGATGTCATAATATATAATTTGATGTCATAATACGGGTACCAAATTTAAGCACATATTACAAGCTTTAAGAGTGATACCAAATATCATTCATTTGATTAAAATCATGGTAACTGGAATAAGCTCAAAAGTTATGCCACTCCCCTACCCCATCCATTTATCAGGCCATTGAAACATGCCAAAATCTCAAATAATGCAGACATCTCAGTTCATTGGTCGTTTTTGGCCCCGTTTCTGCATACCATTTTTCTCGGAAATGTCTCAACTACCCAAAAGAGTTACATTTGTGCTGAATAAGAAAACATTTGGTCATTTTGGAGTTCATTACACCAAAAGTAGTGAATTTTATTAATTTCGTCAAAATGTTGCATTTGTTACAAAATGGCAAATTTGGGTTATAGGCCAATCAAAATCAAATGTTTCCCTATTTTTAACAAATACATTATAATCAAAATTCAAAACCAATGAAATTCTAAGTATGTTAGGAAATTTCCAAGGAATGTGCATGCAGTGCAAGTGGTGACTTAACTTTTAAAAGTGAAGAAATGAGAGTAAAGACAGACTTGGGACTTGTGTTGTCTCGGCTACTAATCATTATTTTATTATACGACGGTTACCAATTTAAAGTGGCAACAAGGCCTGTTAGCTTCTGGACCCGCCAGTGCCCACTTATAGAATATAGAAGTTAAGATATACTTTGTTCCCGGGGAATTATTTCTTTTTTTGTACAGTGTAAATAAGTGGGCAGACCATTAGGTTTATTGAATACGTTTATTATATTGTTTTACATTTGAAATGTATACCTAACAATAAATATTTTCGCGTGAATGATATTAAGACGTATCTTTTTCATCCCTCTGTTACAAATGAGAAGAAGATACGGATGTATTCCTGTAGCTCAGTATTAAATTTTCCCATAATTCATCACGTGCACCTTGCAACTTCCTTTTCCGTTTAAGATTTTAACAGGCATCATTGTGAGTGAAAATAATCCATAATATCTCAAAATATCTCTGCTTCTGTGTATCATCGGTCACTTGTTTTGAGTTTATGCCATTTATTTATACTAACCAACATATATATTGTGTTGTTATGTCTATTTTCAGAAGGACGTCCGCAAAAATTGACCAACATGTCTGATGCGGAAGGGTAAGAATTTCTTTAAAAAAACATTTTCATTCAGATTCGTGAGTTCTACATGAAATTAAAATAGTATTATACTGCATTGTGTTGTGTGACAGTATGGTGTTTGTAAAATGTATCCACCATTTCATCTGCTTGGGTTCAAACCAGTTATTATTGGTATGGGCCACGTTCAGAATTTCAGTGACATTTATTGGAAAAATCTATCGGTTTGAGTAATCCCTACAACGTGATGGTATTGTTTATTTGATAATGGATTAATTCCCATTACAGAGATGATGCCGGAGCTGCTGCAGCACCTGTTGCAGTCGACTCTGGCCCAATGGATATGAACACAGCTGTTCAGGAGGTACTGAAGAATGCAATGGTCCATGATGGACTCTCAAGAGGTCTCCATGAATGTGCTAAGACACTTGACAAGTAAGTTTGATATATGTTGTGCTAGTGTTTTGTTGACTTATGTTAAACTCTCAACGAATTCCTGTGGCTACAACCACTCTACCAATCCATTTTTACGCTATTTGAATCGGTACAGGGCCGAAGCCAGGAAGGGGGTTCGGGGGGTTTGGGCGTAATCCCCCTGGCCTAAAATTCTTCCAAAATTATGCAGTTTTCACCATTCTGAGCAAGTGAATCCCCCTTGCCAAATCCTGTGTACGTTTGTTTTGTAGTTTAGCTATCATATCTGTGGCTTGTTATATTTTGATGCTTCTCTGCCATGTTGTTTTCGAAAAAATTACAAAAGGCCACAGCTTTTCTGCACATTATACATAACTCAGTTAGGACTTGTACATATGTTTCCATTTTTCGTTGGAATAAAGTCATTTGATTGCTTATTTTTTAAATTCAAAGAAGTTCCAAACATTTACAATTTTGCTGTAGAGTACATTTCATTTGAGTTGTTTGTCAATTAAACCGTCAAAACAAGGTGCAGTTTCTGACCTATGGAAAAATACACTCGCACGCATCTTGAATTGGCTAGTTAATGTGTTGCCTCTCTATTTTGATGCTATTCTGACATAAATTGCTATGGCTGAAATTTCCTAAATCCCTAGTCCACATGGTTTAGTGCACATAGGTAAAACTTATTTTAATGTGAATTAGTATTATTTTATATGATACTGTACGGTGGTCTCTTGATTGCTTCCTTTTTATTAGGTTTTACAACAAACAACCCAGTCGTTTTGCAAGTTGTCAATGAATTGTGGAAAAATAATCTTGTAAAACACTTCAACATGAAAATTTTTGATTATCAAATAGTGTTTGCCCAATGATGAAGACAATGCTCCCTCTTCTGAATAAACAATTCATGAGGATTAGCTTGAACCCCACTGAGGACAAACATAAATTCAAAATGCTATTGTACTGGATGTATGTCTGCTTAATAATAAATGGTCTCTATTGAACTCTTGAAGATCTCAAACAATCAATGGAATCAGTTTAGTTTTCACTAAATACATGATTGTCTTTATTTTAGGCGTCAAGCTCATTTGTGTATCCTCGCTAACAACTGTGACGAACCCATGTATGTCAAACTTGTTGAAGCTCTCTGTGCTGAACATGGAATCAACCTCTTGAAGGTAAACTAGAACTAATACTTTCTGGTCATATGTTTTTTCACCAATGGTTCATTTTGCTCTAAAATGGCCTATATAAATATTTTATATGACAAATAAATCCCAATTTATATCATGCTTGTGAATTATTTTTCACTTAGTGTTCCAGTTATGATAAAACATTTTGCAAATATTTGGGGTGTTTGTCAGGATGTTTGCCCAATGATGAAGACAATGCTCCCTCTTCTGAATAAACAATTCATGAGGATTAGCTTGAACCCCACTGAGGACAAACAAAAATTTAGCTTGTTTGAACAGAAACTGTTCACTTTATAACGTTTAAGATGGTCATTTGTGAAAAATATTGGATGAATAACATCATTTTTACTCTTAACATGTAGGGTTATGTATCTTGAACTAATGTGGATTTGTTCACATTTTAGGTTGAGGACAATAAGAAGCTAGGAGAGTGGGCTGGTCTTTGCAAGATCGACAAAGAAGGCAAGGCAAGAAAGGTTGTTAGCTGTAGCTGCGTTGTTGTTAAGGTCAGTATACATTGAGATAGTAGCATCTGAGCCGTAAGGTTTGGAATTGTTTCTATTAGCATTTGAAGGCAACAATGATGTATGGATAATCCCAGCTCGCTTTGAGTGAATATCACACTGAAGAGAACTTGTTCCGACTAGCTCACAAAGTCTTATCTGAGTTGCCTTTTAAGCTCACAATAGACCATTTTGAATGTATTAATTCTAAGACAGAAGAAAGATAAGTAAACAAATTATGTATGGCTATTTAACTTAAAGACCATTGTCAATACACAGTTATGAAATATGATTATGTAATATTTCAAGATGATTAATTTGCCAAATTATCCAGAAAATGTTGAAATTGCCAAATGAACCAATAAACAATTAAACATGTACATGTATATAAACTTGAACATGTTGTGCTTCCAGGATTATGGCAAAGAAACACAGGCCTTGGATGTTCTCAATGAGTACTTCAAGTCTAAGCGATAATCTGCCAGTGCCATCACCACCTGAGACTGTACAACAAGCAAACATTTTAGTGACTAAACCTAAAAAAATATAAAACACCACCACTATATTTGATTGAAATTGCTTGTTAAATTGCAGTTCAATAAAGCGTGGATTAAAAAAAATTGAAAAATATGAAATTCTGTGATCAGTATATATTCTGCAAACATTGTAACAATGGAGCTTCATATGTGTTCCATTCTATGAGCTTGAAATCAACATACTGTTACTGTAATAGTAATGAAGTCTTATATCTTTGTCCTTAAACATATGTTTATACTCACTAAATAGTGAAAAGTTTCCGGTAAAGAGCATTCCTGTCATTTTCCCAGTCATATTCAATTGTTAAAATATTACTGGTAAACAGTAAACTAGTACTAGAAAATAAAATGATAATATCCTCAATATGACTCAATTTTTTGGGGTAGCGCTCTTGCATCCAGCTACATGTACAATGCGACAAACTATGTTATCTAATTTTGAAATAACTTCCTCAATCATTGTCAATGAAGGTGAAATCTTCAGTATAGCATGAGATCATGGTGTACATACAATACCTTACATCATGTACGTAGCATCAGACTCGAGATTAAATCGTGCCTGTGCCTAGACATACAACAGAATAAAACTCCATGATTTCAAAGTTGTTGATGTTTTGAAGTTATACGCTGTTTCGCGGAGTGAATATTATGTAACAAAATTCATGAAGATTCCATCATAACTGAGAAAGTTTACCAAAACTAAATGGTAAAAACCTAATCAAAGGCCCATGGGCAAAAAGTCAATTAAAACAATAATCTGATAATTCATAACTAATTCAACTTTAATTGTAAGAGAGCAATGGCAAATGATCCTAAAGGAAATTCCATATTTTGTAAACTCCTGCTTCAATCCAGCTTTTACATGACACCAATTCCCTAATCCATATTCCAATGATTACCATCACTTTTGGGACACTATAAACTGATAGATGTATAAACGTATGTGAAGCTCCAAATGTTCTGGGCTACCCAAGTATTCCAGTTGCCCAAGTATTCTGACTTGGCCAAGGTATTCCGGGTTTACTTATTTTATCAAATAAACTTGATACGGTGATTTTCAATTTCTAATATCAATTTTAGGTTTCTACAGAGGTGACTTGAAACTAGGCTAATGAAACCACTAATAATGTGGCTGCCTCGTGCACAAAAGGCTTTCCATTTATTCATATAAACTAACAGTGTACCCATTGGGGAATGTAAAAGGCCCGGTTGTTCGACTTTTCCACCATGGGACACTCCTGAGCAATAGAATATTTAGACAGAATATATCAATATATTCATAGGCCGGTGTAAAAGGGTAGGTGGTCCTTTTGGTCCTACTCTCTATTGATTTATATGGTGACCTAATTACAATTATTTTCCTTATTATTTATACACAGTCAGGGCCAGTTAGGGCCGTAAGGTAAGGGGACCATTATCCCCAGGGGACCATAATTTCTTTTACACCAGGTGTCAATTTCAGCATTTTTGGAAAATGGGCACCGATTTAAAAAAACTGGGGTCAAAACTTTCAACAAGCCAACATTTTAGGACTCTCTTTTTTCATCGTGGCATTTTTCCAGCAAACTTTTATTTTTTGCACCCTCTCTTGTGAATAACGCAAATACGAGTAGGTAGTTACCAGTTTCACCACCAGGTGGCTCGCTCGGGTCAGATAGCATGGCGGGTATAGTAGAAAGCTTCCTTTAACTTAAATTACATCTGTTTTAGTGGTTCAATTCTTATATAGCCTTTATGTATCGAATGGTTATGCAAACTAAAGTATGTCCAGTAAAAGAAAATGTTATATGTCCAATACAAGAAAAGATATTTCACTTTTTGTGATTTTGATGGGGTCTATGGGGAATCAACCCGAACTGGAATCACATTTTCAAAAAATATTAAATTTTCAAAGTTGATAAACAATTTTTGAAACCATATTTTCAGATGTATTTTTACATGATAGATTTCAAATATGACATCACTTTGACTGAATTTTGAATATTTATTGACGTAAGTCAAGATATTTTCGACTCGCATCTTGTCTATTATAAGATATGATAAAATAAGCGATCTCGGAACACTTGGGTTGTCAGAACAGTTGGGCAAGAGTCAGAACACTTGGGTAGCACAGAACAGTTGGGCTTCCACAAACGTACCAAATGTGTAACATTTTAGAAATCTGAAATTTTCAATGTTAGAATTCCATATTGATAATTGGTGGCGTATGAACAAATCTGTCAAAATCTGATTTTCTAATCATGTTTTATCGATTTGCACTATTCTATACATTACAAAGCGTTGCGCTTTTAATTAACATGATATTCATTATTAGATATTAAAGGGTGACGCATATCGTTTAGCAAATCGAACGCTCGTTTCTAGTGTTGCTCACCGTTTAGTATAAAAGGCCCGATCCCGGAATAATACTCAAGGGTTCACAGGCTCGAGGTCGTTGTGTCAACACTTCTAACTGTTATATAGCATAAGTATATTATAGATCGTCACATATTTATAAAACGGTGATTTTTATTTTGACAAATCAATTCCACATTTATGGGTGAAGTTTCAGGATCTTCTATTTGTGTATAATAAGGAAAAATTGACATCTAAATTTCCCCATAACGTAATAGCACACAGCTTGGTATATGAAATATCCTACAAATGAAACAAAGCAGTTCTAATACAAGGATTTAGTATTGGGTGTTGTACATATTCTTTGAACGCAATCACTCTATGGATAATGTTTTCAAAATCATTATAAACGGATTACTTTATCTCAAAGACAATTTCAATAAACTGGATTTTACAGAAGTCCCCTTATTTCTTAAAAATGGACTGATCCAGTCGATTCGCCTGGAGCCGCCATATTGTTTTTATACGGGATGCTTATCGGAACCCTTTAAATTAGCTTTGGCTAGAGGTCCCATCTCGTTTATTATGGACATCTCATGAATTACATCATACTATAATTCTCCAGTAGTGTAAATTTACGCATCATTTATCATGTTTACAGGGCTGTCAACTTGGGACCACCTAATATGAGTGACTTCAAAATGTTGGACACCTAAGTCCAAATCTGAACACTTTTGTCCAAATTTTGAACACCTTTGGCCAACTTTTAAACACCTTTGGCCAAAGTTTGAGCACCTTTGCCAAACTTTGATCACCTCAAATTTTTCCAATGAACATGCGTGACATATACGGGATTCGCGTGACAAATCCGAACAAATTGCGTTCGGTTTTTTTCAGACGTTCGTATTTTTACCGTATCGTAAACATATTTCGAAAAAATTTCTACAGAAATATTTTTGCGTGACAATTACCAGGGAAAATGCGTATTTGCGTGACATTTTCTGTCACGCAAAAAAAACTGGCGTGACTTCAAATTCTTCAGCAAATGCGTGACAAATACGCAAATTGCGGGACAGTTGACAGGCCTGTGTTTATGAACATCAGTAATCATGGTAAAAAGGTATGCCTACACATGCATGTCTGATTTGATTTAGATTACTAGTATACATAAAATCGTACACAAAAAGGTATATGAACTAATACTTAATGATACGTTGAAAAAACTTTTGATTGATTGAATGCATTAATTTTCACCATTAAAACCTTTACAAATATTGAAAAAAAGTTGTCAGCTCCCACCATTTTTCAAATAAAAGTTCAAATTTTTTAATCATCAAATATTAGATAACTAATCAATGTGCCACTTAGGATTTATCACTCAGGTGGTAAATGGAAAGTGAATCAAGTTATGTGTCCAAGTTTGTTTTTCTTGGGTGACATCTATAAATATAAAATAGAACCAGATTGTTATAACCGGACTGAATAAAATAGCATGATTTATTGGTCATTCATCTCAGTGATTTACATCATTAACGGTGTAATAAATAAAATCTTATATAATTCTTGTTTTGACAATAATAATGTAAAATAGTTGTGACTAAAATTGTGAGAAGAAATATTGGGTTATCAAAAGTGATATTGTTTTCTCATCGGAGAAAATGTTGAAAAGTTTTGATTTTGTTGATTTTCTACAACTCGCTCAAATAAAATTGAATAAAAGTCATGTGGCTCTTACATATGCCGGGATTTAGTAATCATTACAAGGTTTTACACTAAGTAGTCAATATGGACAAGTATGAAAAGATTCGAGTGGTTGGAAGAGGAGCATATGGGTGAGACTGTATTTTTATTTTTTCAAAGGTTCAATCAACAGAAGAGGGTGAAGAGTAGTATGTATCCAACAGACTGACTAGAAGTCAGTCTGTTATGATGTACTACTTTCCTGTGGAAATTGCAGTGAAATTTTTTGCACAAAATTATCAATTAGAGGAACCATTTCTTCAATAAAATAAGCATTCCAAATTTTCAATTAATTAGTAAGGTACAATTAAATGCAATAAAAAGTAACACAGCATATTGTCAAGTGGAAATAAGGCTAGTTGAAGTAAAAATGTGCAAATTAATTTTACCAAATCGGCCATTTTTAATAGCACTTCCTATGTAAACAAATATTATAAATTACCAAACTTTAACATAGGTGCCTTATAGTCTGAATATAATTCAGACTGAATAGGATATAGTCTAGGGTGAAGAGGGGAAACCCTAGTATGTATCCAACAGACCGAATATAATATTCGGTCTGTTATGATTGATATATTTCCTATGGAAATCGCGGTGATATTTTTTGCACATTAATTTCTCGTTTATTATAAGAATGTTCACCTTGAAAATTGGTGAATATGTTGAAGAGATGTTCATCTTAAACTAGAAGCAAAAATATTTGTATAAGGCGGGTACAAGTTGATATAAAATAATGAAATGTTCAGACTCACCGAAACTTCAGGATGTGTTCATAAGTAGATCGCGAAATCAATGTCAAGGACGTTTGAGTTCACGAGATCCAAACGAGATATGCAAATTTTGAACTTTGACAACACATGACCACTTGATTACCTCGGCCTTCTTCATGAATATTTCCGCTCTATTTACTATAAATGAAGAAAATTAATCGGGATAATGATAATAAATGACTAGATCTAATAAATTCCCGCACAAATGGAATTTAGCAATACGCTTCCGTAATGTTGCTCCCGCTCCACGTGTTATTTGTTTACAAATAGACTGACGTCACTGGCTAAATCTCGTTTATCGTGAGAATTGGCATTGCCAAAATGGCTTGACCTAATCAATGGCTTCGCTACAAGAAGCGTCTGTACATTTTATGAATATCTTCAGTAAGAGGACAATATACGAAAAAATAATATTGTGAGTTCTTCATAAGGTAATCATTTTATCATTAAACAAACTTATTTGTAATATTTATACGACACCACATTTTACAATAGGTGACTTACAGTCTGAATATTTATTCAGACGAAGGATACAGTCTAGGGGAAACCCATGGATTCAGAGAAGACATATCTCGATAATGTAAATGTGTATTGAGAAAACATCTTCGCTGATTGGTCAAATCAACAGACAAATGACGTCATTCAATGTCCTACTTGCCCGTAGCTAAAAATTCATGCCATAAGTGCTCAGAATGGTGAAAAACTGCATGATTTCTGTATACATGTATCTGGCCAAGAAGCTTCCCCTCTAGCTCCCTCCTGGCCAGTAGCTATGGGTCTGGTTTCTTTATTCTGGCCTGAGCTATGAAGCCACTTACGTGTTTTCACTTGTGGTTTTTCTCACTTGTTATTTATGAATATGCTTATATTTACATTCCTTTGTGTATCTCTGTCTAGAATGTGAGTTCATATCTCCATCTATATTGTTCGTTTATTCACTGTTACTGTTATCCCACTTAATTTCGGTGGCTGTTTTAATTTGGCTATTTGCATTCATGCCCCTGCCAATTTTTAAGAAAAAATCCACGGGAATCCCAAGTTTCCGTTTTTTGTCTGCCCACGCATGCCCACTCAGTTATTCTGCAATTTTTGAAATTTTTCAAACACTGAATTGAATTAAGACGTGAAATATGTTGATTCTGACTTGGGTCAGAAGGGGGAGCACTCTAGTATGTATCCAACAGACTGACTAGAAGTCAGTCTGTTATGATGTACTACTTTCCTGTGGAAATTGCAGTGAAATTTTTTGCACAAAATTATCAATTAGAGGAACCATTCTTTCAATAAAATGAACATTACAAAATTTCAATTAAATAGTAAGGTACAATTAAATGCAATAAAAAGTAACACAGCATATTGTCAAGTGGAAATAAAGCTAGTTGAAGTAACAAATGTTCAAATTAATTTTACCAATCGGCCATTTTGAATAGCACTTCCTATGTAAACAAATATTTCATATTACCAAACTTTAACATAGGTGCCTTATAGTCTGAATATAATTCAGACTAAATAGGATATAGTCTAGGGAGCACTCTCTAGTGAGCCACAACGAGGGAAGTACAAGAAAGGACAAGATGTCTGGTATTTCTTCTAGTCACACAGTTTGAGGTATCTCACAGGTATTTAGACCTGCTAAATTCGCCAAATTAAATCTCCACCAATTTTCTGATTTTGACAAATTGGTAATATTAGATAGTGCCAAATTAAGTAGCATAACAGTTTTTGAGAGCAGTACTATGAATAAGGCTCATATTTTGAGATTGTCATTTTTTTCTCTAAATGACAAAAATACCACAGACCACAGCAAATGTCATACATTGTTGAAAATTTTGGGAAAATTTTTGAATTATCCTAAGCACATGTGCATTGGGAATGAAGAAATGGAAGGGCAAAATGCAAAAAATCCTTTGATAAACCTACCAGTAATGCAGGGTTTTTAGAAGCATTTAGGCTTTATGTGATCTGATTTTAACTCTTTATATTTCTAGCACGGTGTTCTTGTGTAGGAGATTAAGTGATAAAAAACTGATCATCATTAAGCAGATACCTGTGGAGCAAATGACTAAAGAGGAACGCCAGGCTGCACTAAATGAGGTCAAGGTCCTGTCTATGTTGGATCACCCAAACATTATTGAGTATTATGAAAATTTTCTTGAGGATAAAGCTCTTATGATAGTTATGGAATATGCTCAAGGTAGGTACATAAACATTTTATAGAGCATATCTGTATTGACTATGTTACTGTAAATGTATTGTAAGTAAATAACATTGACTTGTAGTCATGCTTTAAATGAGTTTATTGCACTTTGAGTAATAATGCACATCTTACATATTGAGTTAAGATTTTGAATGGCAGAGCACATTTAATCTAATCACTGTGTTTATCCTGACAGTCTTGTCATCAAATGAAAATATTAAAATTGTGTATTAAATTACATTTAACTTTTGCAGACATTTCGATTAACATTTGAACTGCTGGCAAATATTTATGATTAAATATTTGTATTCACAATAGAAACAATGGCTTCAAATGATTTCCAAATGAAGTTACATTTGTACATGTGTTATTGTTTGAAACATGGATGACAAGTCTGTACTGTTTTCTAATATGATTGTATCAATGTATCATTTTCACCCATCTTTTTTCTAGGTGGTACATTGTTTGAATTTACACAACAAAGAAATGGTCAGCTTTTAGAAGAGCATGTAAGACAAATATAAATTGAGAAATATAAATATAAATTGTAAATATGAATTGGGATTTCAAAGAGAAGCCTTTATGATTCTGATCATAAATGACTCAAATTTTTTAAAAATTTATTTTGATGCAAACCTTTTTTCTGAAAGTATCAAAGTCTGAAAAAAGTATTTACCTAATAAGCAGCGTGACACATTTGAAATCAAATATTCTCACAATATTATTTTAAAAGGTCAGCAATTCCCATCCTGCACTACCCTTTTAAAAGTTTAGTTGGGATAAAGTGAAGCCCTCTGTCCATTTGTAAGTCATTCCGTCCATATAGAAATCAACTTAAATATTAGTGTTCTGATTTTCTTCATTAGTATAATGGTGAATAGTTTTCAATTTAATTTAAGATGGCCACCTCTCAAATATTGGCGAGACATTTTCACGGAAATCTGTTTTTCATTTTCAACCAAAGCAATAGGTATTACTGATATTTTAGTAGTATATTCACACAACATATACCTATAATCTAGTCTACATATATACCATGTATTTCATGGCCCTGTATTTCAGATTTATTTATAATTTGTTCGTTGGGATTTGGTACTCAATGGAGTTGTTGTTCTAGTTTATATAAATGTTTGAGGCAAATATGATTACCTAACAATCTTTTAAATCATCTTGTTCATTTGGAGCAGTTGCCTCTTTATAACAAATACTTATTTTTAAATTAACAATGTTTTTCTGTTGGTTGACAGTTAAGATATGATAAGTGAATATTGTCTGCACATTTAATTTAGACATCTTGCACCAGTAACAATAAGCATAACAATAAATAGAATAAAGAAATAAGAAAAGGTGTCATTTGAAAACACAAGGACGACTCTTCAACAATCAATGCAGCCATTTTTTCTGATTTTAGGATATTCTCCGATACTTTGTCCAAATGCTGCTGTCACTTCAACACGTCCATTCTAAACAAATTTTACACAGAGATCTGAAAAGCCAAAATATACTGCTGGACAGGAAGAGAGAAATTATCAAAATTGGCGATTTTGGAATCTCAAAAGTACTCAGTAGTAAAAGTAAAGCATATACTGTAAGTTAATACATTTAATGTGCTTTGTTTACCATTTACATTGTAATTTCTAATTTCAACAAGCTGGTCAGTTTCATAATCAATTATCTCTGACCATAAAAAAATACTGAACTAACAGTTACCCGTTTGAGATTTGACATGACATGAGAACAAGTATTCACCTTAGAGAGGTGTCCGTTTGCTCATACTTCGTTTGTACTTAGATATTCTATATGCATTTAATATATTTTGATTTAGGTTGTTGGAACACCTTGCTATATTTCACCTGAGTTATGTGAAGGGAAGCCATATAACCAGAAGAGCGACATATGGGCATTGGGGTGTGTTCTATATGAACTTGCTAGTCTAAAACGTGCATTTGAAGCTGGGGTAAGATCTCCTACAAGTGGTAATATAAAAATATATTTTCAGGTTTATATTCATGATCAATATTTTTTCTCTATGTATTTAGTAATACTAGACAATACATTTGAAAATGTTTTCTTTCAGTTTTACATCATTTTTGATTTGGAAAAAATAAAAAGCATTTAATTTACTCAAAAATGTAAGAAAAAATGAATTAAAAAAAAGTATATACGAGGGTATATCATAAAGTTCTCATAATATCTCTCTAATTTTTTTATTTTTCAATATTATCTAATGAAATTTTCATAGAAATTGCAGTATAGAATACTTTATTAATCTATCAAAAGATATTTGGTATAACAGAAATATTAGATAAGTAATGGTTGCCATAGTAACCATAAATCAAGGCACCCGGGGCAAATAAAAATAATTGAGAGAATGAGCTTAATTAACCTTGTTTACATACATAATAAACTCTCATAAATTACCAAACACATTAAAATGTTAACTTGAATATGTTGTTAAATGCTTTTTTCTATAAAATAAATTGATCATGTGGATTGTGTGGTGTCATAGGGGATGCTTTCATGCTTCATTAGATGTGATACCAGACTCTGAGAATCAAAGCTTAATGATCAGAAATGACTGAGTAAGATAATGCATAGATGCAGGGATCATCAGAAAAATAATATTCACACTGATAAAAAGTTTAGTTTAGTTAGAAAAATCCTTTTCTCATACTAAAGATGATCTGAAACAAATATGTTGCAAAGATATCAACATAATTACACCCTATGAGTGGTCTATTATTTATTTAAGATGAACTAAAGTGGAAAATCGACTTTCCTTGGAATATTTGATAAAACAGTTGTAGCGTCTAACATCACATCTAATGAAGCATTACAATCATCCATTATGAGATCACACAATTCACATGACCATTATAATAGTTCAAAACAGTCAAGAATACATGGTGTTTAACAATTTGATGTGCTTCATAGCTTATTTGATAATTTATTATGCATTTAAACATGGTTAGTTGGGGCTATTCCTGCACGATTTCTTATTTGCCCCGGGTGCCTTGATTTCTGGTTACTATGGCAACCATTTCTTAAATAATATTTCTGTTATACCAAATATTTTTTGATAGATTAATACAGCATTCTAAACTACACATTCTGTGAAAAATTCATCAGAATATATTGAAAAATAAAAAAATTAGAGAGATATTATGAGAACTTTATGATATACCCTCGTATATAAATATATAAATAGGAAGTTCACACTGGTAGGTTGCATTTGTTATTTCAGAACCTTCCAGCATTAATATTGAAAATAATGCGTGGTACATTTTCTCCTATATCTGACCAATACAGCCCAGAGTTGAGGGCCTTGATTCTTAGTATGCTCCATTTGGATCCTAATAAACGACCAGATATAAACCACATTATGGCTGACCCACTGGTTATCAGTCATCTGTTCTATATGTACACAGATATGGGCATGGTTCCATGCAAGTAAGTTGATGATACTATTGCCAAACGTATATGTAGAATTTCTCTGTAGGAATGGCACTGGCATACTTTCAATGTGTCAGACGTTCAGGAGCCATTATTAGTACTTTATTGTTTTGTTTAGGTTGATTGACAGTATTTTATTGTTTTGTTTAGGTTGATTGACAGTACTTTATTGTTTTGTTTAGGTTGATTGACAGTACTTTATTGTTTTGTTTAGGTTTATTGATAGTACTTTATTGTATTGTTGAAATTGATTGTAGGACTCAACGACCTCTGTCCAGTATGTCTGGTGCTAAACAAAGGATTGTACATAGGACCAGTAGCTATACAGGAAAAGGTGAGATATACCACATAATATGAGTTTCATGTGATGTAGTATCACTAACAGTTCACTCTGGTGATAGAGGGGGCAAAGACTTCATGTAATACTATCCAAACTAACAATGGTTAAATACTGTGTTTCTAATTGTTAAACATCCATTTTTTACTTTTCTGATTAGATTTCTTTTACTTCTTGCTCTAGTTTACATAATAATATGTATCATTTGTCAAGAGTACTTGGGAAAACTTGTACAGTATCCATTGTGTCTATTAATTATTCTGAATATCATTAGTATATAATTACATCTTTGTTAACTATACACTTTCCTTCGCAATAGTGTTCAAATCTATCTCACACATTTTAAATTGCTAATAAATCTCTGAACTAACTAAGCTAAATCAATGCTCACCCAACATTGAAATCTCTGAGGCACATCACCTCTGAGCATGCAGCATGCAGAAAATCATCAATGCATGATGCAGATATCACAAGTGTGTGGAGGTAACATGAGAAGGTTACATTGATCATGAGGTGTAAAAAGTAGAGGGTTAAAGCATCAAAAAGGTAAGACTGAACTAAAAGCATTTAGGAGAAAACTTACATGCTTTGGATACATGACCATGTGAAAATGTTTGAAAATATTGATTGGTTTACTGTGCTGTTGATATTCTTTTTTTTGGTAAATTAGACACCCTGTAATTGCAATTTTTAATGAGTTGTGAAAAAAGTTAACCTCCTGAGTCAGAATAAGTGTCCTTACTCAAAATAAGAAGTTGTTATGTGCAAGGTAGAAAGTTAAAACAACTTAAGGACCAATGAAGAGTTGAAATGAAAATCATATGTTTGAAATATATTTTAAGGTTTAAACAAAACAAGATAAATGACATTTTATGGTCGAAATATTTGAAAAAAATTGCTTCAATATTAGATTTCACATGAGCAAATTTTTATCGTTAAGATTTTTAACTGATCAGAACTGTTTGTCATGTAAGAGATTATGAAATCATAACCGTAAAGCTGTGCTCAGCATGAATTAAACGAAAATATGTAAACTAACAACACATTTAAGTTGCCAAAATAGGATGCTCCGCATCTTTTAGTAATCAGATAAACACCAATTCATTATCAAGAAATACCATTCAATGTCTGTACAAAGAAAGTAAACAATGTTTTGGAGGATGTGTTCATACAAACTTCATGTATAAAATTATCCATTTAGTAATTTTACTTGAAATCGTTTTCTGTTCTATCATATTGATACATCTTTGATGCCAATATTCTTTGTCAAACAGAATAATTGGTGTGAAATATGAATCCTCTCTATAAGGAACATCTTATTTCATTATAATGGAACAATTTCACCAAAAATGTAAAAGTCATTCCATACGCTATGCACATTTTACTGACTGTATTTGCCATCATCTATCATGTCTATTGTCATGATATTTTGTTCTGTGTATCCCCACTTTTCATACCATTTTTATCTGGATATCATATCATTGTAGCTTTTATATTCATATGTGTATTGAGCCCCTAGTTTATTCTCAAGGGAATGTGCAGGTTGAATGTTCACATCTGATACTTTGGCTTCCCTAAGTTTCCCACCTGCCTTGATGCAACTCTTAAAGAAGATGAGGAGAAGGGCTCCAATAAGGGAGAGGAACTCCACTAGTGTAATGACAGAGACGCCCACATAAAATCCCATGTTCCCTCCAATGTCTGATATCACTTGTGTGATTGGGTAATCAGCCTCTTGGGATGTTTCTTCTACTTGTAAATCTTCAAAATAGATGTTTAACCTCAGAAAGTTTTTCTGAATGAGTCCTCTATCTTTGATCTCTTTAGGGGTGAGACCTTGGAATAGAATATTTGGACGTGCAGTTGAGTCAGTGATATTCACATAGGTTTTGTAGAAACTTTGTTGTGTGAATTCATTTGGCCATACAGCTTGTGATGTTGTCTTAATATAGTATGTACTGTTACAAGGTGGTCGACAGTTACATTTAGAGACCATCGTAACATTAGACCAGAATGTATCAATCACACTTTTCTCACATTCCAGATGTGTGAAATCCTCCAGTATACTTTCTTTACTCGTATCATCTCCTGAAAGAAGGTTTGTTATGTTGAGTTTTCCACAATATTGAAAACCTGTCTCATTTCTTGGAGGAATAAAATGAGATGACTTACATCCACATTTTTGAGTGATGATGTCCTGATGACATTGCTCATAGCAGATGTCAGTGGTGTAACGATACTCAGTACCTTTATTTGATGCGTCAGTTGTGCAATCACCATGTGGTTCTGTAAGCAACGTTCTCCTAGTGGCTCGCAATGCTACTGTAGTTGAAAAACCATTAGGGACATCAAAACCTTTATCCACTGGTGCAGGCCTGGTTTTTGGACTGTGTACAATCACACGGATTCCATTGTTGCCGCTTGTAGGGTCTGATGGATTGTAGATAACACCTGGGTCCGATGTTAAAGTGTCGGTATATGTATCTGTAAAGACAACTAAGCTTAGCCCTGAGCCTGGGTCAGTCTTGGATACATTCTTGTTGAAGTTATTAGAGCCAATTCCATTGAAAGTGTAGCAGTTGTGATAGTGGCTGTCTTTCTGAAGTACAAACATGCTTCTGTTACATTGCTCCCCTTTGAAAGTACAACCGATCAGGAAATTTTTCAAATCATGTACATATGGCTCAGTTTCATATGCATTTACATTCTCATAAACAAATTGATAAGATATGATCCTATTTAAATATCTCTGGAACATATCACCAAGCCCTAGCTTGTTAGGATTGATGAAAATACTTCTAACATTGAACATGAATTGCAGCAATGCAGTCAGTGTGTTATTTGGCCCAAGGATATCATCTGGTGAAAATGTTATTGTACTGCTTAGAGCAAATGGTTGTAAATTGCAAAATGTAACTGATGGAAATTCCAAATCATCATAGGTAAGGGAAACAACATCTTTCGTTGGATATTTATAGTACTTCATAAACATTATGCCAGAGCTGTATGTAGCAAATGACAGTGCTCCAAAAAATATGACCATCCAGATAAGCTTTAATATCTTATACTTTGCTTTTGCTATTTGTCCACATCCATGTGCTGTTGTTTTCCCACTGAAATCTAGGAATGTTTTCTCTAGTTTTCCATCCTCCAATATAGAGTCCAGATGGTTTGTTTCTTTGCTGCTGTGTGTTGAGGCAGTAGGCAATGCCATAATACAGTTTAATCACATTAAATGAAATATGTATGGTCATTAGTTAAGTCTTTTTTCTTGACTCGTTATCCAAGACAATATGCTTCTCTTATACTTACTTTTTTTATACTCTTATTGTCTTTTATTGCAAGTTTATTTTTCATATTATCAATTATTATAGTATCATTGCTTACATTTTTCTAATTTGATTTTACTAGTGTGATAAAATGACTCCAAGACTTTTGCATTTAACCTCTGCCATCGAGAATAGATACATGTCAATGGACTTCCTCTCTATTATTTCTATGTTGTTGATTTAAATTAATGATGTCATATTGTGAACAATTTTGTAAGAAGCAGATGTTAAAGTTGTCCTTCTTTGGATTGATATTACATAATTGGAATTGCTTGTATTGGAATACATATGAATATGTAGATTTAATTTGCTGTTTCCAATAAATTGATACCTGATCAAGGAAGATGAATATTTAACCAAATATCTCAAGTGTTTGAATTGTATAAAATATGCATAAGATAATTTGAGGGCTCTTTGATCTCTTTGATCAAGCTTAAGTCAACATATGGTAGGGCAATGTTAAGAGTGAAATGATTTGTGAAATCACTGTTTGCTTGTTTACTCTCTTCCTTCCTCCCTTGGTATACTTTTATGGTTATAAATTCATTCATGGCAGAAAACAATCTGGGCCCCTAAAACCCAAAAGTGGGCCCAAATTTTGAGGCCCATTTTCTTCAAAATTTGGCCTGAAATTAAAAAATAAGGCCTTGAAAGGCCCAGTAATGACCAAAAAGGCCCACTTATTGGGGCCTTAAGGCCTTTTTTCACCCAAAATTTTTGTGGGCCCAATTTTTTTTCTGCCCCCCCCCCAAGATTCGCCAGTGGTATGCATCTAAAATGGAGTGTTTTTGTGTGTTACTTGTGTACCATCATGTTTCAAGAGATCCCAGAAGAGTATATCAAGAAATTATGTTTTTCTAATAATTGACTATCTCAATTTGAAAATTAATTTTAGATATATGTTATTTCATATGTATTTCTAGGCACTGGAGTGGGGATATTCCTTGACCCCCAAGATGTGCTCCAGTCTAAGGCCCTCAGCTCTGTATACACTTGGGGTGGAGGCATCATGACCCCCAACAAGCTACCAGTTCCTAGCTCAGACACACAAATTACTCAGATATCTACGGGACGCTCACAGAAAGGTGCTGTGACTAAAAATGGCAGGTTGTTTGTGTGGGAGGTAGGTGTCTCATACATTCCACCTTATTATCAGGCACTTAAATGGTTTTCAGTAACAGTCTATCTGACAGTCATATTTACATATCCATCCTAAGTCTAGGGTTGTTTCTCTCTTTCATTTTGAAGACAAAGTTTGGAGAATGGGTATATTTACTTCACTAACATGTTTATATTCCTTGCACTGTTCAGGTGTATTTAAATTATTGTTTATTTTTAGGCCCCAGGTATTGGTGCAGATATCCCTGGTGCAATAGATGGCTCTCAATGTCCTGCATTTGTGCCCCGCTATCTGGAGGGCCAGTCAGCTGTGGCAATACAACATGTAGCTTGTGGCGATCTTTTTACAGCTTGCTTGACAGGTAGGGTACATGTAAATGTTTGTGGTTCATAAATGAGAAATCATAAAGATAATGAAGGGTAGGCCCAAAAATTCAACCTTCTATCTTTGACTAACTTTCTCAATTAAGCTGAAATATTAAATATTCCTTACATTTAGAGAACATTTTCTGCTTGGGAAAACTCTAAAAGCTCTAAATGTTCAAAAATCTTCAAAATGTTCAAAATTGCATTTTGAATGTTATATCAAATATGCAATATAATGACAATACATGAAAAATCATGCGAGGGATATGAGAACATAAACAGATCAAATATATAATATATATTTGGTCTGTTTTGTTATACATGTTTTTTTTTGATATATGTTTATATACTATGTATATGAAGTGAAATTGCAAATGGATATTTTACTATTGAATATTTTTGAATATCACAAAAATGAATACTTGATCATTTGCATTGCCTTATAACATAGTTTTTATAAATCCATCATAATTTGAGTTCACTATGCCCTGCCTTTTTTCAGACACTAGTAATATGTATAATGTGACATCTATTTAAACATTTAAACATTAAAGTCAATTTACAAGCAAATATACTAACAGTTGAGGTCTAATATTGAAAGACTTGAGAAGAATCTTGATTATGAAATGTTATTTTCAATTTCCTGTGATATTCCAGATCGTGGTATCCTAATGACATTTGGTAGTGGTGCTAATGGATGCCTAGGCCATGGAAATCACCATGATGTTTCACAGGTCAGAATTCTGTATACTTATTACTTCCTGATAAACATATAATTTATTAGCACCTGATTCAGTCCTCATATAAATTGAGTGACATTGAATGTAAAATTGTTTCTTTGATTATGTAAATGCAACAGTATTTTAGCCTACAGTTTACAGTAAATTGTATGCTGCATTTATCTTACAGACTTTACAGTTTGCACAAACACATCTTTCAGGCTAAAATTGTTGAAGCATTGCTAGGTTACGAGGTTGCTCAGGTGTCTTGCGGTGCATCACATGTCCTTGCAGTGACCAATGAGCATGAAGTATTTGCATGGGGGCGAGGAGATAATGGTTAGTTCTTTGCATGTCTTAACATTTCCGTTAGAGATAGGTCCAATGTTTCAATATCCAAAATCTTAATTTTAACTCAAATAAAATTCAATTATTTATTTACCAGTTGATAGATTTGGTTCAAAGGAGTTGGGTAAACAAGGCCATTTTAAGCCCCACCTGATTTTCAAGTTTTCTCTTTATTTTATTAATCTATGTGATATATGTGTTTCAAAAATGTATGAAAATTTAGGTCAAGGTCATATTCCCCAGGTCAAGGTCAAATTAAAAAAATTCATTATTTTCTACCAAAATATACTTTTTTGGTTAAAATATCACAAATATCTGTAGGAATTTAGTCTCATAGAGGTTGGAATTACAATATATAGTAAATTGGCAATTTGCCAATAATGAGATATTTATATTAATATATTCCGCCCTTCCCACGCAACACTGAAAGAGAACAAAAGTACCTAAAATAATGAAAATACTTTATTATTTTTAATTCATTTAAATTCAGAATGTACATTTTATGATTTGACTCTAAAGTAATGTTTATTTTTTATGAAAAATATGTCCTGCTTCCTGTTAGCGACATATGGTATGCTAAAAACCACACACTAAACACACACTGTATATATTATAATTCAACATAATGATATTATTCAACATAATTTTAAAGCAACTATTCAGTTTATTATCAATCATTCTGATAATGTCTAGGAAACAGTAAGTACACATAACGGAGATAATCACTTCTTGGAGATCACCTAAAAGGTGAAAAACATCTAAAATCTCAACACATTTCATCATTGGCTTGTTAATGAAATAACAATGAAACATTTTCTGATTAGTTTTACTCATCATCACTTGAACTACCTGATTCAGATGTTGTGCACATATAACCACTTTGGCATTCTTGACTTGTGAAGCTAAATCTTTTGTAACCTTTCTCCGTTTTCTAGGAGAATTTACCTGCTTCCTACATATGCAGCATGAATAGCATTTGGCCATTTTGAATAATCAACAAAAATGGCAGGCAAAATTTTCTATAAAGTTCTAAAATTCACATCGAGCATAATAAGTCTCCATCAAAATTATTCTTTGTATGCAACAATATAACATTTATGTAACTAAAGAAGCACTTATTAGAGTGGAGACTTGTTATGCTCTATGTGAAAACACTCAAAGGATTACTACCTCCAGTGAATAAAAATGTCACCCAGACTCAGCATGAAATGTCCTTTCAAAGCTTTACTTACCTCTAAACTGTACATATTGTTTAAATCAATTGTATTGTGGATCAAATAAATATATATTTATATAATCCTGGACAGATAAATCAAAAACATTCATTCATAGCTGAGTAAATTGGAATTCATCAAGAGGGTTGCAAAATATGTGAATTTTTTTCCTTCTGGCCCCCACCCTCTTTGAAGGTCTCCAGACACCGTAACAATTTTTTCTAAATTTTTTAAAAAATACTACCCAAAAATATAGACTTCAATCTATGCATTTCTGATGTTTTTTTCTCCTATTCTTAAAAAAAGTTTTTTCACACTTCAATTGGGGCACTCTCTGTTGCTAGTTTACCCAACTCCTTTTGTAAGCTTAAATACTTGGAATGATGAGAGTAATAACAAATCAAAATCATAATGATGAACATTTACTCCCTTGTCCAAATGTAATTTATTAGGTTTGTTGGCCTGCATCATTAAATGAACCTTTCACTTAGCAAACCTAAAAACATAAAAGCGGTAGAAGTATGCACGCTTGTATAGGTGTATACAGGGTTCCCATAAGTCCCAATTAAAAGTGTTTTTCTACAGTTATACATGCAATTCTCTACGTCTATGTCAATATGATGATAAATGATAAAATATTCCAGGGAGGCTTGGTCTAGGTAGTCAAGAGTCACATAACAGTCCCCAGGAGGTGCCCCTGCCTGAGAAATACAAGCCATGCTCTGTACATTGTGGAGTAGATGGCTCCGTTGTGTTAACCTTAGAGAGAAAGATGCTCTGCTGTGGAAATAACAGGTATTACTAAATACATGTATTGTAAACTGGGTATATTTGGTGCCTGCTCTTATTTGGTGATTCACACTTTTTACAAGACAGCCATCAGAATTAACAAGAAAATTGAGACAATCATGCTTTCAACTTTAGTCATGTACGCTTTGATTTACATATCTAACGAACTCCCATGCAGTGTCTCGGTAGACACTGCGACGGGCAGATGAAGAAAATCTCCAAAATTTGGTGAAAATAGTTCCCCTTTTCATCATATATGTGGTCAATTTTCACAATCACACGACCTGAGCATGGGACTAGAACCAATCATGTCAGTTGTACGGTGAGATACCTGCCCGCCGCAGTGATATACCACTGCGGCGGGAGTTTGCATATCTAATTGACTTCTTTACACTTATCTTAGGTTCAACAAACTCAGTCTTGATGTTACAACTGGAAGCAAAGTCCAACAAATTGATGAGGTGAATTGTTTTACTCTAGTCACTGCCCCACCTATAGGCGATATTTCAGTAAAGTCTGTGGATATGGGGACGTCACATACTGCTGCAATATCAGGTAGGGATTGTATACATTATGAAAGAGGTGGCCTTTATTGATTTACTGTACTAATTATTAGTACTAATTATTACCTTTCTTTTCAAATAGTTGTATAATTGCTGTATTTCTAATTCTTGTGTTTTGAGGAGAAACATAAATTTTCAGATTTACATAATAGCCTAACTGTTTTTGGAAAAGTTGCTATAAAATTATTAACTTCTGTTCTTGTTTAGAGGATGGCCAGTTGTACACATTTGGAACTAACCAGTTTGGCCAATTAGGCCATGATGTCTGTCCAGATAGATCACCAGGCCTAGTGAAGACATTACAGATGGAGCGTGTTACACATGTTGGCTGTGGAGATACATTCACTGTCGCCATCACTGAAAGTATGATCAGTTTTATTATTAATCCCGCAAAACACACTATTACATTTTTAGTAACTCAGTAATAATTTGATGACATTGTACAAATCATTAAAGACCTCAAGCTAGAACGTTAAATCAATTTTAGAATGTTTTGTTGAATGTGCTGTGTGCACATAACTTTTCATACTGTTGTACTCCTAAAATGCCCATTTAGCAGCTTCATACAGGCCTCATTTTCAACAAAAGCCTAATTTTTAGAATATTGGCCAGCATTTTTTTTGAAATAGAGCCCACAATATCTTTCAACGCAAGAGGGAGGACTAGTGTACTTAAAGCAATATAGATGGATTGAAATGTTAATAATTAAAACTTACAAATCTGAAATACCAACTCCCCAAGCACAATGGTGTACAAGTTTAACGAAGCAAAAAATGTTTTGTTCTCCAAAATTTGTGATTTCCCGCTCACTAGGGTCAAGTGACTTATAATTGGATGATGTCCTCCCATTCAGTGCTCAATCCTGGGATTGATTGATCATAAACATTTTTGACTTATCCACTCCAAATTTAGAACACTCCAATATCTCTCAGTAATATGGGCTGATTTTATCCTACTATCAAGATAAGATATTGTTCTTGAGAGGATTTCTCACAGATTTTGCCAAAACTGCCTTAATAATCCAGCTATATAACTTTTGCCCACCCTTGTCAACTTCCATGTCTGTACCTGAGTCCCAACTTGAATTGAGTGTTTTACAGAATTAATGATTCTGATTTACAATGTTTCGTTAAAGGTAATGAAATGTTATTTGTGTATTATAGAAGGGAAGATATACTCATGGGGTAAACCAGCAAGGGGGAGGCTTGGGAGGAATGATCCAGATTCTGGGATACCTAAACAAGTGCGGCTTCCTCTGGACCTCTTAGATGAGACACTTGAAGTGACCTCTCTCTCATGCAGCCATGGGATAACACTCTTAGCTGCCAAACGTAAGTCAAATATATTATACAGCCATTGGATAATTTTATTAGCTGGAAATGTTAGTCAGATATCACCAGCAGCCATGGGATTACGTGTGTAGCTGTTCAATGTTAGTCAAATATCTCCAACAGTCATGGGATAACATTATGAGCTGGAAATGTTAGTCAAATATCACCACCAGCTATGGGATTATGTGTGTAGCTGTTCAATGTTAGTCAAATATCTCCAACAGTCATGGGATAACATTATTAGCTGGAAATGTTAGTCAGATATCTCCTACAGCCATGGGATTACACTCGTAGCTGTTAAATGTAAGTCAGATATCTTTGACAGTCATGGGAAAACATTATTAGCTGGAAATGTTTGTCAGATATCTCCTACAGCCATGGGATTACACTCGTAGCTGTTAAATGTAAGTCAAATATCTTAAACAGTCATGGGATAACATTATTAGCTGGAAATGTTAGTCAGATATCTCCTACAGCCATGGAATTACATTCGTAGCTGTTAATGCTTAACATAAGTCAAATATCTGATGCAGTCATAACTGCAAGATTTAAGTAAGATATCTCCAGTTGCCATTGGATAACACCCTAAAGCTGCCAAATGTAAGTGATATATCTCCTGCAGCTATGCAAGTTAGTTACACTGGTAGAAGCTGGCATGCTGTAGCTAGGAAAAATGATTTGATGAGTGTTCAGGCTTAGGACATATCAATATTGTGATACCACACAGTATAGTATAGTAATAGTAACTAGATTTTGGAAATTGAACGAAGTTCAATTTCAGACTCCAGATCTAGACTTTTTTTAGCCGAGTCATCCAGAATAAGCCGAGTCATCCAGAATAAGCTGAGTCATCTAGAAAGAGATGGATAAATAAAATAGGAAGGTAGGATAGGATAGAATAGGAAAGAACGATAGGATAGAATAAGAAAGAAGGATAGGATAGAATAGAATAGGAAGAAAGGATAGGATAGGAAGGATAGGAAGGAAAAGATATGAAGGAAGGATAGATAGGAAGGATAGGGTAGGATGAGAGAGGAAGGATGGATGAATTTTTCAATATTTTCTTCTCTACTCTTGACTTTCTATCAGGATACCATCAGATCGATTTTTCTCGAAATTTTAAAACGCTATCACTCCCGAACCGGAAGTCGGATCGAAATGTGGTTTGCAGATTCGGATTCCTGACAAATTTCTACCCCTAATTCATAACTCATACGTTAAATTTGGAGATTTTTTATTTTGACCTACTTTTCGGACACGCCATAACTTCCGAACCGGAAGTTGGATCGAAATTTGGTTTGCAGATTCGGATTCCTGACAGAATTCTACCCTTAATTCATAACTCATATATTCAATTTGGAGAACATTTTATTTTGACCTACTTTTCGGACACCATATCTCAAAAGTGGGTCAAAATACTTTCTGACGGCAAAAGGCTAACACTATTAGCATATTCTTGGCTACATGTATACACAATTTCGAAGAATATAATTAAAGTGTAGTGTCAGAATCGAAAAAATAAGGAAAACCTATGAATTTGACCTAGATTTTGACCTAGGCATTTGGGTGTCCAAATTGTGAAGCTAGATGGCTTTTGAGGTCCCCTTCTTTTAAAGGCTTTGATTATATGAAGCTGAACTCAGTCTATATTCCGTATTTTTCACTTCAAAAAAATATTTTTTCCCATTGACTTAACATGGGCACCAAATTTAGCGATTTTTGAGTTTTCAAAACGCCATAACTTCCGAACTGGAAGTCAGATCCAAATTTCGTTTTCAGATTCGGAATCCTGAGAAAATTTTCTATAAGACTAATATCCTGGACATTTGATTCGGAGAACTTTGTTTTGGACCTCGTTTTCGGACACTGATATCTCGAAATCGGTTTGAGATATCAAAAAACTAAATCGAACCTAGGTTTCCTACTTTTTTATAAGGAACACAATGAAAAAAACCTGGATCGAAAATATTGAAGGACGACCGAGAAAATCGAAAAAAGTGACAAAGTACTGGATTTGACCTAGTTCTTGACCTTTGACCTAGATAAAAATTTGACCCAATTTCCGAGGAACTAGATTCTGGACCTAAATTGACCAAATGACTGACTTTACTGAACATTTTATGGTTATTGAGAAAACTGGTTTAGAATAATAATAATAAGAAGAAGAAGAAGAAGAAGAAGAAGAATAAGAAAACTGACGAGAACAATAGACTCCAGATTTTCAATCTGGAGTCTAATTATACCAAATAATGGGATTTTTGATATATTTCTGTTGCACTTTGGTACATAATTAGCAACAAAAACATGTAATTATTTTTTGAAGAGCAATAATAAAAAACTACCGGTAAGTCAGTGACCTATGATTTTTATATTTAATTATTTATCAATGAAATTGCTTTTGAAAGATGTCAGATCAATATACTTGTATTGGATTGAATAGTGCTTGCTTAAAATCAGATATTGTTAGATAATATTGCATGGCATTACTTACCCATATGTCAGTTTACTACATGCTATACAAAACTGATATAGAAATCAATATACCTGGATGCCCTTAATAAATCAAAAATTAAGACCTGGATAAGTTACCGTACTTTAAAGTACAATACTGATTAGCTTGCTGGCTGGTGTCATTTCTATACAAAATGCTTGACGGATTGATCGAAAATTTTCAGGAATGCTTCTTGGTATGAAATCTACTAAATAGTTTTTAGGTATTCTGGATTAATTTAAGTTTACCATTTTGGCAAAAGAAATCTAGTACTGACTTCCATTTTGAATTATTTAGCCATTTGTCCTGCCATTCTTGTTCAGCATTTCATATTTTAAATTGTATGTACATGTGGTCATTTTGGACTTTAAGCTTCATCAAAATTTACTCCAGCTCACTAGGTTTTGTTCATACTGCCATAATTTGGATGTAATATTGTTTCCTTTGTGCCTTGTTCATAAATATTGATATCACTTTTTCCATTTCAGCTGTGCAATCATCTGGTGCTGTTGGAATACAAGTATAAGTCGGGGCAGTATTCATGATGACATTTATCATGGTGACGTTAATCATTATGTCAGCTGTCACATAGACATTAATCTTGATGTCAGCTGTCAAGTGTGACATTAATCTCGAAATCAACTGTCAGGTGAAATATGAGAATGATGGAAACCCTATGATAATCATAAAATGATGAGATCTTGTAGTAAACAGTTATTATTAAATTATTGATTGAGTCTTGTCCCAACAATGATTAATAATGAACTGTTTAATGAGGATCAACCCATTAATCAGTTAATATGGTTAGATAAGGGGAAAGTCAGTGTAGGAATGTATACAGTAAGACCTGTCTTAGTGAACTCCTGTCTTAGTGAACACCTGTCTTAGTGAACACCTGTCTCTAGTGGACACCTGTCTTTAGTGGACACTCTTCCTCCACACATACTCTATTGACTTCTTTATAAATTACCCTCTCTGTATATGTAGTGAACACCTACCAACACGGAACGTTTTATCTTGGCGATTATGTTTAAGTGAGGTAGCTGAGGGGTAAAAACTCAGTTTTAGTTTTTAAGATTTTTGAATGAAGCATCTTTTAATGCCTATTGTAATGTAATTTTGGGTAGGCAGAAGGAAGGTTGATCTGAAAAGACTGAGTCCTCTGTCAAGAATGCAATGTACCTGTATGAAAAAAGAAGAAGCTATATTAAATATGCTAATACTGTGAGAATAGCTATTGGAAATCCAGATTTTATTAATAAGAGATTGAGTTGAATAGTAAATGAGGAATAAAAGAGGAAATGGCAGATTCTATAGTTCTATGGTATTTTCATGAATCTCTCTATGCCAGACTTCTGTTATAATTTGTGTAGTCATAATATTTCATATTATACGGAGTGGTAAAATTTGATGGAATAATGTATAATTTAAAAGGAAAAACAGGTCTGATGTTGATCATATAATGTTAAAATTTGTTATAGTTTCCCTTAAATCAAAAAATGACTCACATACAGTAGTCCTTGTACAAACCAGAAAAACCCATATTAGGAGTTTTTCAAGCTTGTAACTGTAGTATTGCAAAAATCGATATGTTCTTGATGTTAGACTTATGATCTAATAAGGAGATAATGTTGTTTTTTGTTGAAAACAAAGGCCATTTTATAACTGCTGAATTGTTTATTATTTCATATTATTTATGAATTGTTTTATCACTACGTTTACTTCATTACAGTAGACTGTTATTTTATATTATGATATTTTATTGTATTGCATATCACGTTTACAATTATTTGTACAAAGATACATTTCAAACATACATACAATGTACATGCTCACTTGCTAGATTTATAGAGTTCGTGGCAAAACAATAAATATAATGTATTTTATTAAAAACAACTACATGTAAATGTTTTAGTTCAGTGATTATTTCAAGCTGTAATTCAACGTACTATGCATAATATTGAAAGAAATGTAATTCCATAGATTTTTTTCTGAAATTGGATTTAAGATACAGAACCTCATTAAACAGAGTAATTAATCTGAGAAAACAGATTCCCATCATTAATCTAGGTCATGTTTAATTATGTGAGGGTCAATATCGGTTTCCCATTTGTCTTTATACAGGGCATGTAGGATTATTACATTCGACCATTTGCAACAATAAGATTTTGCCCATATTCTTTAGACGAGAGTCGGTTCTTGATCTAGCCCAATCAAATTGTGTCATCAGAAATCGTATTCTGATCCACACTTGACATGTAATCATAAAATTATTCAAACAATTGTTAGAGAGACCTATTCTGATCATATGATTATTCGAACAAAAAAGGCCTATTCCGATCAGAGGATTCGAACAATGGTTAAAGAGGCCTATTCCAAATGATTATTAAAACATTATTATTAATATATATATATTTGCAAAAATCGAGAAATGCTACCATTCTCATGATTCCTATTGGATGAATGAATTCTTAAATACCTGTTAATCAAGAATTAAAAGATATATTGTATTGGGATAGATTTATATTCCTATTTAAATTATCAAAAATCAGTTTCATTACATGTAAAATCCAAAATTCGGCTTCCCTTGAATCGTGCCACCTGTATCATTAGCATGTTTTTCGAAAATTTATTTTATAATTTTCACTCTCTTTACTGTCACTTTACGATGTAAGACTGATGTGCGGGAAGATGTGTAAGATATAAGATGCGTAAGATGTTGAAATGAGAAGATTTTTTGCGTTATGAAAATGAAGAATGGTCTTCCAGTTTTGTATTAGTGAAAAAGGGCATGTTGGTAACTTCTTCGTGTATGCAGGTATCATGTGATATTGTCATCAATATGTTTTAATGGTGGGAGACTGGTGAATTATTCAATCAATTAAAATACTTCCAAATAGATTCAGCTTTGCAAATGTTTAAGTGGGCAGGATGTAAACACACGTTATATCCACTGCATAAGCTTTGTCAATCTAATTAGCAATCTAAAATTAGTTTGTCTTGTTTTTTATGAATAATATTTCCGTGGCAATGACTTCCGCTCACAAAAAACTCTTAATTAGATTCTTGCTTGTAAAGCCATAACCAGATCCAGCAATTACTTTGCTGCTTCACCTTGACGAAAATTGTTTCAACTTTAGAATATTTGGAGCTCATATCATTCCTTGTCATGTTTATTTTCCAAAAATACCCCAGATATATACTTTATTCGAGGAAATCTTAATGGCTTTGGTAATACAAACGAGCTTAACCATGTAAAATCCTGACATGCAGAACAGTTTGATTAGAAGTTCAGCAAATTTGTACGCTTGTTTTGTTGAAATTTATTCATTTGAGACCTACTGAATTATGTTGATATCACTAATTCATGCATGTTGAAGAAAAGATGTCAACCAACTTTATTTTACAAATGTGTTTATGAAAAATTGTTCCTTGGTCCTACAAAAGTTCTCTCAAAACGATTTATATATTCGCTCTTAATACCACGTTATGCAGTTTTACTATTTTTACTAACTTACACGATAAGTTCGATAAGTTTAATTGTCTCAAACAAATAAAAACAAATAGCACAACAATAAAACAGCAGTAAAAACAAATAAATAACTAAAATGTTGTGTATGTGCATTGTTCAGGGACACTTATTGTTTATTTGCATCGAGATGTTTTTTATTACAGTTATGATTAAGTATGTAATATTAAGAAGGATGGTATTTCTTTCTTAGCTCAACTGGGCGAACTGGTAAGTTTTTAAAAAAGATGTTTCGCTTTATTCAAGACTTTTTCGTCGTTCAAACTATTTTGAGTAAAAACACAAAGGAACACTTGTGGTTCTTTATTGGATTGAAGGCAAGTGAGAGTAAAAGTCGTTCACAAGAGTGCTAGACGTTCGCAATTGGAATAAAGATACCGGAAAGTGCTCGTCGTTAAACGTTGGAATAAAGACATGGAAGAATAGTAATCCACCACTGAAGTAAAGACACTGGAGAGTCAAAGTGGTTCACCTTTGGAATAAGACAAAAGAGAGATTTAGCAGTACACCCTTGGAATAAAGACACGAGAGAGAGGTCTAGCACTTCATCATTGGATTAAAGACTATAGAGAGAGGTTTAGGACTTAAGCATTGGAATAAAGACACTAGACCACTAGAGAGGTCTAGCACTTTACCATTGGAATAAAGACACTAGACCACTAGAGAGGTCTAGCACTTTACCATTGGAATAAAGACACTAGATATATTTAGCACTTTACCATTGAAATAAAGACACTAGAGAGTTCTAGCACTTCACCATTGGAGTAAAGACAGTTAAGACCTGAAAAGATCTATTTTAAATTTACATTTATAATAGTCACTCACTCCGGGATGGGCAAGTGTGACTTCCATTGAATCAATGCATGCATTGTATGCACTTGTCCACCCGACTATTTTTATCGGACAAACATTTGCAGTGAATTTGTTCTGATCTATCCGGACAGGAACGATCATTTTGATGTTTATTTGGTGTTTTCATATTGTTTTCTTATCAAAGAATCCGTTGATAACAAACGTACCATTACTTATGGGACACCCTAAACGTAATTATTATTTTTCCAGATCCAGGGAATTGTGATTCTGTGTATCATGTGCTTTCGACAATTTGTGGTAGCCTTCCTACTTTTGTCTCTAACGGCAGTTGGTACGTCACTAGTCACTCTTAAGTTGTTTCACACAGACTATATATATTATCTTCAAAGTAAATTGCAATGGTATCGTAATATTTCATTTCCAAAAATATTCTCATTTGAATTTGTTGCAGTTTTGTGCTTACGATCCACTGAAGAAAGAGCAGTGTATGCCAGCTCTATTAAAAGGCCCAGGCAAGCTGCTGGTCTAAGGAAAGGATCACGAACTTCCTTTCAACCATCAACAATTGTAAAGAATTTACGTCGATCGCAAATTCGACGTAATAGCAATGAAGTTGGGTTAAAGAGTTTATTTTTCTTTTGTACAACGGAATGTGGTAAAGGGCAATATTGCAGCAAGCTAGGTTTCTGTCGCCCACTGAAGTTTGATGGTGTAACGTGTAAAAAGGAAGAGGTAAAACTCATTTTTGAAATGCAGGCCCGTAGGGTTGGGTTCGGGGGATCGGGGAAGTGGCATGCATGCTATGTAACTTGTACACATAGCATCTTGCCAAGCCCAGACTATATCGTTAGCATATTAGTATAGTGTAATGACCTTCGATAGAAAGTCGCTACTACAGTCTCAGCTGTAGTTGCTAGCCTTTATGGCTCAGGGGTAGATCGTCTGACTGAGAGCGGGAGGTCGTGGGCTCGATTCGCTTACGGGGCATTGAATTTAGCATACTCCTTTTCGAGTCTAGTATCTATGGTGTTTAAACTGCTTCTTTATTCGGTACATAAAATATTCCATACATACCAAATAAAACAAACAATTTACCAAACCTTCACCCAATCTATCGAATGTTTTTTATTTTATCGAATATAATAATCGATACAATTTATATTCGCTGAACAGTTTCACTTGTTCTTTGTGTTTGCATTTACTTTTGATATCTATACATGTATTTGTGTGATGCAGCGATTCAATTTGTTTTCCTTAGCGCACATGTAATTCAATTGTTACTTATACATTCGGTATTTAACTTATTTATATTCGGTAAATACCGAATGCCACATTCGATAAATTTCGTTATTTTTCGATACTTTACGAAACTTTCAGTCACGTGATATATGAAAACGATGTTGAATAGCTGCGCGGCCATTTTGCAAAACTCGAGGTCATGTGACAAAATATCGAACAACAACGAAACTTATCGAATATTGGTTTAATTTTAATTATTGCATTCGGTAAATAGCAAATTAGCTTTCGGTAAATAGCATTAACTTTGTTATTGAAAAATAAATAATTTGGTAAATATAGACAAACTTATTTCGATAAGGGTTCAAATGGAAATTCGGTATTACGCATATATGTATTACTCTTAAGGAATACCATAACAGTTTACGCAAAACATATATCATTTAGTGAATAAGATATGTAATTTAATGCACAAAGTATTAAGGGATTTAATCCATTGGCTATTTTGAAAACTTAATTCGCTGTAACAAATATATAAATGTTTTTACAGAACGGAAAATTGATTTAGCGAATATAAATATTCCATATATCATAAGTATCTGGCTCGACTACAGCTCCCCGACGGACGTGCCCAAGGGTCGTTACAATAGTATATTTTATACGTATTTTATACGATATTTACCTAATATTTTACGTTTTTGTTTGATTCAGCAATGCTTAAGTGGTATCTGCTTGGACAGTGAATGCAAGGCTTGTAATGTAGATGATGACTGTCCAAGTAAAGGAAAACGTATGCACAGACTAGACGATGAACAAAAGAAGTATTGCCAAGAAAACACCTGTGTGGCATGTGTACAGGATGATCATTGCGAAACTGGACAGGTATAGAACATAGACTCTTATTTTCCACGCGAGATAGTTTGAGATGTTGATGACAAATTGGTTAACATTGGTCGAAAGGACTGAAACCATTTTTATGAAAATGTGTGAATGAATACTTATTTAGGTGTGTGCGAGTGACAACACATGTAAAGAGTGCGACTCAGACGATGACTGTAGCGAAGATAACGTTTGTTCAAAAACTGGAGCTGAAAATAGGTGCGCCCAATGTTACAATGACGACCACTGTCAAGACGGTCAAAGATGCTCCTATGGACATTGCGTAGAATGCCTAGAGGACATCGACTGTGCTAGTGGCCGCTGCCAGTCAACACGCTGCGAGGCTCCTGTGTGTAAAGGATCGTGTACGTCTAATTCAGGCTGTATATCAGGCGTGTGTTACATAAGGACATCTTTTTTCAGGGGTTCAAGGACAAGATTATTTGGTCATTGTGAACCTTGTGAAATGGAATAACTAGATATAGAATTGTTGAACTTAGACTGAAACTATTTGTTACAAATAGAAAGGTTGATATACCAGGGATATATAGAGATTATCCACCATTTGGTTCGAGATATTGGGATTATCTCGAGGCATATATATATTTTATTGGCCATGAGATAATCCCAATATCCTGAACCGAATGTAGATCTGATCTGTTTATCCCGTTTGTCGCCATTGCTTAATTATGCGAACGGTACAAAAATGCACCATCATGCGAACAGCCATTATGACATAGGGAGATATTATATATCTTAAAGTTATATCCTACCCGCTGATGAAAAAACAACTTTTTACAAATCTGCTTTATCCTGTGCCCAGTAGAGTTTTAGGGAGAGTTGGTAAGATATATCCCGAATCCTGATTTTGGGGTTTCCATATCCATAACCTCCATATCTCCCGCTCCCGGGCATATCTTCCCACTTCCGGTAATTGAAAAGAAAGCTTCGGTCCCTACTATCCCTATTATGCATTCCTGTGGATAAACCCCAAATCCAAAACCTCACGGTACATAACCCTTATTTATGTTCTTCAAACACGTCCAAGTATATTTCTGGATGTCAAAGGGACAACGCTTGTTCTAGTGCTCTCATAAATAGGGTGCAATCATGTCATTCTAAATGTTATTTATGTAAAGTTTTGATTACAAGTAGCTAATGCCTGGGTCACATATGCTCCAATCCATCGGCCGGCGCCCGGCCGATTGAGTGTTTTATTCAATATTGTATTCAATTCTGAACAAAATTCTCAATCGGCCGGGCGCCGCAGTGAAAATCGGAGCAAATGTGACCAAGGCATTAAGTTCACGACATATTCGTATCTCAATGCCATTTGAGCCATTACTCTCTTGTAAAGGTCAAAAGCTAATATTCCAGGCAGGAACTCACATTTCAGAAACTTAAGTCACATTCTAGTTGAAATCGTACTACCAACGGTTATTTATAATATTATACACCCCTTATGTATTCTAGAAGTTAGGTCACGTGACCAGTCATTAGTACATGTACCTTTTATCTTCCCTGCTAGCTGGGATTATAGGAGTTAAATGGCAAAATGCCTTTAAGAACCTGTAAGCATTAACAGTTGAAATTAAAAGACTTTTCATGTTGTTTTTGTTTAAAGAGTACATATGGAGTATATATAACTGGACATTGGAAATTGAACAAGTTCAATTTCTCAGACTCCCGATGACATATTTTCTTAATTGACAGACAGACAGGCGAATGGACGGAAAGACAGACAGGACAGATTGATAGGACAGGATAGAGAGGTATTTTTTTTTCAATATTGTCTTCAATACTCTTGACATTCTATCGGGATACCATCAAATTGATTTTTTCAAAATTTCAAATTGGCGTAGAATCTGAACCGGAAGTTTGATTTCAATTTGGATTTCTGATTTGGATTCCTGAGAGAATTCCACCTTTGTTTCATAACTCACACATTCAATTTGGAGAAGGTTTTGTTTTGACCTACTTTACGGACACCACATCTCAAAAGCGGGTCAAAATACTTTCTGGCGGCAAAAGGCTAACATTATAAGGATACTCTTTGCTATTAAAGTGTAGTGTCAGAATCACAGAAATAAGCAAAAACTATCAATTTGACCTAGATTTTGACCGATGCCTCTTAGTTTTCAAATTTTGAGACAAAGTCGATTTTGAGGACGCGCTCTATTCTGGATTTTCATTAAATTTAGCTGTACTCAGTCTTTATTTCGTATTTTTACAATTCAAAAATTTCTTTGGTCCCATTGGGATGTACCAAAATAGCGATTTTTGAAACTTCAAAGCGCCATAACTTCCGAACCAGAAGTCGGATCAAAATTTAGTTTGCAGATTCAGAAAATTCTCCTCTTATTTCATAACTCATACGTTACATTTGGAGCATTTTTTATTTTGACCTACTTTTCAGACACCATATCTCAAAACTGGGTCAAAATACCCTCTGACGGCAGCAGGCTAACACTATAAGCATACTCTTCGCTACCTGCAGACAAAATTTCGAACTATATCTTAAAGTGTAGTGTCAGTATCGCAAAAATAAGGAAAAACTATAGATTTGTTCTAGATTTTGACCTAGGGTTTTTAGTACCCAACTTTTGAAGCAAAGCAAAATTTTTAGGTCCGCTTCTAGTGTAGGCTTCTATTAAGTTGACTGCATCTAGTCTGAATCTCGTGTTTTTACAATTCATAATTTTTTCAGTTCCATTGACTTAACATTGGACACCAAAATAGCGAGTTTCGAGCTTTCAAAATGCCAAACCGGAACCGGAAGTTGGATCGAAATTTTGTTTGCAGCTGGATTTGGATTCCTAAGAAAATATATTTCATAGCTCACATGTTGAATTTGGAGAATATTTTGTTGTGACTTACTTTTCGGACGCAATTAATCAAAATCGGTAAGGGTAATCAAAAAACGATTTGCCTTTCAGAATTAGCTTTGTTTCTAACATGATGAAAAAAGACCGAGAAAAAATATTGAACTTACGACTGAGAAAAGTGGTAAAATAGTGAAAACACAAGATTTGACCTAGTTCTTGACCTTTGACCTAAATAAAAAGTCGACCCCATTTCCCACCAACTAGATATTATATCTTAATTGTCATATACTAGTCTTGAATAGATAGATACCTTATAGTTGTTGAGAAAACGTGATCAGTAAAAAAAGAAGAAAAATAAAAATAAGAAGAGGCAAAACAATAAAACAAATAGTGACAAGATTTTCCCCACGGGAATATCCTGTCCACTACCATGTTCCCTCGGCCAACATCCGGAAAGATACTTTGCACTATTTTCCGAACTCCCGTGCAGTGATATATCACTGCGGCGGGCAGGTATCTCACCGTAAGCATGGTAACATCGTAATAAACAACTGACGTGATTGGTTCTAGTCCCATGCTCAGGTCGCGTGATTGTAAAATTTAAACAATTTCATTGGTTGAATTGCGCGTATTAACTAATAAACAACATGTGCGGTAAACTTTTATCAACACAACTTTTACTCAGAATTCCTTCCGCGGGGATTTCCTCTTATTTCCTCTTGATTTTGGAATATTTTGACAAAATAATTATTGGTGAACATAAAAGAACATATAATTTATAAGTTGTGTGAAAAACAAGTACAACTGTGACAAAAAAGGGGGACTATCTTCCCCAAATTTTGGGGATTCCATAATCTGCCCGCCGCAGTGTCTATACCGAGACACTGCATAGGAGTTCGACTATTTTCCTCAATGGCAGTCACTATTTGTATAACAACATATACGCTATTACTGCAGTAAATGAATGCATAAGTTCAGGGACTGGAGGTATCAGGAATGTATGAAATGATTACTAGCCATTATCCCAATGATGACATAACGTCCGACATCGAGCATTAGCTACCTGTGAAGATAAACACCAATTTACACCTGTTTTCTTCTGGCTATCATAAACATTTTAATGTATTTTTCACGCCATGCGAACTCTGTTTGACTGCCACAATTTAAATAAATAAATAGTAATTCTACGGTATAATGGTAAACTAATTACGTAAGCAACATATAGCCCATAACGATAAAAAGAGAAAGCTAACAAAGCCTATACTATGCCAAAACAATACAATTCCAATGAGCTCGCTTTATACTATTCTAGTACTGGACTAATCACGGAAACAAGGATTCTTAACATATTGAGTAAGTATTCAATTGTATTGTGTAATGCAATATTTAAGTCAAATTCACTTCGAAAAAGTGTGTTTTCTCACCGATTAAAAATTAAAGCATTCTTTGTATTGTATTGAAGTACGGATTTTTTAAGTTAAAATTTTCAAAAATATTTACCAGAGTTTTTATAGAACGTTACCGAGGTTTCAGCTAGGCTAATTATCCCAGCGAAAGGAGTTCGGGGATATAAAGAAAGCCCCCGTGCGCCTGTTTGCACCCAACCGGGCGATAACGAAAATAACGTTGACTTGAAAACGTTCATATCTTACTTATAATGTGACATATGGGAATACAATACACGACGGTCAAACATATACTTTTTAGTAGTATTCCATACCTACTAAGGTTCTAGGTACATAACGAGCGGGAATAAATACTGTATCTAGGGATCTGTAACTGAGGAGAGGGGCGGGATGGATACAGCCTGTATCCATACCGGTCCCGCTCCTAAAAAATCTGGAATTGATAAAAACTCAAGATATTGTTTAATGTTCACCACAATTTATTTCAAGCATGTAAAGTTACTCTTAGTGTTATTGAAATAAAGATTGTATTTCAAACTTACGAACGTTGTATATTTTATCAGAACTTCATAAGACAATATTGATATATAAGAATATACCTAGAACCTTAGTAGGTATGGAATACACCTGTTATGCACAGTCGGTTTTGGATACAGGGTTTATCCATCGGGGAATATGTGTATATACACATATTTCCCTTGGGATAAACCCTGTATCCAAAACCTCCCAGTACATAACCCTTATATATCCTTTCCCAACTGTCGATAGTGCTTGAAACGAATCTTGAAATTCCATTTTTTGGCTTTAGGTGTCTGAAGCTTTGAAAACTACCAATCATGATAATGATTCCCCAAGTATTTATAGTGGTATCCTTGGTCATGTTCATAGGTGAGTCCGGTAAGTGAAAATTAAAAAAAATATGAAGACAATCAAGTCAAGAAACGCATGGATAAAATTGATTTTCTAAAAAGGTAAAGAAATCCTCTCGTTGTTATCGATGAAGGTTATTGCCGAGATTAACAATAAAAGTTATGCTTGGATTACTATATGATGTACAATTTCAAGTGAATGACTCCGTATATCGGATTTAAGGTGTTGATGGACGTCTAGGTACGTTCCAGAAAGGTTGTAATGATGCAGACGATTGTTCAAAAGGGGAGTACTGTGGCAAAAGCAAAATATGCAAAGATACTAAATACGATGGGGCAGATTGCAAGAAGAGTGAGGTAGGTGTCGTATAGGGAATATTCCCTGAATGAAAAAAGTGTGAGGTAGGTGTGTGTTGAGTACAATGAATAATATAAATGTTCCATTAACATGACTTTAAATGCGCAAATAGTTCAAATCTTACCTAATGACATTATTAGGCTATTTCTCAAGTGTGCAGGTTAGTTTTCTCTCTAAAACTTATTTTCGACATTTATGTAATATTATTCATATCCTTATTTCAGCATTGCAAAAGTGGTATATGTTTAAACAACATATGCCGATCTTGCAAAGTAGATGCTGACTGTCCCAGTAAAGGAGAACGTATATTTCGTCGTCGACTATTTGCTGATCACCAAAGCGTAAACTTCTGCTTTGATAACGAATGTGTGACGTGTACACAGGACGGTCACTGCCAAAAGGGACAGGTAGATGTATCATTTTAATATTAAATGGTTGGTGCTTATTTGGATCATACTCCTTACACAGAATCGACTCGGTCAAATTCAATTCCAAAATCGTATAGATTTCTAGTGAACTCGTGAAATGATCTGGACAATGCAATGCAGATGCGTTTCTGATAAGAATTTAGTATTCTTGCATTTTTCTATTTACTTACGAATTGATATGAAAATCTTCCTGGATACGTCTTCGTGTCCTCTGAAATTGCCAATATGACACAAGAGACAAAGGTATTTATCTGAAACTTTTCTTGCATTTATTGAAGGAAGTTGCATCAATTTGACCGCACCTCCCTGACTGAAAACCGAAAAAAAATTTAGCGATGGAACCCCCTGACTAAAGACCCACTGCGACCCTGTTAGTCCATGGTATGACTTCCGAATATGAAAGATCCGTAGCACATTATAGCGCAGCAACATTTAAAGCAATATCTATGGAGGTGCATATGTCTCGATTCTTTTAAAATACTATTTGCCGAAAAAAAATTCTGGCTTTCGGGTCGAAAATTGTCTTTCATCACAAGGGGTCAAAAAACGTAAATATTTTGATTCGAACTTTTATACATTTTATAAGACACAGACCGTTATTCTAAGCATACGAACAAAAATGGATCATCATAATATAATAATATACTATAATTTTACTGTAGATGTCGGTGTTTAATTGGTGTAATTACGCAAGTGTGTTTTTCAGATTTTGTTTGATTTTTCAAATATGAGCCAAGAGCCAAGCAGATTCAACAAAATTGTGTGTAATATTTAGGTAATTTATGATTGGGAACATATTAGTTTTCTTACCATTTAAAACATTTTATTACCAGAATTTTTCCATATAATCGCAAGGGGTCAAACAACAAATTATTCTTCATGTTTTATAAAACTATGTAATACAATAACAAATAGGTAAGATTTATATCTAATTGAATGTTACAGAGGTATTGTAATGTTCATATATTCCAAGGGCATGTCATGTCTACTCCAAATTGTGTACTCCAAATTGTGAAAAATTGGGATTTTATTTTTTGGTAATTTGTTTACCTCTGTTAATGGCAGGCATAATTCAGCCTAAAAAGCTGGAAGAATATTAAACGGTTATAATAACCGGAAGTATATTAAACGGTTATAATAAAAATTATAAGGGAACATATGTAGGTATGTTAATGTTAAGTCAAATATCGCTGCGCTATAGCGTGCTACCAGCTCCTTTATTAGACGTCCTCGAGATTTCATACCATGGACTTTGTATACATGTCTGTAATGTGCGGCCTAAATCATTGTTTGTGAATGTGATGACGACCATTGTCATACATTAAGTAAGTTGGTGCATTGCAAAACATGCTGCATTCACTTATCTGTTTTAGGTGTGCACAAGCGACAACAGATGTGAAGAGTGCGACTCAGACGAGGACTGTGGCGACAGTGTTTGTTCCAAAGCTGGTGTTCACAACTGGTGCGCCCAATGTTACAATGACGACCACTGTCCAGACAGTCAAAAATGCTCCTATGGGAAATGCGTAGAATGCAAAGAGGACAGCGACTGTTCAACTGGACGGTGTCATTTAGCAGAATGCGTCCCACCAGTGTGCAACGGAGTGTGTTCGTCGGATTCGGGCTGCATATCTGGCTCGTGTTATATAAGGACATCTTTTCACAGGGGTTCTCGAACTAAATTATTTGGATATTGCAAATCTTGTGATTAATTCATTTTTTAATGTGCTAGCAATAAATAGGCTCTTTAGAATTATATTAGTTTCGGAAAATTGTAAAAAATCATGCCACCTTCTGTTTGAAATAGACTTGCTTAGCAAAAAGCATATCAAGTGCAAATTATTATTAAAAAACGTTCTTAGCAAATATTTTCAAACTGTTCAAATTATAGTTTATTTTCATTATTTCTTTTGTTTGTATATGTTTTCAGAGTCACATAAGGCACACGACCCCTTTATTGTAATGAAGTAGATATTAATTACAATGCAAATTAAAGAAGATATTAATTTTGTTATGTTTACTGTCCTGATACCTTGAGAAAAAATGAATACGTCAAAGTCAAAGTGAACTTTATAAAGGAGTCGACTGTTATATATAAATTAATCATCTGGATTGTCTAAAAGAACAAATTGCTTTACTGATATAGACTGTATCATTGGACCAAGGAATCTGCATTGCAAGAGTAAGTAGCACCGTATATACAGATACTTATGGGGATGAATATTAGATTTTCAAAATTATGTAGTACCATAATTGTAAAAAAATCAGATTATTTTTATCTATGAGATGAAGATCCGTCAATATTCTAATATGACTTCGAAAGTAAGTTCTTCATGTTTACAATGCTACAATCCGATACATTTGGGAAATAAGATTCGCGAAAGATCTTAATTTTGAAACTTGAAGTGAGTAGTACCATGTTTGCAATTAACGAAACTCTTGGGGATTGAAGATGCTGAACGAAATTAATTTGATTTAGAAAGTAAATCGTATGATTTCAATACGATTTGACAGATTTTCAAAACTAATAAGTAAGCTTAGTACCACATACAATTTACGATACTTCTTGGAAAATCAACACAGAACAGGCAAATATTTTAGTATGATTTCGAAAGTATGTAGTACCATGTTTATGTAGTAATTTAAAAATACTTCTTTGGAATAAGGTTATACGGTGATTTTAATAGGATTTCAAAAGTAAGAAGTACCATGTTTACATTTTTTTGGAAATGATGATACTAACTTGATGATTTTTAGAGGATTCCGAAAGTAAGTAATATGTTTGCAATACAATACTTCTGGGGAATGTTACACGTCAAGTTTCACAAAGATTTTGATAGATTTTCAAAAGTAAGTTGTTCCATGTTTAAATAATTATGTTATTTCTGGCAAATGAAGATACGCGAAGATTAATGAGATTCTGAAAGTAAGCAGTGCCATGTTAATATGATTTCGGAAATGAGCAATACCACAATATCACTGGTCAGTTTCAAGGAACGGTTACGGGCGTCACCTTCGCATTTAAGAAGGCGGAAGGGAAGTTTCGATTTCCATATTTTTTAGTTTTCATCGAATTAAACTACTACTTTATAAACTACTTTGATATTTGAACTAAACCAGGCTCATATGACATATGTATCTACATATGTAAAACGTTTGTAATTACCCAATGTATTACGCTAATAAGGTATACCGTGGATACTGCACGGTTTCAAATCACTAAAATTACCTTTCATAAAGGGTAATACACTGTATATACAGTGATCGCCTACTATTACAAGTGCGTGAGTAAAGATCCGCAAAATTTAAATATATTGTAACGGTTATTTTAAAATGATTTATTTGTGTTTATATTGCAGGCTACTGGTGATTTTGTAGGCACCGGAAGACCCATATGCTTTGAAAAACATATATCAGTTTCACAATTTTTCTAATATGTGATGGAATTTATGATGTAAAGATATAAATGCGATATAATATGTGTTATTTTATTTGAAAAGCTTTAAAATATCAAAAACAAAAGAACATTTTACACTCTTTAATTTTTTGTACTTAAGTTGGGTTATGGGCTTCCATTTGACCATGATAAAATTCACGTTTCCTCTTAATAACATGGAATAAATATTTGAACACAGAAATTAATGGATCAGCCTAAGTGTGCGTTTCAGCAGACCAGACACGCAGAAATACTTGGTTTTGATCATCTCAGAAGAAAAATGGGGTTTCTCACAGAATTTATGTCCGAAACCAAATAGAACATTTGTTTGGGAAAAATCAAAATCACCGTTCACTTATTCATTAAATAAAATCATCACTGTGAGTGCGTACATTTCGTTTAATTTTCCTGTCTTTAGGTTTGATTACAATTACCCTTTAATGATCTGTACAGTAGACCTGTTAAGTGGAACACTTCTTTAACCGTAACACCTCACAAGTGGAATATTTTTTACAGTCCCATGGCCCATTTACTCCATGTTAATGAACCTCCGTAAGTGGAACACAGAAGTCAACCAGATCGTATGTAGAACGTACAGACACAGACCTGAATAGAAAATACGGTTTTAATATTGAGGTTACCCTACTGCTAGATACGATCTGGCCGACATGTGAAGTGGAACACCTCCCAAGTGGAACAATTTTTTAAATCACCAAGGGCGTTTCACTTACAAAGGTTCAATTGTATTTCGAATGATCTATTGTCGAACATACTCGCTTTCCAGTTTGATGTCATTGACAATTTCATTGGTCTATTCAATCACACCCTTAACTTATAAGGTTGACCATCTTCGAATTCCAAGTTGGAGAAACTAAAACCTTGAGAATCAAGATAGAGGCTGACTGACCAGGTTCTATTTACCTAGTTCATAGGAAGTGCATAATCTAGGCTCAATAAGATATCTCATTCATTGAAATCCTCAATCAATCTGTGACAAAATAATAAGACATGGTCGGGAATTTCACCCTCTGATTTCAAGGTACGATGTTCTCCAATGTGATTAATAATGTTTGGGGATTTAGGAGTTCATATAGAAGGACAGTAATAACATGTGAATCCAAGCACTCTGAAATGCAAAGAGCATATTAGAATCCAAATGGTAAACTCTCACACTTGTCTGATCATAATTATTTTTCATAACATCCTCTTTACTCGGTATTGAAGGGAGTTGGAACGTCTTGTATGCATGGAATGTTAAGTATTATGTATATTAACCATGTTGGTTTTGTGGTTTTGGTAATCTAATTTATCAACTCAGTTCAGATATTTCGGTTAAGCCAATCACTGAATCCTTTTGCCAAATGATTCTTGGTCTCTTATAGAGCATATGAAATACCATTTATATGTGAAATAATATTACAATGGTAAAGAAAAGAGAAACAAGCATACATTTCCTCCGACATTTAGAATTTTGCGAATCTTGTCGAGTCATTACTCACGCACTTGTAATAATAGGCGATCACTGCACATACAGTGTAATATTATTTATATATGTGATCAGTCAGGAAGATGACGAGAAAAACGTTTATTTATGATAGCGAACTTTTGAGTGGCTTCTGTTACGTTCTATTTATGGTTTTAGGTAGTTTTGATCCTCGACAACTCATATAAAACGTGACAATGATTCAACAATTATTTCTTGGAATGTTCATGTTGATGTTCATAAAGGATTTAGGTAAGCTTTTGAACATATAATTATCGAAGTCGTCTATTACAATCTTTCTGATACTCTATCCCCATATGAATCTTACTGTATTCAAACCTTCAACATTGAGAAAAGAATTGAGATAAGGCTGAGATCCTAACGATGAAATTTTTAATAGTAGTTATTGGTTGAATGCCTATTTTTATGTATTTTATATAACTGATTATACGGTTGTGTTTTTTGAATGATACATTTGTGTTTTTGACTGTCCACGAACCCTTAGGTGTAGATGGGCGCCTTCATACTGGATCGAGAAGAGAAGCGATTGTGAACCATCTCTGCAAAAACGGGACTTGTTCCAAAGACCACTTTTGTAACAATCGAAACATATGCCGCCGTTATAAGTTTGACGGGGAACCATGCAAATCACATGAGGTAAGCTTAGTTTTACATTGAAAAAATTTCACATTAAAAATTATATAAGAACCCCGTCTCCCCAAAGCCAATCTAGTTAAACTGAAGACGAACCTCTCTTTTAAGAACGGAAGTCGAACGAATGCATCTTCTTACGTGTAATATAAATACCTGTGGAATAGTCAAAAGGAAATGCTTTGTTTCAGTATTGCAAAAGTGGCATCTGTTTAAATCAGACGTGCAGGGCTTGTCGAGTGGACGATGACTGTCCTAGTAGAGGGGAAATCCACTTACGCAAATATTTGCCGAAAATATTTCCAAATATTGCCGACGATGAAGCATACTGTCTAGATAACGATTGCGTAGCTTGTAAACTGGATGATCACTGCAAAGCAGCAATGGTGAGTTTCACTCGTATGGTATTAAGTTGATATAAACGTGGTTTTGGTAAGAATTAATTGTTCCCTTCCATGTTAATTCGCAAAGATATCACAATAACAAAAGATCTATCGACCACACAAAAAATTGTCAAATCCTTAACATATTTAGTAGTGCAAATTGCACTAAGGTTCCAATATACCGATGGACACCGACTTCCATTCGAAATTTTGTTGATTGCCAAAATAAATATTTACAAGTATATTCTCTCTGCAATTCAAATACATTCTCCTGTTTGACATTAAAAATCAACGAAAAATATATAATGTAAAAAAGAAGGTTGACATTGTTTTCAAATATAGTTGGTTGGAGACTTCAAACAGAAAACGTTAACATAACCATGGAGTTCAAACAACATAATTATTTACTGTTGTGTTGCTAAGGCCACAAAGTCTCTTGTAAAAAGCATGGTGGATTTCTTCACTTTACCCATTGTGGTTGAAAGAGTTAATATCTATTTTTTTGCAATCACCAAATTCTTTGCTCGCTCCTAGACTATAAGAATCACTTTCCTGATGGAGAAGAGAGATAAAAGGAAAATAGGTTTAGTTGTTATAAGGTGCTGAGAGGGGCAGTAATCTCCGAGAGTAATATTACACGTTCACTAGGGTAACCTCGAGCGCTCGGGCACTCGACCAATTTGAGTCAGAATGAATACGATTGTTTTGCCTTATCGGTTTTGGTAAGGGGAGGCATCAAAAGTTCAATGTCTGATAGGAAACTAAATAAATCTAGTTTTGATTTGGACCCCCTCCCCCTCAAAACTAAATACAATGAAAGTTGATCGCGGACTTTCCACATGTTTTAGCGACTCAATTTTGACTTTCACGGGGGCAGTACTATAAGTTATTTATAATTCTTAAAAGATGTGCCAACAACAACAGGCATAATATTCCATGTTGCATGCATCTTGGTGAAGAAGGCATCAGGTAAAGTCTTTATTTATAAACCATTCCAAGGCATTTCGAGTCGAAATTGCAAACAATTTAAATGTTGGAATTTGTCGGATAGCAAAGTGAAATAGCTTTGACCCCCTCCCCAAATTAGATTTATTTAGTTTTCTATCAGACGTCACATCGATCTTTTGATGCCTCGCCTAATGCTAAATAACAAACAATGTTAAAAATCGAGGAAATTTCATTGTTTCAGAGGTTTGTATGAAAATTACGAGTATGATAACAATTTTACTTTAATTCACGTTGTATCGTATCATTCAGATCGCTCGTCTCATGGTACCCTGCCAGGTTCACGTTCTCTAGTAAAAGTTGTAAAGTGTGCCATTAGCCTATAACCTTCCTAATATTAGGTATGTACGAGTGACAACAGATGTGAAGAGTGCGACTCAGATGAAGATTGCGTCGACGGGTTTTGTTCCAAAGCTGGTGCTCACAACTGGTGCGTCCAATGTTACAACGACACCCACTGTCCAGACAGTCAAAAATGCTCATATGGGAAATGCGTAGAATGCAAAGAGGACAGCGACTGTTCTACTGGACGGTGTCATTTAGCAGAATGTGTCTCCCCAGTGTGCAACGGAGTGTGTTCATCGGATTCAGGCTGCATATCTGGCTCATGTTATAGAAGGTCATCTTTTCACAGGGGTTCTAGAACCAAATTGTTTGGATATTGCAAATCTTGTAATTAATAAATAATTCAGCAATCTTTACTGAAATACATTATACCTGTATGTTTGTTTCGAAATATGACAGAATAAAATGATGATTTCGAACATAATCTTACTTGTACAAAGCACATGACCTAAACGCAATATTAAGAGTTCAACAACCTTGTAATGTGTAAGTTGCAATTGTATTTATGTACATCTTAATGCTGTTTAACCTGAAATAAAAATTATGAAAAAATGTCGAATGTCGTCAATGGCACTTTTGAACCTCATAAATTGTACCATGCGGTCAATGGAAGATCGAGTTTGATTAATGGCTGTCAATCCTCATTTGTCACTATTAGTATCTCTTGTCAAGGTAAGAATTTTAAAGTTCAAAGCATTTGATTATATTATGATATTGAATATCTATATTTGAAAGGGAAAGCCTATCAGGAATAGGAATGCAATATTGATTTGGATCAAGTGTAACTTTAAAATGGGATGAATCAACCTCCCTCAAATATGTCGTGATGACCTCACATTTAGTAAAATGTCACGTATTATGGTATGAGGTTCCATATCCATCCGCCAAAAGTATATAGTCTATATATAGTCCATTTAAAAACTTGTGGTTTTGTTTTACTCCCGTCGAGAGCTACTTAATTAGATTTTGAAAGTATAGCTCTCTATCGCTAGGATCAACATCTTTAGAATCCTGACTTCAAAGAAAATTTCAGGGAATTCAGCTGACTCATGTTGCACATTATATACCTGAAAATGTATCCTACATCGCCATCTTTCATTCAGCTCAACTATAGAACGTCTCACTACCCTATGTATCGATCAGGACTTCATTTTATTGGTCGTGTCAAAAGTTTTGGCCAGGTATATTCAATATGGCGGCTTGACGTTTCCCAAGTTGCGCATGCGTCGATAGTATTTCCGTTTAACCGCCATATTGGAAATGGGTATCGAACAAAAAACGATTAGAACTCCTGATCGCCATAGAAGCACATCCGCGATCCTACATGCACGGGGAAAGTAGACACATATGAGCCCATATGTAGGCTACAGTTTGAGACAAACAGCAAGCCGTTGACTGGCGCTGATCAAATTAAGATGTTACAATTCTTCAGCTGGGAGATCCTCACGATGGAGAGCTATACTTTCAAAATCTAACATGGTAGCTCTCGACGTGAGTAAGTTTTGTTCTAAATAACACCATAGTTGGCTTCTAGGGTACCTAGTATGCCACTATTTGGTATCAAAATAAAGAGGAGGATTTCAACTTTCATTTGAATTACGAAAATAGCGACGTAGGTCAAAATAGTTCCGACGTGATCATGTTTACTACGCGTTTGGCCCGTGGTCTCAGAATTGAGGCGATGTTAGCAAACGCGAGTTACAATAAATGGACGCTGATATCTCAAAAAGTAACCTGACTCCCAATAAATTGATGTAGATCAATTGAATCCCTATATGAACAGGTACATTTTGATATATAACACTATGGGGGGTAAGCGTTTCATAGTTGATCACGAACGCCATATGTGCCGGGTAGTCATATAAATCCGACCGTTGTATGCTGTTCTTCGATATTTCTTGTTCTTATTTGGATATTTATTTTTTATCATTTTCTTTGCATACACCGTCGTAGATATTATATGGAACAAATTGCGGTAAACGCTTTTCTGGCCTGTCTCGGTAACCATAGTTACCATACTATCCAAAGTCACACAAATTATCGAGTAATTATTTAGTTCCAACATTAAAGTGTTAAATCTTACCTTAGACATGTAAAACGCTTGATAATTGACGAAATATGATCAATTGAATTATATTTTCATTATCGCCCGCCATGTTGCTGAATGCTGTTTCCGGTAGTCTAAATGTAAAACATGTATCGAAACGGAATCATAATTATTTATTACACAGAGATCGATTCCAAAGCCGTTCTCTTATACTTATTACTTTTCTCATTTTGAAACAATAACTTTTCCAAATAACTTCCCTTCTTAACGACACTGCTTCCCTTTCAACTGAATCTTCGTGTAACAAGTACTTATGATTTCGTTTGATATAGTTTTACATCTAGACTCAGATTAACCCGGAAGTGACCTTGGCATGGCAAAATGAAAAAATTTTAAAATTCAAGCGGCATGCTTATATGTCTTCAATTACCAAGCGTTTTACGTGTCTAAGGTAAGATTAAATACTTTATAGTTGAAGCAAAGACATTTATTTATCATTTGTGTGAATTTGGTTGGGTAGACAGGCCAGGAAAGCATTTCCCGCAATTTAGATGCGCGGAGTGTGTATGACCCTTGTATGCAAGAAAATAAGAAAAAATAAATATCCAAATCAGAAAAAATAACAACAAATAACATCATACGAGGGTCAGATTTATATGACTAGTGCCGGGTATCGTTCTGAATTTTCGAATTTGGTGTTGGATTACGGTACTCACACTCACACCTTATTGTTTTCTTGAAATAATGAGCATGCCTTGTGTACAATTTTCAAAATATTACGAGACAGGATGTCTTATCGTAAAAGCCAATGCAACTTTTTGTGTCAAAGTGACATTTCCAAACGTTGTTTTCATCAACAACGCAACAGTTATAAAATTGGATTTTAGATTATGAGAGCATAGTATTGATATAAATTGTGTTGTCTAATATGTATATGCCAGGTTAGTTTGGTTTTCGAAGAATTATTATCTTATTTTATATTTTGTTTACGCTATATTTCTGATTAATGCAGCAACAATTGCAAACAGAAAAAAGTAATACAATAGTAAAAATAACCTAAGTGATTACATGAAAAAGTCAGGGGAGGCAAGAAAAACGTTTGTTTGTTGTCACCTTGCTTGCCATGCAGCTAAAGATAAGAGAACATCCCGTCGTCAGAACTGAATGGAATAAATCAAGTGAGATTCATTCTCCGAAGGCATGCAAAGCTTCAGACATCTTTCACTCTGTTCATTCCTTTATCTTTCTAATTGATTTCGCTCTGACAAACCTATTAAGAAATACATGTATAACGGATTTTTTAAACCCTAGTCTTTACACAAGCTGCCTAGTCCAATTTTGGAAGTTTGGGATGGGAAACGTATTATTCCTTTTCCTGGCCTAGTGAGTAGAATAATAATAGAAAGGAAGTAAATAAGTTAAATTGAAAAAATTTACTAGCTGATAGCCTCAGGACACGATTAAAAGATATTTACAGGTAAGTAATATCATATATTTTTGATTTGATATTTCTGGAGTACGAAAGGCCTAGAAATTCTTGATTCATGTTTTAATTATTAAAATGACGAGTAGTTGGAACGATGAGAATAAATGCAGAACGATGTTTTGTTTGCCACATGTTACTTCCATTTTTGGAACGATGAGAATAAATGCACAACGATGTTTTGTGTGCCTCATGCTACTTCCATTTTTGGAACGATGAGAATAAATGCAGAACGATGTTTTGTTTGCCACATGCTACTTCCATTTTTGGAACGATGAGAATAAATGCAGAACGATGTTTTGTGTGCCACATGTTACTTCCATTTTTGGAACGATGAGAATAAATGCAGAACGGTGTTTTGTGTGCCACATGTTACTTCCATTTTTGGAACGATGAGAAAAAATGCAGAACGATGTTTTATGTGCCACATGTTACTTCCATTTTTTGAACGATGAGAATAAATGCAGAACGATGTTTTGTGTGCCACATGTTACTTCCATTTTTGGAACGATGAGAATAAATGCAGAACGATGTTTTGTGTGCCACATGTTACTTCCATTTTTGGAACGATGAGAATAAATGCAGAACGATGTTTTGTTTGCCACATATTACTTCCATTTTTGGAACGATGAGAATAAATTCAGAACGATGTTTTGTGTGCCACATGTTACTTCCATTTTTGGAACGATGAGAATAAATGCAGAACGATGTTTTGTGTGCCACATGTTACTTCCATTTTTGGAACGATGAGAATAAATGCAGAACGATGTTTTTTTGTGTGCCACATGTTACTTCCATTTTTGGAACGATGAGAATAAATGCAGAACGATGTTTTGTGTGCCACATGTTACTTCCATTTTTGGAACGATGAGAATAAATACAGAACGATGTTTTGTTTGCCACATGTTACTTCCATTTTTGGAACGATGAGAATAAATTCAGAACGATGTTTTGTGTGCCGCATGTTACTTCCATTTTTGGAACGATGAGAATAAATTCAGAACGATGTTTTGTGTGCCGCATGTTACTTCCATTTTTGGAACGATGAGAATAAATGCACAACGATGTTTTGTGTGCCACATGTTACTTCCATTTTTGGAACGATGAGAATAAATGCAGAACGATGTTTTGTGTGCCACATGTTACTTCCATTTTTGGAACGATGAGAATAAATGCAGAACGATGTTTTGTGTGCCACATGTTACTTCCATTTTTGGAACGATGAGAATAAATGCAGAACGATGTTTTGTTTGCCACATGCTACTTCCATTTTTGGAACGATGAGAATAAATGCAGAACGATGTTTTGTTTGCCACATGCTACTTCCATTTTTGGAACGATGAGAATAAATGCAGAACGATGTTTTGTGTGCCACATGTTACTTCCATTTTTGGAACGATGAGAATAAATGCAGAACGGTGTTTTGTGTGCCACATGTTACTTCCATTTTTGGAACGATGAGAATAAATGCAGAACGATGTTTTATGTGCCACATGTTACTTCCATTTTTGGAACGATGAGAATAAATGCAGAACGATGTTTTGTGTGCCACATGTTACTTCCATTTTTGGAACGATGAGAATAAATGCAGAACGATGTTTTTTTTGTGTGCCACATGTTACTTCCATTTTTGGAACGATGAGAATAAATGCAGAACGATGTTTTGTGTGCCACATGTTACTTCCATTTTTGGAACGATGAGAATAAATGCAGAACGATGTTTTGTGTGCCACATGTTACTTCCATTTTTGGAACGATGAGAATAAATGCAGAACGATGTTTTTTTTTGTGTGCCACATGTTACTTCCATTTTTGGAACGATGAGAATAAATGCAGAACGATGTTTTGTGTGCCACATGTTACTTCCATTTTTGGAACGATGAGAATAAATGCAGAACGATGTTTTGTGTGCCACATGTTACTTCCATTTTTGGAACGATGAGAATAAATGCAGAACGATGTTTTGTGTGCCACATGTTACTTCCATTTTTGGAACGATGAGAATAAATGCAGAACGATGTTTTTTTTGTGTGCCACATGTTACTTCCATTTTTGGAACGATGAGAATAAATGCAGAACGATGTTTTGTGTGCCACATGTTACTTCCATTTTTGGAACGATGAGAATAAATGCAGAACGATGTTTTGTTTGCCACATGTTACTTCCATTTTTGGAACGATGAGAATAAATTCAGAACGATGTTTTGTGTGCCGCATGTTACTTCCATTTTTGGAACGATGAGAATAAATGCAGAACGATGTTTTGTGTGCCACATGTTACTTCCATTTTTGGAACGATGAGAATAAATTCAGAACGATGTTTTGTGTGCCACATGTTACTTCCATTTTTGGAACGATGAGAATAAATGCAGAACGATGTTTTGTGTGCCACATGTTACTTCCATTTTTGGAACGATGAGAATAAATGCAGAACGATGTTTTTTTGTGTGCCACATGTTACTTCCATTTTTGGAACGATGAGAATAAATGCAGAACGATGTTTTGTGTGCCACATGTTACTTCCATTTTTGGAACGATGAGAATAAATACAGAACGATGTTTTGTTTGCCACATGTTACTTCCATTTTTGGAACGATGAGAATAAATTCAGAACGATATTTTGTGTGCCGCATGTTACTTCCATTTTTGGAACGATGAGAATAAATGCAGAACGATGTTTTGTGTGCCACATGTTACTTCCATTTTTGGAACGATGAGAATAAATGCAGAACGATGTTTTGTTTGCCACATGTTACTTCCATTTTTGGAACGATGAGAATAAATTCAGAACGATGTTTTGTGTGCTGCATGTTACTTCCATTTTTGGAACGATGAGAATAAATGCAGAACGATGTTTTGTGTGTCACATGTTACTTCCATTTTTGGAACGATGAGAATAAATGCAGAACGATGTTTTGTGTGCCACATGTTACTTCCATTTTTTGAACGATGAGAATAAATGCAAACGATGTTTTGTTTGCCACATGTAACTTCCATTTTTGGAACGGTGAGAATAAATGCAGAACGATGTTTTGTGTGCCACATGTTACTTCCATTTTTGGAACGATGAGAATAAATGCAAACGATGTTTTGTTTGCCACATGTAACTTCCATTTTTGGAACGATGAGAATAAATGCAGAACGATGTTTTGTTTGCCACATGTTACTTCCATTTTTGGAACGATGAGAGTAAATTCAGAACGATGTTTTGTGTGCCACATGTTACTTCCATTTTTGGAACGATGAGAATAAATGCAGAACGATGTTTTGTGTGCCACATGTTACTTCCATTTTTGGAACGATGAGAATAAATGCAGAACGATGTTTTGTGTGCCACGTGTTACTTCCATTTTTGGAACGATGAGAATAAATGCAGTACGATGTTTTGTTTGCCGCATGTTACTTCCATTTTTGGAACGATGAGAATAAATGCAAACGATGTTTTGTTTGCCACATGTAACTTCCATTTTTGGAACGATGAGAATAAATGCAGAACGATGTTTTGTTTGCCACATGTTACTTCCATTTTTGGAACGATGAGAATAAATTCAGAACGATGTTTTGTGTGCCGCATGTTACTTCCATTTTTGGAACGATGAGAATAAATTCAGAACGATGTTTTGTGTGCCGCATGTTACTTCCATTTTTGGAACGATGAGAATAAATGCAGAACGATGTTTTGTGTGCCACATGTTACTTCCATTTTTGGAACGATGAGAATAAATGCAGAACGATGTTTTGTGTGCCACATGTTACTTTCATTTTTGGAACGATGAGAATAAATGCAGAACGGTGTTTTGTGTGCCACATGTTACTTCCATTTTTGGAACGATGAGAATAAATGCAGAACGATGTTTTATGTGCCACATGTTACTTCCATTTTTGGAACGATGAGAATAAATGCAGAACGATGTTTTGTGTGCCACATGTTACTTCCATTTTTGGAACGATGAGAATAAATGCAGAACGATGTTTTGTGTGCCACGTGTTACTTCCATTTTCGGAACGATGAGAATAAACGCAGAACGATGTTTTGTGTGCCACATGTTACTTCCATTTTTTTGTTTTAGTGGATCATTGGCTTTGACAATTTACCCAGAGGGTTGAGGCAATGCTACACCAAGTCTTTATATTGATGTTCATGTCAGTGTTCAGTACAGATTCAAGTAAGTTTTCAAACTCAAATTTGGATTTTCTTTAAAACATATTCCATCAAATAATATATTATCGGATTTTCACTTGACAAACTGATATACTTTGGAATGTCATAGGCGCCAACTAATATTCAGATTTGTAAAGTATATATTGAGGATCTAGTCTTCTCCATACCAAATGCTTATTTTGTACTTCTGTAGTATTCACAACTATTTTTAATGTCAGAGTGTTGGTATTCTTTTTTTCATTATGTCAAAACAAGTATTGTAATGTCTTCCGAAACGTGAAATATATCATGGTCTCTTGGTTTTTGATTGTGATGTTCCTAAATTTTTGGTGAAGAACACTACGACTTATTTTTTTGTCAAATCATTGCTTCTAATTATGACCGGTTTTTGCTGTTTTTCCAATTCGATGCAAACTTCAAAGCTTGTAAGTGTTGCAAGACGGTAAGTGTTACCATATTACCATTTGTTGGTTTGGGACGTTCAGGTAATTTACAGATATGGCCATTTTATGAATTGGATCGGTATTATATTTGGTTCAGTATCGATTCATATTCCTTTATCTTTTTGCATTTTTTATTCCCATTCTAACTTATGATCTGAACATTAACGATGTAGAAGGACAATTAATTAGACGAGGATCGACCTTTTTCTGTAAAAATGAGACTTGTCTCGGAGGCCAATATTGTAGCAAAAGAAACCTTTGTCGATCGACTAAATACGACGGACAGCCCTGCAAATTGGACAAGGTAAATTTGATTTCATCATTTTAATGAAGTTAAATTTCATAATATATATAGTACTCGTATATATCGCTTTCATTCGTAATATAAAACATACGATCGCATAATGAGTCTAGGGAGTACTTCAGTATTGTTGAAAAAATTGAATAAATACTGGGCCCAATCTGGTCTTCATAACAAATTGGATGAACTTTAATCGTCCGGGAGGACATTTTTACATAATTTCATCATTTTAAGGAACAGTTTACTTTTTCTCCATTGAGATACATGTTAAATTGACGAAGCTCAAATTATATATCAAATCAAAGCCAATCGAATCCTTGCATCCTTTCAGATCAAGCGGTTGGCTTACACTGTAAGCCTTTCACAGTGAGAAAAGATATATCCCCCGAACGAAAACAGATACTACTACATTTATAGCAAGCATTGATTTTTGGGTCTGTATAAAGCACATTGGATGTGATTATATCACCGAGTTATTGAGACCCTCAAAAATCTAATTCAATTTTTTGATTCAAAATTGTAATCTGTCAGCCGTCCCTGGCACATACTCTTAATAGGAGTCTCTGTTTTATATGTCTCTGTACTGGCTATTACCAAACATTAATTGTCAATACATACACCCATGTATGTTCCATGTGAGTTGTATTGTGCCAAAAAGGTTGATTTGTATCCAAATTTTACCCATATGTTAATAGTACTATTCTGATCCTAGTGTTTTTGAAAAGTTAGTCAGCTACGACCAAATATATCCAGCAGCTCCAGCAGCAATCAGGACGTTATCTGGTGAATCTCACAACGTCTTGGTAGTGTTGTGTTAACGTTTTGGTTGCCAACGTTATAGGGGTTTCTCACTCAATTATTAGAGCCCTTGGATGTACATACTCGTGGCTGATTCGGTTTTCGGTAGCTGGATGTTACTATTAACATCAAAATATTTGGATACGAATCGACCTCCTTCTTGGTGAAAATGATATAAACAAAGATTTCCTCCAACGGAAGTTCATCCATTTTGTTATAAAGACGTCCAGGTGGGGACCAGTGATGAAGCAAAAAGGCAACGATTCTTGGTGCCGTTCTCAACCAAATATCGATGCAGAATGAAAGTTATAGGAAATGTATGCCGATAGATCCAATATTTGTTTCGTTTCAGCATTGCAAAAGTTCTACCTGTATAGATCAGGTATGCAGAGCGTGTCGAGTCGACGAAGATTGTCCATTTCGGTATAAAACATTTGCTAATTTTCCAACAAAGACCTACTGCATGAATAACAGTTGCGTGGATTGTAAACAGAATGGCCACTGTAAAGCGGGAATGGTGAGTAAATCTTGTTCGTGCTTTTAGCCGAAGTAATTTGCCATGAAGAAGTATTTAGCTTTTTTAAATTTTAGGTATGTGCGAGTGACAACAGATGTGAAGAGTGCGACTCAGACAAGGATTGTGGCGACGGTGTTTGTTCCAAAGCTGATGCTCATAACTGGTGCGTCCAATGTTACAATGAGGACCACTGTCCAGACAGTCAAAAATGCTCCTATGGGAAATGCGTAAAATGCAAAGAGGACAGGGACTGTTCTACTGGACGGTGTCATTTAGCAGAATGTGCCCCCCCAGTGTGTCATGGACATTGTTCATCGAATTCAGGCTGTATATCTGGCTCTTGTCACGTAAAAACAGGTCTTCTAAGAGGTGCAAGAACCAAATTGTTTGGATATTGTAAATCCTGCGATTAGCAAAATTGAACAATAATCTAGCAAATTAAGCTGAAATACATGAAATATAACGGACTCTCTTGCTTTGACTTTTTTTCTTATAAACAGCGATGCATCACTACAATTGTAACACGGATACGCAAAAAGTGTTTAGTGTCTGAGGGAAACAAGTGGGAGTCCTTCACTGCATCATCAGCAGGTCTCACAGTACCCACAGCATTTCGCCCATTAACCTGTATGCTTCCACTGAGTGGGGGCAGTAATGGTTGATCTTAACCATCACTTGATGAAGGAGACCACCAGTCTTTCCTCTTGAGCCAAATCTACCTTGAGCTGGACTCTGCTATCATACCAACTGCTTTGATTGCTGACTTAAGCTGCGTTGATGGCAATCCTATTTGAGAGAGGAAGTAGCGAAGAGAAGAAGCTGAAAAACCTCTACAGTCTACCTCTATGGGGTACTGGACAGAATGCCAACCTCTGACAACTATATCCTGCTGGAAGATACGTTAATATAGAATAGATTCAATTTCAAAGTACAATTATTGGCTTTGGAAAAGATGTTAGACATGAAGGAAGGCTGTGTTGGTTTGTGCTGAACAGAATTTCCTTATTTGACAAACTTTATCAGTCTTGGTCTTTCACTGGGCTTATTTGTATTCATGGCAAGTCTCTGCTGGTCCGTCTATATTCCTATTTCTTGGAGTACCTTGTCATGCCGCCACCTGTATCGTCCTTCTCCAAGAGCTTTTGGACATCCACTTAGTATTTTCAGTTTGTTCAGTGTACAGTTGAAATTGTCACTCAGAGGGCAGTTGGCTGTTTCCTCCTAGCCCCATGCTCTGAGGTTGGATGGAGTTGGCAGTAGGTCTGATAAGGCTCTCAGCAAGAAACTGAGTCTCCCTTTGCCCATGGGCCAGAGATCCTTCCACTTTACAGAGCGCTTGATGGCTGGTTCCCAGTTGTTCCAGACTCCTTGCTTGGCTAAGCCTACATCCTTCACCAGTTGGTCTTCTTCCTGGTTCCGAATTTCTCTGGTGATCTTTGCCATTTTTGTCTTCTCTGTTAGTTGTTCGGGACTATAGTGGCCTAGTCCCTAGTCTCGTCTTCTCTTCCTGATATTTTCTGATTTCCTCACTAGCCGTTGGTGGAAAATATGCTGGAGTTGTCTGATGCCATCTCTCTCGCTGGGTAGTGAAGTAGACTTCCATTGTCGCTGAAGGTTGTGATTTTCCTGCCTAAGAGAAGCTATCTCTTTCTGACGTCTACTTGGCCCAGTAGGTTGCTGTTGTTTCCCCCCTGCACCCTTTGTCCCAAAATTCTCCTCGCATACCTCATATTGGTACTGGTTATGGCTTCAAGTTTCCTCCTTGAGTTTCCTCTCGGGGTGTTATTTAGGATAGTCTCGTCTCAGGTTCTCTGTCAAGTTCTGCCCATCGCTTGTGTGTTGCTGCTGGTAGGTTGAGTATTGGCTTTCTTTCCTGAATGAGGTCTTTACTTTGATCCAACATTCCCTCTGTTGTAGGATTGGCTTTAACTAGAAGGTTGGTAGCTCTGTGGTGTGTCTCCTGGCTGCAGACCTTCTTCGGATAATGAGTAGTGTTCACATCTTTGGCTATCACCTCATCTGTTCCCACTGCCTTACGCTGTATTGGCGTATTCTCCCCACACCGAGTCTTTCCTTGGTGGATCTTTACTCCTCGTTCATTCTTAAAAGTGTCTCCACAACACCCGCAACGTCTTCTTGTCTCAATTGCGTCGAAGTCATTATTCCGAGTCCTATTCGTTCATAATCCATATGTCATTGCTTTGGTCGTTATCGTTTTCATCCGTCATGTGCAGATCATCCTTCCCCGCCTTTCGGTCTGCTTGGGGGCATTCTCTTTTATTCCTGCTTGTAGTTTTAAAAAAGTAAGAAATTTCAGGAAAATGAACAAAAGTGATTTAAAAACATTACTCTTAAAAATCAATACAAGGATGATAATTACAAGTTTATTTATACATCATACAACCATATAAACTGTAGTCTTGGGGTTCAATGCAGTAAGTTTGAACATTATCGAACCCTCTCTAATCATTATTAGGTATCTTATTATATCGTAAACATATGAACTAACCATGGTATTCGCGAATTCAACTAAGGCCGGTCGGCTACCGGATTAATCTACTATTTTATGACAAACTCATTTAAATATGAATGGAATATTGGTAGGTTCTATTCATATTTAAATGAGTTACCCATAAAGTAATATCTTAATCAAGTAGCCGACAGGCGTATACAGTTGCATTCGCGAATACAAGCTAAGTCACCATGTTTGATATCAAGAGGTTGAACCATTGAATATATGAGCTATTTTTTCAAACAACAAACATAATCTAGGCCCTGATCCGAACTTTACAAAGTTGTGTGAAACTATGGGTTACAACTAAGTCCCATGAAATTGAAGAAATATCTATATTGTTAAATGTTACTACTCGCACGAACTCTGCAACATTAATATTTGGGTAACATAATCCCTTCGCTCTGTGAAATGGAATATACTGTTTGAATCTTTAGTATACACCAAAGTCTGCACACTGGTAGAACACGGGTGGTGCCTGCTTGTTCATTGTTACATACGTCACCTGAAGGATAACACATTTTAGAATTAAAGTTCCATGTATTCTGACAATCATACTGAGTTGTTTATTCTTATTCTATAGCCAGGCATCTATATAATACTTTCTGAACAATCAGAATACACCATATCCATTTTATAGTTACAAGAAATGCATTGTTTACAAAAGTAAACATAACAACGCATGAACATTTACCTTGTTTAAGTATAGTTTCTGGTTGAATAGAGGAGTTTCTAAGTAGCGTTTTGTCATGAGATTTTAAGGGATTTGCACTTTTTACCTCCCATGACCTACTTTTCTTTAATTTTAATAGCATATTTGAATTCAGTGACAAGTTTTCTCCAATAATAGCTTCGATTTAACCTTGGCTTATTCGTATGACAACCAACATTTTCATGTTTAATCACAATGTGTACATTGACAGGGTCATCCAATAGTATGCCATTCGAGTTTCAGACAGATTCAACCAACACTTTTTGATAAATCATGAAATCAAGTGACCATTGCAGGTTGCTAGCATTGGCGTGAATGGAGGTCTAGCACAAGAAAATCAAAGACAAACAAGGGTGACATCTATTATGTCAGGTTATTCAGCTATTCAGAAACTATGCAATTTATATAGTCCCTGATCTGGTCCCTCTGAAAAGAAGTTTCGTTGTCTGGTACTTTCCCACAAAAAATGATTGTACCGTAACTACCGTTTGATAGAATAGACTTCCCTCATGAAGAAAAAACATATATCCGGGAAATATGGAGGAATACAAATCGTATTGAATCGTATTACATGAACAAATCGTATTGTTCCCGGAAAAATCGTATTGGAGCGTATTACATGAAAAAATCGTATTGTCCCCGGGAAAAATCGTATTAACCTATTTTTGGTTTCCCGGTTATTTTTAACCTTGACTAATTGATAAAATAAAATGAATATGGGTTTTATTCCTCGGAAAATATTATATTGACCTTTGGCAATATGATATTGACCGAGGGAGCGCAAACAATGTGCATATATTAATATAATGTTTGCATTATTCAAATGTAACATTTTAGAGGGATGTATTATGGAATAAATAGGTTATTTCTGGTCGGTATTGAATATGGGTTTTATTCAATCCCTCCCAGTAAATAACCTATATACGTGGCATAAAACAAAAAAATCGTAAAATTTGGTCTTCAGCATGTCACCTTGTGTCACCCCATTTTAGTGCCTTTTGCCCCTATTAAGAGGTGTTTTCTATACAAGGGAAATCTGTTCTTTCAAACGTTACAATAACTTTATGTGGGAAAATACCGGATAACAAACTCAAACTCTTTTCTAGAGCCCTTTAGAAAATCAGATCAGGGACTAATATGATACTGTTCGAGTGGTGGTCTAAGTAAAAGGCTCTGCAGTCGTTAATAAACCTACTAACACCCCATACACATTTCCATTACAAATAGGTAGTCTTGATATAGTTTCTGGTTGAATAGAGGAGTTTCTAAGTAGCGTTTTGTCATGAGATTTTAAGGGATTTGCACTTTTTACCTCCCATGACCTACTTTTCTTTAATTTTAATAGCATATTTGAATTCAGTGACAAGTTTTCTCCAATAATAGCTTCGATTTAACCTTGGCTTATTCGTATGACAACCAACATTTTCATGTTTAATCACAATGTGTACATTGACAGGGTCATCCAATAGTATGCCATTCGAGTTTCAGACAGATTCAACCAACACTTTTTGATAAATCATGAAATCAAGTGACCATTGCAGGTTGCTAGCATTGGCGTGAATGGAGGTCTAGCACAAGAAAATCAAAGACAAACAAGGGTGACATCTATTATGTCAGGTTATTCAGCTATTCAGAAACTATGCAATTTATATAGTCCCTGATCTGGTCCCTCTGAAAAGAAGTTTCGTTGTCTGGTACTTTCCCACAAAAAATGATTGTACCGTAACTACCGTTTGATAGAATAGACTTCCCTCATGAAGAAAAAACATATATCCGGGAAATATGGAGGAATACAAATCGTATTGAATCGTATTACATGAACAAATCGTATTGTTCCCGGAAAAATCGTATTGGAGCGTATTACATGAAAAAATCGTATTGTCCCCGGGAAAAATCGTATTAACCTATTTTTGGTTTCCCGGTTATTTTTAACCTTGACTAATTGATAAAATAAAATGAATATGGGTTTTATTCCTCGGAAAATATTATATTGACCTTTGGCAATATGATATTGACCGAGGGAGCGCAAACAATGTGCATATATTAATATAATGTTTGCATTATTCAAATGTAACATTTTAGAGGGATGTATTATGGAATAAATAGGTTATTTCTGGTCGGTATTGAATATGGGTTTTATTCAATCCCTCCCAGTAAATAACCTATATACGTGGCATAAAACAAAAAAATCGTAAAATTTGGTCTTCAGCATGTCACCTTGTGTCACCCCATTTTAGTGCCTTTTGCCCCTATTAAGAGGTGTTTTCTATACAAGGGAAATCTGTTCTTTCAAACGTTACAATAACTTTATGTGGGAAAATACCGGATAACAAACTCAAACTCTTTTCTAGAGCCCTTTAGAAAATCAGATCAGGGACTAATATGATACTGTTCGAGTGGTGGTCTAAGTAAAAGGCTCTGCAGTCGTTAATAAACCTACTAACACCCCATACACATTTCCATTACAAACAGGTAGTCTTGATATGATCTTAATATTCTTAATATGCGTATATTTAATATACACAATTTTTACAGGAGTTGAATATTATGCAACTATTTGTCGTTCATTATAATGTTATAGAATGACAATTTGAATTTGAACTCACCTGCATGATGTAGTGATCGTTCAAACTGGAAAAATGAAATAAAATAAGATGAATCGAATTTTAATAACAAGAAGAAATATCGTTAAAGTAGTTACCACTATTATTCTATTCCTTCTCACATGGTAAAAAATTCCAAATGTACTATCAACAATACAAAAACAATCAATTTATTCATTTTGAACCTTCCTTCATGTTGGAAATGTATGTAAATATAATGTTTTTAAATTGATTATCATGGTAATGAACGGAGAAAATAAATTTTATTGGAGAAATATTTTCATGTTATTCAAAATGACAAGTTAATTGTGCCCTGACATCTATTTGGATTATAAAATTCAATTTGTCGGAGACGTTACATTGAGGCCGAGCCCGAGTGGGGTCGCCGTTCGCCAAACTAGCGAATTAGTAATTGGCACTTACGATTTTGGGGCAGTGACTTCAACTTCATAGATATAAAGACTAGGTTCTCCATTGTCCTGCACCTTGGCAATCATAGTCATTGACGTTTCACTGAGTCCCCATGATACCGTGAAGTAGCCCTAAAATCAGGTTCAGACGTTATACATTGATAAAAACAATTCTGATCTTAGTCCAGGGAGGATTATCCTTCAAATTTTTAGGTTATGCGTAGTTCAGAAGTACTAAAACTATATAGAAAGAGGGGTGTATCTTTTTCAATTTTGGCACAGATAATCCAAGATATTTGTAACTTACAGGTGTTGCTTTATCCCAGTGGTCCAAGTTCTTCTGAATCAACACTGTAAAGTTTGTGCCAGCTCTGAAAATACCGGAATTAAAGTTGCAGCAGAGAATATGGCGTAAAATTCGGAAAAGCATGGCAATATCTCCCCTAGAATCTTTACTTCACTGTCTTAAAAAAGATAAGAATTCAGATATGGAAAGTTATATAACGTGGAAGATTTGAGTTACAGAAATATTAGAAATGAAAAAGGGGACTTCCACTTTTTCGATATAAGCAAACAATAAGGATTATCGAGAAATAGATATAGCGCTGTTAGAATTTTTTGAAAATCTGGATGACAGAATATTGTGGGCAAAATATGTGGTGAACAGAGTTAGTGACATTATACAGTATTTATTCCAATCGTGATTTAGTTTGTTTCATTATGGACTGTTATAATACTTTCACTCGGTTCTCACTCTTTACCTATATTGTCTAGCTACAAGCTCGTGTGTCCACAATCTTGAAGCAAGACTAGAATAATTAACGTATACATAATTTTATAATGTAAAAATAATTAATTGTACGATATGTACCATAGCCCATGTATGTACAGAATGGTGCCGCAATATTACAGAATATTAACATACTTGACTCCGGTGGTGGGCATCCCTGTACGTTCACCACATGGTCCTTTCAGGAGGATGCAGTCTGTTGCCCCTACAACATGAAAGGAATTATATATAAAACGGAACTACATCATAAGGCCCAGGAATACCATGTATGTTTAAAACATTTTATCACTGCATTCTTGGGCTTCAGGAGTTCATTGTCATTGGAGGAATGTGACGACATCGCATCAAAACATTGATGGTCAGGTATCTACCCCTAAATGCAATTATCACTACATGATGTAAACAATTAAAAAGCAAACAAAACAACCCATCAAACAACCAACACAATCAATCAACCAACGACACTGCACATCGCTTAGCAAGTCAACTGCACGCAGGATATTCCATTCCAGGACTGAAAGTACCAGCACATACCTGGTTTGTTGATGCCCATCATTGATCCCCTCTGGCGTGGAGAGAGCAGACACAAGTGAGCGCTGGTCGCAACCAAGAGGCAGGCAAACACAATCAGAACCTTCATATTGTAAACAGCACAATCTAAACATAATCAAAAAAGCAAATATCTGACTTGGTTCTGTTTTTCCAGAAAAAGTATCAACTGCCTTACCTAAAAATTCATCTATACTTCATTCAAACCCCAAAACGCAGATGTCTTGGCCCCTGGTATTTGGAGGTGAATATATACACTCACTGCTAGCCTACACGTGTTTAAACCTGGTGTGAAAACCGACATCAATAGTAAAAATGTGCGTACCTGTATAAAACTTTCAGTTGGCCAATATTTGAATGAACTGTCAAAGTGTAAATATTTGCATTGAGAAGAATGAATGTAAACGCAGCAGTATCGCGCACTACCACAAATTATACTTTAGTATTCATTAAAATAAATGAATTAGCTTACCCACAGGACAAATATAATCGAAATACTGGAATCCGGAGGAAATGCAATGCAAGTTGCCCCTCTACAGTAATGTTACCCTAAATGAAGAATAATTAAACAGAAAATGTTAGTAGGGCAGTAGGACAAACGGTCAAGTTTTGACTTGGTCAATATTTGTCACAAGATAGTCACAATACAAGGCACGAGGTACCGTTGATAAGATTAAAAATGATAGGCTAATACAATACACTTCAATTCAATTTTTAAATATCAAGTACATGTGTTATACAAGGGCCGAGCAATATATTCGCTACTTTTTGCTTTATTTTCTTTTATATTTGTTTATTTCCATTGAAATTTGGTACAGACATAGAGTGTAGAATTCCGCATCTTTTGATTCCATTTTCAAGCCCATTGCCGAATATGGCAAAAAAATATGGTTGTCATAGCAACGGGAGGAATGAGCCACCGGAGCTGCCCATAATTTTACTGCAATTGCACATGCAACAATATCTTTATATGCCCATTTCTCATAACAAAAACATTCAGTTTGGGTAACTTTTATAAACATTGTTTACTGGACATTGATCCAATATTCAGAACAATGGTTGTGATGTCATAGATGTTCTTTTCAAACAATAAAGAGGTCACAATTGATCCGCATATGCATCACAAAAGGGAGACTCTGCTTCCTGAGTTGCAGGTCTTGCGAAAGAACTTCATGGATGCAGTTCGTAAAAAGCGCCCAGTATTGATCAACCATATGATATATCATCAAGATAATGCTCCATCACACAGGGCCCATGAGGTAACTGATATATTAGCAGCTTTAAACATTGAAAAATTTGATCATGCACCATACAGTCCAGACCTTGCATTGTGCGACTTTGAAATTTTCGGCAAACTGAAGAATGAGCTACGCGGGCAGAGGTTTGGTGACCGTGAAGAAGTGGTTGAGGCCGTCCATAAGGCCCTAAAAGACCTATATGGAAATGGAAACGGACTGCAACAGGCCTATCAAGACTGGCTTTCCTGATGTAGAAAATGCATAGCTGCAGATGGACACTATTTTGAGAATGAGGCATGGAATGAGGAGTAACTGTCTTAATTAACAAAAAGGACATTTTGTATAAAAGTTGTTTTCTAAAACATTGTCACAAATGTCAGCTCCGGTGGTCACTATCAACCAATATTCAATGCCATGTAAAATATTACGGATGTAACCAAATAAATGCACATTTGGTGACTACAGAAAAATGTTTTTTCTATTATTTTGGAAAATTTCCGGTAAGATACTTTATTATTAACAATTTGAGAGCAAAAAGTAGCGAATATATTGCTCGGCCCTTGTATACAGGATGTTTCATATGTATGCACCCCCTCTAAACTCATATATGTAGCATTTCCACCCTATCATTTTGTATTTCATACTTGAGTGGGTTTGGGGTAGATGTCACCCGGGAATATATATAATATCTGAGGAGCGGGCAGGATATATTGTATATGTCCCGCTCTAGGCCAAATGCGGGCAGATATAATATATCCATCCCGCTCCCGGGAATTTTTTCAAAATTTTAAAAATTTAAAAAATTTAAATTTCAGAAGTTTAAAATTTTTCAAAAAGTTTAAATGTCACAATTCTATTGTATTGAGCTGAAGGAATATCATGAAAATGTTAAATATAAATTGTGCTTTTACAGTATAGGCCTATCTTGTCATTTGAAAAAGGTGGTAAAGGTCATATCTACCCGAATTAAGTATGAGATACACCAGTTATGTACGGTCGCTTTTGGATATAGGGTTTATCCCTCGAGATTGATGATTTTTGTCACTTTGTATAAATTGATGATATTATTGTCTGGTGATCTTGCGTAACTTTCTATGAGTAACAAAATGATATATAACTTGATAGGATGACAATGCTATATACATGATTTTAGAGGGGGTGCATACATATGAAACACCTTGTACATATATAAATAGAATAATATGTGATGTCAGTAAACATCAAGTTTAAACAGAACATTAAATCTGTTGAGGTAACTTAATAGAGATAACCTTTTGAAATGGTAAAAACTCAGATGACCATAAAATATCCCGATTTTTGAATTTTTACCATCAATAGGCTGGTGGTACTAAACCTTGTTTTTGTTAAATTTTGAAAAATACTGCCCGCCGAGGTAGAATGTACATTTTTACAAAAGAAACAAAGAATAATTTGTTTCTTTTCAAAGTCCAAAAATTATTTCCTACCCAAACTTCATTATTTAATCCCAAGATAATCATTATGAAATGGCAATGACTTCCAAGAGTATAGGCATAGTAATAGTACCCAAACAACAACATTTTAAAATACCATAATTATGTATAATCTCAAATTCATATACTAGGGTCTGGGAGAATGCGATCATATAATTTGATATTAGTAGAATTGCTCATGCAATGTAAACTTCCTAATTGATGCTATTGGGTATCATACAGATGTTTAAGACATTGAACACAATAAAAGTTATTTAATACTGACACTTAGACAAAAAGGCAGTCAATCAGTGTTTATATGCGTGCTAAAATAATAGCGTGTAGTGTTCCTTCACGTCAATTAATGTTATTTTGTTAAGCGATCGTTGTCTTTGTTTCGTTTATTTATTCATTTCACGTTGGTTTTCATCTCTCATCATTGATTTCTTCAAAAAGTAGGCCAGCGAATTAATAATTGGCTCAGCACTGGCTTAATTTTTTAAAAACTGTATGCATTAAGTGAAGTGAAAATACCCTTGGATTTTTCTGAGACTAACATAATAAAGGATATATACTTTGTACCACCACATGACTGCAGGGAGAGGTCTACTGATTATTTGTTATTTTGAATAGACTTCGAGTCACAATTTTCAGGTTATTTCTGGCGTCAAATCATATCACGATGCATGCTCAAACACTTCAGGCGATTTCCCTTCTAATCTTAATAACTTATGCAGAATCGGTCAGACGTAAGTGAATACTAAGGAGAAATCAATTCTAAATTGAAGCTCAATTTTACTTGTAATTCGCAAAGACATGAGAATAAATATTTGAGGATACATTTTTGGTTATCACCGTCTATGATTTTAAGCATCACTTTATAAGTATAGTTACGATGAGTATAATTTCCGTTTTATTTACAAAATCGAAAAGAGAAAACTGAAAGTAAAATAAAATAAAAACGTAAGTGAATTGTCAGAAAGTAGAATCATCGTGATGGTTAACTCACAGCTAGTGTAACAAATAAATATGATGATTTTAAAGGTAGGCCGATTAGATTGAGAAAGCTGACCGGATCTCGGGGTGGTACTGTATTGAGCAACCATCCTGAACACGATATTTTCAAGAGGTTCTTTTGTAGACACCAAAGATGTGAAGAAGGAAAATATTGCAATCAATGGTACATGTGCTTGCCAGCAAAGTTCGATGGAGAATTTTGTATCGAGAACAAGGTAGGATGTGCACGTATTCCTCTTCAACTCAGAACTTCATGAATATTACGCGCAAAAGTTATTTATTACAATATTTCAATATTACATTTACCTATCATTGGACTTTCTATGTGTTGGGGTATCTATCAGGCGTAACCTTCCGCTTTGGATTATTTTTTCAGGACCTATTTTTAGATTATAACAGGGAAAAATCAAATAATTTCTTTCAACAAGAGGTTTGCTAATCTAAGTGAAGTGCCGATCATTTACTCAATAATAAATAATATAATCCTCAATTCTAAAAAAATTAAAAATAACTCATTTTTTCTCTGATACTCCCCCTTTCTGTTTTATCAGAAAATGGTTGGCGAGCACTCATTTTGGTTTTGGCCTTTTGTAGACTGTTTCTCATTTTCTGGATCTATCAATTTAAATAGCATACATGCCACACTAATCCGGTTGCAATTTGTTTCAGCAATGTTTGAGTGGCGTATGTGTAGAAAACGTTTGCAAAGGATGTAGAAATGATCTTGACTGTCCCAGTAAGGGTACTCGTGATGAACGTCTTCTAAGCATCATAGAAACGTCTAAGGTATACTGCAGAAACAATAATTGCGTAGAATGTACAAAGGAAGAGCATTGCAATTTAGGAAAGGTATATGACCGTTAAGCATATTTAAAAGAAATTAATTAAAATCAACATTTATGCATTGCGATATGTGATCTCCACAACCCTAGAAAGGGACCTGCAACCTTTATCAATCAAAGGGCAATAAGAAACAGAACGGAGGTTCTAGGTTCTAATTCTGATGTTTTTTTTTATAAAATGATTAACATTATTATGTAGTTATTGACCAAGGTCCTGTACTTTTTCGCTTGATCGGATGATTCCTCTAGTCACATGATCTGCAATTGCGACGCTCTACGGCGGCCGTAGGGTGGTCGTAGCTTCATAAAATCGATGTAGAAAACCTACATCGTACTGTTTATCCCTATTCTTTATGGTGTATATTTCACTCGATTTCGGGAAGCTACGACCGTCGTACGGTTGCCGTAGATCAAATGTAATTGAGGCTTTATAATGTTTGCTGCATACAAAATCTCATCAGTATTAAGCCACGGATTATTATTTCCTTTAGGTGTGTACAGGCGATAATAAATGTGAACATTGTGACACCGCCGAAGGCTGTGAAGATACAAATGAAGTGGAGTCTAAATAAAAAATATCTCAAGAGTGATTTGTGCTGTTATTTTCTCGTGTAAATGGTTAGCCTATCATTTGCCTTATGAAACTGTATTGATTTGTTTCCAATGCTTACAACCGTTCCAAATGACTTGTCAGTCCATACAACATACTAAACATAGTAATGTCATAACAATTTGGATAGACATGTTCCTGGTCTCATTTAGAATCCGTCATTACCAATTGACCTTAGAATCAAAGCATTTACAGTGGCGTTCCATTCAATTTTAGAACATGGCTATGAATATGATAAAGAATGTTGTGCGCAAAATCTAGTAAAAAACAAAGTCAAATGAATGCAAAGGGTATTGTAACGTAAGACTGGCTATTGCTATCTTTCAAATATGTGATATACAGATGGTCTCTATCTTTGGTAGCCCCGTTAGTTTCTGAATACTGTATGATTCTAATTGGTGAGAAAAATGCTTTGGCGCCAGCCCTGCCAACAATTGTGGAAAAAGTCAACAAAGAAGGCAGTCATTTATGATCCGTGTCGACGATAAGTTGATGAAAACAATACACAATATAAATGCTCAAACAATATCGCCGGTCATGGATATCATTCTCCTCACGTCATTAAATATTAGTTTGTGTATATTTGTCATTATTTCTTTTGTCCATGATCATCTTCATTTTATTGATGACAGCCACATACGGTCAACAAATAACAAATATCGATGTTCGTGGACGGAAATCTCGATTTCATAATACAATTATTAATGTCTTATGGGTCTTTGACAAAATTGTATTGTAATAGGTAATAGGTCATCCTAAATCGATTTAAATATAAAAATATATGAAAAAGTAAATGAGCTTGACCAGCAAAAAGAGATAAATAAGAGATTAATACTGCAGTATTTACAACTGAATAAAGGATATTCTTCACAACGTGCTTACAGTAAGTAAAATTGTATCCTTGTCTACTTTTCTGTCAATGCAATAAATCAGTTGATAGATTTCAGAATTTGCACGAGTTCATTATCTGAAAGGAGTCGCCAAAATCATTTATCAAGTTCCTTTTAAACACTTTTTATGGCGAGGCACATTGATAGCACCTCATTATGTAAGGGATGTGACTTTCCTTGATATTCTTTTCTGGTCGGATAAATCATGCTTCAAAACAATCTTCCAATTATTATTGTCAAATTCTTTCATATTTTAAATGGATCATCGAACATGACGTCACTGTATTTTTCAGATTGTAGTTTCTGATGCACGTTTTGGGAGGAAGGATGCACGGTCAAATCTTTCGAACGATTTTTTTCCTCATTTTATTAACATATAATGTAAAATCTGGTGAGTATCTCAGTATATATTTTGGAACAACCAGGTAGGTCTAAATGTATCGACCGTAATTGAAAGCTAAAAATAGGCATCGCAAAACAAACTTGAGCTTCATAACGATTCTGATGAAAATATATGTACATGTAGTCTTGATAATTTTTATTTTCATCATTTTCAACAAGATGGAGGTCGATTGGTATCCAAATATTTTACCCGTATGTTAATAATGACATCCGGTGTAAAAGGGTAGGAGATCCTATCAAATTATGGTCCTACTCTCCATTGATTTATATGGTGACCTAAATACAACTCTTTCCCTTATTATCTTATACGCAATCAGGGCCAGTAGGGGCCGTTAAGAAAGGGGACCATAATCCCCGGGGGACCATAATTTCTTTCACACCTGTTATTGAAAAGCTGGTCAGTCATGGGCAAATATATCCAACAACTCCGATATTCGAGTGATAATTCCTTACTTCAGCAACCAGGGCGTTATTTGGTGAATTTCACAACGTCTTGGTTGCGTTGTGTTTAACGTTAATAACGTGCTGGTGATGAATTGACGAATTCTCACTCAATTATTGGAGCACATGGATGTATATGCTCGCGACTCATTCGCTTTTCAGTAACCAAATGCTACAAGGTATATTATTTGGATACAAATCACCTCCTTTTAGGAAAAAATGATGAAAATAAAAATCTCTTCCGACGAAGTTCCTTAATTTACACTGGTCCAGTGTAAATGTACAAGAATATGGCTGGCCAAGTGGTACAAAGTTACGTCGTTATGTTTACGACCGTAAGGTCGTAAATGTACGACCGCAAGAACGTAAATATACGACCATAAGGTCGTTTTTATCGGTTCCAAGAACGTAAATTTATAACCTCATAGTCGTAATGTACGACCTCACTACCGTGTTATTACGACCTTACTGACGTAAATTTACGACCTCACTAACGTGTTATAACGACCTTATTGACGTAAATTTACGACTGTGTTATACGACCTTACTGACGTAAATTTACGACCTTACGACCGTGTTATACGACCTTACTGACGTAAATTAACGACCTTATGGTCGTACATTTACGTTCTTGTGGTCGTTTATTTACGATCTTACGGTTGGAAACATTACGACTATGAGGTCGTTAATTTACGTTCTTGAAACCGATAATATCGACCTTAAGGACGTTTATTTACGTTCTTGCGGTCATACATTTACGACCTTACGGTCGTAAACATAACGACGTAACTTTGTACCACTTGGACAGCCATACAGGGAGGGATTATGACCGTCCTGCGTCCAATCTGAATGAAGCTTGCATTTTTGATTCAATTTTTAGCAAGACGCACTAGACCTAGTAGGACAAGGGGTACCACTAAAGTAGATGGGAAGAGTGGTAAGAATAGTGCATTCTTTTGTAGCGGTCGAAGTTGTGGAGAAGGGAAATATTGCAACAAACAGAAAATGTGCATGCCAACGAAGTTTGATGGACAAATATGTACAGAGAACAAGGTAAGACTTACATATATTTCCCGGTGTTATTTGTTGTTAACATCAGGGGAGAGGGGGCACATTTCAAGTCAGAAAAAATGGGCCCCTAAAATCTACCCAACTTTAGGCCCATTGTTTGATAATTTGGCCTAAGAATAAAAATAAGGCCAAGTAATGCCCAAAAGGCTCATTAATTGAGGTCATGTACAATTTTAAGAATTTTTTTGACCCAAATTTTTCTGGGCCCATCATAGGGTGGGGGGGGGGGCGATGGGCTACCCCTGGATCAGCCAGTTGATGCCAGAATGGGGAATAAAACGGTAGATGAGTGGATGATATAATTGATTATTTCGGTGATCGGTTTAAGTTTCTTATCCAAAACCAATGGTAATTTTATATTCCAGGAATGTATGAGTGACATATGCTTGAAAGGTGTTTGCAAATCATGTAGAAATGATGGAGACTGTCCCAGTAAAGGTGCGCGTGATGAACGTCTTCTAAAGATCGTAGAGGAAGCAAAGGCGTTCTGCGTTAACAACGACTGTGTAAAATGTACAAAGGATGAGCATTGTAATTTAGGAAGGGTACGTATAGGTAGCCATTGCTGGATTTCTATGGAAGGTATCTTGCAAGTTCCGGATTCTATATTGATACCTTGTTCGTGAGTTTCGTTCATCAGTTGCCGATAAAATACTTGTCAAAAAGTGTCTCATTTTTTGCGACACAAGTTATATTCGTGAGTTTCTCAAGAGTGTTCTTTCTGTCTTTCTTTTTTGTCCAATGACATAATTCTCTGTTTTTTTTGTTTCCAGAAAATACACATGGCAAGGAATGATATGAGCCCAAATATTCTAAATTAGAAACAAAACTAAATCTTGGAAAGATTACACGCTACAGGATTTGATACCTTTAGTTTTAACATTATGCGCTTATTACGAGTTCTGACTTGATTCAAAACTTCTGTTTTTCTTCAGGTTTGCACAATCGACAACAGGTGTGAACAATGTGACTCCAACGAGGACTGTAAATCATATTTACACTGCGAGAGAGGTATTGAAAATTGGTGTGTGCAATGTTACAAAGACGATCACTGCCCAACCAGTAAAAGCCATTGCTTATCTAAAAGATGCGTCGAATGCATAGAAGGTAGTGATTGTCCAACTGGACGATGTGATAGTAGAAACGAATGCGTTGGTCCACTTTGCGACGGATGGTGTTTTTCAAACGCAGGCTGTATATCAGGACAGTGTCAATTTCACTCAGACAAAGCAAATCGAGGGACTTGCAAGTACTGTGGCGAAGAAACGAATGGAGTTCAATAATGAACACAATGAAACAATAAACATATTTAAAATTGAATCTGGGATAAATATACTAATACTAGAATATGGATTTCAAGTTTTTATGATCTCCAACCAATCTTTGCATGCAGAATATCTCTTATTTACTGGCCTTTGTTCTTAATGACAAACAGTCATTAATGGATCATTAATAATGCGACGTCCAGTAGGCGACGACAATCTTGATCAGTATAGAATAATAATAAAACAGTAAATATTTGCGACGAAATGTAGTAAAACGGATCATTTATAATTACCAAGATGCAGGTAGTTAGTTACCAGTTTCACCACTGGTGGCTAATTTGGGTCAAATGATAGCACTTAGAGGAGCAGGTTTTTCTCAGAAACTTCAATATTCAATTATACATCAATTCTGAAATAAGCTTTTTCGTTTTCATTATTACACATACTATGTCTAATACAAGAAAAGATTACCAAGAACATATATTTCACTTTTCACGCTGTGTTTCATGATTTTATAGAATGGGCTTTGTGAAGACTCCCCACACATTTCAAAAGAAAATAGAAATTTCAAAGTTGATAAACAATCTTTAAAACCATTTTTTTAGATGTTAATCATCGTAGATTTTAAATATAATATCACGAAATATTTAATGACTAAAATCAAGGCCATTCTACTTCCATCAAGTCTATTAATATTTAAATTATTCTTCTCGAAATAGGCAACTATTACTGTTCATTTTTCGGCTTTCTTACAAGTAACAATTTATAGTTATCGCCAAGCACTATGACCATGGGGAATGTTACACATAGAAAATGAAATACAGAAAACCACAACCAGTTATGAACAAGGAGCAACTTTGTGAATCAAGATGACAGAGCGTTCATCGCTTCTGATAAATTTCTGATTTCACCTACTCTAAAACAATATCAGATAAATTATTCTAAAACACATTGACTCGCCAATCAGTGTAGCCAGGAAGAAAAACGCTACGAGGCGAAAATATTTCCAAACCTTAAAAAATGACGATTAAAGGAGGAGGGAAATTAGCGCAACAGATTTTGGACAGTCATATGTTGGATTTGGGCATTTTCTGAGGATTTAAAGAATTGCATATGTTAGGCCAATGCATCACCTCCAGGAAAATCACTTCTATAGATGATAAAATAATTTCGACTTTAAGACAGGGTAGATGCAAACAACCCACCCACATATTTTTTATGAAATGTTTTCTTAATTTTCGAACCCTTCCATCCCTGCTTTTTTAATTTTTCTTACATCAATATGTTGCATTTTGACACATAGTTGACCACTTTAAAGGAATAAGTGATTCCTTCAGGGGTTTTAAAGATACCCATTATGGGTGACCAAACTTAGCTGAAAGCAATGATTTTTCCTATGGGAAAATAACATGGGAAATATTGTTTTCCACTTTATCTAAAAGGAATCATTTATTCCTTTTAAGGGATTAAATGTGTGTCAAAACGCAACATATTGATGCAAGAAAATTTAAAAGAGCAAGGATGGAAGGGGTTGAAAATCAGGAAAAAATTTCAGAAAAAACATGTGGGTGGGTTGTTTGCATCTATCCTGTCTCAAAGTCAAAATTATTTTATCATCTCTAGAAGTGATTTTCCTGGAGCTAATGCATTCGCCTAACATATGCACCTGTTTAAACCCCCAGGAAATGGCCAAAATCAAACATATGACTGTCCAAAATCTGTTGCGCTAACTTCCCTCCTCCTTTAAAACTCAACATTGATAGGGGAATATTTTTCAAAGGATGTTAAAAAGCGTCGCCTCGTCTGTCTCGTCTACGCTATGATAGCGATACGACGCTCTCTGTGTTTGTCCTCCGAACAGACAGCACCAGACATACTTTTTGTTTGGAAGGAACAGACAGACAGAGTGGATTGTGTCTGGAGTCCTGCTATTTGACTTTGAACTTCATATCCTGATTGAATATTTTTAGCAATATCATAGAATCATGTAATGGGCATTCAATAGATGAAAGCCCATGATAGAATTCAAGACAGTGGTCCCCCTCCTACTTCACAACCCTTCACAAATACAATTGTTAGATGGGGGGGGGGGGGGGGTCAAGGGTCTTGAAGCAATACTAAAACTACGACTATACGAAACTCTCTTTAAGTAGCGAAGGTGAGCGAATGTAAAGGATACAGAAATTCAAGATTTGCAAAGGGTTATCATTATCCAGACAGTCATATGACGAGTTAATCAGGCATGAAAAGTGTATAATGTATTTATTTATCCAATACACAGATACGCTGCATAGTTTTTATTTATTTTGTAACTCAGGAAAATTAAAAAGATATTGATGATTAGTTCTATAGGCTTGAATAATTATTATTAAAATCATATATCTTTAAACCAAACAAACCTTAGGTTGAACCTGATCAAGGTGATCTACCTATTTGTAGGAAGTTCTGTTCACCTGCTGTTCAGGTGGCATCAGACATAAATACTGGATATATAGTAGATGTCTATAAATTGTATAGGCTACAGGGTGGATGGACCAAAAAACAATACAAAAGTTTAAAGACAGCGTATGTCAAATCTATGCTGAAAGTGGTAGTGCCTTCACAAAATGTTAACCACAATATTGCCACAATAACATAGTTTATGCATTTTGCCATGCACTGCGAAAAAGATGGTGAATGATAAGATTATCAATATGTAATACACTGGCTGATCCAGAAGTTAACAATTTTGAGCCAGGAAAACATTGGGCCCAAATTTTGAAAATTTAAGGCCTATGTTTTGATAATTTGGCCTAAAAGAGGCCCAATGATGCCCAAAAAGATCCATGCCATGCTCCCCCCTCCATCCGCCAGTGTAATACGATACACTTGTTGCATTGTATGTTAAATGCAAAACCCTAATACCCCCACTTTCTTCCCCACAGACTGTACACATAAAAACAGAGACACAAATAAATTTTAATCCACTTGCTTTAACTTTATTGTCATATCGTATTCTTTGAATATTCTATGACATGGTAACTCATGTGTGAACATTGCACCATTCTGGCACTATGATCATGAGATGGAACTGAGCATTTACTTCACGAAGATCATTGGACATCTAAAAATGTGTTTTTTCTCATAGTGAGACATCAGGACATGTGTCATACAAAAGTTTATTGGTTCTTGAGCACGTTCTTGGATACCTCGGAAGGTTCTGATCATGCTAATAGTCAGGTCCATAGACGAGAAAAGATAATATTAGCATTCTGCTGCTGCTGCCATCTTTATATCAGCCCAAAACATGGTTCTGATAATCTCCTGTATCATATCGTTCAGAATCAATTTGTTGATTTCTACTGATTATCCAAATAAAGATGTCACTACTGCATAAACATCAATGTATTTTGTATTTTGAGGATGATATTACCAATAATGCATGATGGTTGGTTCTGATGATGATGGTACTATATTCAGTGCATATTGCCTATATTTATTTTCATTTATTTCAGTAGTTTCAATCCCTTAAAATATTTTTGTATTTCAGCTTTTGGATATGGCTTTGTGGCTATACAAGTACAGATATTTTCTGGCTGTTCAATCCAAAGTTTGTGATCAATTCCATCTGCGGTCAATGCTTCAGATAATGTGTTAAGAACATCCTCATCCTTCCCCTATAAATTGAAATATATGTTTATCTTTATATTCTTATCATTATATTATTTTCTGATATTTTATATAATAATGATCAATGCTACTCACAGGTCATAAAATGCAGTAAATTGGAGCCCTGTATTGAAAACCTTATTACTTTTATACATGAATCTTTTTTAATATTTCTTTGAGCTTACACAAGTATTACAGAAGAAGTCAAATTGATTGACCAATTTGTGAATTTGCGGCTATTATGTTTCCCAAATTTTCTAAAACTCGCGAAAATCACAAAACATAATAACTGCGAAAATAACCACTTTGGATCATGATGAGAAAGCGCATGTTACATTATGTTTGATACATGTATGACAAAAACAGCTTTCCAATGGTGTCCTGACAAGAGAACCCGATGCGCGTAACATTACATCATGTTCAGTAATCAGTATGACAATAACAAATCATGTAAGTATTTGCTAGACTTCAAGATGTCCCTAGTCCTACTATCATGATATCATGGCCATTGGGAAAGGCTAGTATTTGCTTGCCTTTCGTTCCAATGGTTGACATGTACAGTTCGGGACATAAATAAATGACAGGTGGATTTGCTGAAGTGAGAATTTCCCATGTTAAAAATAAGAGAATTTTCAAGAGGCCATACATCAGTGGATGAGATTATACAAAATGTGAAATATACAAATTTTAAGGGATATGTGTCTATACAATATTGGAAATTATGGGCTTTCAGACGACCATAATTAGGAAATGGTGATCGAAAATCGACCTGTCATTTATTTTTGTCCCCAACTGTATTGATATGGTTGGTCTTAACAGTTTGGAACATAAATAAATGACAGGTGGATTTTCTATCACCATTTCCTAACCATGGTCGTCTGAAAGCCCATAGTTTCTAATATTGTCTAGATACATATCACCTAAAATTTGTATATTTTACATTTTGTATAATCTCATTCACTGATGTATGGCCTCTTGAAAATTCTCTTACTTTTTAACGTGGGAAATCCTCACTTCAGCAAATCCACCTGTCATTTATTTGTGTTCCAAACTCAGAAACTGTTACTCGAGTCTCTAGCTTACAGCTAGACGAAACTTCATTGATTTCGTATGTACTGTAATACACGCACCTACACGCACCTAGAACTCATTTTTAATAAATTTTATAAATATTTTTAAGAATATTAATCATATTTAGGATGAAGCGTTGCTTGTCTGGATTTAGATATTTCAAAATTTCATTTCGGAGTTTCAACACATGGTGAAATTTTCTCGCTGTAGCTAAAAATGGCTTCCGGTTCTGGACGTGAATAACATTTGAAATTATTCTCAAATTCTCAAAACTGAATCTACAGTACACTTATCCCGTTCCCGGACTATAGTCCTGCACTGAGCGCATTCATTTGCCTGTACGATTACAACTTGGGAGAATTATCTACGCCCCTTACACTTAAGATACCTACCTCAATGCATTATAGAACTCAAGATGTAACTTCTAATATATTGGAACCGCCGATTGTCTGGGTATATCGGCAGAACGGGAACATTTTCTCTTTTTCATCGAGAGAGATTCCATCACTTTTCAAAATGGCGGTTGGATTTAAAAGGGGAATCCCCCGTTTGGCTGTCCCGGATGTAGCCCGGAAGTACCAATATGGAGGAATTTGACGGTTGAAATAAGTTAAATGTTACACGCAAATATTGCGATCAAAAACGAAAATGTCTTCGTTCTGCCGATAAACCCAGACAATTGTGGATTCAACTACACGAAAAGAATGCTAAATTACCAAGGAATCTATTGAAGTAGGTATCTGAAGTGTAAGATGAGTAAAAAATTCTCCCATGTTGTAATCGCACAGGCAAAAGATTGAGATGTTCACAGGACCATAGTCCGGGAACGGGATAACAGTACACGAGACGAACTGCCGAGGAAACAGCGGCTTATGCAACACAACAACAACAATTATTCTCGCTTAAAGAAATCAAATATAACAATAGATTCAGACGGGGATGTGAGCTAGTGTTCTTCAAATCTATACATAAAGGTATATTTCATATTATTATGCCATATTTACTGTGCGTGTGACACAATGATTTACAATATTTATAATACTAAGGCAGCTCAATCTTCCTCCTCAAAGCCGGAATATAGAGAAGGCTTTGGACCGAAGTAAAGAAACTGTACACATTTTCTTGAAGGCCCTGTTTTGAGGCCTGGGTTTAGAGGCTACGTGAGGAAAACACCGACTGGTCGATTGTTGGTGGTCTTTTTCGTGAACCCATAATATTGATTAGGTAACATGCCTCTCATAATAATATCCAAAAGACATTATCAAAGCAAGAGTGTATAAAAAGATGACGTTGATGAATTCAAAAAAATTGATGGGCGATAATAGGAGAAAAATAACTTACATCCAGGATAACTTTATGCATTCTATCGATATCAGCCAAGTACTCCTGTGTATTTTTGTCATCGTGGAACATGTGCATCACTGCACTACTAGCATGACACGCCTGGGCGATAATAGCACCTAGAGGCCATTTTAATGCTTTCATAAGATCGCCTCTGACAACAATATATTGCACCGAGGGGGCAGCCATATTTGCGGAAAACTTCTTTCTGTAATTTCATTGGTCAAAATACAGGGCACCTTGGTCATGACGTCATCTTAAGTTTCTTGATATCAGAAACAAGTCCAAAATTCTACTCAAATAAGGCAAATAAATCATACTTTTAGACGTTTAAACAGCGTTTGGATGTCATATTTGGAGAGGTAAGTGTTGTGTTGATTATATAAGGTGTTTGTATGATTGCAGTGCGAAAGCATAATGTATATATTCGTTGACATGTTTGATTTCTTTTGCAAATGCAAACCAATTTTTTCATTTTTCAAACTGAAACTCACTCATTCTCGCTCAGGAAAAGATTTCTAATAAGTTTACCACTGTTTTGCAAGCGACCCACCGATTCAACTTGGTATAATTTGACATCAAAATTAATCTCGAAACATTTGTTGTTGATGTAATCCTTATCATAATCAGGCCTGTCAACTGTCCCGCAATTTGCGTATTTGTCACGCATTTGCTGAAGAATTTGAAGTCACGCCAGTTATTTTTGCGTGACAGAAAATGTCACGCAAATACGCATTTTACCTGGTAATTGTCAAGCATAAATATTTCTGTAGAAAAATTTCTAAAAAAAGATCGTCTACACAGCAAAAATACGAACGTCGGAAAAAAATGTACGCATTTCGTTCGGACTTTTCACGCGAATTACGTATATGTCACCCATTCCCCCCCCCCCGTTGACGGATGTTTGAAACACAAGCGTAGCGAGCGCAAAAATTTGAGGTGTTTTTGGCAAGATGTAATAAAATTTAAACCAATGTGTTCAAAATTTGGATCAAGGTGTCCAGATTTGGACCAAGGTGTCCACATTTTGAGGGGAGGTGTTCAACATTTCCAAGTCACTCATGTTAGGTGTTCCCAAGTTGACAGGCCTGCATTATGGACAGGAAGTGAAGCTTGAAAGCCCATGATTAGCAATAGACCAAGGGGGAGGGGGGATTTTCCCAAGATGACCTTTGATATTGGCATGTTCGATAACCAATTTAATAAACATGCAGGCCTCATTTGCCATTAAATGGATCTTACAATGTTCGCTGTTGTTTTATGAGTATTCTCTACAAGTTTGGATCGAGTAACTTCAATAGTAGATTCTATTACCGTAGTTTTGAAATTATGATGTTGAAATGATGTTAATCTGAAATAAATGCCATTTCCACAATTTCAAATTTTACTATGCGAATGTGCGGCACTGAAAGAGCACATGCTCATCAGGGTTCTCACCAGGAAATTTTTAGACCCCGGATTTTTTGCAGTATCGCAACTACTACTCCCTCATGTGAAATCAGAGATATCCTATAGTCAGTATACTTTTCAAAAAATAGTCCTATTCCTATTTTAATCACAATATACATTTCTAAAAGGTTTCTGACCACCTATTCCTTGTTTGTATATAGTTTTATGTATTTTCTCAAAAGTTTTACCACAAATAATGTGACAGAAATGTAAAATTAGACTCCGAAAAAAGTCTAAAAGCCTAGTCAGAACCCTGCTCATGATTGTTCAGGGGATCACATCCTGCACTTTGATTGGACATCATATACTGGGGAATCCTTGAATATGATAAAATATGAAAGAATTATTGGAGCTACACTTCTTCTGGCAATAGACTATTAGGCTACAGTCCCGGATTACAGTATGAAGTAATTTGAAAGTTCGTCCTTTTGCCACTTAGGTCCCCACTATGTTATCATGGTCTTTTGCTTGTCCAAATACATATCACCTTTAATCAATGCTTGCTTACCATATTAATATTTCCGGGTATGACTGATTCGCTAGAATTAACAAATGAGACTGTCAACAACCTACTAGAAGTTAGTAAACATTAATGACAACAAATACCGTATTCTCTGTAATTACCGCCCACTCTCTAATAAGCGCCCACCCCGCTTCACAAAGTTCAAGAAACATCGAGGAATCATAATAATCCATAATGAATGAAGGAATTGTTCTTTATCGGCATTCAGAAATGATGATCTCTCATCAAATTAGAAATAATGTATAACTTTAGATCGATATCCAGCAGTCTCTAGTGGAAATATTGAAGGTAATTGGCGATAATGACAAAGTGGGCGTGCCGGAAATAAATTAGACATAGACGGGTCTTCAACCACTGTCAATATTGTCTAAGCGATCTTTACCGTATTCTCTCCAATAACAGCACTTGTCATATTATTATAAAAATATGTTGAAGAAAATGCATTCTTGTCAAGAAAAATTGCCATACATGAAATTCCTCGGGATTTCTGATTTCTTTCATACATGGGCGCTTATTAGAATGGTCTAAATAATGTATTTTCAATTTTCTAAACGCCCTGGGCGCTAATTACAGAGAATACGGTAGACTTTATTGCATCAACCACTGAGCATAAGCACATTATTTGTAAAATTCACTCATGTACGCACATTCACAAAAAACCTTTAAAATGAGTATAAATCATTAGCTTTTGTAATAACATTTTTCGTATTTTATACTTTCATGCTATTTGATAGCAACAATGCATTTGTGATAATAAAGATAAACACTGGCATTTGTACCCTTAAAGTTTATGTTCCCAGTCTACTTTCTGTGCGTGGTGCTACGCAGTAAACACGATACAAATATATGTCATATTCCCGAACGATTGTGGCATATTCGCTTGTGGCGTATGACAGATTCACATGCGGTTTATGACATACTCATTAACCAATGAGAATGTGATATGGAAGTACGCAATTGTCAATTGCATTTGCATCGATTGAAAGAACGGGTAAAAGTCTAGTACAGTTCATTTAATATATTATCAACTAATGAACAAGTATCACTCAGCAATCTCACATAATAAAATTACTCAATACATCCAGATATTAGTACTCAAAGCGCTTACTATATTCATTTGGTAAAACAGCGTAGTTTTACATTTTGAGTCGATTCTCCCAACCAATCAAATCAAGGCTTTTTGTATTACGTCTTCACCTGCGTTATATGCTATACTCACCTGCGATATATGACATATTCCCCAAGTGAGTATGACATATTCCGCAGGTGAGTATTGGGTATCTGGTGAAATCAATGTATCGTATATTCACTGCTGAATATGGCTTATTCACCTTCTGAATATGCCATATACCGCAGCTGAGAATGGCATATTCACCTGTATCACAAATACAGCGTAACCATGAATATATGCCATATTCTGCATAACACTATTGTTACACCAATGGTCATCCAACTTGGTCTTGAACTGGTCAACAGAACACTTCTTGCTTGGATAACATATTTAGGCAGTTTGTTACAGGGTGAAATGACTCTACTCTTAAAGAGGTGCTGTCTTGTGTTTAGTCTAGTGTTGAGTCATTTCAGGTACATTGTTGTCTGTTGTGGTTCCTCTTGTTGGTTGTCAACAGTCATGTTATATTGTTCAATTTTGGAAAGATAGTCTTTAAGGTTAATCTGGATGATGATCACTTTGATGTTGGATTAATAATGATAGATAGATACATACATACTGGGATATTTATTGTGTTATTGCTAATTTGAATTATTGCTAGAAATAATAGTACAATAACGTAATTTCGAAAGGCAATATAGTGAAATGACATTATTAGTATTATTACCACCGTTATTGCCCAGGGCTGATGTAGCAAGAAAATCTTACATCCTGAATGATATCTAATTTCCCGGGGAAAATTGCTGGGCGTTAATGTATTATTGGCCCGCCACTATGACGTCACATATTGCTCAGGTCGATATAGTAAAATAAATGCCTTCTAAACTAGCACTAATACCCCTAGAACAGGCCAGGCAAGGTGGTAATAATAGCATATATCTTACGAGAAAATTTTGACTGATGTAACATCAATATATTTTCATCCTAATGAATCATATCTGTCGTCGTGGAATTGAATTTTGGAACTTAAAATTTTGTTTATTTTTATAAAACATAAATAGCAGTAATATGGAGAAGAGAGCTGTCAAGTTGTTGCCTCGCTGAGAATTTACATAGTTTGGCATGCATTTTTTCAGAAAAAATCATTTGTCACCAACTTTATATACATCAGCAAAATGTGAAGAATAAACTAATTAGTTAATCACTGAGTTACTATCAAATTATTCAATTTTATAGAATTTGTATTTGTTTACATAGTTATACATGCACATGCATATATAAACAAAATATCTCTGTTTAAAAGTTAACCTATTATTTTGTTTTATTATATTGCTGCCAGGTATAACTTGACATTGTAAAACAATCTAATTATGTTATGTTTCAGATGACGAGAAGTAACCTACTAGAGGACTAGAATATAAATGAAGTAACACCCAAGGATTGATTCAGTTCAAGTGCAAAATTGCAATGTGAAGAAATAGGACATCAACATTAGGGCACAATGAAAGTCACATCTATTGCTGTATTCCTTCTGTATGTCTGCAGTATGGTTGCCATTCTGTCTTGCTTACAAGGTAATGTTATAAATATTTCAAATAACAACGTTTGACTGGATATAGTGAAGTCATCCATCAGTATCCATTTTCTCTCTTTACATGCAATAATTCAAATATGAGAATTTTTCACATTCTAATGAGAAGCGTTATTTTTTAAAAATCATTCAAAAATGCCAGTGTAATTTGTAGACAGTGGACAATCTCTATATCTGAAGCAGTTGTAGAGATTGGGAAGGGGGGATATATATGGAGCAATACCTCATTTGTATATTCCATATTTTACAAAGTTATACAAATGCAATGGTGTTTCTATTGAATATTCTGTTTCATTCTACTGTCAGTTTTTATTTCTAAAATGACAACTAGTAAGACACAACAACACAAAAAGATCTGGATCATATAGGAAACATCCTTCTTCCAGAACTATTGGTATATAAAGTGTATAAAGTGATTCACCTTAACCATTTTTAAGCCTGATTGCAATCCAGGGTTCTTTGTTCATCAAAACATATTTCTTTGACTTTTAAAAGCGATCTGTTTTGCGATGCAATTTAGAAACACTACACGATTCTAGTAAGAGTCTTAGGCAAATATAGTTAGAGTGCTTCAATTAAATAGTTCTAATTTACCACTATTGATTTTCTCCTAAACCTGTTTGTTTTGAAAATGTCAATCTTAATAATATTACACAGTACGTAATAAAATTGACAAAGAAATAACATTGTGAATATTTGCATTTTGGACTGAAACTGCATTTCAAGTTACAGTCACGTGACTAGCATACATGCTAAGATTATGCAAGCTTTTCTTTTCTCACTAGCAAGTTTGAACCTAAAATATTCACATTTAGAGACACATTCTTTTTTGTATGAATAGCACGTCAATCGTTTGGTTCAGTCCACAACAGAACAGGGTGCAAAATCCCAATTTTGTTAAAATATCTTAAAATTTTATCTTTTTTGTCAGGGTAAAAACAAAAAAAAATTTCAACAAGGGGTATATACGTAGCACCCTGTTTCTCTAATTTTGGGGAGATCTCTGCATGTATAGAGTAATTATTGGTCGAAAGTAAAACTGCATGTAAAAAACACTATGTTTCTGGCAATAATTCAAACTCATCAAATGTTGATTCTGGCAACACATGGAAAATGTTACAATTCAGTACACAATATTGTGAAATGAATCCATCCATCAATATCAGATAATAATAGCATATAGATTTCTGTTTATACCAGACAATGAATATAAAATTGCAGTAAATGTCATTCAAGATGTGGGTCATTTGTAAATTGTATATTTGAACAGATGAGACAAGTACAATGTTCTCAATAATACTAGATGCGATGAAAAAGATATCAGAACACACAAACACAATGAAGGCAAAACTAATATATTTATTTACAAAGCTGTACAAACCACCCTAGCACATACATGTATAACATTGATGTTCTATAAAACATACTTCCTTGGGATATACCCTGTCAAGTCGATTTCCTCCATTAAAGTAGAGGACCTTTATAAGTGCAACACTTCACTTTTTGGCTTAAACATCTAGTAGAACACCTCCTCAGTGAAACACTTTTGACTTGCCTGTAGCCAGCTTTTATTACCAATGGAAGAGCTTTTGTTAAGGGGGGGGGGCTTTTTGACAGCATCGGCTGAAATAACACAAGAAATATGCTCAGAATGGTGGAAAACTCCCCCAGCTCCCCCTGGCTATGGGCCTGTTAGGTGTTCCAATCAGAGGTTTTAATATATTCAGGAAATGATTCTTAATTACTTTTTTGGAATTACCTTGTAAATGAAATATTAAATTAACTTGTCTCTCATCATCAGTCATATCACTGAATGTCTGTCATTGTTTACAGGTGTCCATGGAGATCTATGTACAGATTATGATGAGAAAGAATTGACAGCTGCCCTGCATATGAAAGTCACCCCTAAAGGAGGCATGTACGCAGGAAAATACAGCAAAGTTCCAGATGCCCATGACTTAACACAATGTGTAAAAAGCTGCTGTGGAAGTCGAACTTGTAATACTGTTTTTCTCCATGATGAAACATGTTTCCTCATTGCCTGTAACACCACAAACCCAGAGGCATGTAGCCCGATGGAACGAACTGAGGATAGATTCTCAGGCAGTTTTATGGTGGAACTTAGGACCATAGGTTAGTACCCTAAATGTTTCTACTCACTGTGAAATAGATACATCTAGTTTTACTTGTTTAAAAGAGATTGGTCAGTTGTGATAATGCATATATTTTGAAACATTTCACACAAATAGCAGTTGATAGATACAGCATTCCTTTACATGGAATAATTCCTTAATGATAACTGCTGAAACCTTTTTGATGACGAGATGATTTTCTTCATCACAACAGTTTGACAACACTATCCCAATTGGATGAAAAAAAGCTTCATAGGAAGATGATATGAACTAATGTGACCTTCAATTCATTATAACAACAGTAACACTGACATTTTGTATAATTGAGCTCTTGTCCCTTCGGTTTAAGTGTCTCAGGCTTTCTAACTGTCAATTAGTATTTGCCAGACTGGCACCTTTTCACATAATAACTTTACTGACCATACAACTAGGGTGATATTTAATTATCATGATACATCATGACATCTCTTTCCTTCTCTCAAGTCTTGACATAATGCCATAATAAACTACATTTTCAGATCTGACTTGGTTGAAGTTCTTGCAAATGTAACCAGTCAATCACAGCCTTCTTTTTGGTCATAAATGTCAAGAAGTTGCTGTCTCAAATCAGAAAAGTTATATTATTGAATCAGTGCATCTGTTGTTGGAAGACAGGAAGATATGATTCTTCCTCCTCTAATTCTATTGTTAAATATCAGCTACACATGCCATCAATATTGATATTATATAAATATATATATTGAAGCCATCCATCTATCAGTCTGAATCTAATCTGAATGCCACTGGTACTGGCCAAAAGTCCAATTAGCAGGTTTTTACATTTCACATTTTTAAAATGTGGGAGTCAAGGGAAGATCTGAACAGAGAAAAGATCTGAACAGAGAAAAGGTGTTCACATTGTGAGGTGTTCGGATGAGAGAGGGGTTCGAATGTACAGGTTTCACAGTACAAGCATAGGAGTGCAGGCAAAATCTAGAAATCTAGTGCAGCATTTGTGTTGGCAGATACTCTAACAGAATTTTATCCAATGATATATTCATTTCTAAAGCTCAGTGATGTTGGAATTATTTCCTGTCTCTAATTGCCTATGAAGAGGATTATGTCATATAATTGTAACTACCTATTTATTACATATAAGAAATGTTTCTGGTTTTGTTACTGTAAATTATTTAGTTTCACAAGCATTTAGTTTTATTTAAAGATGGTAAATATTTCTGTTGAATCCTGGAGTAGAACCTATCTAGCTTCTATTAGTCATACTAATGATAGTCACATCTTGCATGTGGGAATTATGTTGAAATCATGCATTGAATCCAAGGGAAAATGTGGGTGCCTAAGTATCATATCCTTCAAGGTACAGGGTGGTAAAAACTGCAACCCTGCATTTGGCTCATATTTTGTCAATTTAGGGAATTCACTTCCTGACATTTGGCACATTTGTCAATTGTACATCATTCAATTTCCTTCCAGCCTTACATGTTTCATGACCATCAGACTGATAGTCACAATGTTATAACACTTTAACCTCTTGAATCCCAGGCTCTTAAATCGGTTGAAATTTTTCATTTTTTGCCCCCTTTTGACATTTAGCATTATACCTAGATAACTTTAGATTCTCAAATTCTTGTGTAAATTGGATGAAAATTGTTCAAATAAGAGCCATTTTAGTGTCACTCTGAGTTTCAAGGTCATTTCTGAAGTTAGGTGAGGTGAAATCTCGTCACTCCTGGTAGTCAAGAGGTTAAACACCATGCTATTTTTATGGTCAATATGGCCAATTCAAATTGCTCTCACTTGATACTATACTTTCATTTCATAAGGAAAGACCTGACAGTTTTTTAGGATTATCTAAATCGCATCAGCATCAAGAGTTTCATATCCTGTAAGAGTTGTTGTAATAGTGCAAGATTGATCTCAGCTTCAGCTTTGTATTTGACTCATTGATGGATCTGCCTGGATTGGTTTGTTACATGGGAGTAATGAAGTGTAACAGAAGCTGCTTTTATTCTCTATAGTATCATGTGCTGTTTAACTAATACATTTACCCTGATCTAAAAAGCCACACTAGACATACCCTCTCAGTATTTTTTTATTCTTTCATTGTTTTTATGTTGATTAGGGCGTGATAATGTCAAATGTTGTTTTTCCAGTATTTTATTAGAATTTGCAAGTGAGATAAATATGAGGTAATTTATAGGTAGAATATTGATTATAGTGATTTTTTAAAGGATATTCTGATTAGATTGACTAAATCAAAGAATCGTCTCTAATTGAAAGAGTGTAGGTGATGTCTTTCAAAGGGTACCAACATAGAACACTGGGGATTAATTATCACTTATAATCACCTCTCCTTACAGTTATCGTCGACAATCTAATCTGCCCTTTGAAAAATATACCAATATATTGTTTTTCCAGGATTTCTTATAGCATATTATGAGGTTATGTAACTGTATCACCACATTTATACTCCAATGGGTATTTTTATCGCACTTTGAAAAAGTGCTATATTGTCGTCGTCTTGTGCTGTTGGGCGGGCGTGCGGTCGTGCGGTCGTGCGGGCGTGCGGGCGGCACATAAACCAAATCTTGTCATCAAATTTCCAGGATAACTGCTTACCTGTTCAACTTGAAATTTTTACAGATGCAAGAGCAGACTAGTACCAAGATCTGATTAGGTTAAGGGCATGCTGGGTAAACTACGTGGCGGCCATTTTGAATTTTTCAACAAATCTTGTCATCAAAATTCCAGGAAAACCACTTATCCGTTCAACTTGAAATTTTTACAGATGCAAGAGCAGACTATAGCCAAGATCTGATTAGGTTTTGGGTATGCTGGCTGAATGACATGGTGGCCATTTTGAATTTTTCAATTTGGCGGCCATTTTGAATTTTTCAACTTGCTCCAAATTGACCCAATTTTTTTTTTAAAAACATCTACAAGTTCTCAGAAGTTCAAATCTGACCTTAGATTTCAGATTTGACCTTTCGTTCACCTTCAGTGACCTTCAAAAGGTCAAAAAAGTTGATTTTCTAAATTGATATTTTGGATTTAAATTTAGGTCAGCTTAATTACAAAACACCTACTGAGGTCTGAAAAAGTGAAATTTTCAAGGTGGAAGGTCAAGGTCATTAAACTAGGTCACAGATTTGACCTTTCATTCACCTTCAGTGACCTTGAAAAGGTCAAAAAAGTTGATTTTCTGAATTGATATTTTGGATTTAAAGGACGATTCTCGGTTTGGAGAACAGTCTCCTGGGCTAATAATTTTTTTCATGAAAAATATAGAAATATTACCCAAATTAAACTATGAATATTCGAAAGAGGACATTTAAATCTACAAGATGTAAAAATAACAAATTGGTCTGAAGCAGGGATAACGCTCAATTTGACCGATTCAATAAAATACAAGTATCGATATAGGGAAAGAAGTTCATCAGTGTACTGCGCCAATATTTCTTTGCGAAAAAAACTAGAAATATTACCCAAATTAAATTTTGACCATTCAATAGAAGACATTTAAATCTATATTATGTAAAAAAATCAAATTTGTCCGAAGCAGGGATAATGCTCATTTAGATTGATCAACTTCGTTCTCCAAACCGAGAATCGTCCTTTAGGTCAGCTTAATTACAAAAGACCTACTGATGTCTGAAAAAGTGAAATTTTCAAGGTCGAAGGTCAGGGTCATTAAACTAGGTCACAAATTATGTTATCCAAGTTTCTCAAAGTTTGAGACTACAAATCAATTCTTGTCATCAAAATTCCAAGAAAACCGCTAACCTGTTCAACTTGAAATTTTTACACATGCAATAGCAGACTAGTGCCAAGATCTGATTAGGTTAAGGGCATGCTGGGTAAACTACGTGGCAGCCATTTTGAATTTTTCAACAAATTTTGTCATCAAAATTCCAGGAAAACCACTTATCCGTTCAACTTGAAATTTTTACAGATGCAAGAACAGACTATTGCCTAGATCTGATTAGGTTTTGGGTATGCTGGCTGAATGACATGATGGCCATTTTGAATTTTTCAATTTGGCGGCCATTTTGAATTTTTCAACTTGCTCCAAATTGACCAAATTTTTTTTTAAAAAACATCTACAAGTTCTCAGAAGTTCAAATCTGACCTTAGATTTCAGATTTGACCTTTCGTTCACCTTCAGTGACCTTCAAAAGGTCAAAAAAGTTGATTTTCTAAATTGATATTTTGGATTTAAATTTAGGTCAGCTTAATTACAAAACACCTACTGAGGTCTGAAAAAGTGAAATTTTCAAGGTCGAAGGTCATCAAATTAGGTCACAAACAATGTTATCTAAATTTTCCCAAAGTTCAAGACTACAAATAAATTCTTGTCATCAAAATTGCAGGAAAACCGCTAACCTTGTCAACTTGAAATGTTTACAGATGCAAGAGCAGACTAGTGCCAAGGTCTGATTAGGTTTTGGCCATGCTGGGTTAATTGCATGGTAGACCAGTTTGCTCTTCAAAGTGCGATATTTATCACTGTGTGTCTTGTTAAAATATGTTATAATTAGAAGAGTATGGTATACTGGATGATACATTATCAAAATAACATTTTTTAAGTTATGAATCAAAATGTATTGCATTGATTTGCTTGAAATAGTATAGCCAGCTATTGTCTATAAGTTGACAATAATATTAAGCAGTTTTGATAATATATGAAATTGAAAAATGACCACTTTTATTGCTAAAAAATTATGTTTTCAATCAGTCTTTTGAAAGCGCTTTCACCATGTGAGCCCAGAACCCAAAGTACTTTTTCCCAAGCTTATAAGAACAGGGTAAGGTATGTTGTAATGCAAATCGAGTCCAATGCTTCAAGTTCACTTGGCAAAGAGAATCAATCAATGGTAGCCTGACATGCATTTAATTGGGTAGTGAATTTACACAAGTGATGGTCTCTCTATAGGAAATCTCAAGAGTCCTCAGAAGTCAATGTTGATAGTAGGCTTGTATTTATCTTAATACTAATCCATTCTATTGATATTTACAATGCTATTTTTGCACATTTTTATCACACCATCGGTGGGATATAGTCGTCATACTGGTCGTGATCGTGATCGTGGTCGTGATCGTGGTCGTGGTCGTGATCGTGATCGTCCCGCTTTTTGTCATCGCCGTTTAAGGAAAACTGCTCATCAGATTTTCTCCAAATTCGCAGAGATGATAGAGCATATGAAGTACTAGAGCTGATTAACTTTTGGGCGGCCATCTTGTTTTCTGGCGGCCATTTTGAAGGTTTTTCGAAAAATCTTGTCATCGCCATTTCAGGAAAACCGCTCATCGGATTTCCTTCAAATTTACACAAATGATAGAGGATATCAAGTACTAGAGCTGATTAACTTTTGGGCGGCCATCTTGTTTCCTGGCAGCCATTTTGAAGATTTTTCGAAAAATCTTGTCATCGCTATTTCAGAAAATCCGCTCATCGGATTTCCTTCAAATTTACACACATGATAGAGGATATCAAGTACTAGAGCTGATTAACTTTTGGGTGGCCATCTTGTTTTCTGGTGGTCATTTTGAAGGTTTTTCAAAAAATCTTGTCATCGCCATTTCAGGAAAACCGCTCATCGGATTTCCTTCAAATTTACACAAATGATAGAGGATATCAAGTACTAGAGCTGATTAACTTTTGGGCGGCCATCTTATTTCTTGTTCTTGAAATTTGTAAACATAATAGGAGAACAGTGTCTGCCTAGTGTCATAGTGTCTGCCTATTTGATGGTGTGATCTCGTTCACGTCCTGTGCCTTGTTGTATAATTCAGACCGTAGAACGTTTTCTAAGAGGCTCCATTAAAGAAAAAAAAAATGACTTGCTGAGGTGATGGAATTTCTGTGTATTTAGGTTATATCCTCATTAAGATTCTGGATAATTTTTATTGAAGTTTTAAGCCTAAAGGACTAGTCACGGTTTGGGGAATGAAGTTAATCAGTCTTCTGCACATTACGCCTGCTTTGGACAATTTTAATATTTTTACATATTGTAGATTTAAATGTCCTCTTTTGAATATCCATAATTTAATTTGGGTGTTATTTATTTATATAATTATTAGCGCAGTAGACTGATGAAGTTCGTTCTTCAATCTGAGACTTGTCTTTTATTGAATAGGTCTACTGCACGTTAGGCCTGCATAATAATTTAATTTGGATGTTATTTCGATATTTTTCATAAAAGAATTATTAGCCCAGACTGTTCTCCACACCGAGACTTGTCTTCACATTTTTCAAAATGTCCATGCATGGTAAGTCAATGGAATTACCCATTCTTCATCCATCTATCCTCTTATCCATTAACAATTCTATGAATATCTCATTCTTCTAAACCAATTTTTGTGGTTATGTTGGCAAATTGCACCACTTGTCCCAGCTTCTACTACTTCCTTGTTTTGGATAAATTGACTCATCATCCAGATGGTGGCAGTTTGATTTTTTGATCTTTCAATAAAATTGACTCCAGTTTAAAAAAAGAATCTCCATGTTCCAAAAAGTCATGCATTTTCTAAATGGACCAAAATATTAGGTACTTAATATTATGTTTTGCAGGGAAGTGGGGATACTTGTTTTATAAGCCACATTTTCAGCTTTTCAAGTGGTCCCAAACCTAGTGAGGTTTTAGGTATTAGGTACTTAATATTATGTTTTGTAGGGCAAGTAGGGCTACTTGTTTTGTAAGCCCCATTTTCAGCTTTTCAAGTGGTCCCAAACCGAGAGAGGTATTAGGTATAAGGTACTTAATATTATGTTTAGCAGGGCAAGTAGGGCTACTTGTTTTGTATGCCACATTTTCAGCTTTTCAAGTGGTCCCAAACCGAGAGAGGTATTAGGTATTAGGTATTAGGTACTTAATATTATGTTAAGCAGGGCAAGTAGGGCTACTTGTTTTGTAAGCCACATTTTCAGCTTTTCAAGTGGTACCAAACCGAGAGAGGTATAGGTACTTAATATTATGTTTAGCAGGGCAAGTAGGGCTACTTGTTTTGTTAGCCCCATTTTTAGCTTTTCAAGTGGTCCTGATGATGTCATCAAGCATGTTGTCCTAAGTAATCTCAGTCTTTCATGAAGAAATACCTTTATGGATCAGCATGCAATACCTTTGTGTGATAGATCAGTATTAGATAATTCTGAACTACTATACTGTCATTATATAATCACTCACAGTTATGTGGCATCATGCCTGATACTCCCTGATGCATATACACTGTACACAAAATATTAATCTAACTTATTGTTTTTCATACCAGTTTCACCTGCCTTTGTAAGCTGGCAGGCTGTCATAACTCATAAATAGAGGTCCCTTTTATTGAATGGCAGGCCTGATTTGTAATATTCAACTGCAGTTTGTTTTAAGAGCTATTATATCACCGAATGAAGTTCGAGAGGGATATAGAGAAGCACTTTGTTCATATATTCATTCGTTAGTCCATTTTCTTTACTGTAATACCAGTCAACAGATTTGGATTTGTATACTTAAGCCTCAAGGACATAGGACTGTACGACTCTACTAATAATAACTTTTCAAGATGGCCACTGCATTTTTTGAGCTCTCCTCTGCTAAAGGAAGCCGCACAGTAGGAGTGTAGCAACTACTTTGCTGGAGAGCTCGAACCATTGATCACGTTTGCTCCTAAAATAATTTACTTCTTCACCTCCTTCCACCTTGATTTAAATCAGTAGATCAAACTTTCAGTGTTTAACCTCAAATTTAAACATAATTATTTTTTAAAAAAACCACTGACTCATTATTGTATTTTTTAAAGTCCCTCATAAAATGTCAAATGAAGCCAGAATTAGCTAAAATTATGCAATGTCGTAAAATGGCGTGATACACGTTTCAAATCATGACATCATAATAACAATCTTGGTAATGAATTCTTAGAATATGAATGCATCATCTGTGACGTCAGACATGCATTGCCCCATCAACAACTAAACAAATAATCTAGACCTCACTGATTTGTTAAAAGTTTCCCTGCATCATTTGTGACGTCATAGGCATGTTTAAACTAACCGGGCTAGGCTTTTTTTTACATCAAGAGCTCGACTACGAGGAGTTTTACTGCATTTTCTTGTTTCATAAAAAATGTAAGCTTTGATAAATCACATACCACTCCACAAATTTGGATCAAAAATATGCTGATGCCTTAGAGACATACAAAGTGCTCAAGGAGGAATTTTCAAGATGGCCACTGAATTCAAATTGAAATTGGCCACCAATTTTCTTATAAATTCAATTTCTGATAACTCAAATAACAGTTGTCAGATTTAATTCATATTTCGTGTGCTGATGTTTATAGGCATAGATCTGGAGGGATATCCTTCTCCAGGGAGTTTCTGTCTTTCTAGTTGAAATTCTCTTCTTTGATGTTTCATGAAGACATACGCAAGGTGCAGCTAGTGGTTGACATAATATGTTAGAATGCAACAATTATTACATGATGATAGTATAGTAACACATACATTTGGAAATGAGGAAATTGACTATTGTTGTATTTACAATCAATTTCCACCCACAAGTCTTCAGAGAAGCAAATTAATGAATTAGTCATAAATCATGAAACTACACTAAATCACAAAAGCCTTATCAAGTAATAGCTGTATTCCATGCCCATTTAGAGAATGATTGATCTCATATTAGTCGTTTTATATTCCCAATAACCTTGACAATACAAATATGGAATAGACTGGGAAGCAAAGAACCAAGAGGAAAGAATCTATCAATACATTCTAACTTTTAATTTCCTCAACATCAATTTTGGAAGACTCATTTTAGTCACAACCTTTTTATTTTAAAATATTGATGACAAATTGTTTGAGAGCATTATACCAGTTTTCTTTCATCTTGTGATCATTAAGGTTTTGAATATTATGGAAGTTCCAGTTATTGTAATGGTTACTTCACTGTTATTTAAGGATTTAAGGCCTGACTCAGTGTATTGTTTGCTAAATCATACCATGAAGGTGTTGTTTCTGAATCTTTGCATGACTGCCCAGCAGGAAACAACGCCTGAGTGGAATGAAGCAGCTACAATGCATTGAGTCTTGGGCTTAAATTCTTTTCACACATTGCAATTTTTTCTACAAAGTCATCCAAAATGAACGAAATCACTAAAATACCACATCTTGAATGAATTTTTTTGCAAGGGTCAAGTTGGCAAGTCATCAAATCCAATGTGAAAAGTCCATTCATCACCATGACAACTGTTTAACTAGTGACCTTGCATGTGTTATTGATATTTCACACACTGTTCATTACGTGAATACTCTGTTCTGATTGGCTGGAATTGAACACACCTTGCCTAGCTATGTGTGAAATGTGTTCACATACTATACCTTGTATATTACAGTAGATGCGCTATCCTAATACTGTATATACATGTATTTTCTTCACAGATGAGACTAACCCCGTAGTGCACACGCCAAACTATGCTGTCAAAGAGGACTGTGATCCAGATGCAGATGTGATAGGATGTGACATCAATGAGGTCTGCAAACTTCAGCTGACAACATCTGTGATTGGATATGTCTGTGTATGCAAGGAGGGGTATGCTGTTGATCAGATGACAGGTGCATGTTCTAGAGGTAGGTTCTTAGTATAGCTTGCCTCTGCAAGACATTTTGAAATATTGCAACCTATTTAGGGATTGGTTTCCAACTTTCGGGAATACTTTGTGGTATGAGAATCTTGGTCCTGTAAGCTTTGGCTATCCTAGGCAAATTTAGGTTGACTGTTTTAATGTGCAACTCCAAAAAGTCTATGTAAGTAGAACATGTCCATATGTGGTACACTTTTGAGTCTTGAGGCCTTAATGACTTAAATGATAGATATACTGCTAATCATTTGATTAGATTTGACAAATCAGATTGCTGGTCTATTCATTTAATTTGAAAAGGCTACATACGTTAAGATGAACAACATAAAAAATCAGTTATTGAGTAAATTCACTATAATTTATTGGACTATTGGACTGTTGGAGTAGGTATACATTGTACAACTTGACATTGTTAACCAGTTCTATACTGATGTTTTGATTTAAAGACAAACAATGCAACATTTACCTTGTACATCTTAAACTCATTCTAAATATTATACATCAACTCATTGATTTATTAATTATCTACATGTGCAAATCTGATACGTACCTAAATCTATGGTAGCATATTTTCCTGATCACCTGGATAACATTAAACCCTTGGCGTTTTAGTTAAGATGCAGTTGATCTCTTGTGAAGGTCGAATTGACATTGATTGTACACTAATTGCTCCCTAGCCATAGGACAGTTGGTAAACTTCAACTAATGAAGCATATCGCAGAATTTTGTCATGTAGGTCCCAAGGTAAAAGTACAATATCTAGTCAACATGATTTCCAGTCAATGTGTCCATGATACGTGTAGGTAAATGAGGTTGACATCTTTCAAAAAAATACTAAGTTTTATTTTGACATTAATTTATAACTGAATATTCACTGACTTATTCATTTTCCAAATTTTCTCCAAGATTCACAGCAACATTAGATTGCTAACAGTTCATATCAATTTGGTTGAAGCAAGGATAATTTCAGAAAAAACAAGGAATGAAGTCATGTCTTCATGTTTAAATTTGAACCTGAATTTTGACATGAGTTTTACCTTTTTAAGGATATAGGGGAGACAAAGTAAGGTGTGCCATTAAGCTGAAGTTTCTCCTTAGGGAGACAATGGGGTGATGTAGTTGATTTTGCAACTGCCACCAATGTTTTTCAACTTTGGCAGTCACTACATGTGTATTTTGTATGTATTAAAATTGAATAAAGAAGAAAAAAAGAAATTTGGCAACATGTTGCCTCAAAACCAACATTACTGCATCATCTGCATATCATGTATATACTAGATATGTAAATGTGTATTGTTTTTATTCAAGATCATGTTGGCCTTTAATATGTACTATATATGGAACAATAGAATAATGTGCAAACTGTTACTCATGGATTGTATCCTGCAGTTTGCATGAATTGTCATTTCAATCAATGTGAAACATCATGCAGTATGAGTCTGGTCCATTTTCCTATGAAAGACATTTACTATTGCTAGCTCTGGATTGATAGGTAAAGTACAAGATTAGCACTCTCAGATTGTAATATATTATGATTCGATGGCTTAGATCCATCGTAAATCCCTTGATGATAGGGTATATATGTTTCATATGCTAAGCTAATTCCTAGTTTCATTTGCTTCTGTCAGTCTTATTGAGAAATATGATAACTCCTCTCAGTAGTTATGGCTTTCTAAGATTTATTATAGGCATATGCAAGGGAACATATCAATATATCGATTTATTATTGAGAATGTTATGTAATTATTCCACCAAAGGAACATACAAAATCAGGATTAGCAGTATTTAATCTCTTGACCACCAGAGTGACAAGATTTCTCGTCAGTTAAGACATTTTTCACTAAAATTGTCCAATTTTAACAATTTTCATCCAATTTAAACAAAAAAAAAAAATTGTAGAAATGATCTTTGGTGACTAATATCACCTTTTGTACATGCATGTAGTACCAGGGATATTTCTTTAATTACGTCATATTTATAGACCATCAATATAAAAAGTCATCATAAGAGATCACAGCCTCCAATCAGTTTCCTTCTTGCATTCTTTGCAAGGCAGAGATAGTTTGAGTTTCAGGATGTATGATATCATTTATGATCTGAAAGGTTAGAAATTAGCTATCTTATTACCTTTCAGGTTAATGAAGGAAGAGATTGCCTTATTGAATCCAATAGTTTAATAAAACACATCGATTTATTGTTACTTAAGCTAACATTATGAGGAGTAAGAGTTCACAAGAACATAATCACTCCTGCTTTTTGAAGAAAAACTAAATGTAGTACTCATACCATCCCTATGGTGGTATTAGTCTTATAATTGAAGTGGTATATTTCACTTGATCCTACAATTTATAGCATTAGTACCTTAGTTTAATACCCAAATCTAAATGATCTGAATAACAAGATGTTGAATAAGAGTCTCTATTTTACGTCCTCTTTCTTAATGTTAGTCGCACACTTTTTCATTGTTGTTAAATATGTTCAATCACAAAGAGGATTATAGGAGAGGTCTACAGGTCTGTTAGATAATTAGGATTGGGAGGGGGTGGGGGATTGGGAGGGGGTGGGGGATTGGGGCCAGAGTTGTAGATAAATGATCTGGACTTACTGGCTATTTGTATGGATAGCTACTATTAATAAATATTAGTTTGTTTCAGTTGATGGCTCTATATCACAATTAATTTAATTTGGCTTTTATGTCACCACCAAAAAGTGGTGACATATTGTTATGGTTTCTGTTTTTTTGACGGCAGTTGGTGGTTGGCAATCGGTGTCTGTAACAAGTTCTTACAACTTCCAATAACTTAAATACTGTTTAGACTGACTTCAATTTTTTTCAAAATCATCTGCATGTTTTCAGAAGTTCAAATCTGACTTTATATTTAAGATTTGACCTTCAATGACCTTTTCAAGGTAAAAAAGGTATTTTTTCAACTTGCTTCAAATTGACCTTTTTTTCAAAATCATCTACACGTTATCAGAAAATCAAATCTAAATTTACATTTAAGAGTTGACCTTCAATGACCTTCTCAAGGTCAAAAAAGGTCAAAATGGTATTTTTTCAACTTCAATTCAATTTTTTTTCAAAATCATCTACAAGTTCTCAACAGTTCAAATCTGATTATTCTCAAGGTCAAAAATGATTTGACCTTCAATGACCTTCTCAAGGTCAAAGGTCTTTTTTCATGTTGCTTCAAATTGACCAATTTGTTTTCAAATCATCTGCAAGTTCTCAGAAGTTCAAATCTGACTTTGAATTTGAGATTTCACCTTCAATGACCTTCTCAAGGTCAAAAAAGGTCAAAAAGGTATTTTTTAAACTTGCTTCAAATTGACCAATTTTTTTCAAAATCATCTACAAGTTCTCAACAGTTCAAATCTGACTATAGATTTGAACTGCAATGACATTCTCAAGGTCAAAAAAGAGTTGACTTTCAATGACATTCTCAGGGTCAAAAAAGGATCTTTTTTCAACTTGCTTCAAATTGACCAATTTATTTTTTCCAAATCATCTTCAAGTTCACAGAAATTCAAATCTGACTAAGATTGAACTCATAATATTGTGAGCAACTAGGTGGTGACATTTTATCATGTTAATGCCTTGTCTTCCTGGTTTTTAGCTCGTTATCGATTGTAAATGTTGTAACCAGCTCAGTTATATCTGAAAACAATTGTTTTCTATTTTGTGTGTCAGATGACAATTAAGAAAGAATGTTTAGCAGTGAGAGTCTTTCAGATGTACTGTTGGGTTTTTCAAGCCGTTCAATAAATGTAAAGTTATGAGCATATAGCCATGCCTTGAACAATAGATCACATCTAAATCTATTTCCTAAATCTATATCCTTTCCTATGATCCTTGACTTTGGTGTGTTTCAATTAAATAGAACAGTGTACAGACGAGTGCAGATATTCGGGCTCACTTTTGAGTGCCCTGATACAATGTTCTGGTGCATGCACTCTTTAATAGCGCAATCTGGTGTTGCAGTATCGAGTAGGTTGGGGCATTATTTTGCAAGATGGCCACCTACCCAGGAATTTATATAATACCAAAAAATAAAAAAGTCACTACTTTTATAAGTTGACAAATAATTTTGCTTTTAAACTCGTTGATAATTGAATGTGTTAAGATAACCTAAAGTCAAGTGCAAGCTGTTTTTTTTATCAAAGATAAGGCCTGATTTATGAGATCACATTATAGTTTGCTTAATTGGCATCATGGATGAATTGTGTGACTGTGACTGTTGTAATGTCGCTCCCTATTTAGTTCTACTCTCTACAGGGTGGGCCAAAAAGCGGGAATGCAAAGTTTAGGCAACAACGCCTGAGTGGAATGAAGCAGCCACAATGCATTGAGTCTTGGGCTTAAATTCTTTTCATTTTTCACTGGCTGGTATCGAAAGATCTGTCCGCTGTGATGGAGCTTGCTATTTTTCATAAAAACACTAAGAATACTTCACTTCATTTTTTTTTTAACTCATATGTTTCGTTATAATGCCTTATGTCACCAGAGCTGACTCTCACTAGGAAATTAATAGGGTGTGGGGCTGATCACACTTATTACACTGACACACAAGATAGCATTAGCGTTGCGATCTTGAGAGGGAGTATTTCCAACTTGATTTCAGGGAAACCAATTTCCCAATGTAGTTTTCAAAATTAGTCTGATTTATCTTATCAATTGTACCATTGTGATATGTCAGAAAGTCATCATTAAATGGCATCTGATTGGTAAGTAGAAATTATTCATTCATTTGAATTCATTGTGAATGTATTAATTCAGTACTTTGGGAACAAAGAGACAGTTTAACTCTATTACAGTCTAACAGAATTGCTGAATAAATCTTTTACGATATATTTCGATCTTATCTGAGCTTGTTCGCAGGATTTTGACCGAATAATTCAATATGTATAACATGCATAGGTTGTGGTGGGATATTGGAATAGGTTGTGGCACAAGTTTAATTAATTTAATTTTTGTTTAAGTTTAATTAACAAGTTTAATTAACAAGATTTTTTAATCAAAATAACTTTTTCCCGAGACAAATCTCTGGCGTAAAAAATTCACTTTTATAGCGTGGGTAGAGGAGGATGGAGGATGGGACCAACCAAATGTGAAATATTTAGTGTCGATCTTTAATTCTAATGAGCACTGATTTCTTGTATGAGTTTTGCTACTTGTAAATATTTTTTCTTTAATATAAAGTGGATCATATGCCCTTTGGGGTTGGGGTGTCTTCCACTATTGTGATTGTACTTGTATTATTTGGAATTTGGGAAATAAATAAAACAAACAAACAAACAAACAAACAAACAAACAAACAAACAAGTTAATTGACAATAGCCTCACAAGAGCCATCAGCTCTTGCCTATGCCACTGGGGAGTTTTCTTTTGACTTCAACCTTTGAGGTGTGCTCTCAATACAGACCTAACTGGAAGTGTAAATATTTTTCATCTATGGTTTATTTGTCCACCCTGTATCTACAATTATATCAAGTGGTATTACATACTTATCGAAGCATTTGTATGGAAGTCAATGGAGCTGAAGGTCGGCTATTTATTCCTGTATAGCTGCCAAACTTTTACCATGACAATCTTATGACGTCATGTTTCATTTCTTCCAAATTTCACTTGCAAACAGACGTGTGACGTCATTGAAATAACATAGTTGTGGAAATAATGGTACGCAAGCTCCGGCTATATTGACCTCAGGCATATATTCAATGATAGGGACATAACTGCTGAAAATCTTAATTTGAAAAAAACATGTAAATCTTTGTAATTGATTTGTAATTGATGAAAATATTTGATAGCACAATCTTGCAAAGGATGTAGGATGTGATAAGTTACAGGTGTTACATATAAAATTCAAACTTTCTCTGAATTAGATCAATATCTAATATTTACTAAAGAGTAGTTCTTGATTAACTTCAGTTTTGTTCATATCATTTATCAAGGCATATTTGTACCTTGGCTAATTGCTTGATCTTGTGTTTGATATTTAAAGGTTACCTTATGCATTATTGAAATGAGAGAAACGTCATCACAGACTACAGACAAATTATCATTCTATAATTTTTTGTAGGAACAGAAATAATTGTGTCACACTTAAACAAATATTTAAGGATTTAAGCCTTGGACTTGGTGCATTGTTTGCTGAATTATACCATGAAGGTATTGTTTCCAAGTCTTTGCATGACTGCGTTGCGGGAATGCAAAGTTTAGGAAACAATGCCTGAGTGGAATGAAGCAGCTACAATGCATTGAGTCTTGGGCTTAAATTCTTTTCGCACATTGCAAAATATTTTCTATAAAATCACCTAAAATATACAAAATCACTAAAGGAACATATTTTCAATGAAACTTTTTGAAAGTATTGGCAAAACATCAAACATTTCCTCACTTTGGTAACAATGCACAACAAATGCGTTATTGATTATTTCATGCACTGTTGTCACTCAGAAATACTCTGTTTGGATTGGCTGGAATCGGACACACCTTGCCTAGCCATGTGTGAATTAATCATCACTGGGTTTTTTATGTCACCACCAAAAGTGATACATTGACATATTGTTAATCTCCAACCTTTTTGTGGACAGTGTTCAACATTCTGCAGTTTGTGTTCGTCAGTTGGTGTGCAACTTTCGGTGTCTATAACAAATGGCAGGTGGTAACATTTTGCATGTTAATGCCTTGTCTATTGAGAAACCATAATTAAACACCATATGTGCCAAATAAATGATATTTTATTCAACAATTCTCTTTAAATGCAGAAAATATCATTGTAATAATGTGAAAATCAAATATTGATAATGGATATTCATTCAAATGTTACACATAAAAATTCAAATCACTGAGTTATTTTTTTATTTTGTGTTTTTTTGTTTGGTTTTGAAATTTTGAACAGATGTGGCCACAATAGGATGTATTGGTCTCCCTACATGACCCTTTGGGTCTTGAACAGTCCTCACCGTAAATCCCAGCCATCAGCGAATTAGGTTGTGGGCAATGTGCTTTTACCTCTGTGAAGCATTGGGAGATTTTTTTACTTTTTGAGTAACACAAATATTATTTAAGGATGCCCTGCAATGTGGAATGACCATTCCTTGAAGGTGTTACTGTTACTTTCCAAAATCTGCACGAGATGCATAGCATCGAGTGTTAATTTTAGGTAACAACAGCTGAAAGGAATAGTCACCACATCCAAGATCATACATTATTTGGTTATCAAGGTGACAAATTGACTCTACAGATTGAATTGATGCTTTGCCAACTTGACCCTTGCCATTTTGTATCTTTTCAGTGACATGGTAAAAATATTGGGTGCCTTTGTTGGATAATCTATGTGTTATCTATAAAGTGTTAAGCTATCTATTAGGTTCAATGTTTTATATTTTCAGAATTACCTCAGAAGCGCCCCAGTGATATGACATGTGAGATAGGGATCATAGAGGACTGTTTACAATATGAGGAATGCATGCCTACCAGTCTCAGGAAAAGAACTGGCTTCTGTGAATGTATTGAGGACTATCATCGTGATAAAGATACAGGTTTTTGTGGAAAAGGTACCTTCCAGTTTAGTTATCTTGATGTTCTCTCGTATTAGTAATATTGTACACTGGGTAGGCCAACTTTTTTTTTTATTTGGCAATTACATTTTTAAAACTTTTTTTTACAGTTTTGTGGGAGATGCGAAAAATGATGATATCTTTTTGGCCAGGAAGATAAGCAAAGTATTAATCCAAGTTTTAAAGGACAGTGAAAAAAGTTCTTTAATGCGTGGACTCAATCAAGTATATTAATGACCTTCCTTCCTCAAATAAGATATCAAAATAGCTTTCCCTGTATAGACAGAATTTCCCCAATCACCTTTTTCTTGATGCTGGATCAGTAATTCATCATACTTTACTCATTTGTCTTAATTGATGCTTCTCACACTCCATTTTTTCAAGTATGAGCAAAAATTGCACTGCAAGCTGTATAATCTGAGAATTAATTCTCTCGGTAATGATTCAACAGAATTCTTGTACTGATAGAACATGTACTTCGAATTGAACTGCTTTTTGTTCTTGTTCTGTAGTGCTTGTGTACAGTATTACATTTGTGCCAGGATGTGTATTTTTATCCTATGACAAGTGAGGTTTCAGGTACATAACAGCGGGATATAGAATTGATTTTTTTTCTTGACCAAGTTTTACTCTCTCATTGCAGAGTCAGAAACCAGAGAGCAGATGGAGGGATCTATTCAAGAAGCTTCAATGGTAAGTTGAGGCTAGAATCCCAGATTTAAGGAGATTGACACACAAACTAATATGCATTTCAAATGTAAAATCTTAAAAGATCTATTTTATATTAAGAAGTGGTCCTGATAGAAACCAGATTGTTTCATTTTATCAAACTGGCTGAAAGCTGCTCTATAGCAAAGACGCCAATAATGCTGTATCACCTAGTTATAGATTGTACTGATTAAAATCATTAATATTGTCTCAACTGTTTATTCTCCTCAAGTTCTACAATGGGTGGAGAGTGTTGTTTGTGTTAACGAGAAGATATATATCCAAACTGCAATACTAACTTTCTATATTGACCCAGGATCTATGCAAATTACCATGTGCAGTATGGCAAGTGATTTTAGACAGTCATATCTTTCACCATGAGTACTTTCTGGCCATAAAAACAATATTAAAACAATATGTTTTCTTTCAAGTGAAGTCCCCATGATAGTAAAATATTAATCCAACTCTCTGAAAAATTATGGATTAGGGCCCCACCCTGGCACTTTTTAAAAAATGTTAGGCTTATTTTCTCAAAAGAGGATCTTGCTTTTCTCAATTTAAACATATCAAAAGTTTCTTCTACACTATATGAACAATTTCTGAAAAGGGGATGCGTATTGAAATGCGTTAAAGTTAAAAACCTCATATCCCATGTTATTTTCCCATAGGGAAAACTCGTGCTATCCATTGTTTTCAACATCATTTTGGTCATCGAAAATTGATATCTTCAAAACTAGACTTTCAATACAATTATATTTTTGAAGATGTTTTAGACCCCTCTTTTCATGGAATAAAAATGAGAAAAGGGAGATCCTCTTTTGAGTAAATAGGTTCATATTTTGAAAAAAAATTTGACATGGGGTCCCTATTCATAATTTTTCAAATTGTTCGATTGATATTTTTATCATCTTGGGTACTTCACTTGAAAGAAAACATATTGTTTTAATTAAAACCACTGTATTTATGCCTAGAAAGTACTCATGGTGAAAGATATGACCGTCTAAAATTACTTGCCGTACTGCACATGGTCTTTTGAATAATTAATTACTTTTGCATGAACTAGGATTTGCCTACCAAGAAGAAAACAGACATCCAAGACAGAACTTTAACAACACCAACAACAACAAGAACAACAGCAGACAAAGAAAAAACAACAACAACCAAGAAACCAAGTAAGCATATTTTGTGCAACATTGTTCTTTGTGATTTACAAGCATGCATGAACTACAACAAGGACAATGTATGGCTTCAGTTATTGTAATATATGAAATATAAACATGATTTTATGAAAAGTAATGCCTCATAATTAACATAACAATAACTGGTTGAAAATATATGGTGTCCTTGTGAGATCTGATTCTAAAAAATTAATATTTAGATTCATGTTGTACAATTCCTACAAGTCTTTTTTAGATAATTAGATGAATTGTCCATCATATCGTACATATGCATCAACTATGTAAGCATGCTTCATCATACAAAATGGATCATCTTGAGCATGCATCATTATACAGGGTGGGCCCAAAAAAAACGCCACTTTTTTTTTCAAAATGCTATAAATTTTTGATATTCAATCATAATTTGCATACCAAATGAGACTTGAGGTTGTTATCTAGCCATTTATTATGAATTATACACTTTAACTTGAATAAAATATGTCACTAGCGTCTCACTTAAACATGTGGTGTGCCATGAGAAATAAGCATAATTTGCAAAATGTTCCTGAACTGATACGGCCTGATGATCGCCAAGCTAATAGCTCTGATGCAAACCCTAGTGAGTATAGGGTATGGGAAGGTCTCCAGGAGATTGTATGAAGGCACCCAATCTAGAAAATTGCTCAACTAAAGCTGGCAATTAAGACAGGGTGAAAAAAACTTAGCTTACATTTCATTGATACTGCAATACCAGCAAGGCGACTAAAACCAAAATTTATCATTAATTAGGGTGGCCGACCAATTGAACTCCCCTTTTAGATCAAATATAATCCAAGTTGAAGGACTTGTTACATTATATTATTACTAAGAACCTTTGGCACTATATAACTGCAAAATTTGGGGTATGTAGGTTGGAAAATAAAAAGGTTGTAGTGTCTTGAAAAAAAAGTGGCGTTTTTTGGCCCACCCTGTATATCATCTATCCTCTCTTTTCTAGCTTAAATTGCTTGAACTTTATCTTTGCTATCATTTGGGCTTATTAGCCTCATGCAAATTATTGATGCAGATGAGGAATCAGATGCAATGGTGACATGTATAATGTTAGTTCAATTAAAGTGCCAACTATGTAAATTTCTGCTTAGATATATCAAAGCAATCAAACATTTCAATATTTGAATTTCATAAAACCTGCATTTGATGAACATCAAATATGTTAATTATTATATTAAATAGAAATCATCCTGATCTTGCTGTTTTCTGTTACTTTCTTTCTTTTTAAATACGTGTTTTACTGTCATTATGTGCAATTCTGAAAAATACACCACGCTTTGTTGTTGTTTATCTCGGTGTTACTAATTTTGGGTATATATATTTTGACCATTTTAGTTCAATTTAGGTAAGACTCACGTTACACTAAAATACATTCTATGTGAAACTCATATTTACTGAAATACATACTAAGTTGATCTCATGTAACAGAAATACATCTTACGTTAGAATCATGTTATACTGAAATACAAGTTTCTGTTAGACTCATGTTATATGGAAATATATCTAAAGTAAGGCTCATGTTAAACGGAAATACATGCATGGTACAGAAATAACATCCTTGGTTAGATTCATCTTATAGAAATACATCCTAGGTTAGATTCATGTTACATAAATACATCCTAAGTTAGCAGACTCATATTCTACCCAAAAACATCTTCAGTGAAACTCATGTTACACTAATACATCCTAGGTAAGACTCGCGTTATATTGAAATACATCCTTGGTTAGGCTCATGTTACAGAAATATGTTCTAGGTGGAAGACACATGTTACAGAAATATGTCCTAGATTAGACTCATGTTATACTGAAAAACATCCTAGGTTGGATTCATGTTACAGAAATACATCCTAGGTTAGATTCGTGTAACAGAAATACATCTTGTGCTCGACTCATGTTACAGAAATACATTCTGTGCTTGACTCATGTTACAGAAATACATCCTAGGTTAACAGACTCATATTATACCCAAAACACCCTAGGTTAAACTCATGTTACAGAAATACATCCTAGGTTAGACTTGTGTTACAGAAATACATCCTAGGTTAGGCTCATGTTACGGAAATACGTCCTAGGTTAGTATCATGTTTCAGAAATATACCCTAGGTTAAACTCATGTTACATAAATACATCCTAGGTTAGACCCATTTGACATTAATACATCCTAGGTTAGACACGTGTTACAGAAATATGTCTTAAGTTAAACTCATGTTACAGAGACACATCCTAGGTTAGACTTATGTTAATACATAAGGGTTATGTACTGGGAGGTTTTGGTCTCACGAGGGATGAACCCAATATGAAAACCGACCGTACATAACTGCTTTATCCTATACCAAGTAGAGTTTTCAGGGGCATATGGCCATTTCAATAGTACAAGGTGTAAAAATAAACAAATCATTCATATGCAAAGTCATTTTATTGCATTTCCACTACTTACCGGAAGCGGGAAGATATGCACCGAAGCGGGAAGATATGCACCGAAGCGGGAGATATGGCAGGAGATATTGAGGTTCTGGATATGGAAACCTCAAAATCAGGATACGGGATATATCTTACCAACTTATCTCCCTAAAACTCTACTTGGCATAGGATAAAGAAATATATCCCAATGTTAGACTCATGTTACAGAGATACATCCTCGGTTAGACTCATGTTATTCTGAAATTTGTCCTAGATTGGACTCAGTTATACACAGATAGTTACAAACAGTAACATTATTATAGGTGTAACTGATCAAGTTACGGAAGTATTAACGGAGAAGATTGCACTTGAAAATATGACTGCATCTACCGAAGGTAGTCTCACAAATGAGTCTAGTACTTCTACCACCGTGCATAGTGCTTCTATGATTGTGACCAGTACCTCTACAAGCTTGCCAAGCTCATCTAGTGTTATAATTACTACATCACCTACAGCTGTACCCAAGCATTCTACAACATCTACATCTACAACTGATCCAAAGCAGCCTACCTCAGCAACTGCAACACCTGAAGGTATAATTCAACGTTCTGACTGTATTTCTCAAATTATATGTACTAAGTATAATATGGATCTCAAAACAAGTCTCAAACTTATTCAATTTTTTGTGTAACCAAGATCAGATTGAACTTATGTAATTCATTTACATGTGATTAGTCATCAATTTCAAAAGCACTATAGAGCATGATCTTGTTGCACTGTCATGTGTGTCCTGCTTTTTATATTTATTTTATTTTTTGCTTTCACATTTACATAAGTGTTGTCATGATTTATAGAACAGTATACATTACATGTATTGTGTTATATTGTGGCCTAGTGTAAATGGTGTGTATTGTACATATATTGTGTATCGACAAAAGGCCCAGTCATGAATTATCAACTGCAGTACAGTATATTGTGTATTTGGTATTTACAAAATGAAAAATATTAAAATTACTAAATTAGTAATTTTTAGAGATTCAAAAGCCATAAACTAAGAAAGAGTCATTGCACATGTACATTATTAACAATGTCATTTGTAACAAAAGAAAAACAATCTAAAAATACTTTCATTATATTGTATAAGTGTGTTCAGGTGTATTTAAAATAATTTCAGTTGAGGCATTAGTCGTGTCTGCAGGGGAAGATAAAGAGATCCAGTTGCCCACCAACGACATCACACTCTCAGCTTATGTCATATCTAAGTCTGATACTGAGGCTGATACAGGTACACCCCATTCTACAACTGTCCAGATATCATGCTTTGTCGTGGAATGTTAGAATGTAAGATTGAAAAAGTGTGGAACCAGAAAGGATTAAAGTAAACAGACCTGTAATTAAAAGTCTAATCCTAGAAATCTGAGACTTCATTTAAATATATGTAGTGGGGAAAAGGTTGGGACATGCGAATTTTGGATATTATTTATTTACTGTTCTATACATTCTGCAATGTTAACATTTATGGAGGTCAACAGTACAAAAGATTAGAGGAGTTCAATTAGTTTTATGGGAATGAGTAGAGTGCTAGGACCTTTTACTGGTGTTTAACTCATTGACGTGGTATTAAATTATTTTTAAAAGCTACCGAACGGTAATTTATTTATCGAGAATTTGAATTTTTCATGCCTGGCAATTTGAAAGTCATAAAATCTAAACCAATAGAGATAACGCCACCAAATTTTTACTTATAAGTATGAACTTATCACAATCAGAGGCACTGCTGGTAAAAATCCTAAACACCATACTAAATATTAATAATTACCTTGGTGTTAAATACCACAATGTCTGATCACTTCCGGATTCATATTTGTTACAAAATAAATCAATAAGTATTGATTTAAAATCACTTCCTGACAATGTGAGTACCGAACATTGCCACTGCCATACTAGGGTGACATCTTTTTAAGTCTGCTAAAACTTTCCTATAGTTTGTCAACCTGTAGTTGACGTACGTCATGTAGCGTATTGGCGACAAAATTCGCCTGACTGCACGAATGAGTTGGATTGACCATTCTGATACATAAATACGATGTCTATAATTTCTTTGATTCTAATTTCAGAGAAGTACAAGTATGAGTGGTCCATCATAAGTCACCCAGATAGTAGTGAAATAGGGAATATGGTGGGACAGAACTCTGCAACCCTTCAGCTAAAGAATGTAAATATGATCAAGGGATTTAAATATTATGTACATTATAGAGTGAATACAAGACAAAATAGTTTCACATAAAGTTTCTACTTCTCCATTTTCTACTTTGATTTAAAAAATGAACTGTATTTTTTGACATGACACTATTGTCATTTTATGTTTTTACTTCAGTTGATAGCTGGCCTGTACCAGTTGAAAGTTAGTGTCTCTGCACAAGACAAGTTTGGGGATGCTACAGTAAATGTAACAGTGAAACCACGTAAGAAACATTTTTTGTAATTTCAATATGTTTTTACAATGAGACAACAATTAGATCTTTTTACCTGTTGTATTTCTTCGGTCTCCTTACAACCAGCGGATGTATAAATACAACCTTCAGTGTTTTCTCATTAAAGCTATATAGGATTATACATTTATAGGCTGTCTGATTACATCCAGTATCATTTTTGAAATAGTATTATTGTGTAGACCCTATAGTCTAACTATACAGGTGTATTCCATATAGTCCCAAGCATTAATCTAGTATTAAGTCCTTGATCCAATATGTCCATTGATTTCAAAACTCTGCTTACAGCTGCCAGGATCAACAAGCCTCCAGCTGCTGTAGCTAAGCCTGCCTTCCAAGAAGTAAAGCTTCCCAATGATGCAGTCATTGATGGCTCAGGTAGGAAACTTGTTTACATTTTATTTTTTTATTAGTTTTAATAAGGAATAAAGAATGAGAAATGTGATTTATGGTGCATTATATGACTGAAAATGGTATTCTGTTCATTGTTAAAAGACCGAAATTGTTACGATTCTAATATGATAAACCAACAAGAAAAACAACCATTTGCATTTATGAATTTTAGTGGTCATTTACACTGGAATAGAATATAGACCAGTAATTAAATTGTTCTAATGAAAGTGACATCACATATCATGACAGAATTAGTAATAGAAATCATTCAGCTTTTATTTTTTGCATAATTTTGCTCTTAACATACCTTTATATTATAGAGTCAACTGATGATGATGGTGTCACCACCTATCTGTGGGAGGAGGTAGAAGGGCCTATAAGGGAGGACAAGATCAGTTCCAATAAACCTATGCTAGTCATGAAAGACCTGAAGCCTGGCAATTATAAATTCAAACTTACAGTCACTGACACAGATGGCGCCTCCAACTCAACAGTCGCTGAACTAACTGTAATTAAGGGTAAGATTGATGTTGAAATATAGTTCAATTATTGAATGATTATTTTGTTGATAGCCACAAAGCTAATAAAAAAATGATAATGGATTTAAATATATATGTGTGTAAGATATTGTTTGAAGTTGGACTACTTCAGTCATTGAGAAAATGTGTTTCTATCTCCTTTGTTCCTTGCACTTCCAGAGACTGACTATCCCCCCAAAGCTAATGCTGGATCCAATGTAATCATCAGCCTTCCCCATAACAAGGTCACTCTCTATGGTAATGCATCTACAGATGATAAAGGCATTGCAACCTATGAGTGGATCACCAAAAGTGATGATGATTTAACTGCTGATATAACTGTAAGTAGTAATGACAATATTGAAAATTTTTCCTATTGTCAATCAGATTGTCTTAACTATCAAATAAAAATGTTCCAGTTTATTTTAGCAATGATTTGCAGATAAAGAGTTTTAGTGAAATAAGTTGGTTAGGTATATCCTGTATCCTGATTTTTAGGTTTCCATTCCAGAACCTCCATATCTCTTGCCATATCTCTGACTCCCGGGCATATCTTCCCATATCCGAAATTAAAAAAAATTAAAAAATAGTTCCTCAGGTAGATATGCATATCTCCCTCTGGATATACCCCATATCCAAAACCTCCCAGTACATAACCCTTATTTATCCACTATACCTAATTTTACTTGCAGGGAGTGAGAACACCATTCCTTCACCTGTCCAACCTGCAGGTTGGGGACTACACCTTCACTCTCAAGGTGACCGACACAGCAGGACAAACTTCAACTGCTGATGTCACTGTGTTTGTTAAACCAGGTGAGGCCACATTAATAATTAAAAGAAATTTAAAGTTCATTATCATTTACAGTTTGATAAAGTTGCATCTTGCAATTTGAAATCCTTGTATACACTATCTAGAAATTAAGATTTACTTTGATTCAGGAAAATAATTTCATATTGTTTTGAATGATAATTTTTAACATTATCAGACAATTTATTTTAATGTTAACTGTTTGACACCATGAGATCATGTATATTAACTGTTAAAAACTATGAGACCATGTTCTTCAATATTAACTGTTAGATATGATGAGACCATATATTTAAATGTTAACTGTAAGGCACTATGAGGCCTTGTATTTCAATGATACTGTGACACTATGAGACCATGTATTTCCCAACTTAGAACACAACAAAGCCCCAATAGCTGATGCGGGGAAAAACTATGTTGTGAAGTTCCCACTTCATGTAGCTACACTTGATGGATCCAATAGCCACGATGATCAGAAGATTACAAAATATCTGTGGAAAATAAAGAGGTTTGTATGTGTTGAATGTGTTTGGAATTGTGTCACTCAAGTTTACTTGTTCCGGGGCCATAGTTCTCTCCATGAACTTATACTTGTACACACCCATGAAGTCATCCTTTTGAATATTGTTATTTGTATCAACCCTAAATTTGAACAAGAACCTTTTCATATGTTGATTTATTCGAAAATTAGTGTTATGGCTTCATGGAGTTGATCTTTGTACAGAACATGCAGGAGTTATTGCCTCCTTTGAACTAGTGTTTGACACAATCCTATTATTGATTGTCATGCGCTGTATGTGTGTATGTGCTCATTAATATGTCCTGTTAGGAACCTCTGGATCATTCTCATATTCTGTTAAAAAATTTGAAATACTTTGATTTGTGATAACCAAGTATTCCACATTTTCTTTCCACCAATTTAAACCAGAGTAAATCTAAATGTGACCTATTAATGTTCCTTACATTTTATGTGGGATGAATTATGTTCTAAAATTATCGATTTTGACGCAAACCCTGCTACCTCACATGGAATGTAAATAAAGCATATACCACATACAATTCTGCATGTCTTTATTGTTTAGTTTTTATATAACACTGTTGTAATGTTCTAGAGAAAAATGTAAAGCCCTTTGCCGACGCTGGTCAAGACCAGACGATTTTATTACCATTAACATCTGCAGTTTTGGATGGCTCGAATAGCTCTGATCAGTCCAGTATTTCTAGATATATTTGGAAGCAGAAAAGGTAGATTAACATGTACTTGTACATGTTACGGTGGTGGATAATGCACCTGGGAAGGATATCAATGTTTTGTGTTATAAGCATAATTATTTTATGTTATTCTAATGCTTCCCTTTTTACTTGCACCTATTTATGTAGCTCTCATACATGTTTTCCCAAAACAATTGACTGTCTTTTCACACACATACATGCTTTCCTTCCCCACATGTAATTCAAACCTTTACTTTTAAAGCAGTCAAATAATTTAATCCTTATCTATCAGCAAATTAAAACAATAACAAGATGTGAATTCTGGAAACTAATTGAATGATGTCATAGATTTATGAACTTTAGATTTAACTTTTGTCATATGAAGTATATTGTATTCTGGTGGAGTAGTTTTAAGTTTTTTTTATTTTAAACAATTTCATAATACCCCTTACCTTTAATTATAATTACCGGTATTTACAAGTTATAATTTTCATGAGTAGCATAAGTACTTCTATGGCCATGTTTACCTCTAAATAGATTAAATGGTTAAACCACCTGATGGTGAAAATGTTAACTAGCTGCTGCTCTTTCAATTATTTTTACATTTTAATAAATCAATAACTTTATAACTGATTTATTTATTTTATTCTGTATATATTTTAATGTTATAACAAATACATGTATGTTAGTATTAGTGTATTAATAGCAGATACGCACATGGCTCTTTTACAATTATTTTTACATTGGATAAATCACTAACTTATATGTTTCTTGTATTCTTTAATGTTATAACAATGTTATATGTCATAAGGTGTATTAATTTGGTTTAGCAGATAGACGTGCACGTGGCTCTATCAACTCACAAGGCCTTCATTTAAGACTACAGTGGAACGTTGTACATAATATAATCATTTAGTCTCAATTTTCATTTTTAGTTTATTGCAAACTAAATTCACTATAGTTTGAAAATACAATCCTCCTATTTAAGAAAATGGATAGAAAGTGTTACACTCCAATCGAAAATTTAGAGCTAGTACATGTTGTTGAAAAAACAATGAGAAATCATCTCACATGTTCTTTTTTGTTAGCATGTGGAATAGGACATTGTGATGAAAAATGTTCTAGTCTTATTTGTTGTCTATTGTATATGATTGTTGTAAGCGTAGTATAATATGTTGTAAATGTGTTTTAATTCTGTAAAGTGAGATGGTGTTGTATAACCATATCATTTTATGATAATATTATTGATGAACTACTCATCAATTTTAAGGGGATTGAACAAAAAAGGGCAGTAAAGACTGCCAATGTGTAATGCTTTCATAATTAGTACATGCCGTTTTGGTCGCATATAACAATAACATCTTAGAACTTAAGAACATGAATTATAACCTTAGAGAATGCGATTTGGGGTGAAAGTTTGTTCACAAAAATGTTTCTATGGGATAATGTCTGAATATTGAACAGTCGAATTGAAAATTAATGAATTAATTAATTAAATTTGACTTTGTGAAATCCTGATCATCTTAGTGTAATGTAAAAATGGTTAGCCTGCTAAAGTGTGATTTATATGTGTATCTGTTATAGTGGTCCCAAGGGTGCCACATTAGAGAATGCAGATAGGGAGACAGCCAGCGTGTCTGACCTGGTTGAGGGGATCTATGAATTCACCCTGACAGTCTTTGATGAGGAGGACCTCCAGGACACTGATACTGTCAAAATCACAGTCAAACCAGGTACTATATATGCATCTTAAACATGTTGGACATTTTGATGGTTTTTTTGGTATTAAGATTTTTCTGTTTTGATTATTTTGATATTTCTTAGAACCTGTAGTGTTTCATGGATTTACTAGATATGAGTTTATTTTTTGATAGATGTTAAATTTTTTTCCTATTGTGGCAGATTGTGCTTTTTTGACGTAAATGTGCTAAGTATTAAAAATCACAACTGGAAATCTTTTTTTTTCAACACAACCCATTCAGTCCAATATATACAAGCTGGAAATACCATTCGGATTTTGTCAACCTTATATAACTGAACTTCAGTCTTTAAGATATATTTCATTTTAAAAGAGAATAGAACTAGTCCTAATCTTCCATCATGTAATGTCATTTGCCTTAATATTACTGTTTTGTCTTTAAGATATTAACAAACCACCTGTGGCAGTTGCGGGTTCAGATCAGCGAGTGTCCATGAGCCAGAAGCTTGTAGCTATAGATGGTAGGGCTTCCAATGATGACAAGGGCATTGTTTCCTATAAGTGGACCAGGGATGACAACAGTTTAGCTGCTGGGGTAAGAACAATGAAAGGGCTATACTAGTATCTGAAGTCTTTATCCATCAAAAAGAATAGGTTTTTGTTATAGATATAAAATACATATACAAATATTTGAATTTGTGAATGATTAATGAAATTGCTATTTTCTTTATTTCTACAGGACGTTCTAAACAATTCTGATAGTCAAGCAGTGTTACAACTGGCCAACTTGGTGGAAGGTCGTTACATCTTTACTCTTACTGTAGCTGATATAGAGGGCCAGGAGGACTCTGACTCAGCCTCTGTTATTGTCAACCATGGTATGCTGTTAAACTCCTTTCTTTTCTTTTTATTACATCTTTTTAACTCAAATACTAGTTGACAGATTTGGTTCAAATTTTGAATGCTGGTGCTTAGGGACAAATGAGCTACATTGAAGAAGAGATTTTTAGAATGGTCACTAAATATCAAAGTGGTAGCCATTTTGTGTAAAAAACCAACATAATTTTTAATAACTCAAATACCAGTGAACTGATTTGGATCAGATTTTATATGATGATGCCTAGAGACACAGTACCTCTGTTTGACAAGATGGCAGCTGAATTTTAAAATGGCCACCATTTTTCGTAAAAAAATATGATCTTCGATAAATCAAATAGTACTGAATGTATTTATATTTATTTGAGTTGTGTGCGGTTTGGAGTCGCTTGATCACTACTTTAACCCAATATGTTATATCAATTATTGGGTTTACATGATTTCAACATAATTCTTACAGAAACATTAGTTAATCTATCTCAATTTAATACTATTTTCTTATACCGAAGGGGTCCCTATCGCAAAGGTATATATTACAATAGACAATATATTTTATATATGTTTTTACTTACTTTAGTTGCAGTACATTAACCTGTTCATTACTTTGGTTGGTGCTGGGGAGGCTGGTGGGCTTTCCATGGTATGATTTCACAAACTGATTCCCGCCAGATGTAGTCACGTGACATTTCATCCTTATCACATGGTCTATATAAATTAACTCACCTATGCACTGGTGCCATCTATACTTCACTTACGGGATAGATTTAACTGTATGAATATAGAGTGATCTGAGACAACTCCAAAACACATAAATATTTATATTTCATATAAGTCATTTTTGTTCAAATTTTATACGCCGGCGCCTAGGGACACAGTAGCTTTGTTTGAGAAAGATTTTCAAAATGGCGGCTGAATTTCAAAATGGCTGCCATTTTTCATAAAAGAGGAATGTATTCTTTGATAACTCAAATGCTAATTTACAGATATGGAGCTACATTGAAGAAGAGATTTTTAGATTTAGAATGGTCACTAAATATCAAAGTGGTAGCCATTTTTTGTAAAAAAAAAACATAATTTTTAATAACTCAAATACCAGTGAACTGATTTGGATCAAATTTTATATGATGATGCCTAGAGACACAGTACCTCTTTTTGACAAGATGGCAGCTGAATTTTAAAATGGCCACCATTTTTCGTAAAAAAATATGATCTTTGATAAATCAAATGGTACTGAATGTATTTTTGTTCAAATTTTATACGCCGATGCCTAGGGACACAGTAGCTTTGTTTGAGAAAGATTTTCAAAATGGCGGCTGAATTTCAAAATGGCTACCATTTTTCATAAAAGAGGAATGTATTCTTTGATAACTCAAATGCTAATTTACGGATATGATTTACATTATATATGTTGATGCTTAGGGACAAACAAGCTCTGATTAAGAAGGAATTTTCAAGATGGCTACTAATAATCAAAATGTTTTAGTTTATGTTTTATTTATCATAATGTGTTTTATTTGGTGGTATTTTCTACTCCGCTGGGTTGCTGTTTTTCTAGTTTATTATTTTATTAATGTTATGATATGTATATCTGCATATGACCAAGAACATTGAAAACTGTTTTATAAAATATATTTAAATTAAATATTTTAATATTTCTTATTATTTTCAGATGATAATTCTGATAACCTGATTGAGATTCAGCTAGAGAGCAACATTAAAGTATTTTCAGAGGCAAATAAAGTAAGTCTCAAAATTATCAATAAAAATGTTGACGAAACTTGCCCAAAACTGTAGAGGAAAGTAGCATAAAATCACGTCTAGACAGTTGATCCTTACTTTCTGTTCAAAAATATTTTCAGACAAGACATGTTGAACAACATTTTAGATGAATTTGAGGCAAATCACTGAAGCTCCTTTGGTAGAACATGGGTCTCAAACATGATGAAAATTATACTTTATGCAAATTTTAGGCAATTAGTAACATGGTATCGAATGGGCATCAAAAAATGTGGTAGGGGAGGTTTAAACGTCAACGGATTTGGTTGAAATTTTTTGTGCTTGCTTTCCTTTATCAGGAGCCCAACTGGGCGAAACTCCATTTTGATTTGAAAAAAAGTCGAAAAGTGAAACACCCTATAAGCAGATACAGTAGAAACTAGAAAGTTCCCTTAAACTTGAATATTCATCAGTTTTATTGGATCGATTTTATTATACTCATATATATTTCTGATAGTTATACAAATTAAAGTATGTCTAGTAAAAGAAAATATTACATGTCCAATACAAGAAAAGATATTTAAATTTTTTCCCCAGTCCTTGAAGTCTTTTTTCAAAGAACATTAAATTTCCAAAGTAATAAATTTTTGAAACCAGATTTCTAGATGTAATTTTAGATTTAGATTTCATATGTGATATTGCTTTGACTGAAATTTGGATATTTGAAGGGACTTTCCAATATTTTATCTATTCATTTAAAACTCACAAAAATAATAGATATGACTAAGTTCATCAATATAAATGAGCATTATCCCTGCTTCGGACAAATTTGATTTTTTTTACATAATGTAGAGTTGAAGGTCTTCTTTTGAATGGTCATAATTTAATTTGGGTAATATTTCTAGATTTTTCGCAAAAAAATATTAGCGCAGTACACTTATGAACTTTTTTCCCCAAATCGAGACTTGTATTTTATTGAATCGGTCTAATTGATCATTATCCCTGCTTCAGACCAATTTGTTATTTTTACATCTTGTAGATTTAAATGTCCTCTATTGAATATTCATAGTTTAATTTTGGTAATATTTCTATATTTTTCATGAAAAAATTATTAGCCCAGGAGACTGTTCTCCAAACCGAGAATCGTCCTTTGTACAAATGATATAAAGTCCTAGTCATGTTTTTTTTTTCTTTTTCAAATTATACTTTATTCCAATTTAGGTTTTTACGATACAGAAATACAATGATACAATTAATTACAATAATGTATAATGAGTTATGTTTTAATCATTTTCCATTTGTTTTTAAAAAATACATTTTTACGAGTACAGATTTCAAAATTTAAAGTTTTAATAATGCCTTCAAAATTACGCTTAATACCATTATTCAGTTCTTGATTATATGTTTTATATATAACAAATGACACAATACTTATAAAATAGTTTAAAAATTCAGTTTGATTGTCATTTCCATCGTAACCAATTATCAATTTTCTGTAAGTTACTCTTAACCCTGAGATATTATAAATATGTTTCCAAATGTTTTGAGAATATGAGCATGAAAATAACAAATGTTTCAAGGTACATAATTCATTACATAAACTACATTTGTAGGTTTCACTTTTACCAAATATATATAAATCACTAAGGCTAGGAAGAATATTGTTGATTATTTTAAAGTTGAAATTACCTATTTTCTTTTCTTTACAACTTATTTTTGTAGAGAAAAAGTTTTGCCAATTTATTTCATCATTGGCTTCATAGCAAAACTCTTGTTCCCATTTCCTTTTCATAAACCATTTTTCCGATCGTTTGTTTTTTAATATTTCATAAAAGAATTTGGATTTCTGATTATTCACAGTGATAATCACATTATTTATATTAAATTTAAAAGTATTATGAATATTTGTATACTTGACAGATTCTAAATTGAATCTTTCTTTCAGTGTGCCCGTGGCTGATAAAACTCTGTAATATTCAGATATCCAATTTTGTTTATTTACAAGTTTTTGATATAACATATTAACATCAAGGAACCTATTCTGAATTATCAAGTCTTTTATGTATATAATTCCACTTTTGATCCATGATTCAAAGAAAATTGGTTTATTTTTGACGGTGAACAATTTGTTTCCCCATATAACCTCTTGCAAGAGTTCATGTTGCTTCATATCTCTTATATTTTTGATGCATTTACATAAACAATGTGCTTCCAGCACTTGTTGATAAAAAAGTGGAACATTTTCAAATTCTTTGAATCTAGTGTCATTTATCTTGAATAATACATCTATATTTGGAAGAAATTTATTGAAATAGAAGTAAGGGATTTTATTGTACATGTTTTGATTATGCAAACGGGGGATCCATGCTGCTTTAAGTGCATGTATTTGAGACTCTAAGTCAATCATATTTATTCCACCCTTATTAATATTATTTATGATTATAGATCTTCTTATTTTGTCCTTTTTTCCATCCCATAGAAATTTAAATACAAGATTGTTTACTTTTTTTATAATCTCATGTGGCACAGATAATACTGATGCTGCATAAATTAATTTTGGAATTGCCAGTGATTTAATCACTGTAACTTTGCCAAAAAGTGTTAAGTATCGGTTCTTCCAGCTGTCTAATATTTTTTCTACCTTTTTTACTCTATTCATAACATCTTTGTTTGTTGTGTCCTAAAAAGATTCCTAAATATTTGATTGGTTCATCAGTAAAAGTTATATTTTCACATTTCTTTTCAAAGTCCTTATTTTTTCCAAGCCAAATGCCTTCAGTTTTTTCTATAATTAACTTCAGACCAGAAAATTTTGAGAAATTAGAAATAGTATTAAGAGCATTTTTCAATGACTCTTTATCTTTAATGAAAAGTGAAGTATCGTCCGCATATTGGGACATCTTAGTCATGTTAATGCCTTGTGTGTCTGGTGGTATGATTTCATTCACATCATGTGAGCAATATTTGTTCACTAGGTTCATATTGATTTTATTCACAATGATGGTTCCATTAAAAAGAAATTCTGACTTTGAAAAGAAAAATAGATTGTAAAGGAATATACTGTACTTAAAACACAACAGTCTTTTGTAAAAATATCACCGGAATATTTGCAAATAAAGTGGAAGTTTAAATAAGTTATGACTTTGTAGACACGCAAAGTTTAACCGATTGAAAGAAATGTAAACAGCCTTTCATGAAACTTTCATAACCATTGACTATCCCACTATAAGTCACTTACCTTTTTTTTTATTCAAAAGTGCATTATGTTAGCAAACTCTGACTACGTTTGATTTTGTATATCACTTAGATTAGGCCATCTTTATGTATTTTTGTTAAAGAGGTCTCTTAGGTTTCCCTATATATCTTTCCAAAACTATTGCAAAATGGCCCTCACTCCAAACGTCCATATATAAGAGAACTGAAGCGATAACTGAGCCCTGAAGTTCCAATAAAAAGTAGGCTGGGTTTCTCTTCTTATTGTAACTAATTGTCCAATCTCATTTAAAGGACATTGTCAGTACCAAGTCATGTAGCTCTAAAACAGTAATTACTTTACTATAGAAAAAACTAATAAATGATTGATAGCTAGTAAAAACTGTTCTGAAGAAGTTATATTTTTGTAATCATTAAAACATTTAGGGTATTCAACTATTCATTTCATTTTTAATGAAGTAACTGACTTTTAGTCTTTTGTTGGCAAAAAGGTTAAAATAATTACCCTACTAATTCAGTATGCGACCATAGGATCGAAAGTGTTTGTTACTTTTCTTGTAGAAAACACTAGCAGACCAGCTTGCCCTACTGATCCATTCTGCTAAACCTGAGGGAGATGTGCAGGTCAGAATACAACATCTTGGCCAAGATGAACACACAGGGAGGTATGACAGTGCACAAATATTACCAGATTTTTATGTCACCACAAGAAGTGGTGACATATTGTTATATACATAGTCTTCATTTCTTTTGTGGATGGTGATAGGCAGTTGATGTTTGGCATTCAGCATTTGTAACAAATGGCAGGTGGTGACATTTTGCATGTTAATGCCTTGTTTCATTTATTTTTTATTCTCTTAAGTATTAATTTTGGTTTCATGAAATTAAAGAACATGAGATCTCTTAGTTGTTGTTCTACAAATGAAGTTTCTTGAGCAAATAGTTTATATGAAACTTTAGAAACCCTGACATTATGATCTAAAGATTGAGATCTATATCATTTACATGCATATTTTTGAACAACAAGCTTGATAAATGTAACAGACTAAAGTTATAATATTCCTATTTTGTTTATTTTCAGATTAACTGTAAAATTCTATGTAGTTACACATTTAAAAAATGTAGATATTTACCACAATGGTGTAGAGGCTGTAAAAGTTCTAAAAAGAAAGTTGAAATCTAATGGGAATGTGTTAGATTTTAATGTGCAGTCTGTAGATACTGTAGGTAAGCATATAGAATTTGTAAACACACATTGCATATTCGTCTAAATCAATGCAGTATATAAGGTTATTATTAAGCTCAAGAACAGGCTGTGGAAAGTGAATAACAGTAAAACCTGTCTGAATGCCTCTGGCCTGGGACCAGCCAAAAGTGTTCTGATTAGGAGGTGTTCACATTTCATTTAAATCTATGGGAAACTTAGAACTGAGAAAAAGTGTTTTATTGAGAGGTGTTTGTTTAGAGATGTGTTCAGATGTTTAGGTTCACTGTTTTTAGCTTTCAATATTGAAAAAGGTGCTATTAGAAAAATTCAGTTTGCACTTTCCATTCTGGGGTCGTTTTTTGAACTGTTGTTATTTGTACCATTTATCATAAAAAAATTATTCTTTGATAATTCAAATACTAGTTGACGGATTTGGTTCAAATTTTACATGCTGATGCCTAGAGACAGAGGAGCTACGCCGAAGAAGAGTTTTTTGAACTGTTGTTATTCATACATCTGAACATATGTAAATTTTGTTAGAATTAATGCCTTTCACTTAAATCAATTGTAACTTTTGATCAGGGCTAGAGATGTCTAAACTTTGACTTCACCGGAACTCATGTATATCATTGGCTAATAAAAGCAAAAGTAAATGTTAAGGTTATGCTGGTATGCCATCTTTTGATATGACTCAATTAATGTTAAATCATAGGGTATCCCATGAATTAATATCCAGGAATATTGTTTCAATATTCAGATGTGGTCACCACATTGACCACATTGATAGAGAAATGAACACATTATTGTAAAAATCTTTAGTTTTCCTCAAAATATTCTCTTTAAAATATACTTTACAAGGAATAATATTAGCCCAAAATATTCCTATATCGAGAATTTTTGTTAAGGTTACTCATAGATCTGAAACTAGCTTTAATCAAACAACAACCCCAAATACAAAATAGCCAAGGTTATATCCACATGATGAAATTAAGGTGTAAAAAGTATAACCTATTTCAAGTTAATCATAATAAATCATAATCATAGCAATAACATTGCATGCATCATAATGATAATGCATTATATGATTATATCACACTTGAAACCTATTGTCTCCTGAGTATTGGACTATTTGTTTGTTATGTCCCCACCAAAAAGTGGTGACATATTGTTATGGTCTCCGTTTTTTGTGGCGGCAGCTGGCGATCTGCGGTTGGCGTCTGTAACAAATTCTTAAAACTTCCAATAACTTAACAAATACTGTTTAGATTGACTTAAGATTTATTTCAAAATCATCTACAAGTTTTCCGAAGTTCAAATCTGAATTTATATTTAACATTTGACCTTCAATGACCTTTTCAAGGTCAAAAAGGTATTTTTTCAACTTGCTTCAAATTGACCAATTTATTTTCAAAATCATCTTCAAGTTCTCAGAAGTTAAAAATGAATTATATTGTGTGGTGACATTTTGTCATGTTAATGCCTTGTTTAAAATTGTTTCAAGTTGAATTTTTTCAAGATCATCTACAAGTTACGAGGAATTCATATATCTCCTTTGATTTGATAAGACTTTCAATTGACTTTCAAAATGTCCAAAGGGCATAAGTGAGATTGCTTGCAATATTAATGATCCTGTTTAAATTCTCTTCTAGTGTTTGTTTAAGTTATTTGTCAAATTCTGAGACATGCAATTTCATACCTACAGTATATGGGAATTTCATTTGAACAAATATTTTGAAAGAAGTGTTTTTTATGACATATGTTACAACGTATTGTTAAAGAACATATAATTTTCAATAGTTTTTTTTGCGTGATAAGAATTGAATGAGCAAACAGTTTATGAATAGCATAGGAGTGACAAATGTTTGATCAAGTGAAGCAAAATACAGGTTGACATATCAAAAAAGAATGAAATGAGTTCTAAAAAATTAGTTTAAAATTTTTTTTTCAATTGTATCCCTGGGTGTGGCCTCATGTCAATGTGAAATGGAATGCAAAACATTTTTAATTCCAAATATGATGAAAATAAGCTAGTATATATTTGTCACTATTTTCTTTCATTTGTATTATGAACTTTCAGATATTGCTTAAACTTTGGGAATCAAAATTAACTATTTTGAGAAACTAGCTTATTTAAGAAATTTTTATTGAATGAGTAGACAAATTAATCTTTTTTAACTTTTGCGAGGAGAGCCCTGTTGTCTTTTCAAATTGATTCTAATTAATGTACTGTATGTCTTGTCAGTGATTTACAATTTTCACAAAGTTTTAAAGATTTAATCAAGAATACATGTATGTCAAGTTGTCAACCATGACACATATTTTAAAAGCATTTCATTATAAAAAATCAGAGTGGGTCAAAATGTGGTTGATACTTTACTGAAAAATAATTTTAATGTATTTCATTGTGTTCAGAAAATATCAATTTTGAATTAGCTTGGGTGGATAAATCAAAAAAGATACTGATTTATTTTTCATTTTTTATTAATGTTTCTATTTTAACTTTTTTCTGAAAAATATTTGTTCACTCAGTTCTCAATGATTTTACTTCAATGAACTATGAATAGACTTTGAAACAGTTTGCGTTTTTTTTTTTCAATATAAATAGAACATAAGACTTATCATTTTCAAAGACCTAAAGGGGTGTGTACATTGGCAATGAAAAGGCTTGAAATAGGGAGGGGGGGGGGGGCGAAAAGGCTGAAATGCTTGAAATGAAAGAGAATGTGAAAACAGCTTAGATGAATTGATTGAAATGCTTGAAACAGCGAAACAGGCGCAAGCAGCCAAACAGTAATTTCATTTTTCAAGACATCTATTGAAACGGTTGAAAACCCCTGCCAAATGCTTAAAACAACAAAATTTTAAATTCATTTCAAAGGTGAATCGATTTAAACGGTTGAAATGCTCCAAATGACGCAAGCATTGAAACGTGGGAAATGATGCAAGCATTGAAACGATTGAACTGATTGAAACGATTGAAACAATTGAAACGATTGAAAATTTATTTATAGTGTATACAGGGCTTAAAGCTTTATTCTTCAGAAATCCAGTTCAAATATGATATTTCCAACATTTTTCATGCAGACTTCAAACTTTTCTGAGTATGATAGAGTGTGATAGAGTAGAGCTCGAAAGTAAGAAAGGAGACAAATGATTGGTTCCCAAAAGTGCCAAACAGGGGAACCAATAACATGACCTGTTTATTGAATGTTATTTATTAAAAATACTTTCCATTTACTCAAGGGGCGAGGAGGAAAATTCTCAATAAATGGTGTATAGTTGGTTTGGCAGCATTTTCAGTTAGGGGAGAGTCTTGGATGAAACTTCCACCTAGGTGATAGCTTCACAGAGTGATAGGAAGTTCTTTTTTTTGAGGAGTTAGCCCCCCACCCCCCAAAAACACCCCACCCCGGGGAAAAAAATTGTTCACACTAAATAACCTTAGATATTTTGATGTTTGTAAGTGACATACATAGATATTATAGTATATGAATCACTTGCAGTATAATTGATGCTGATAACTCCTTAAGAATTTGAAAATTAGTACAAAGTATGTACCCCAGGGGGCAAATTCGTGACTCATTTTCTTACTATTTTGATTCTAACTTTTCAATTAGACACTGTAAGAGGCTGGAAAAATTCATGTGAAGTGCCCAATAGCAGGGTTAGTAACCCTGAAAGATGCAAAGCCATGGAAGAGGTAGGAGCTGAGAAAAAAATTGTTGATTTTTCGAAAAATTTGACATTTTTGACAGCTGGATTTTGTGTATGACTATAGCTGACCCTTATAATTTCTAGATCCATCCCTCTATGATGATATTTATGGTTTTATAGTGTGAAAATAAGATGTAAAACATAATTTAGATGGGTTTTAAGGAAGTTTAAGGTTTTAACAAGTCCAAAATTTGAAAAATTGTAAATATAAGGATTCAAATTTACGAATTCCAGGTATAGCCATGGCTGACCCCTATAGTTTCTAGATCCATCCCTCTATGATGATATTTATGGTTTTATAGTGTGGAACTAAGATGTAAAACATAATTTAGATGGGTTTTAAGGAAGTTAAAGGTTTTTAACAAGTCCAAAATTTGAAAAATTGTAAATATAAGGTTTCAAATTTACGAATTCCAGGTATAGCCATGGCTGACCCCTATAGTTTCTAGATCCATCCCTCTATGATGATATTTATGGTTTTATAGTGTGGAACTAAGATGTAAAACATAATTTAGATGGGTTTTAAGGAAGTTAAAGGTTTTAAACAAGTCCAAAATTTGAAAAATTGTAAATATAAGGTTTCAAATTTACGAATTCCAGGTATAGCCATGGCCGACCCCTATAGGTTCTAGATCCATCCCTTTATGATGATATTTATGGTTTCATATTTTAAGGAATTTTAAGGAAGTTTAAGAATTTTAACAAGTGCAATGTTTGAAAAATTGAGAAATATCAGGTTTCAAATTTACGAATGTTAGGTACAGCTATGGATGACCCTCATGGCTTTTTCATCCATACCTCTATGATGAAACATATATTTTTAGAGTGTGAAACTAAGAAGTAAAACATACCGAAGATGAATTTTAAGGAAGTTTAAGAATTTTAACAAGTGCAATGTTTGAAAAATTGAGAAATATCAGGTCTCAAAGGAGCACGGAAAGTATTGCAACATATTTCAGACAGTCATATGTTAGATTTGTCTGTTTCCTGAGGATTTAAGCAGGTGCATATGATAGGCCATTGCATTACCTACAGGAAAAGAACTCTTAGAGATGATAAAATAGTTTGGACTTTGAGACAGCGAAGGTGCAAACAATCCACCCACATGTTTTTTTCGGAAATGTTGTCCTGATTTTCAAGCCCTTTCACCCCTGCTTTTTTCAATTTTTGTTGCATCAGTATGTTGCGTTTTGAGACATAGTTAACCCATAAAAAGGAATGATAAATTTCTTTTAGATAAAGCAGAAAACAATATTTTCCTGTTATTTTCCCATAGGGAAAACTCAGGTGCTCCATTACTTTCAGCTTAATTTTGGTCACCCATATTTGATATCTTTAAACCCCTGATGGAATGCATTATTTCTTTAAAGGGGTTAACTGTGCATCAAAACACAACATATTGATGCATGTGGGTGGGTTGTTTGCACCCTGTCTCAAATAGAAATTATTTTATCATCTCTATGAGTGCTTTTCCTGGAGGAAATGCATTGGCCTAACATATGCACCTCCTCAAATCCTCAGAAAATAGCAAAAATCCAACATGTGACTGTCCTAAATCTGTTGCGATACTTTCAGTCCTCCTTTAAGATTTCAGGTTGTCTTGGATGTCTCTCTTTTTGAATGTATGACTTTTTAGCTTAGAAATTAGATGTTGAAAATATTGTGGTCAGGTTTGATCCATGTTACAAGTATTGTTAAAAGAAAAATCATTAGAGTTGAGGACCTTACCCTAGAGTTCCTAAGGGGGTGAGAGGTTAATGAATCCCCCCCCCTAAACTAACTGCTCTTAGGGATATCGTATACAGTGTAGTAATTGATTGATTATATGGATTATAACTAATTAATTATTATTTGATGATATTTATTATGTGATATAGCATTTTTACTTTTTCACATCAACATGTTCGATGTAATGTTCTACATTGTCAAAATACATAAAGACATGGTTAATTAAAATAAACATGATTTCTCTATATTTTGTTATGCCCATACTGTTATTAAGCAATGATCATCTCCTAATACAAAATATTATTATAAATTATCAAATTATAATCACTACACTCCCAATAAAACAACTTGTCATCAGGCAACAGTAATTATTTGGGAAAATAAGGATTATAAGGATCATACCCCGCTGGGCCTAGAAACTCCCGTTAGTGCAATGTGCAATGAGATTAGGAATTCCAGGGTAATAGGGTCTTGTCACACTAAAATCTTCATGTAGATCAAAAAAGTATATATGGTGATATATATGATCAATATGTTTCAAACAAACAGACATTGTAGAAAATGTTTACATACTGACTTTGCAGATGACATTTTCTAGCAGTTGAAGAATTTTTTACATTTATTGAAATGATAGTCATAAAATTAGAATATCAGTGTCATTGATGCAAATTACTGCAGTCCCACATGTTCTCCTACTGAATGTAAAACAGAGTGAATAAGTTTAAAATCAGCCTCTTCAAGAGTGGAATTTAGCAGGGGATTTCAGTTATCATTTTCACAGATATTTAAGTTCTCTCCAATAGTTCCACTTAAAACAAGCTTGACATTTGGCACATTTTTAGAATGCTGCTTTATCAAATTTCTTTGTAATCTTTGAAAATTTGTTTTATATGACTTGGCCAAAAGGTATTCATATTTTTAGGTAATGGTGTAATTTCTTCTTTGGATTAAAGTTCAGAAGGGGAAGCATCCATTCTTTGCATTCTTTCAGAATCCTTTACTGATGGAGACTACTAGGAGTCTAATATGAAATCTATTCTTTGGGCTCCTTTACTAGATTTGATGGAGTAGTCAAATATAGCTTTCCAAAACTCTCCAAATTTCAACATATAAGTTAATCATAATTTTCCTTTTGTCATAGCCATTGCGTCGATCACGAAAGTTTTATCAATTTGTGGTATGGTTTCATCGATCTCCATTTCAAACCCCTTTTCAAGTTCTGATTTTACAGATAGGATAGATGATCATTGTCAAACGAACTGTTTGTATCCATATAAGATCATAGTTTACTCACACATAGCTAGGCAACATGTGTCCAATTCCAGCCAATTCAATACTTCATATAACTGCATTCCAATTTACTACTCTCATAAACCCAAAGTCAATTTTAGATTCTAGAGAAAGTAATGAAACCAATAAGCTGATCAATAACATTGACTAAAAATCTATAAATAGCATCATAGGGAATAGCATGCCAAGTGCTTGAATTTATGTGGATTACTCATTTGGTAGACACCTTTATCAAATCTTAAAGTGTTGTTGATGTTCAAGTTGTACAAGCAAAGTGTCATGGGTGCTTTCTTTTCCTGACATAGTATTAACATTGTGGTAAAAATTATCAAATGCGCCTAGTACAGTAGTTCTAGTTCATCATCTTGTATAAATGATATATCATCAGTGAAACCTGTATATCCCAACATCTGACTATTGTGAAAACCTACCAATCATCCCAACACCTGACTAATCTGAACACCAACCAATCTGAACACTTTTCCCAGTCCAAGTTTTCCTCCCATTGACTCCTATGTTTAAAAAATTGAAATCTGAACACCTTTTACTTCGAACAGTGAACACTCATATTTGAAAAATTAACCTGTCTAACTTGAACGCTTTTTACCAAATATCACATATTTCTTACAAAATTCCTCAAATATTGTCAGTTTAACACTGAATTGTTATGATATCAAAACTTTTGAATTGGATTTTGGAATGCTATGAAGCTTTTTATGTGGTTAGTATAAATATTATTAATATTTTTCATTGAGAATGCATTCAAATTTCTTCAAAATCCAGAACTTGTATTGTAGATGTAAAAACCTCAAAATTCAAACACTCCTAATTAGAATGCTTTTAGCTGGTCCAAATACCAGTAGCATTCAGATTAGAGAGATTTTACTGTAGTTCACGACTTTTCACTCCATCTATATGCAGCAGACTAACTGCTGCAACAGGTATATATTCTACACCTGATCTCTAAGCTATGATATCATAGTTGATACTATTATGCTCATAACCTTCAATTATCAGGGCTCATTCAAGGCTGTACCTGAATAATGTGAATTTGAGACCAATTTTGAGATCAATTTAGTCTTCTTAGTTCCACACTATAAAACCATAAATATCATCATAGAGGGATTGATCTAGAACCTATAGGGGTCAGCCATGGCTATACCTGGAATTCGTAAATTTGAAACCTTATATTTACAATTTTTCAAATTTTGGACTTGTTTAAAACCTTTAACTTCCTTAAAACCCATCTAAATTATGTTTTACATCTTAGTTCCACATGGCAAAACCATAAATATCATCATAGAGGGATGGATCTAGAACCTATAGGGGTCAGCCATGGCTATACCTGGAATTCGTAAATTTGGAACCTTATATTTACAATTTTTCAAATTTTGGACTTGTTTAGAACTTTTAACTTCTTTAAAACCCATCTAAATTATGTTTTACATCTAAGTTCCACATGGCAAAACCATAAATATCATCACAGAGGGATGGATCTAGAAACTATAGGGGTCAGCCATGGCTATACCTGGAATTCGTAAATTTGAAACCTTATATTTACAATTTTTCAAATTTTGGACTTGTTTAAAACCTTTAACTTCCTTAAAACCCATCTAAATTATGTTTTACATCTTAGTTTCACACTATAAAACCATAAATATCATCATAGAGGGATGGATCTAGAAATTATAAGGGTCAGCTATAGTCATACACAAAATCCAGCTGTCAAAAATGTCAAATTTTTCAAAAAATCAACAATTTTTTTCTCAGCTCCTACCTCTTCCATGGCTTTGCATCTTTCAGGGTTACTAACCCTGCTATTGGGCACTTCACATGAATTTTTCCAGCCTCTTACAGTGTCTAATTGAAAAGTTAGAATCAAAATAGTAAGAAAATGAGTCACGAATTTGCCCCCTGGGGTACATACTTTGTACCAATTTTCAAATTCTTTAGGAGTTATCAGCATCAATTATACTGCAAGTGATTCATATATATATTATCTATGTATGTCACTTACAAACATCAAAATATCTAAGGTTATTTAGTGTGAACAATTTTTTTCCCAGGGTGGGGTGTTTTTGGGGGGTTGGGGGCTAACTCCTAAAAAAAAAGAACTTCCTACCACTCTGTGAAGCTATCACCTAGGTGGAAGTTTCATCCAAGACTCTCCCCTAACTGAAAATGCTGCCAAACCAACTATACACCATTTATTGAGAATTTTCCTCCTCGCCCCTTGAGTAATTGTCCAATAATTAAAATCTTTATATTTTACTGTCAGGCAAATTCATTAGATGTGTTATAAATATTAATTAGTATTGCATTCCAATGCAGATGACCATTCAAAAAATGTCTCCCTGTCTAATCAGGCTGTCCATATTTTTTTTGTAAATACATATACATTTCTTTCATTTTGTATTTCAGTGTGCCAGAATAATTGTTCTGGCCATGGGCACTGTGATCAGTTCACCAAGTCCTGTGTATGTGAGGCCTTTTGGATGGAGAACTTTATTAAAGCACAACTAGAAGAAAGCAACTGTGGTAAGTGTACCTGATGTTAGTTCGGGGCTAGGGTTAGAAATAAGTGCTAACCCTGGCAGGCCTCAGTCACTCACAGCTACTTTCACTCTTGGAAAAAAGTCCATAATTTAATTGTGGCTTGTTATGTCACCACCACTAGTAGCAGTTATAATCTCAAACTTTATTTTGGACGGTGTTCTACATTGGCCAGGTGGCAATTGGTGTTCAGCATCTGTAACAAATGGCAGGTGGTACATGTGCATGCTAATGCCTCGTTAGTGTGATATTGTTTTAATGTGCCCTGACCTGGACACTCATAAGTCTTTTCACATGTACATTGCACATGTTCCATTAATAGTATAATGACGCACTGACAAAGGTGCAAACTCCAGATATTATTTACTTCACCATAAGAAAAATATTTAATTGTAAGTGCTTTAATTTTTCCTTTGCATTTTTTTCAGATTGGAGTATTTTATATGTAATTATTGTGTCATTTATAAGTGTGATAACATTTGCTGGAGTTGTATGGGGTGCAATCTGTCTCTTTAAAAGGTGAGTGTTCTTAAACTGCTTAAACTGCTGTATGTTTAGACTACATGTATATGAAAATATCAATGATTGCTGATGTACTCAGATTTGGAGCTGGGACTCAGGACTCTGATTGCTATAACCTTATCAAACATTGAAATTACATTATTGCTCAATTTGCTTTTAATTTAAATGAGACCCAGCTTTTAACCCCCTCCCTCTCTCTAACATATGACAGTGTTTGTGCATTGAGTTGGTGTATTGTTTATGTTAATACATAAACATACGTTTTGATTGAAGTAACAAGATTACCTTGTATTATTTACTATTATAAATAAAATTTGATCTACTTACTGTATATGAAAACTTTCAAACTGTGTTAAAAGAAATACAAAAAAGATGTTAATGTAAACTATAGTAGAAAAGTAAAAAAATAGATTGCTTTTGTCATTGGTTCTTATTCTTTGTTGCATCAGTGTAATGCATTAAACTGGATGGTTCAATAAACAATAGGTATACCTTAATTGAGACCATTGCACTTTGTTGATTTAAATTAGGTGATATGTGTAATATTGGTAAACTTGTGCTTGTATTATGTAGGCCTACACAATTTTATATATTTTTAATTTAAAAGCCCCTTGTAAAGTTTGAAAATATAGCTTAGATTATAATTTATTATGTTATTAATTAATGAAGTAAAATCTTTGGATTTACAAAGTTGTATGGCATTTCATAAGTGTAAAAGTTGCTTTTGAAGCATTTGTCTATAGCCATTTTGTAGGAAAAAATGAGGAAAAATGCATAATCTTTTAATTTGAAGTATGACCTGAATCAATTGCAAACTTCATATTTACACATCTGATGTGATATACCATTTGTGTCGTATTGTGAAATTATTTAATTTGCAATTGATTCAGGTCATAGTGTATGCAATCCACTTGGAGTCATACTGTATATTCCCACAACCAAGTTAGAATCAATAAAATGGTACAACTAACTTGGAATTAGTATAATGGTACAACTAAATTCAAATTAGCATGATGGTACAACAAACTTGTAATCAGCGTAATGTACAACCAACTTGGAATCGACAAAATGGACAACAAACTAGGAACCAGCATTGACATGAAGGCCCATGGTACAACCAATTGGAATAGATATATTGGCACTAACTTGGTATCAGCAGTGTTACTCTCTTCCCATCATTTTACACAAGATAAGGAATAAATTCTAGGTAATTCCTCCTCTTTCACCAGGTTGAAATAAGCAGAGCTCAACCATACAACCAAAATGGAACCAAAACATTGGTACAATCAACTTGCAGACTTGCAATCAGAGCAAAACCAAGTCAATATTTTGTTACAAAAACAATATCTAATCGTAAAACTAGGCAAAAATCTCTAAAAGTAAATGGTAAAATAAAAATATTAGTAATTTCGTCTGCCATCGATATACTTTGAGTTTGGCATTTCGCGGAAGTATTTACTCTATTATCGCCCACCGGAAATTAATTCTTTTTGAATCGGATCGAAATTTCAGGTAACTTTCCATTTAAGGGCTTCTAATTAGGGAAAATTGTGTTTTCAGTCTAATCATAGTAATTAAGGATCGTACTTTGCACAGTAAAAACCCATTATTAAGATTTTTTGGTTATTGATTGTTTAGATGTTTCAAGTTTTATTTTTGAAAAAAAAAATTGTTTTTCATTTGACTTTGAGAATTAATCTGTTTCAGTTGATCCTGTCTTTTTGAGTGCTGCCCAAAGCAATGTTGAACTTTAGAAGATTGAAAACGTGTAGTACATAACAAGGGGCTGAACATTTGGTGTATATTGTAACATAAACTAACTTAGAGGAAATGACTCTGATTTCAAGCTGTTCGAGTTGTTAGTGTATATGGGCTAGTCCGTGGAGATTGACTTAGGTGGAACAATGAAAGCCAGATCTGAGTTTCGTAATGTCCACCATGTATGTATGGTGTCAGATTTCTTCTATCCCAACATGGGTGGAGTTGAGAGCCATATTTATCACCTTGCACAATGTTTGAGGGCTAGAGGACATAAAGTAATCATTGTTACCCATGCATATGGCAACAGGACAGGCATACGATACCTCACAAACGGCATGAAGGCTTATTATCTACCAATGCTGCCATTTTACAATCAATGTGCTCTCCCTACTGTATTCACCACACTGCCAATAATGCGTCAGATTTTCATTCGAGAGAAAATAACTGTTGTGCATGGACATTCTGCTTTTTCAACACTTGCACATGAAGCTATGTTCCATGCTAGAACTATGAATATTAATGCAGTGTTTACGGATCATTCATTGTTTGGATTCGCAGATGCCAGCTCAATCATTACAAATGCAATACTACGATTTTCATTGTCAGGAGTAAATCATGGAATCTGTGTATCTAATACAAGCAAAGAGAATACTGTATTGAGATCTGGAATCAACCCCGAACTGGTCTCAGTGATTCCTAATGCAGTAGACGCGGTCATGTTCACCCCAGATCCGTCTCAAAGAACACCTGGTCAGATTACAATCGTCGTAGTGAGCAGACTTGTATATAGGAAGGGTATTGATCTGCTTGCTGGTGTTATACCCTCAATATGTGAGAAATACCCTGATGTTCAATTCCTCATAGGGGGTGATGGTCCCAAAAGAGTATTACTAGAGGAGGTTAGAGAACAGCATCAGTTACATAATAGAGTTAAACTCCTTGGCACCATTGCCCACACAGAAGTTCGTAATGTCCTTGTAAAGGGGGACATATTTTTAAATCCTTCACTAACTGAGGCATTCTGTATTGCAATAGTAGAGGCAGCCAGTTGTGGATTACAAGTAGTTAGTACAAGGGTAGGAGGCGTCCCGGAGGTTCTTCCGCCAGAATTTATACGTCTTGCCCAACCAAGCGTCTCATCTCTCTTGACTGAAGTGGAGGGAGCAATCCATGATCATAGAATGGGACTTTACCTTCCAGTACATGTTGCACATAATCGTATCAAAGCCATGTATAGATGGCAAGATGTAGCACGACAGACTGAGGCAGTCTATGACAGACTTCAACTTTCTCCAGCATTGGATAGCTGGGAGAGGATCACAATGTATCGTAATTCTGGACCATTTGCTGGTATCATATTCACAATGCTAGCCATTATAAACTATTTTTTCTTGTGGTTCTTGGAGTGGTGGCAACCTCTGGAAAACATAGATGTGCTTTCAGAAGCACCACTGGACACAAGCGGGTCATTTAGTGACAATCATGACATTACCGGATCAAGTTCAAACAGAAAATTATGTAAAGAGAACTAACAATGAGATGTTTATCAGAAACTTATCATAGAAATATATAATTAAACTCCGTAAAAGGTTTGTTTAAATAAAGTGCTCATAGGTCACAATGATATAATATTATTTCATCTTTCTTGGATTTATTGACACAGTGAGAAGTACATATAACAGTTTGTAACTATGTTTTCCCTTAAAGAGGTAATATAACTGGATTTAAAACTAAATACCAATTATTTAGTCCAAATTTTATTACCTCACATGAGTAAACTATTGTTATTGATTTTACAGGTTAAGATCTATGCACAAGAAGGTATTTTCAATATAGCTGGTCGTTACAAAATGATCACCATTTTTTAGTAAAAATGTGATGTTTGATTACTCAAATGCTAGTTCATAGATTTGGTCCTCATTTTAGATGCTTTCAAGGGAATTTCCAATATGGCTATTAAATTCAAAATGGCTGCAATTTTTATAAAATACGTAGCTTTGATAGCTCAAGTTTAGAGGTTTAGTTTAAATTTTATGCACTGATGCCTAGAGGGACATATTGAATTGGCTCGAGAAGGAATTTCAAGATGATTGCTGAATTCAAAATTGCTGCCTTACATTAAAATATAATGAACTCAAATTACCAATCGGCCATATTTGGTTCAGATTTTATGTGCTTATGCCTTACAAATGAGGAGTGATTTGATAAAAATATGTTATGATTGGTTTGATTTGTTATTCCAAGGAGTTGCTATTTTGCTAGTTGTTATTGTTAATTCTGTCATTCTTTATAGATGTAAGCTAAAGCCAAGCAGGAGAAAACATCGGTATAAACTACTAGATGAATATAGTGATAGGGAAAATATACAAATGGTTCCTAAAAGTAAGTACATTCCAAATATTTAATGGGCTTCAGATTCACTAATACAAATTCACTCTTGTGTATTTTCCATTCATGCCAATTTATATGATTTAGGTCTTTGGTACTTTGCTTTCTTCAATTCTAGTATAACTCAGAACTTACCATTTCAGCTCTAGTAATATAGTGAAATACAGTTATAGCTAAGGCTTACACAATTTCAATAATATACACCTGTGAATTCTGTCCTAATAGCTTATATGGGACAAATTACGTGTACATGTCATGTCTTATTGTATACATTGTACATAGTACATTTTGTCAACTCTCTTTGTCAAGTGAAATCTGCCTAAGATGAAATTTAATTGTACTAAAAGAGATCACCTTCCTACAGCATGAATAATTTGATGTACCACCATATGCAAATTGAGCAGTCTACACCCTATGTAGGTGGTGCTATACAGAAAACAATCGGTGCAGATATTATGCACACACAGTGTAGATTTAACAGTCATTTTTTAAATTTGAATTTGTGATATTTTATATCGTAAACTAAGTAACGCGTTGCATTCAATTACATTCATATACTGTAAAACGGATAGTGTTAGCGAGGGGTAATTGTTAGCGATTGTTAGCGATCGCTATAGTTTCGCTAAAAATTCAATTCGCTAAAATAAACCGGGGTTAAAATAAACCGGGCGCTAAAATTTGCAAATTCCCGGGAAACTACATGAATACTAGTATTTAAGGAGCTTTTCGTTCGGTGCTCTACTTCCGGTTTGTAATTTGAAAAAGGTAAATATTTTTAAATCGTATGTTTCTTTCAATATCTGAAGGATAAATAGAGATTACAGTAGTTTAGACCAATACCATGTGCGTTAGAAGTCTTACATTTTGATAATTGATAATCTGTCATGTCCGTTATTCATTCTTCTGCCATAAATGATAAAATTTCTAATGCATTTCGCTAATTTGATTTTTTAAAGATTAATCTTAATTTCGCTAAAATTTCCCGCGCTAAAACCCCCTAAAATTGAAAAATCGCTAAAATTTCCCGGTGTCAAAATTACCCGTTTTACAGTATGTGTAGATGATACCTCATGAAAAGAAAATTGTGTAAATAGTTGTGTACTTCATTCTATATCAACGCAGTAAGCATTTAACCTCTGAAACCTTTTGAAATTGCCACTTTTGGAGAGACCATGTATACACTTATTTCAGTATTGGTGACCAAGATACCCTTTTGATACATTTTTTTGCATGTTGAATGTCATATACAGATATACTGTCTGGGTAATTTTATAAGAAAAAACTGGAAACATTATTGGATATGTGCTACCCCCTAAATATTCTATGTGCATGAGCATATAAATAAAAGTGGAACTTCATAACTTTATAATTGATGAGTCTTCTTACATTCAAAGTATGTGTAATTGAAAGGGTTTCTAGACAACTCATCCCAAGACAAGTCATCCCAAGACAAGTCATCCCCAAGACAACTCATCCCAAGACAAGTCATCCCTAAGACAACTCATCCCAAGACAATTCATCCCAAGACATCTCATCCCAAGACAACTCATCCCACTAATATAATTTATAAATGATTTAATTTGTCCTCTATATAATATACATATCCCTTTTTCATTTTTGCGATTACAAAGTGATATTTGATTATAAACTCAATCTTAATATTGATAATTTTTAGGATTTTGAAATGGCACTTGAAAGTTATGTTCTACTTTTACGTACCGGTATGTTTTATTAATTCTGGGTTATTCTCTAATTCTCAATATATTTGAAAATATAGAATTGAAGATAAAAGTAAAAGACATAATTTCCAAATTCAATCATTTTTCAATCAAAGTTTAAAATTGGAAGTCTTATTGAAGAATAAGCCAAATATGACATATTGGAATTAAGCAAAATATGTTTAAACAAAGACTGGATTAATCTGGGAGAATCATTCTGATAATACGCCCCGGATAATACATTCTTATTGCATTTATCCTAATCTGACACCCTTGATGATCTTTGATTTAATAATCAAAGTATATATCAATTTGAACATGTTTATCTTTATCCCAATCAATCAACAGAAAAATTAACTGAAACTAGAGTAAACTAACTACAAAATACAAAAGATATTCCATGGCCAAACACAGTGTGCTTGCTGCTAAAATCTCTAAATATGTATCAAATATTCTTTCAAAAGTTAAAATTTAATTGTATAGAATTATGTTATATTTCAAGTTGGGAAAAGTTGTCTTGGGGATGAGTTGTCTCGGGATGAGATGTCTTGGGATGAGTTGTCTTGGGATGAGATGTCTTGGGATGAGATGTCTTGGGATGAGTTGTCTTGGGATGAGATGTCTTGGGGATGAGTTGTCTTAGGGATGAGTTGTCCTGTTTCCATTGAAAGAATGTTATAGACATCTTATATAGTGTTGAATGAGCTATGGTGAAGCTATAGATTTAACCTATGATATATGACTCATGCATCATGCCACATATTTTTAATGTGACAACTGAAAGTTTTTTATGTTATATTTTTGACATATTTTCAAACTACATTCCTCAAAAAACAACAATTTCAAATGCAAATGATCAAACTTGGACTTTATTGGAAAACCAAATCAAAAAATGACACAACTACTTTTGACAACTACACTGCTCAAGCTGAAAAGGTCAAATCCTTAATAAAAGAGGCAAAATTAAATTACCAGGAAAACATTGTAAAACAGATTAATGAATCAACCTGTAAAGGAAAACAATACTGGAACGTAGTCAATTCTTTTCTATCCAGAACTTTTCATGCTTTACTCCCTAGTTTGAAGTGCAATTTTTCAGATCACATAGCTACAACTGAGGGTGAAAAAGCTGAGTGTTTCCTTAACTTTTTTTCTTCAAAATATCATAATTTAAACCAAGTGGATAACGATGCACTTCCACATTTTCCAAATAGAACTGGAACATCAATTGACCATTTATCTACCAATCCAGATGAAATTCTTCAAATAATCCAGTCCTTTGACCGTGATAAAGCCTGTGGTCTTGACAAAATTAATAACAGAATGACAAAAATAGCCCAGGAAGCATTATTTTGCCAGTTATCAAAATTGTTTAACATGATTTTTGCATGTGGCCAATTTCCTAGTTGCTGGAAACATTTCTCCAATTTATAAGAAGTGTGATAGATCACAAGTTGAGAATCATAGGCCGATTACTTTGCTAAGCACTTTTTCCAAAATTTTTAACTTACTCATTCACAAGATGAAATCATATGGAATTCAAGGTAAATTAGCCGACCTCTGCACTTCTTACTTAGAAAATCGAAAAGTCTGTGTCACTGTAGATGATCACACATCAAACTTTTCTCCTGACCACTTCATACACTCCGGTGTGCCTCAGGGGTCCATAATCGGACCCTTGATGTTTCTGATGTACATAAATGACCTCCCTGACACTCTGACCTCGAAAAAACTTTTATCTATGCAGATGATATCTCCTTATACTCTTTCTTTCACCCTTCTGGCAATCAAACTGGCCAACTCCAAAATGACCTAAATCTTTTAAGTGTATGGTCTAAAACCTGGCAATTTGAAATTTAAAGCATCTAAAAGTGCTCATTTAGTTTTTCGCTCAAACCGACAAAAAAATATTCAAATGTCTCCGCTTTACTTTGACGGTGAAATGATCCCTCAAAAGCAATCACACAAGCACCTGGGTTTCATCTTAGATGAGAATTTGACTTTTAATGACCATATTAACTATCTGTCTAATAAAGTTCAAAAATTATTAAATCCTTTGAAGCTCATATCAAACAAAATACAGTTGCACCATCTTGAAATAATGTATAATTCATATTTGGCGTCTCATTTTGACTATTGTAGCTCCATTTACGGATCGTCATCCCTGGCAGCCTTATCAAAGCTTGATAAAATCCACTATCAAGCTGCTGTTATATGTGCTGGGGTACTGCATGGCTCTAACACCTCAAAAACTTTAATATGTTTACAGTGGAAATCGCTGACTGACAAAAGACACGAAAAAATCTAAGACTGATGTTCAAAATTGTAAGAAAGGAAGTGCTTTATTATGTCCATAGTCTTTTTGACCAACATCACAACCAAGCAACTAGAATCTTAAGACACTCCTTACCCTTTTCCTGCCCAAGAAATATTTCAATGAGACTCTCCAAAGCACCAGTTTTAAAACTTATAAATGACTGGAACCAGCTTAGCCAGCCTTTTCGTGAAATTCAAACCATTTCTAGATTCAAAAGCTCTATTAAACAGATATTTATCTCTATTTCAAACTTCATACCAACTACAAAACTAAATTTAAGTAGAACCAACGAAAAACTGCTAAATAGGCTTCGAGTTGATTTTGCCCTTAAAGACCATTTCTTTACTCATGATTTTACTGGAATAATTGACAATAAATGCCTCTGTGGCTCTACTGAAGACACAAAGCATTTCATTTTAACCTGCCCTCGCCATACCCATGAACGTAATAAAATGATGACTGCATTTCGTGAACAAAATTTATTGTTTGATACTCAACTTATTTCTAGTAAGATAGAACAGGTCAAATATTTAATTTATGAAAATGAACTCACTATTGATTCTCAGAAAATCCTGATAGATATAGTGATGCAATTTGTACAGACCTGTTATAAGTTTCCGTCAAATTAAAGTTTTTTTCTCATTTGTATCTTGTGACAACCCCCCCCCTCCCTCCCAACCTCTCACATTAGCAATAACCATCTATGATTACTGTAATTAATCCAGTAATCCTCTATTGTAATTTAAACTACCTAGAATGCCTATGGCGATTGGTAGTAGATATTTTGTGTATTTTTTGTTTATGAAGGAAATAAATAATAATATGTTAAAAAACATATTTTTAAAGTATCCTACATAATAAACCAATGTAGATCAAAATGTTGTTGATGTTTTCTACAAAAATCGTGACCTAGAAATTGTTAGAATTGACTGACATATATTTCTGCATTTCTATGGATGAATTGCTAATGTAAAAGATCATTTTAATAAATCAATAAAGGTATTTCAATTGGGATGTAGTGAAGTTATTTTTCATATTTGGTGAAAAGTTTATTATGTACCACTTCAAAATAAAGAAACAAATTTCCATTAATTCTGAGATCTCTTCAATGTATTAGTTTAAATCAAAGGTACTGAGGAGATCATAAATGTTGAATGATTTTGTTTTATTAATGTCTTGGAAAGTGTAACAGTTGCCCACATTAAAGAATTCACATATATAAATCTTGAAATATTAATGTATGCCTTTATGGATGCAAATTGAACATACATGTATTAGTGGTTATGGAACTCATACTCAAAACCCAACTCAAGTCAGACCTCTCTTGAGAATTTTGAAACCAGTAATTTTTGGGTTGTAGAAATTCCCAAGAAAATATGAAAAATTATTTGTTTTCAAAGCCACTATTTACAACATGGGTATCCAGCAAATAATGATATGTTTTATTCAGTTCAGTCTAACAGAGCTAGAAATAAGAACTAGTGAGAAAACTAGAGAAAACAAGAGAATACAATGCAGCACTGCTTGAATCTGCATCAATTCCAGCTTGCCTTACTCATTTATATGCATGCACGACTTCTACTTCTGGCAGTCACCGAGTCAACTCGCAAGGCACTAGCCAACTCGAGGCAGTGCCTTGTGAGGTCTCTGGGAGTCAGTGTGTGAGTCTGCGAGGGTAATTGTTCCACCACTAGTATTTAGGAGTAAATTGTAAACATAATATTGTGTTTCACATTCATAAAAATTCTATTCAGGGAATTTATAAAGATGCAATAATGATTTATACGGATCAAAGTGTATCTTGATCACCAATACTGTATGGGGGCTATTTCAAGCATGATTCATAAAAGCTACAATTTCAAAATCTATGAATTGGAGAGAGGTTTTATGGTTTTTTACTGCGTCACATACTCTTTTTCTTAGGTCTCGACACATATATGGATCTAACTGAAGACAATATTGTTTAGTTTATAAAAAATCACAAATTCAAAAATGACCTTTGTATTCATTGTTTTACAGTTTGTTTTATCAAGAAAGGCAGGTTTTACTGTATTTCAGTTAATTCCTCTAACATGACTGTCTAAATTTAATAACTAATATCTGTCATTTTCTTGCAGCCAAAATAAAAAATAAAAATTTACTCGAACTGACTGATTCAGAATTTTCCTCTGATGAAGAAACATTATTTGTGAATTCTAAAAAAACCAATGGACATGCTTCGAAACCTATAAATGGAGTTGTTAACAACCACAGAACTAATAATTTAAAAGCTTAGCATTCAGTTCCTCTTACAAGTAAAACTGTATTGAGTGAAGTTTGTGTTGCAAGTTTAAACAAAATATCTAATAATGCTTATATGTGAGTTGTGCAGCTGGAAGATAGGAATATAATGGACCAGTTGCATTTGAAATAAGAAGAAATTGAGGAGAGATGATCCGTCTATATCAAAATACCAGTGATTAGCTTAGTAGCGACATTTAGCAAGATGTTCATAAGTGCAATTCATTTTCTACTATATTGACATGTACTTATATGTGATGTAAATTCTTCATAATATTTTTCCAAATAGTCTACCATTAAATAATAATTAAGTTGATACCAGGAAACTACTTTGACCTTCTTCACCTTCCAGAAAACCTTCCAGTCATACTCACGGCCTAAAATTCTCTCTATATTATATTGCATTAATGGCTAATTTCCAAATGACAGTTGGAAAATATTTTGAACTCTGTTATAATGTAGTTTAATGTGAAGCAATGATAGCAATAATGAAAAGTATTTTCAATTGGAAAATGATTGTTAAAATTAGTAGCTTTAGATCATTTTCTGCTACAAAGTTATTTTAATTATCCAACCAAACGAAGTCTGGTTGGAATATAGAGAAACTTCTCGTCTGTCAATTTTGTCTGTCTGTCCATTCGTTCATGTGTCTGGGCCATAACTCAAATACTGGTTGATGAAATTGGTTAAAGTTTTATGGGCTTGTGCATTATGGGCTAAGAACCTGCTCGAGAAGGAATTTTAAATGATGCTTTAGGGACATAGAACTATGCTCAAGGAGGATCTTCAAGATGGCTGCTAAATTCAAAATGGCTGCCATTTACATGAGAAATGTGATTTTTAATAACATAAATACCAGTAATAGGATTTGCTTCAAATTCTACTGGCTGGTGTTCCATGGGCAAGGAGTTTTCAATATGACCGCTCAATTCAAAATGGTTTGATAACTCTTGACAGATTTGGTTTTGTATCCTGATGCCTTATGGATAAAGAAATCTGCTAAAAGAGAAATTTTCAAAATCCCTGCTGAATTCAAAATGGCTGCTTTATTGCCTTATTGGCATAGTCTCTGGTCAAGAAGAAATGCTGAATTCAAAATGGCCACCATGAAAACTTATGATTTTTTCTGATAAGACATATACCTGTCACCAGATTTGGTTCAAATTTTATATGCTAATGCCTTATGGTTAAGAAAGAATGTAAATTTATGGCATCAAGTTGCATCAGGGGTGTTGATTTTTCCAAAAGGAGACAATACTTCTCTTCTACTTTTTTGGTTATTTCTATCATGTAATGAGTAGGGATTTTATAAGATATGTTTTGTTCGGTTGGATTTGTTACTCTGCGGAGTTGCTTTTTTCTAGTTCAGACATTGTATAGATTTAAAAGTAATTATTTATACATTTATGTTTGATCAACATAATTCACTATTCAGTAAAAGGTACTAAAGAATCATTAACTTATTAGTTAACTACTGCAACTCTGCTGTAATCTTGTGTTGTGACATCTAATATACTCACATTTCCATTCTCTGAACACAGGGCTCCAGAAATTATTTCTCATGGGAAAGAGAAAAATATCTCCTGGATTTGGAGCCTTGAAGTTAGAGGATGCCACATTTCTCAACTTAATATTTTGAACCTGTGTGTGCAACTTTTACGATGGCATTGGAATTAAAGTGGCAGCAAAGACTAGCCAGAGGAAGTTTCAGGAAAATTTGACACATATTTTTTGCTCTCATTCCATTCCATGCCATGCCTGTTTTCTTTTCTGACTTTCTTTTAGTCTTTACTGCCACCTTTTCAACAATGTTTGTAAGAATAGGCTTCATTTGGGTATTATCACTCATGAATGGTCAATGTTTTTGGCTTGAAAGTCATCACACTTTTGATTTTATTTTATAGTAATAGCCTTATTTGTTATATTTAACAAACTAGTAATGATTAATATTGTGTTGTAAACATAGTGACCAACTTTGCACTATGTACAATGATATTGAAATACTTTCCAGAGTGATTTTCTCCATTCAGATACCTCTGCATCACCATTACCAGATATTGCTCATTTATAGCCATTGGTACATTTTTGTCTAACATATCAGGGGGCCACTTCTGGAATGAAAAATACTGAAACGATTTTGTAATTCTGTTAGGCTAAGAGTATAATCATCACAGAATTTTATATACTGAGTATGTACTCAATGGGATGAAATATGAGTGATGAAATCAACATATTAGTACTCAATGGGATGAAATATGAGTGATGAAATCAACATATTAGTACTCAACGGGATGAAATATGAGTAATGAAATCAACATATTAGTAATCCATTAATGTGAGCTTGAAATTGCAAGCATCTTGAATTCATTTGACAAGAACATATTTTAAAAGTTGAATTCTAATGCTGCATATTAACTTTATTAGGAAAACATTCATGAAACAGCCCCCTGCAGTATATAGTGTGTGACTACAGTTTGAAAGATAAAGCTGTGTATGTTATGACCTAATGTAACGAATATTCTGTCTTTAACATTGAGTGGGTTTTGTTTGAACGATATGCTATCTTTATATGTATTAATATGTTCAACAGCTTTCGATTTGTAAGGCTAATTCTACTCTGAAAGGACAAACAAGTTCTTTAGGTAGGAATGTAATTGAAACTTCAATATTACCAGAAAAGGATTTATGTTTAATATAATTGTTTAATAAAACTACAACAATTGGTTTTTTCATTAGTGTAATATGATTTATTAGATAACAACTACAGAAAGCGAAGAAAATCTCGCAAAGCCAATAGTTCAGGTGACAACAGTGAAACCACACGTCTCACTACATCCTCAACATGCATGATGAACGGATCAGTGGAGGGACGAGTGGCTCATGACAGACTTAACCCGAGTATTCTCGATGAGTCAGAGCATGATCTCCTAAGTGACATTGATGGCCAGAAATCTGCAACTGAAGAGTCCTGGTTTATTAATGTTAAACCACCTCCGAGGTGGTAGATCACAGATATGTTAAACCTCCCTTTAATTGGTGGATAACTTGTTAATCAAAATAATTTAGAAATCACAATATGATTTAATTTGTTAAACTTGTTCAAATGGGTGAATCCCATTTGTATTATTGAACCTTACTTAAGGTGGTGACTGGAGATGATTTATTAATAAAAAAACCTCAAGGTTGTTAATCACTCAATGATATGTTATTATTAAACCGCACATAAGGTGATAACCACAATGTCAAACTCCCATCGAGGAGGAAGGCTTAGGCATAGTTTAAACAGGGTTTTTGTTGATTTGTCAGAATCTTTTAGTATTGTCCAAATTTTGAGATTATCCTGCAAATGGTAAACTAAGTCAACTTGATGTGTCTGTCTACATCCACAACATTTTTATATGAAGCTGTATAGCTTTATAGAATTAAGTATATTTTTATCCCATCGAAAGAAGTTCGGAGGGATACAGGGAACGCCTCCGTCCGTCTGTCCACCCGTACGTCCATCCGTCCGGACAATAACTTAAATACCGTTGGCCCGATTTTGTTCATATTTTGTACATATATACCCTATGGGGGTAGAAGTTCTGCTTGAAAGCTGATTTTCAAAATGGCTACTCATTTAAAAATGGCGGCCATTTTAGTGCCGATTTTACAGTTATTTAGGTGCAATATGTAAAACTGTATAGCAATATGTTTTAAATGTAAAAAAAATTATATAGGGCATTAATAAAGCTAGAAATATAGATATTAAATAAGATATTATTATATATATTAGATATTAATATTTTGAAAAATGGCCACCATTTTAATATATTTTACTATAACTCGAAAAGTAGTGGTTCGATGTTGTTCATATTTGGTATGTGAATACTATAAGCATGGCACACTGTGTAATGACACTTTTGGTAGAAGGTGGCCATTTTGAAAAATGGCTGCCATTTTAACATATTTTACTATAACTCTAAAAGTAGTGGAGCGATTTTGTTCATATTTGGTATGTGAATACTATAAGTATGGCACAGTGTCTAATGACACTTGTAGTAGAAGGCGGCCATTTTAATGTATTTTACTATAACTCGAAGAGTAGTGGAGGGATTTTGTTCGTATTTGGTATGTGAATACTATAAGCATGGCACACTCTCCAATGACACTTTTGGTAAAAGGTGGCCATTTTAACCTATTTTACTATAACTCGAAAAGTAGTGGAGCGATTTTGTTCATATTTGGTATGTGAATATTATAAGCATGGTACACTGTCTAATGACACTTTTGGTAGAAGGTGACCATTTTTAAAAATGGCTGCCATTTTTTTGCTAAATACTTTGTAAATATGCCAGCCATGGCTGTTCGATGGGATTTGCTACGCTTTGGCGTTGCTGTTGTCTAGTTTCAACTTAAGTACAGTGCATGATTTTCTTCTATGTTATTTTCATTTGAACAAAATGTCTACGTTTATTTAAAAAAAGGCATTTACGATGTTTAGTATTGCACAAATTGATATATTTCGAGGGGAACACACCTTGTCAATAAGGTTTTAATACACTATTTGTCAATATATTGTAAATAAGTTGAAGTATAGACGGTTCGGGAAGACCAAGTATGGTTTTTGCCATGTATTATTATTATACGGAATGATCAATTCTAAATGCTGTGGTGATCGTTTTGTTCATGATTATTCAAGTGCTATTCAAATGTCATACTGTATCTGTAGTGATTGTTAACAAGCATGTACAGTAAATAGAGAGGGCTAGAACGTTTTTGAATGTAATTTGTTGGTTTAGAAAATATCAGTACAAATGGAGAATACACACAGCATTTTTTATTTTCATAATTTTTTCACACTTTTGTTTTTCAGAAAAAATGTGATTGACTGAGGGACTAGGGCAGAATACTGATGTATATCTACAAACATAATTAATCACATTTAAATGTTAACATTTACATTTATGTGTTAACATGTTAACATTTATGCATGTGCCTCTTATTGAAATTACAGATATTTTCATATTAAAAAATTCTTTTTATAATCCATGGACCTGCCCCAGAAAACATGATTTCATAAGTGTGTTGGCATACATCAATGTACTTTACCTTGTTCCTTAAGAACATTCCATTATTGTTAGAGTAGGTTTTGTATGAAATACAAGTGATGTGATATTGTACCATTGCATGTCATGTAAAAAGTGTACATTACTGTAAAATAAAAGCATTATTTTGATGAAGATTAAATGTTGTACATGGTACTAATCTTAATGTGTATGATTATGTACTGTGTAACCAAATGAATGCAATAATCATGACAAATTACAAAATGAAATGCTTTACTGGGTTTTGTTAGATTAAAGTGAAATGAAGTTTTCAAGCCATTCAAAGTTAATTATAATGTCAAACTTCAAGATGACTGAACATTATGACTGTATGACATGAAAATAAATAAATACGACCATTTGATTAGAATTTCCTCCCAAATGCCTGGTGATCGTACAAAATGGATGGAGGGGGGGGGGATTAGGCGATTTCTGTAAGAAAACTCAACAAAGTATCCGTTACATAATGTACCTGAAGGTGCCCCCAAAGGTTTCATTGAAAATAATATTAAAATAGTTACTTTTATCAATTATGAACACATCAAAACTGATGAAATTAGGTCATTTGGATTAAAACTAAGGTCATTTAGTGCATTTAAGTTTGACTACGCAAATCATTCTAAATATCATTTTAAGGGTATGTTAGTCTTCATTCATGATCATTTTAACTATGTTGACCATTCTTCAATCGATATATCAGAACATCGTTAAGGTAGAACACAAAGAGCAACATATTGAAAACACATATCATAAAAAAAAACGAAAACCTAATATATCTTTTGAAAAAAATGAACCTTAATAAATGTGTTCTCAACAATAGTACCATGATCACCTCAGTTTAACAGTAGGCATTCAAGCTAGAGGGTATATTAAAATATCATTAAGGTGGGACACAAAGGGCAACATACTGAAAACACAAATCATAAAATAACCCCTAAAAATAATCTATCATTTGATAAAACAAACCTTGTTAAATGTGTTCTGAACAATAGTACAATGATCACCCTTTTTGTATGTACTGTAGCTTTAACCTAGGTATATAACCTAGATACTATGTCAAAACATCATTAAAGATAAGGTAGAACACAAAGAGCAACAGTTGAAAATACAAAACCTAAATTCAAGCTGAATCTAGTTGCGACTTTCCATTGCATTATATTTTCATTGTCAAAGAAATTGAAACAATGATAGATGACATAATAGTCTTAGTTTATTTCACATGAACACTTAACAAGCAATATTCATTTGAACTAATGACTAGCTGAAACATATTTTTTCGATTATCAGGCTCATTGCTTACATATCACATGTTCTAATAGTATACCCCTTGAACAGATTTCTGAACTTTCATCTTGTTATCATTGAAAATTGAATACAAATCTGTTTCGAGGTTTGAACATGGTGCTCAGAATTATCTATGGGAACCCGGGTTGGATGTCTCTGTGGCGTGATACATTGACACAATAGTTATTGTAAATGACAGAGTTTGTTGGAAGGTTCAGTCAAGCAATACATTCAAGGCAGAATGGATTCTTGACTATAATGGCAATTTCAATATGGCCTCCCTTTTGAAACTAAAATTTTTCCTATACTTTCATATTGTGTATCTTCCACACTTAGGACCCTCTCTTATTTCATGTTTGAATTATAAAATAGTGTCAATACTAAACAATAAAGGTAAATTCAGAGGGGGTCTGGTTTGTGGAAGTACCTCCATCTGTCAATGAATGGAGAAGGTCATTCACTGTTTACAACAAAAACACAATAGGGTGTCTTTCAATACAATAGGATTACTAACTATTTATGCATGAATGGTACATGGAATGAAGCTTAGTAGATTAGGACACATTGTAGTTCTTATATTGAAAAGTGAAAATAAGTCTATCTACAAAACTCAAGATTTTAATCAAGGTTCTGTGAAATTATGTCAAAATAACTCATTTGAAGAGTCAACATGACATGTGTTAAGAATCACTGTAAAAAACACATTTTTACCATTTTTTCCACACTATTTTTGTAATTTGTTGAAAATATACTAAATAAAGATTCAAATTGCATAAAAATAATTCTGGAATTCCATTTTACCCTTTTCAATAATTGTCTAAGTTCTTATAGGTACACTAATAGGTACGGATCCTTTGGAAGATTCATTTTTTAAGAGAATTTTTTTGTATTACGCATGGACACTAACTTTAAAAAGTGAGCAATGTGATTAGTAGTGTGGTACTAGTAATAACGTCCCTTATACCTATTTATTACAGGTCGTGTAGACCATTGTTGCCCGATTTATAGCAAAAACATTTGACTTCTGCACGTTGGTGATGATGCGCCTTTTTTAATAGATCTCATATCTTAGAAGGGTATCAGTTCAAGAAAATACTAGATGACCTAACATATTTTGCCATGCACTGCGCCTATTCATTTGGCATTTCAGTTGTAAATTTTTTCTTAAAAAAATAAATCTTCCAAATTTGTTGAGTTTTCTTGCAGAAATCGCCTAATCCCCCCTCCATCCATTTTGTACGATCACCGGGCGTGGATAGGATGCTTTTTTACAAAAATCAAAAGGGGAGAATTAGAAAAAGGCATTTTCCAAGGCAATACTAGTATTTAATTCCTCAAAATGCATTGATTCAGAGAGTGAATTTTGTCTTATAATAAATCGGGAGTTCCATTTCAAGCATTAGATAAAATGATTAATAAACCAGAATCGGTTGACCAGCGATGTACTGAACCTACCCGTTTCAGTGCAAATGGACTTTTCAATGACAATGGTAGTAATTCACTAACGTATGTTCAAAAATGTTAATTGTTTTCTACCTGGTGTCCCATGTTATTTTCAGTAACACAAAACTCATATCATTCCATACATGGTCTATACTTACTGTACTTTCAGTTTAATTATTAGTCTAGGATAAATCCTTTTCTACTGTGCTTGAAATTTTTTAAAAGTACAAAAATTATAATTCCCTGATTTTTCTCTTTGTTATACAAAAAACGCAACAGATTGTTATCTCGGAAAAGCACAAAACCAGTTACAATAGCATTGATTTCATTCAATGCACTATAAAGCCATGTGTCTCCTCTTTACAACGATATATCATTCATTGATATTTGGTCATGGTTGGGCGAGTAATCATTCCATTTGCAAAGTGGGCCAAAATTAGCTTGGGACCAAGTTAAAAACATTGCAAAAGTCAGTGAATGAATGACATATTGCAAAGAGGAGAGACTTGGCGTTATGGTACATCGAATGAAATTGATGTAGTCATCACTAGTTTTGTGATTTTACGAGATAACTACTTGTTGCGTTTTTTTTATACGCCCTATATAACAGATATAAGTAGATTATTTACTAACCCTCAGCTGATAAAGGTATGTTTGT